CGGCAATTAGGACTGAATTTAGAGGAATATTCCGCAGAGTGGGCTCACGAAGAGGTGCTTCTGTGGGAGTCCCTACGTAGCCTCACTATCAGAGATATCCAATTGGCTCCGATTTCATATGAATGCAACACTCTTGCCACACGGACATTCCACGAAATTCACTCCTATCCACCAATGGATGAAAGGTTCTATCCATGGTTATTGCTACATCGGGTTACAGGAGAGAGACTGTACCGACGGGTATTTCTCACAGGAGAGGGAGACTGTACCGACGGTATTTCTCACACAAGAACTGTACCGACGGGTCAATATTAGTTGGTAATAATGAATTAGAGGTATCAATCATAAGGGCTTTGGGTTGTATCTGGTTCAACAAATCCTTGAAAACTAGTTTCGTCTCGTCCTGAGGGAGAAGCATGATAGATCTATTCATTTGCTTGGCAATTGTACCGGTAGCTACTGTACGTACGCCCAACCAAACGATCAGCTGAAGCCGAAATCTCGATGTTTGTTGTTGCTCGTGCTCGATTATTGTAGCAGCCTACCAGCACGAGTTCTTGGCACAGATCTTCTCGTATCCCCTCAAAATTCACCCCTCTGCCAATGGATGAATCTCCACGAATAACAGACCGATGATGCTTGCTCTTGTGTTTTTAGAGCGCTCTTATCATGTAGTTTCCCGCCAAGTAAGCCTTGATAGAGCTACCGCTCTTCTATAGTCTCGGCCGATAAATCGGGGTTCCCATGATTTCTTTGGTCGCACCCGTGACAAATTACCAGGCCCCTGCTGCTCCCGTCTTCAGCCGCAGGTGTCTTCTTTGAGAGTAGAGAAGAATCCCTGCCTTGGTTGCCTTGGAAAAGACCTTGTCTGTGGCACAGCACGCACACAGCTGAAATGGCAAAAATCAAGAGGTGAATCAAGTGGAGTCTATTTCAGCTTTGACTCTCTCTGGCTGTATCGGCCCCTGCTGCTCCAACCTTCAGCTGCAGTTGTCTTCTAGGTAGTAGAGAAGAGAGCCATGCCTTGGTTGCTATGGAAGAGACCTTGTTTGTGGAGCACAAGAGCTGAGATGGCAATTACCCCGCGATTTTGTCTTAGAGAGATTTTGCTGGGAGCGACGATTTTCGCTGCACTTTTTTTTTAGGCCGCAGAGCTAATGGACAATCCTGACGCAAACAACTGTACTGGTACGTACTATTTTAATAAAAAATGAGCGGGCGCTATTGCCGGTATCCGGTCATGTATGCCTTAGAGCATGCAACACCGGGGTCACCCATAGCACAAAACCCAAATGGTTGGCATCGAGTGTCGCCGGCCGACCTGAATCGAGTGAGTCAAATGGGTTTGGGCGACCATGTGGATCAATGTGGCTAACCCAAATATCATGTGTTTGGGTGAGCCCAAAGCTGACTCAAAGCTGACTCAAACCCATTTGACTAATTGGATTCAAATTTACTTAGGGGGCAAATCTTCCACATCACAATGACGTCACAATAACATCACAGTAGGTGCGAGGAGGTTCTCTTTTGCGAGCAAGCATAGCCTTGCTGCGAGTATGTAAGCCACCGACCATTTGGGTTTTGTGCTATGGGTGACCCCGGTGTTGCTTGCTCTTGCGGTACTAGTACGGCTTGAGGTACGCCGTACGCTATACCAAATAAGGTACCGGTACCTGGACCATCCGACGGTTTTCACACAGGATTAAAACTTGAAATTTCCACGACTGATGACCGTTTTAAACAATCCCTTAAACAATCCCTTAACTCATCAGCTATCCCTTAAACAATCCCTTAACGCCAAATGGAAGCACCATACAACTATCCCTATTTCTTCAACATCCCCTAAACAATCCCTTAAATAAACAATTCCTTAACCACAAGCCTTTAAATCTTTAACTATCCCTTAAACAATCCTTAAAACAATCCCTTATTTGTGGCGATAAGTTTTTGTCAGTCGTGGAAGATTTTAAGTCCTGAGTGAAAACCGTCGGACGGTCACATTGGTTCATGATGTACAATAAGCGCCAGCCCCGCCAGAGAGGTGTGCTCCTTGATTTTTTATTATTTATTTATTTATTTATTCCTTGCTTCCGTTTCTATTTATTTATTTATTCCTGCTTCCGAGGCGTCGAGGCGTCGAGGCGTCACCGGACTCTAGCTAGTACTACTACAACAAGACCATCTACCACAACAGCAATTACATCTACCACAACAGCAGCAATGACATCTACCACAACAGCAACAGGTCCTGGCATTGGATTGGCTGCCATGCGTCCCAACAGAAAATCCATTTGCTGCCGGTCCTTTCGAAACTACCGACGCCATTGTCTACCAATCGTCTACCAATCGTCTACCAATCCACCTCTACCACTACCGCAACCGATCTGTTGTTGCCAGCTGCTCCTGTTTTTGACTACTCCCTTGATTGCTGCTCTATTTGTTTTGCCTTGAAGTCAGTGCCTACTTCGGTAGGGGCAAGGCTCTTGGCAACAACATACAGCTAGCATTATGGTGAAGTACTCCAAAAGCCATGAGGGCCGAGTCTTTGGTTTGTGTCACCCATATTCCTACCAAGAAATCAGAATCATCGTCTACCAATCCACCGACGACCAACCAACGAATTCATCGCCTTGTTTGATGCCGCCTTCGGGCTACCCGGAGGCTATTTCATTTTATTTTTCTCCTATCAATATAAGTTTCCCCTTGTTTCCAAATTCGAATTATTGTCAATGTCACGTTGCCGACACCATCCATAAAAGCTTGCTTGGATCTTTCGGCAGAGGCAATGAGGCAGTTACCGCGTACTATAATAGTAACATGCAGGTCTCTGGAGTGGTGTTGCACAAGTACATAAAGGTTGATCAAATCAAGGACGGCGACGCCCAGTGAGCTGCGAGAAGTGCGCTATCTCTTCTGCTTCGGAGGAATCAGAGCTCTCTGGGCGCTGGACCCGACGGCGCTGATGACGGCGGGGTGGAGGGCGGTGATTGGTCTCGGTTTCTTCTTCTTCTCGGGCACGGCGTTCTCTGCGTCTTCCACCATTTTGATCACGGGCCGGAGGACGGGCAACAGAAGCAACAGCAGAGCGGCAGCAGGAGCGGCATGAGCAACAGCAGCGACGGGAGCCTCAGCAGACCGATTTGATAGGTCATTGAGAAAGCGCTGGTACCTCCACTGAATATGACGTTGAGAGTGTGACCTCCCTCATCCGTAATGAAGCGAAGTTGTCCATTGGCTGCTGGAATCATACTTGCTTGCATATTGTACAAGTTGAGGGGCGATCATTTGGGATGAAGAAATTTCCTTGGAGGCAAACGAACATGTCGACATCTCCCTGTCCACACAACGACTGATGCCAGTGCGGATGCCTGCAGCAATGGTACCAAGAGTCTCAGTTGATACAGGCTGGGCTTCTCCGACATCTTTGGAAAAGAAAGCAATCTTAACTTGTTCGTTGCAAAGACGATTGTTGGCCATTTTCGGTTTCCTTGTCCTTGAAAAATGACCTCATTTGACCATCTTTCCTGCCCAATTCAATGTCTCCGCGGCAAGTTCTGTTTGAGCAAAGAATTCTCTGTAGGGTTACTCCTTTCATTGCACTTGTCAGAACGTTCTTAGTGAGCCAGATCGGAGCGCTTGAGAGAGAGGAACATTTCAGGGAACATTTCAGGGAAACGTCCAAAGTGGGGCTGATCGACGCCTCACCCCTTTCCTTTCCTCATTATTTTCTCCCTTCAGATAAAGATGAGTGTTACTGACAATGAACTTATTCAAAGTGGATCGTTTGACCCATACAACACGTGGAGGACACTTGTCACTCTCAACCCAGTCGCTGATTTTGATCATATGAGCGAGGAAGAACGGACTGTTGCTATTTGTTTGGAGACGTACGATGGCAAACTTCGAAACTACAGAGGCTCGGTTACTTTTGATCGATTTGCAAACACGGCTTCCTATCACTTTCTCTTGTCCGTCTACCATGTCAAGGATGTCAAGAACCCAGGCGGAAAGACGTTGGAAGAGGAGCTGGCCGATACCATTGATATTATCCCACTCCGTTTGACAAGTCGATTCACGTGGTCGACTGATGCGGAAAAGGTGAAAGGTAAAGAGACCAATGGTCGATGGATTACGCTCTTGTTCAACCGGGATGAAGACGCTCAAACTCCAGACAGCATTAAACAAATTGATTTGATCATTCCCAAATCAAAGACCTCTGACAACGGAAAGCTTCTAGCGCTTGCAGTGGAATGGGCAAAGCACGTTGTGGAGGCCAATGCACTACGCTAAAAGCTAGTGTAAAGATTTCGAGTGTTTTGAGTTTGAGAGAATGAAAGTTATGAGAGAGATTAGAAAGCTATGAAACTAATCAACGAGAGAGATCATCATCAAGGATCGTAGATCTGGCTCACGCGGGAGACTATAAAGTGTGATAGAGTAGGTTGCGGTGTAATCCTACGTATCTCCACGATCCTAAAACGGAACGCGTGGAAGGTTTGTCTAGCATGGATCTAGTAGCGTGGAAGTACTCACGCTGGCTAAATTCTAGAGCGATGTTTCATCATCAACCTAGTATGACAGAGCGGTCATGAGAACCCTGTCTCAAATGGCGACTATTCACGAGAGACTCAGTCATGAGTCGAACTCAAACCCTATCTAGGATCGAGTCGCGAATAAGGCTAAGAGCCGTGTATTGCATTCGCCCCCTGACAAGGGTCACAGAAGGCGCGACAGCAGTCGGACAAGGAGAACATATGATTTAAAGTGCGGGGCACTCTCATGAGATTGGATGTAGACATGTGCGTCGCACGATGGCAATCTACAAGGGGATCAGGCTTGTATGGGTGTATATATACCTTATGTTCCAAGTCTGGTAGACTGTGCCGCCGTTGGCGGTAGCATGTTGGAGCCGTACAGTGCCATTGTCATTGACTCGGTCTATAGTGTAAGGACCTTTGTACTTTGGCTGACCGTACTTGCGGTGCTGATACTGTTGAATCATCACAGTATCGTTGACATTGTATTGATGAGGGACACGCGTTGCGTTTTCCCTATCGTTGTTCTGTTGGATTGTCGTTGGGACGTTCCTTAATGTAATTCCAGTTGGCTTCGAACCGGACGTTGTGAATCGCGTCACGATTGAACAAGCTGTGCGGGCGTTGCGCGCAAGGTGGTATGAATCGTGGCATTCATTGCAAGCGAACCGCCGTGAGGACTCCATCCCAGGATCCATTCACGATCGTCTTGGCACTTGAGTTTTGAACAGCGATCAATTACGTATGGTTTGAACACGCTCGACCATAGAGTTGGCTTGAGGGTTACGCGTAGTGGTGAACTTGGACGAAGTCCATTTCATCCCGGAGTCTTTTCGACCTCTGCGCGGAACTACTCCTCTATCCATATAACCTCAGCAGGCCATGGATACGAGTAAGCCACGTTTGTTCTAGGACGATGGCTACTCGTCTGCTGCCTTGGAGCAGCTCTGCAATCTCGAACCATCCGGTTACGGGATCAATCATTGTCAAGCAATGAAGTGTGCAGGATTCTTTTTCTTAGGATCCCGACGTTGTAAGGACCTATCAGGTCAATACATAGTCTTTCCCAAGGGATTCCTCGCAGTCTTTGGAGGCATCAATCCCAGCTTACGCGTCTTGGGTTTGTTCATCTGGCAGCTTTGCAACGCTGACATACGGCTGCACAGTCTTGCGCATGTTGGCCGGTCTAGATATTTAGCGGACCGGATAAGAAAAAGACCGCACCACCGTAGGATTTAAGGAAACTGGCATTCTCAGATCCAGACTCAAAGCGACCAGCCAGAAAGATCACTTTTTCTTCTCAGCTCGCCAAATCAACAATTAACCTTGATATACTAGTAGCTGCAGTGTTATAGACCCAACACTGAGAAGAAAAAGGTATTGTTTGTATTGAGTTTGCCAATGGTAAAGACCAAAAAGATAGAGTAACCAGGAATTGAACTAGAGTTGCTGAATTACAGTGGCTATCCTCACTATCAGAGCATCCTGTGGGCTCAACAGGAAAAATTTTTCGCTTCACGAGGCTAAAAACAGGAGCACGGAGCATCGGCCGATCAACTTCTCCGACCGATCAGACCAAAACAAGCATCACCAGCGGAGAGAGCGCCTCAAGCCGGTTCAGATTGATGCTTGAAGCAAGGTCATCGGAGCTAAACTGAAGGAGAAATCGCCGATCGCGTGTTTTGGCTACCCACTCTACGAGCAAAGGCCGATCGACGCGATTGAACACAACGACGAACCCAAGAGAGATACAGCTACGGCCGCCTACAGAGATCGAAAGAGGACTTATTGCCGCATATGCCACGACAAGTGCAAGCTCTCAACTCCAAAATTTGAGCGAGATACGACCAAACGAGTCAAACAGTGCTGAAACGACGGGAAGAACAAGTCCCAAGTCGTATCTTGCTCAATTTTTGGAGTTGTGAGCTTGCACTTGTCGTGTCATAGGCGGCAATAGGTCTTCTTTCGATCTCTGTATGCTGCCGTAGCTGTATCTCTTCTTGGTTCGTTCGTCGTTTTCGTTCGGCGCGATCGGCTTTTTCTCGTAGAGTGGGTACCCAACACACGCGATCGGCGGTTACTCCTTCAGTTTAGCTCCGATGACCTTGATTCAAGCATCAATCTGAAACGGCTTGATGCGCTCTCTTCGCTGGTATGCTTGGTTTTGGTGGAATCGGTCGAGAGACTTGGAATCGGCGATGCTCCGTTGTCCTGTTTGTGAGCCTCGTTGAGCGAATTTTCCTGTTGGGCCCACGGGCACCTCTGATAGTGAGGCTAGGCCCTGTAATTCAGCACCTCTAGTTCAATTACTGGTTACTCTATCTTTTTGGTCTTTACAATGGGCAAACTCAATACAAACAATACCTTTTTCTTCTCAGTGTTGGTTCTAATAACACTTCAGCTACTAGTAATATCAAGGTTAATTAGTTGATTTGGGCGATCTGTGAAGAAAAAGTGATTTTTCTGGCTGGTCGCTTTGAGGTCTGGATCTGAGAATGCCAGTTTCCTTTAATTCCTACGGTGGTGCGTTCTTTTTCTTATCCGGGTCCGCTAATATCTAGACCGGCCAACATGCGCAAGACTGTGCAGGTCGTATGTCAGGGTTGCCAAAGCTGCCAGAAGAACAAACCCAAGACGCGTAGCTGGGATTGATGCCTACAAAAACTTGCGAGGAGATCCCTATGTATTGACCTGATACGTCCTTACAACGTCGGGGATCTCAAGAAAAAGAAATTCTGCACACTTCATTGCTTGACAAATGATTTTCCCCGTAACCGGATGGTTCAAGATTGAAGAGATCTGCTCCAAAGCAACAGACGAAGTAGCCATCGTCCTAGAAAAAACGTGGATTACTCGGTAACCATGGCCTGCTGAGAGTAATAATCATGGATAGAGAATGTGAGTTCCGCGCAGAGGTCGAAAGAACACTCCGGGATGAATACAGACTTCGTCGCAAGTTCAACACCACGCGTAACCCTCAAACCAACTCCATTAGTCAGGAGCGGCTCAATCAACATACGTAAACTTGATCGAACTGTATCAAACATCAAAGTGCCAAGCAGACCTCGTGAATGGATCCGGAGATGGAGTCCTCACGGCGAATCGCTTTGCAATGAATGCCACTATTCATACCACCTTGCGCTCAACGCCCTCACAGCTCGTTTTCAATCTTGACGCGATTCACAACGTCCGGTTCGAAGCCACATGGAAGTACATTATAGGAACGTCGCCAACGACTAATCCAACAGAACAACGATTGGGAAACGCGACGGTTGTCCCTCATCAATACAATTCAACGATACCGTGAGGACTTCAACAGTATCAGCCCGCAAGTACGGTCAGCCAAAGTACAAAGTCCTTACACTATAGACCGAGTCAATTACAATTGGCACTGTAGGGCTCCAACATGCTACCGCCAACGGCGCACAGTCTACCAGACTTGGAACATAAGTTATATACACCCATACAAGCACTGATCCCCTTGTAGGATAGCCATCGTGCGCGCACATTTCTACATCCAATCTCCGGAAGGTGCCCCGCACTTTAATCATATGTTCTCCTTGTCCGACTGCTGTCGCGCCTTCTGTGACCCTTGTCAGGGGGCGAATGCAATACACGGCTCTTAGCCTTATTCGCGACTCGATCCTAGATAGGGTTTGAGTTCGACTCATGACTGAGTCTCTCGTGAATAGTCGCCATTTGAGACAGGGTTCTCAATGACCGCTCTGGTCATACTAGGTTGATGATGAAACATCGCTCTAGATATTTAGCCAGCGTGGAGTACTTCCACGCTACTAGATCCATGCTAGACAAACCTTCCACGCGTTCCGTTTTAGGATCGTGGAGATACGTAGGATTACTACCGCAACCTACTCTATCACACTTTATAGTCTCCCGCGTGAGGCCAGATCTACGATCCCTTGATGATGATCTCTCTCGTTGATTAGTTTTCATAGCTTTCTAATCTCTCTCATAACTTTCATTCTCTCAAACTCAAAACACTCGAAAGATCTTTACACTAGCTTTTAGCGTAGTGCATTGGCCTCCACAACGTGCTTTGCCCATTCCACTGCAAGCGCTAGAAGCTTTCCGTTGTCAGAGGTCTTTGATTTGGGAATGATCAAATCAATTTGTTTAATGCTGTCTGGAGTTTGAGCGTCTTCATCCCGGTTGAACAAGAGCGTAATCCATCGACCATTGGTCTCTTTACCTTTCACCTTTTCCGCATCAGTCGACCACGTGAATCGACTTGTCAAACGGAGTGGGATAATATCAATGGTATCGGCCAGCTCCTCTTCCAACGTCTTTCCGCCTGGGTTCTTGACATCCTTGACATGGTAGACGGACAAGAGAAAGTGATAGGAAGCCGTGTTTGCAAATCGATCAAAAGTAACCGAGCCTCTGTAGTTTCGAAGTTTGCCATCGTACGTCTCCAAACAAATAGCAACAGTCCGTTCTTCCTCGCTCATATGATCAAAATCAGCGACTGGGTTGAGAGTGACAAGTGTCCTCCACGTGTTGTATGGGTCAAACGATCCACTTTGAATAAGTTCATTGTCAGTAACACTCATCTTTATCTGAAGGGAGAAAATAATGAGGAAAGGAAAGGGGTGAGGCGTCGATCAGCCCCACTTTGGACGTTTCCCTGAAATGTTCCCTGAAATGTTCCTCTCTCTCAAGCGCTCCGATCTGGCTCACTAAGAACGTTCTGACAAGTGCAATGAAAGGAGTAACCCTACAGAGAATTCTTTGCTCAAACAGAACTTGCCGCGGAGACATTGAATTGGGCAGGAAAGATGGTCAAATGAGGTCATTTTTCAAGGACAAGGAAACCGAAAATGGCCAACAATCGTCTTTGCAACGAACAAGTTAAGATTGCTTTCTTTTCCAAAGATGTCGGAGAAGCCCAGCCTGTATCAACTGAGACTCTTGGTACCATTGCTGCAGGCATCCGCACTGGCATCAGTCGTTGTGTGGACAGGGAGATGTCGACATGTTCGTTTGCCTCCAAGGAAATTTCTTCATCCCAAATGATCGCCCCATCAACTTGTACAATATGCAAGCAAGTATGATTCCAGCAGCCAATGGACAACTTCGCTTCATTACGGATGAGGGAGGTCACACTCTCAACGTCATATTCAGTGGAGGTACCAGCGCTTTCTCAATGACCTATCAAAATCGGTCTGCTGAGGCTCCCGTCGCTGCTGTTGCTCATGCCGCTCCTGCTGCCGCTCCTGCTGTTGCTTCTGTTGCCCGTCCTCCGGCCCGTGATCAAAATGGTGGAAGACGCAGAGAACGCCGTGCCCGAGAAGAAGAAGAAACCGAGACCAATCACCGCCCTCCACCCCGCCGTCATCAGCGCCGTCGGGTCCAGCGCCCAGAGAGCTCTGATTCCTCCGAAGCAGAAGAGATAGCGCACTTCTCGCAGCTCACTGGGCGTCGCCGTCCTTGATTTGATCAACCTTTATGTACTTGTGCAACACCACTCCAGAGACCTGCATGTTACTATTATAGTACGCGGTAACTGCCTCATTGCCTCTGCCGAAAGATCCAAGCAAGCTTTTATGGATGGTGTCGGCAACGTGACATTGACAATAATTCGAATTTGGAAACAAGGGGAAACTTATATTGATAGGAGAAAAATAAAATGAAATAGCCTCCGGCGTAGCCCGAAGGCGGCATCAAACACAGGGCGATGAATTCGTTGGTTGGTCGTCGGTGGATTGGTAGACGATGATTCTGATTTCTTGGTAGGAATATGGGTGACACCAAACCCAAAGACTCGGCCCTCATGGCTTTTGGAGTACTTCACCATAATGCTAGCTGTATGTTGTTGCCAAGAGCCTTGCCCCTACCGAAGTAGGCACTGACTTCAAGGCAAAACAAATAGAGCAGCAATCAAGGGAGTAGTCAAAAACAGGAGCAGCTGGCAACAACAGATCGGTTGCGGTAGTGGTAGACGGTGGATTGGTAGACGATTGGTAGACGATTGGTAGACAATGGCGTCGGTAGTTTCGAAAGGACCGGCAGCAAATGGATTTTCTGTTGGGACGCATGGCAGCCAATCCAATGCCAGGACCTGTTGCTGTTGTGGTAGATGTCATTGCTGTTGTGGTAGATGTCATTGCTGTTGTGGTAGATGGTCTTGTTGTAGTAGTACTAGCTAGAGTCCGGTGACGCCTCGACGCCTCGACGCCTCGGAAGCAGGAATAAATAAATAAATAGAAACGGAAGCAAGGAATAAATAAATAAATAAATAAATAGAAAATCAAGGAGCACACCTCTCTGGCGGGGCTGGCGCTTATTGTACATCATGAACCAATGTGACCGTCCGACGGTTTTCACTCAGGACTTAAAATCTTCCACGACTGACTAAAAACTTGATCGCCACAATTAAGGGATTGTTTCTTAAGGGATTGTTTAAGGGATAGTTAAAGATTTAAAGGCTTGTGGTTAAGGAATTGTTTATTTAAGGGATTGTTTAGGGGATAGTTGAAGAAATAGGGGATAGTTGTATGGTGCTTCCATTTGGCGTTAAGGGATTGTTTAAGGGATAGCTGATGAGTTAAGGGATTGTTTAAGGGATTGTTTTAAACGGTCATCAGTCGTGGAAATTTCAAGTTTTTAAAATCCTGTGTGAAAACCGTCGGATGGTCCAGGTACCGGTACCTTATTTGGTATAGCGTACGGCGTACCTCAAGCCGTACTAGTACCGCAAGAGCAAGCAACACCGGGGTCACCCATAGCACAAAACCCAAATGGTCCGTGGCTTGACATACTCGCAGCAAGGCTATGCTTGCTCGCAAAAGAGAACCTCCTCGCACCTACTGTGATGTTATTGTGACGTCATTGGTGATGTGGAAGATTTGCCCCCTAAGTAAATTTGAATCCAATTAGTCAAATGGGTTTGAGTCAGCTTTGAGTCAGCTTTGGGCTCACCCAAACACATGATATTTGGGTTAGCCACATTGATCCACATGGTCGCCCAAACCCATTTGACTCACTCGATTCAGGTCGGCCGGCGACACTCGATGCCAACCATTTGGGTTTTGTGCTATGGGTGACCCCGGTGTTGCATGCTCTAAGGCATACATGACCGGATACCGGCAATAGCGCCCGCTCATTTTTTATTAAAATAGTACGTACCAGTACAGTTGTTTGCGTCAGGATTGTCCATTAGCTCTGCGGCCTAAAAAAAAAGTGCAGCGAAAATCGTCGCTCCCAGCAAAATCTCTCTAAGACAAAATCGCGGGGTAATTGCCATCTCAGCTCTTGTGCTCCACAAACAAGGTCTCTTCCATAGCAACCAAGGCATGGCTCTCTTCTCTACTACCATAGAAGACAACTGCAGCTGAAGGTTGGAGCAGCAGGGGCCGATCACAGCCAGAGAGAGTCAAAAGCTGAAATAGACTCCACTTGATTCACCTCTTGATTTTTGCCATTTCAGCTGTGTGCGTGCTGTGCCACAGACAAGGTCTTTTCCAAGGCAACCAAGGCAGGGATGTCTTCTCTACTCTCAAAGAAGACACCTGCGGCTGAAGACGGGAGCAGCAGGGGCCTGGTAATTTGTCACGGGTGCGACCAAAGAAATCATGGGAACCCCGATTTATCGGCCGAGACTATAGAAGAGCGGTAGCTCTATCAAGGCTTACTTGGCGGGAAACTACATGATAAGAGCGCTCTAAAAACACAAGAGCAAGCATCATCGGTCTGTTATTCGTGGAGATTCATCCATTGGCAGAGGGGTGAATTTTGAGGGGATACGAGAAGATCTGTGCCAAGAACTCGTGCTGGTAGGCTGCTACAATAATCGAGCACGAGCAACAACAAACATCGAGATTTCGGCTTCAGCTGATCGTTTGGTTGGGCGTACGTACAGTAGCTACCGGTACAATTGCCAAGCAAATGAATAGATCTATCATGCTTCTCCCTCAGGACGAGACGAAACTAGTTTTCAAGGATTTGTTGAACCAGATACAACCCAAAGCCCTTATGATTGATACCTCTAATTCATTATTACCAACTAATATTGACCCGTCGGTACAGTTCTTGTGTGAGAAATACCGTCGGTACAGTCTCCCTCTCCTGTGAGAAATACCCGTCGGTACAGTCTCTCTCCTGTAACCCGATGTAGCAATAACCATGGATAGAACCTTTCATCCATTGGTGGATAGGAGTGAATTTCGTGGAATGTCCGTGTGGCAAGAGTGTTGCATTCATATGAAATCGGAGCCAATTGGATATCTCTGATAGTGAGGCTACGTAGGGACTCCCACAGAAGCACCTCTTCGTGAGCCCACTCTGCGGAATATTCCTCTAAATTCAGTCCTAATTGCCGATGGATGAATCTCCATCATTTCTTGACCAAATTGACTTCCTCTTGTTGGTATAGAGAGCTTCAACACTCGTCTAGACATCCCTGATAGCCGCTTTGAACCTACCACTCATTCATAGTGTCGGACGATCTGTGATCTGTGCTGTCGACGATTTCTTTGGTTGCACTTCGTCTTTGCTTTCCTGTTGGCCCTTGATATCTAGTTCCACTCCACTGGGAACCTGTTCCGTCGACTGTCACTTGTTGCTTCGGTTGACTTGTCGCTAGCAATTCCTTGGCCATCATCACCAGCACTGCCCCTCGAACAACGATGGGGTGGCATGGTGTCCAAATTACCAGAAAAACACAATTTCAGCTCTGGACTCTCTCTGGCTGTAATTGGCCCCTGATGCTCCATTCTTCAGCTGCAGTTGTCTTCTATGGTAGTAGAGAAGAGAGCCATGCCTTGGTTGCTATGGAAGAGACCTTGTTTGTGGCACAAACGCCAACAGTTTGAAACAATGGCAGAAAGAAGAGGCAAACTGAGTGGAGTCTATTTCAGCTTTTGACTCTCTCTGGCTGTACAGGCCTTCTACTGATCCCATCTTCAGCTGCAGATGTCTCCTGTGATAGTAAGGATCACAACAGTATGCTGGTTGTATTGGAAGGTTGGCTATGGCAGAAGCAACAGGGACAAGTTCTAAATGATTGCTCATGGTGTCTTGGTGCGGACATGGCTGCTTTGCTGCAATTTTTTTTTAAAGCGGGAAAGCTAATGGACAATTTTGCGGGGAACAACTGTACATGTACCGGTTCGGGTTAGACGCACACTTGCCTCTATTTTGTGTTCTCGGAGCCCAAGTCTCGCTTCGTCTCGTTTTCAGTGTTTTTGCTTGCCTTTGTGCGAGGGCGACGCTATTTCAAGATTGCAACCAGTCCAGGTGAAACAAGAGGCGGAAAGGCACTCCTTTGTCTCGAAATGCAAGCAACGATGTCGTCGCGGTCCTCGCAATTCGCCCCCTCTCTCCGCGCGAAGACGGCTTCGAATCGACTACCACCCGCGGAGGCGGTGACGAACAATGGCCCGATGTACGAATACTATGAAGAACACCAGTACACCAATAAAGACGAAGCAACGAACGACCTGTCACTCAATCGTTCGACCATGCCAGCAGCGAGTGACGAAAGAATGCCGGCAGCCGCTGCTGGAATCGACCACCATGCAATGCGCATGGCTCCACCGGCAGAATCTAGTACCGACGACCACGATGACAATGACATCCACGACGACGACGACGACGACGACGACGACGACGACAAGAAGAAGAAACGACGCTACGAGCAGCTCTTACAAGAGTCGGCTGGATGGATCGAGGAACTCCAAGACGTCAAATGGGGACTCCAAGTGGCTTCTATGCACAACACGATTCAGTTGGACTTGATGGCTATGCAGGGATTGGACGAAAAGCCCGAAGAAGCCGATGCCTTGATAGTCATGATGGCTCGTCACCAGCAAGAGAATGGTCTGGGGCCGTAGTTTACCAAGAGCGAGGAGCCAATGTCGTGAACTAGACGAGAGATGTGTCCAATGGCTTCTCCATCGATGGATCGGCTCAAGGGCAAGAAAAAGCAAGAAGATTGAATCGTCCTTGGGCTGGCGTTGCTTGGTTCGATGCTCTGGATGATTCTAGATCACTCGCATCATGCCTAGTTGACGTACATACTAGTGTGACCCTGTCTACCGGTACGAGAAGAATCTGCTACTGTACCGTACAGTCGTAGCTTGTGTAGCAGCAATCACTAAAAAAATCTAGTGCTTCTACAGTACCTTCCGACTGCATGTCGTGTAACGTCTGGTGTGGACTTGTTGTATTATGGTTATGGCTACATGTTGAGTACGGCATTGAAGGATATCCCGTTCATTTCATTGACAATATCCTGGACTTGCAAGACCGTCTCGACCGTGTAGTGCGCCGATACATTCCCTCGTCGTGCATTCAAAGGTCGTATCCGGCACGTCATCATGCCCAGATCTTTGGCTTCTCTGAGAAATGAGTCTTGATCACTGACAAACAGAATGACCTTGGGATCCAGAGCTAATTTCTCCAGTGTTGTTTTCACCATGGAGGCTTCTTGGCTGTTGTCGTTCTTGGGAAGCTCAATGAGGACATCAAAGACAACATCTTTTAGCTGCTTGGTCAAGTCCACCATTTGTTGTGGATGGCTATCCGCATTGTTGGGACGCGGCAACAAGGCAATTTTCATGGACCGATGCGTCAGTGTGCTGAGGAGATTGCCCGTACCCGTGAGTGCCATCCACCGACTTGCTCCAGAAGATTGTTGTGGCTGGCCCATGGCAATTTTGCGTGCCGCCCAATGTCCTTCGGCATCTCCTCGTTTCAGTGCTTCGTCTCGTTGATAGTTGAGTAATTCGACGCTCGCAATGCCACCATCGACTCCCTTTTTGTGCAATTTGTTGGCATATTTGGCACGGATATCTTGTAGCGACTTGGGAATGCCTTCCGATTTCTTATTGTCGCTGTTTTGTTGATTTCTACTCTTGTTGCTTTGCCCCTCTTTCTTTCCTATCAGCGCCGACAAGTCATCCTCTTCTTCGGATGATATTCTCTGGATAACGCCATCTTGACCGCTGAGATCGACCTTTAATAGACTGGCCACTTCTTCAATGCGGGTCGTGTCCGGTGTGATGACGGTCGTCGTACTGGACTGGATCTTGGGGGATGATGATGTTGTTGTTGTGACAGCAGGTGACAAATCGTCTTGATCATGATGAATGGCCTTTACCAACAACTCAAAATCAAAGGCGACGGCTTGGACTTTGCTGTTTTTGCTGGCATTTTGTAATCGCACATTGTTCTTGGTCGTGGCGGCTCCGGGAGCCCCTCCCATGTCCAGCATGCGACTATAACTGCTCTTGGGGCCAGTAGACGCATGGTAGGATCGAACGGATACTACTCGTTGATGTGCCAAACGAAAGAGTCGAACATGACGGCATGGCGATGACGAATGAGCCAACATCATCATCATCATGGTCTGATGTTCAAGACGGCCTCTTGCTTTTGTGATTGATTTTGGAGTTGGTGTTTGCTGCACGAGTGCGGGCTTCTTAAAAGAGAGGTGTTTCAGCAGCGTGCTCTCAAAAGATCTCCACCGAAACGCGAAGAGCATCCATGGCAACAACACCAAGCATGGACAATGATCAGAACAGTCGACGGCTGTATCGTGTCTCTGCGAGCCTACCTTGAGTTGCTTGCTTGACTGCCTTTAGCATCCAACATCTACCTCCACTGATTTTCTGTTACCTATTGTCAAGCCAAGTTTTCTCAACAGATCAACGGCTGCTATTAATACCATCCCCTCCGTCCAATTTTCTTCCTCCTCTCATTCATTTCATCCGTCCATTCAATCCAAATTTCTTGAATCTTGAATGATAACCATGTCTAATCCGAAACACTTTGACATTTCTCACTTACCGTCCATAAAGGCTGGCATGACGGCCGAGGAAGAAAACACGCATCGGCGAAAGACGTGTCGCTTTATTGAAGAAGCAGGACGGATCCTCAAGCTACCCAATTTGGCCAATGCTACCGCCATGGTCTTTTTTCACCAATTCTACGCCAAGTACTCCTTCATGGAACACGATCGATTCGAAGTGGCCGTCGCCTGTGTCCTATTGGCTGCCAAAATTGAAGAGTCGCCCAAAAAGCTCATGGAAATCATTACCCGATGTCTCGAATTGAAACGGGGAGGTACGTGATTACAGTACAGACATTAATGACATGACCGCAACAATTTATTGAATCTATCTTACATACAGTGCCGTCTATATATCTTTGCTGCAATTTCTATTTTCTTCTTGGGTATAATTCACACGACAATCAACTAATATCTAACTCATTTCACGTAACAACACAGCCGGTAAAGAAAGAGGCGAAGTGGTATCGGTGGACCCCAAGAGTTCCGAATTTGTCAAACTCAAAGAAAGCGTCCTTCTGTTGGAACGTGTCGTTCTGCATACTATTGGATTCGAATTGAGTGTCGACCATCCCTACAAATTTCTACCCGACATTATTCAAAAACTCACCACGCAATACGATCCCTCCAAACGAAAAACCATGTTTGAAGAACTCATGGGATACTCCATGACATTTGTCAAGGACTCCATTCACACCACACTCTGCCTTCAATTCCCTCCACAACTCATTGCCACCGCATGTGTCTACATGGCGGGACATTTTGCCAAGGTACAACCCAAAAAATCTTGGTTGGACGCACTGGGAATGCACGACAATGAAGTCGATGCACTGAGTTCCATTTGTGGACAAATTATGGACTTGATTGTCGATCGACGGGGGACTGATGTCGAAGCATTCAAGGGAATTCGGGCCAATCTAGAACAACTCAAAGGAACAGCAGCATCTGCTGGGAGTGCCAGTCCAGCGCGATCTCCCGCCAGTCCCCGACCACCTCCGCCGCCACCGTCCGGTGCCAAACATAGAGCACCATCGGAAGACTCGTCGGCGTCATCGAAACGGCGACGAACCACGTGAATAACTACACTACATACATGTAACAAGCCAACTAAATTCATACCACCAAACTGTTGGCACTCTAGGAAGATGCAGTAGTCACGGCCTGGGCATTTGCACATCCCCCACTCAAACCATCATGTCTCACCAGTTCGTCCCTCCTTTATACAAGCAACTGAGCCCGTCCTGAGGTTTCGTATGCCATCAAGCCTCCTTGCGGTCCTCCTGGCATTGCTGAGAGGGGGAGAGTGGGTTGTATTGGATGGAATGGACAACTCGTGACTGTCATTTGTTCAGTCACGGTGAACCCTCCATGCATTTGTATCAAATCGAATGCTTTAGACTACTGTAACCATGGCGTTGACCTTGACGATGCTGCCCGAGGAAGTGCTGGAGCATATGCTCTCGTTTGCCTCCATGAAAGCAATCGTGTCATTTCGGGCAACCAATGCTGCCAACAAGAAGGCAACCGACGAAGAAATCCAACGTCGATGTGACCTCATCGGACGAGAGCTCTCCGACCATCGATGGATCCATGATCCCAGCATTGAAACAACACTTGGTCTCGAGCATCCTCCTAGCAAAGAATTCCTCTTTGAACAAGTCGCCAAGATGGTGTTTACGGACACGGATTCGCAGCAGGAGATGATTGTGGACTTGCAAGCCAACTTTGATGACTCCAATAATCGCTCGACGCTGTCAGGAGGCAATGACGACCAGACATGGAACTGGAAGGTCGATCTGCAGCATTCACTGCCAGTGACAAAACAAGAGGCGCTGGCATTTGTACGACAAGGCCGCCAGTATCCAAGCAGCCGCGAGAACGAGAGTCCGTGCCACAAACTTTCGGCAGAACTGCGCGCCATGGCTGGACTTGAGGATTTGGGAGACGCCGCCTTTTTGCTCGTGCTGCAAAAAGCCGATCACTCGACGCTACGCACTTCGACGTTTGAATACCAGTTCCAAGAGCAATGTTCCAGCAGTTGTCGCTGGGAGCACACGTGTGGGGCAGGTTGTCTCGCCTTTCGAACCGTCGGAGGCCACGACATGGTGTTGTGGTACCGATATTTGGTGAGAAGCTTTGTGAGTACGTAGTTCGTTGCCTGCCAATTGACACACGGAAACGGAGGTTTGAGACTCGTGGGAAGACGAGATTGGCGCGTCCAAGCAACAAAGTACGAGGACAGATGCATTTCATGGCAGTGTCGAGCAGTCGAAGTGGAGCCACGGTTCGCTGACATCTCCTGTACGAGAACCTGTACTGGTGCATTCTTCGTACACCACCATTGTCCCATCGGGCAACCGAGCGCTGCTTTCCTATAGTACTCAAATGATACTGTACCGGTATTCCCTGGTTGTCCTGTGAAAGCCTACGAACGATTCAATCTTACTACTTCAACCAACAAAACTAGGACCGATAGCTTGCTTTTCTGTACATGTACTGCTTCTCTGGCACGCTGCAACGCTGCAATGTTCTTTGTGTATTTTCATACGTCGCTTTGTATTCTGTTCTCCGTTGCAACGCCGATCGAGGAGGAAACATCTACATCCTCTTCTATGGGTATCGAGTTTAAGAGCCGTTGTGCTACACCGTTCAGGTGCAGCAGGCCCAAAACGGCAACCACTCGCCCCGGCGAACTGTCATTGTCGGGTGATTGTTGCTGGCTACTTGCGTTTGAATCCTTCTTGGCCAATCGACAAGCAGCTTGTATCCCTCGTGTCAATTGATCGTCTCGTTCAGCCAAGATAACCTTAGTTACGGGTACTGCCAAAAAGGAATAGGAAAATGTCAGCATAAAAGTCAAAATTGCCACATGTGGAAGTGCATCCAGTGCATAGGCCAGTGGATCTATCGCTAATGGGGACGGTATCAGTGGCACCATGGGTTGAACTCCTTCGTCTGTAATCATTGTCATCATGGTTTCTCCTTGTTCTTGTGGCAGTGGGAATATGAATTCATTGACGACCGTCAGTGCAATCTGCGTAAGCAGAATAGGTGGGAACAGCAATCTGGACAATTCCAGAATGACGGCCATGTTGCGTGTCATGACTTGTCCCACATTGATCTGATACTGTGACCCTAGAGTGGGATTTCCAACCAAGGCAGTCTGTAGTGCCGCGGCCATTTGCCCCCACTGTGTTTGTTCCAGGGATGTGCTGCAACTCAGAACCTCTTCCATCATGTTTTGGGCCAATCTCGGCACTTTTCCCACTTTTTCAATCGTCACATCCACCACTTGATCTGCCAGGATGATATCACAATGCTTTGGGTTGGTTGTAGATTGTTGCTGTTGTTGAGATAGTTCCAATGCCGTGGTAAATTCCAATCCAGGCGTAAATCCACTCAGCGCAGTCTGCAGGCCACTAACACCACCCAGTATTCCAGTAGCGACTCCAGTCGAGAGTCCTTTGGTACGTGCCGTGTCTCGAACGACTTGCAAGAAACGAATCAATCGAGGAGGAGTATTGGTATCCTTTGCTTCCATGGTGCTATTATCCGCTGCCCGTCGCAAATCGGCAAAGCGAGAGGCGCACAGTTCCAACACAATGGCATCAGGATGTGGAACTGCCAAGATTTCTCGTTCCACATCGTTGGCCGAAGAAGGCGATCCATGAAAGCATCCGATCAGAACCACTTCACAGCCCGTCTCGGGATCAATCAACTCAATGCTGCTTCGTTCCGTCGAAGCATAGCCAAGACGTGTGCTTCGACGAAGAAGTGGTACCAGTAATGGACTACTTCCAAAGGCAGAAGAATAGTTGGTTCTAACCAGAGCGATCACAACGGCAAACAACCGAGATAATTGGAACTGTTGCTGTCTCATGGTCGGTCTTTTAATAGCAGGATAATGAAGCATGGATCCAAGGAAGAATACTAGTACGATGCCGTGGTGCTTCATTCTTCACCTTCAAGTTGCCGCCAGATCATGCATGCCCTCCTTTCAAAACCTCGTTAGGGTTACGTTTACCTGTGCTCGGATCGTACTGATGGCAGGCAACAGGAACCCTAAGACACGCCTGAGATTGCTCCAACTTCCACAAGCGGCAAGTCACAAGTAGCCATTACATCATAGAGAAGCTGCAAGTCACCAGTAGCCTTTTCATCATAGACTCACTGGTCCTTGAGGTATCCACAGTGCTCCTCACAGGCCTTGTTTGCAGCTGTCTCTGCAATGGATTCACCAAGGCAGATGGATGCTGGGGAACTGCTTGTATGGAAAAGCTTGGGCTCAGTCTCAAGAACCTTCCATGCCATTCATTTCCAAATTCATCAGTATCAGTCATGACAGTTCCATTGCTGGCAAACCATTACAGGTTCCAAACTCTCCCAAAATACCCTGGAAGCTACCATGCTGCCACCAGACTCCTCAAAGATGGCACCAACAGCCTTGACACTGACACAGTCCTTGAAAGATTGAACAACAATCTGCTTTCCTTCTCCAAGCTCAAGAGTGGAAATGACCTTCTCAAGGGTGCAAAATGGCGAGGCAGAACAGAACCTGACTGCACCGAAGACTCCCGTATTCAAAAGTTAGGTGCTACTTTACAGTTAGTTAGGGCTCCAAAGCGTGTCACTCATTTGCTTTGGAGACAGCTGGCATCCCTTCTTGTCTTTTCTTCGTTTGTAGCCTTTGAATTCATACCGCCAGTCATCACCTGCATAAATAATCTCATAGTCTCCAAGTGACTCAATCGGCAACAAGTTTGCCTTTGCATCCTTTTCTTGCTTGTCAGCAATTTCTTCAACAATGTTGACCATGGGACGAAAGAGGCTTCGAAACATGTCAATTCGGAAATCAAGACTCTGCCCCAGTCCTGGGCTTGATTGAGCTTCGAGATAGTAAACATCCAAGTCAGCATCAATGATGAAGTCAGACCCATAAAAGGCGAAATTGTTCTCTGTTGTCACTTTGGTGTCTTCTGTTTTTCCAGTTAAGGAATCCTTAAAGGCTTCCACCGTTGCACTAAGGGCCTCTTTGATCTGATTCCGCACATGCCTGACAGGGTCATCACCTACAATCAGTTGAGACAGCCTTTCATAGTTGGCAGCATAATGCTCTCTTACTCTTCGCCAAAGTGCATCCCACAGAACATCCTCATCGGTGGGTTGTCCCATCTCCTTTCGAAACTGATGGTTGGTCAAATGCTGCCCTGTGGATCCCCAGTCTGATTCATTGTACATGGCCCCAGCAACACGGGCGTAACCATCATGATAGAGGACTATCAACGGGTCTACACTGGCAACAAGCCAATAGAACCTCAGATCAAACTTTTTGCCATTGAACCATGTCAGCTCATTGCAGACATAGGACTGCACAATGTAATTGTGGTCATCATCTTCCTTGGCTCTAGCTGTTGCAGTATAGAGTGCTTCGGAGTCTGGTGGTAGCATCTCAATTCCACGGCCATTGTTGATGTCTGCCTTTTTCAATACCCAGGGTCGATTGCGTCCCAGCTTTTTTTCTTCCAGAATTCTTGCCTCAAACTTTCGACGATCCTTGGTGTGTTCCAGCTGATAGGTTTCTGGAAGAAAGTAAATGAGATCTCGGCCATCATTGTGAGTGGCATCATATTGTTTTTGCAACGTGCGAAACCCGGCTTGAAAGGAGTCCTTCTGTCCCATTTTTTTACTACACCCTGGAATGCGACTGAAGCGCTGCCATGGCTGACCCACAGCATAATCCTTGTTACTTTGTGTTTTCCGTTTGTACAAGAATCGGTATGTCGCAATGGCTGCCTTGTCGTCCCAACTGTATTCATCTCTGTCGTTGGCATACCACCCTTGAGATCGAAAGGCACGAATCACATGGGTATCTTTGGCAAAACCAGCCCAAGCACGCTTGCGGAATTCGGGAGGACAAGGTGTGTAATAGCTACGACTTCCGTGAACCATAAGATCCGGAGGAGGTCCATCGTCTTCAACAATGCTGGTGTGCCGTGGTATGGATAGCAATCGCAATGACATCGAGGAAGTTGTGGTGGAGGGAGAGAGGACAAAAACCAACACCCCAGCTAGGACCAGAACACTAGGGACAGTGGCACAACGCAAAAGCGCCACAAAGCGGTATGATCTTCGGTTTTGCCTATCCTCCACATCAGTCGGTATTGTGGAGGGAAGATTGCAACAGTGTTCATCCCACTTCTTCTCGACAGCATTGCTTCGTAGGCGCATCTTCGTGCTCAATTAGTTGCTCTGTGATTGGTACGATGGATTTTTCTTGATCGAAGCCGAGGGGTGTTGTGTGGCTCATTTTTCTGCAAACTTGAAAAGAACTTACTCTGAGGATCTGCATGGGAGTGGTGAGGCAGCAACTGGCGAGAAATGCGTGCGAGGATCTGGCGAAGTTTAGAAAAGCAAAAGGAAACCCTCCCCCGAGACCTGGGGGCCCTCATCCAGCTTTGAAAGCTTAAACGCAGACCCCAACATTCACCATGTTGTGCGAGGATCTGGCAAGGTTTATTAGAAAGCAAAGACAATGGAAACCTCCCCAGAGACCTTGAGCCCTCATCAAACAAACGGGGGTTTAGGGTCGGTGGGTTCAGACCATCTGCCGAGTCTGCACTCTTGCGTCCCTCGCCATTGCAATGCCTCTTCCAAACCAACCAATCCCTAATTCTGTTCACTTATATTAGCACCTTAGAAACATCTGACACTGAAGTTCAGGACCTCGGCGAACTTTTTCAATCATTGAACTGGCTGGTTGTCATCCACATCTAAGCTAGGAATGGCCATGGGTTGGTTTGGATCAAAAGGATCCCAGTGAACGAATATTCTCGTCAAAATCATGGAATATTGCCTTGAGATTGGTCATGATGCTCTTGCTTTCCAATTCCAGTTGGAAACAGAGCGTCTCAGGTTGGCTGGCCAGAAACCGCGCGGACGAGTTGATCAAGTTGGCTGGGCTGGCCTGTATATCCGATGGGATTTTGCAGCACGCCGCAATGAGCCGACCAATGTCCTGCTCAAAGTTCTGTTCTTCTTCTTCCAACTCCCGTATACTCTTGTACATTTGGATGAGTCGTCTTCCCGACTTGATCATGAATCTGCCAGTAGAGACAAGAGGAAACATGCTGGTTTCGCCCCGAACGCCAAAATCCAAGAGGGCCGCTGTGTCGTTGCAAACGCCCAAGACACCGTATCCTCCAAATGGTAGATCTGATCCTAATGCGTTGAATGTGACAGCGAGAATACCTGCCAACTTCATGGCCAACAGAGTTTGAGGCAAAGTGTACACGTCGGTGGTCGATGTGTCCTGAAGCCATGGAACAGCTGCATTGTGATTGGAGTGCCATCCGCACATTCCCTCTATTGCCATGTAAAACTGAATGTCGAGATTTCGATTTTTTCCAGCGGGGTCCTTGCCAATCAAAGGTCCTGTAATATGCAGATCCATGCCGCCATGGGGCATCACATATTGGGCCATGCGATCATCTTTGCTTTCATACCCCGAGCGCAGAAAGAGCCCGATAGGGACGTTGGTCCAGCCGTCCTTTTCCTTGACACACAGAGCCACTCCAAAAGATGTAATGTGAGACCGTGGGCACATTTCCACATGGTGACCTGCATCCAAGAGCGCCTGCAAAAAGCTCTGAGGACAGATTACTGCTTTCGCGTTTGCACTTTCGTCCATTTTCACAACAAACAAGTCCGATTCTTTCTGTTCTCTCTTGTAGTAGTTATAGGATAGTTTGTTGAATAAGACACACATGAGCCGATTGGCAACAATTTCTCGTTTGGTATGTGTACATTGAGCGTCGCCCCATCCCAAATGGAGATCCGGCAGTAGCCGTTCATTAATGGGCGACGGCTCTGGGAAGGAACGATCCTCGGGGTCATACTCGACCATGCTCTCCCTAGCCTCGGCATTGGGAGTATCCGGGAAGGTTGTTGTATCACCTGATTTCAGGAGTGATTCCAAGCCTTCAATGGCCGCGTGCCAGTGAAGCGAGACAACAAAGGGATTTGGTATCAAGTCCGGACTCTTCTCGGTGTTGTCTTTGTCGTCAGATTCATTGTTCTCTTCCTCATTGGCCAGTGGCTTTCCAAACGTTGGTGAATACCCCACTTCTCCCCTTCGCATCCACTCCAGGGACTTGACCTCCATCATGGAAGGCACAAATTTCTCATTGAGATTGGCAAATGCAACCATTTCGCTTAGATTCAAGGGCAGAGTCCCAGCATCCTGGAGTAGCTGTTGTTTTTTCTGTTCCAGATGATCTCGGACCACATAATGTGATACCCACCAACTGGCAATCGAAGTGGCAATTTTGGCGGTTCTGGATTGGATATCCGTAATGCCCAGCAACGGCAGAACGGCGCCTCCAAATCGCCGGCCCAACGCACGCAAAAGAACTGCGCCAATGGTCGTCTCGAGTTCCATCTCTATGAATTGGGGTAGCTTGCCACCAAATCCTTTATCATCTTCGTTTTCATTGGAAGATCCGGGCAAGGAAGGCCGAAGGGAGGTCAAGTATTCGCCGAGACTCATGAGCTTCCATCTGTCTCGGTGGAGTTTGACAAATTTCTCATTGAGTTCCAGGCATCGGATTTCTCGGAGAGGCCCTCCTCGTGATGACAAACGTTCTTTACTGTTCTCACCACCCGAGATGGCATCCACCAGGGTCGGATCCCGCACCATGATCCCCTGATGAGACAGCTTGTCTTCAATCTGATCCAGACGACGACGGATCGACTTTCGATACCGATAGGCGTAGGTGATTGGAACCAAAGCCAAGATCCCAGCTCCAATCCAGATCGTTCGCCACACTGTCGCATCGTTCCAAATTCTCTCGAAGGATTCCATTCTGTCTACTATTTGGTTTGATAGAATTGTCGAGTTGATATCCGAGTTTCTATCGGTATAACCCAGAGGTCGTCCAGCAGAAGGAGATGCCGCGAACTCACCTGGAAGACCCCAATGAGAATTGACCCGGAATGGCAATAAGTTCGGGACAAACAGACACAGCTCTTGCAGCTGCTGCAAGACGGTTGGGAGGCAAGACCATCTCTCATCAAGATGCCCCCACAAAAGCTAGACCTAGTCTAATACAGTGAGGAAGTGCCGTTGGATCCATTCCTCAATCAAAAATATCCAAGATTGAAGATTCAGTTGTTGCCGCGGTAGTCTACTGAATACGATACACTGTACGGTACTATTAGCTAGTACTCAGAGCAAGTTGTCATCTTGCTCATGGCCATACCGTACCGTACCGTACCGTACCATAGGTAAAAGAAGTCCAGGATACTAATGGTACGCTAGATTTGGGCTGGTGGAAGTGATGATCAACCAGTCCAGACCTCAATTCTGGTTACCCGTAGAACCTCTGCCAGCCAGGAAAAGACAAAGGGCACCAGCGACGAAACCATTAGCTGGTACCGGTACCATGCTTCTTGTTTTGGTGGTAACTGGAATGGATGATGTTTCAGTGTGAATGTGTGACGAGGATTTACAAGTGAGGCGTCCCATGGGAACTAATACTCCGTACCTCCACTTTGCCACTTTGGAATTGTGTGCACCAATATATAGACATGAAGATTGCAATCGAGGTTCCAGAAACTGCCTCTGAATCAGTATACTGAGTATACCCACCATCCTCCTCAATAGTTTCTCCTGGTCAATTGTTTGAAAGAGTTGATTGAACTCAAGATTATACAGTACTACGGAAACTGCATTGGGACCACTTCCTTCCTTTTAAAAACAACCTCTACCTGCTATTTGTTACTCAACCACTTTTCCAGAGCCTTGACATTTCCCATTCTCTCTTGTCCATTTTTGCGGGCCATGTCCACTACCTCGTCCGTGGCTTCCTGTGGGGTCAATCCATAGCGCATCACCAACCAACCGGCAGCTACTCGTCCACTTCGGCCCATCCCATGGGTACAATGAGCCACGACTTTCTCGTTGGCTGTTTCCACCTCCTTGATAGTTTTCTCGGCGCTGCTGGAAGATCCCAATGGACCCATGGGATTCCGGTGTATCGACAACCCATGTTCTTTGTACAATGCCAACAAACCAGGTTCTTCGTAGGTCTCCAGCTCATTATCATCCAGCAATAACATCACGTGCTTGACATTCTCAGTCTTCATAAACTCGATCCACTCGAGCACTTTTGATTTCGGAATCTTGGCGCCACCCTCTGGATCCCCACCTGGTCGTTCCGATGTGTAAAGGATGCTGTCACGAGCAGAAGCAGGGCCGAAATTGTGCAATGTCTCGGGATTGCGCGGTGTTACAACCACATCCTCATTCTCACTCATTCTTTTGACTGTCTCCTGTACACCTTTTGTAAAGGTTTGTCCTTTCGAACCTAGTACTTGCTTGTGTGGCTGGAACAGATCCAAGACTTACTTGATACAGCCAAGCAATTCCCGTTCGGGACCAACCAGCTGATCTATCTTTTCAGCCGCTGGCTACTGGCTACTCTAGCTAGCTAGCTAGTAGCTAGCTACTACCAGTACTACTAGCTAGCTAGTACGATAGCCGAGTGCTAGTACCGGCATCTTTTCCCCGGGTGTGTACCGGTAGAGGGCCTGGCTGAAGGCAAAGACGAGGCGAAATTTGGGACGGGTAGCTGGGTCTCTGTAGTCTGTAGGCACCGCCGAAGGACTGTCTCTGCAGCGTATGTCATACCAGCAAAACATGGCCTTGGCCTTCGGTACGGTATATCTCGCTCCATTGGATGTCGATGAAGGCAAAATTCGTTTTCTCGTGGATACACTGGCGAGCTTCCAAGAAGAGTAAGACGTAGCTTGGGACAATGAAGTAGAACCGTTTGTAGAGTCCTGGTACTGGCTAGATCTTTTCAAGTCCACAGTGATAATTTACCATTACAGCTGTACTATCCAAGCCAAGCACACAAGCAGTCACAGGCCCTCAACCGGAAAGAGATTCATTCACGTTGAAACAACAGCTAAACCCACAACCAGTAGACTATTATATTCAAAAGTTAGTCTGTAGATACTTGACACTGAATGGCAAAACCCATGTTGCTGGTGGCTTGGGAGCTGAGTTCTGGCTAGTAGCTCGGGCGTCGTTCCTGCCCCCCAGAATTCTTTGCCCTCAAAGAATCATAGCACATGCTCAGTTCTTGACGTAGAGCCTTGCAAACATCACGGGCGCTTGGGCGCTATGAGGAAACCAAATGTTGAGACTACTGCAGCGTTTTTCTCGGGCTTTACATGCAAGGAGAACTGCAACCTACCTTGAATGGATCTGGGTCCCAACATGCACTCAACAGGTAGGTAACTGGCAGCGGCCAATCCTTGTCAAATGGTAGTCGCTGATCACCTTTGATCACATTCTCTTTATGTTCATCCGATGAAAGCTCTCCGAACGCCTTTTCCAGGCTCAAGAGTTCCCAGAGCAAAATGGCATACGAGTAAACGTCGGCACTGAGACTGTATGGTTCTGAGAGTGACACCTGGAAAGAAAGCCCAGTGTCAGAACCGTCACACCCCTTATTAAATGCCGTTCAAACAATTGACATACCTCAGGGGCCACTAAGGAGACGACCATGAAAGTTTCACTGAGAATGGAACAAAGAAAGGCAATGCCACCCTGCATGCAATAGACAGCAACACTTACTAAATCGTCTCGAACCAGTGCCTCCACTCATCTTGTACAGCCCATTGTCAAGTTTTTGATATGGATCCAGCTCTTTCGCCAATCCAAAATCAAACAACTTCACCGTATTGTTGTAGCCGAAACCAATGTTGTCTACTCAGTAGTGATTTTCATAAGTTCTGCTGAGAAACAAGCTATTGCAATGTCACGAGTGTAGGCATTTGAGCAGCGTACCTGGCTTTAAATCTGCCAAAAGCAATTTTCATGGACATGGCCATTGACATGAGAGCAATCATATGAAAACGCAAGAATGGTCAAACTGCATACCTCGAAAGACAATTTCTAGTTTGTGAAGATGTTTCAGAGCCAGGGCAATGTCATAGGCAACCATTATCCGCTGAAAGTAGAGAGCTTTGAGAAGCTTTCGGTTGGTTGTGCTGGATGTGTCTTTGGACCTCCTTCTTCTGACTTCTCTCCATACATCTATTCTTCGGTCCAAAGTGTCGTATAATCGGTCAATAATCAAGAAATACCCCCCTTTGAGACCAGATGAAAACCCAGAAGCTCCTTCTGCTGCCACTCCATACAACTGAATAAGGCCCGGATGTGGGTGTTTTGCCAAGGCACTCAGATATTTTGCTTCCATCAAAAGATCTGCTGCCCCGTTACAAAATTCGTCTGGATTTGTCATTGCATCGTCACAAAGAAACTTGACGGCGAGTTTTTCTTTAGTGTTGGCAAGACGACCTCTCAGTTTTTCAATCGTTACATTGGGTGATGGAGACAACAAGTCTATTTTGTGGAGTTCGTACACATTGTTGAATCCACCCTTCCCCAGCAGCTCCCCCAAGTTGGGGATAATTTCTTCTCTGGAGAAACTGGGCACAACATCATCAATATCAGAAATCAAACTAGATCTCTTGGTCATTTCCTCACAGACTCGAAGTGCATATCGTGATGCCTTGTGACAGACTTCTGGGTCCAACTGGGACAGGGTGGACATGATGGAATTGGCCATGGTTGCTGATTGTCACAGTGGGTCAACTCAACTCTTTGATGCAGTGGAATTGATGAAGTCGATAATTGACCAACAAATTAATGTCTTCAGCGGCTAATCACTTTGTCGACCAAGATGCAAAGCCTCAAACACTCTGATAACGATTGGAGCCAACTCTATTGGAACACAATTCGATAGCCAATGGTCCAATGGTGAATGCTTTCTCCCCGCCGATGATGGTGTCGTTGATTGTCCCACGTTTTGTTGTGCGTTGCAACACCGTGCATCCGTCCATGTACACTCAGTGTGACACTGACTGAGACCAGTACAGTACTGGTATCCAAAGACATAAAATTTATTATAGAAAGGTAGCAGAGCAGAATGAACATGACCTTCTACAAAAGAAACGAATGAATCAATCGAATGAATCGAATCGAATCGAATCAACCAATTGCCACACCGGTAGCTGGTCAGGGCCAACCCAATGACATGCAACAGCACTCCTCAGGCAACGCAGCCTATTGCTTGGGAGCAAAAAGCATGAAAGTCTGCAAGCATGATGTTCGCTTTCGTTTGCCAATATCATTCGTGCCAGAGTTATCGGTACCGCCTCCCCCAACCCACAAGCACAATGAGCTAGCTAGCTGCTGGCTGGCACTATGAGCTAGCAAGACAGTACCCACACTCACACCCAACTGCTGTTGAACACGGAGGAGCTTGCCTATCCATGCAGCTGACAGTTAGCACACCACTGTCTGGCACCGGTACCTACAGTATCATTCTGCTGCATTCCTGATGGGCATGTCCTTCTGGTCCTGCTCTTCAGCCTGCCCGAATGTATGTCCTTCTGGTTTGTACAATCTCACGGCAGCCAGCTTCGCTTCCGGTTGTCTTGGGCCGCTCTGTCTTAGAATCTACCCTTCGGCTTGCTGCCTCCAGTTGAAGAAGTCCACCTCCTCAAGAAACCAACTTCAAAAGGCGCAACCACCACCATTGCCACCAGACATCTATAGCAGCTTTTGTTTGGAGACAAGAAGTTCGTCTAGCTGGTTAGTTTCTGGTCTCAGGCTGGTCGGAATTCTCGGCGGTGGTGATGGCCACCGAAGATTGGTCGAGCTGTAAAGCAGGAACTTTCCGCCTTGTATCAACTTTATCCAAAAGGCGAATTCTGAAGCAGCCCCATACCAGCTTCGCTCCTTATCGAAAATTCCCCAGCACGATCTTACCAGAACCGCTGGGTACCGGTACCAGCCCAGCCATCTCGGGTCTGGCCAGCTAGCTACAACACATGCTGGTCGTAAGGTGGCGAATTTTGCAAATACTGGTACTCTCAGCCCACAGACAGTGTAACGTCGTCTCAAGGAATCGTTGAGAACAACAACTTTGCTCACCTCCGACAACCAGCAAAGGGCATCTGCCATTAGTTGTATGCAAATACCGAAACGCGGCGTCTGACGAGGCTCAGTCTGTGTAGGTGCCGTAGCTGCAATGAGGCAAAAGCGCCCGTTGCCAACTCGGATGCTTGGTTTTGGTTAGCCATCAATCAAGCGACCGTGCAAGGAAGTGGTACACGTCGTCCATAGTGGCCAAGCTTTTGCGGGACTTGTGGGCTTATAGGGCTTAGGTGCGTCCAATTCCGAGAAACGGAAGGTATCGAGAGCGCACGCGGCACTGTGCATCTTTGAGTACACTCTTCCTGGGAGTAGTGCTCCAGTAGAGCTCGCTCTGCACATTGGAACATCGAGAGGAATAATTTTCTTGGAGAAAATCATCAAGCGTTCTCACACAACAGCTCACGCAACACTGACAAGATAGAGCCTGGTTGACAGATCATTCTTCCGGAGCCCCACTTTATTTCACCAGTCTACTAGCTAGTCCAGTGTCCAGTTTTGACACTCCTCGTTCGCTTTGGCCAGGAACCTTATTATTTCCATCTGTTTGCTTTCATAAGTTGCCGAGACTTACACCTTTACAAGCCTTCAGTCACCTGCTACGCTATTTTCACAAGATACAACAACAACAATGATCGAAATTGAAGCTCCCGCTGAATACCTCTGTCCGCTCACACTGGATGTCATGTCCGACCCCGTAATGAGCAAGTACGGTCAATCCTTTGAACGTTCAGAGATTCTGCAATGGCTCAAGTCTGGCCATGGCGTGTGTCCCTTGTCACGACGACCCTTGAGTCTTCAGGATCTAGTAACCAACCATGCGCTGCGGTTAAAGATTTCGGAATGGCGCAAGGAACACGGGGAAGAAGAGACCATTGTAGTGAATCCCTATGCCAGTCAAATCTATGGCTTTATCACACTTCCATCCAAGGACGATCCTACGGACCGCACCGTTGATGAAGACGAAGATGTGTTCTTTCTACAGCTTGCGGCGTGGCGGTTGGGTCTGGGAGATCCTCCTTCGGCGGCGGCTCCAGACGCTAATGAACCACAACAGACGACTGCTGTCACCGGCATTCCACACATTGGAAGACGCAACAGGCGGCAGCGACGAAGGAATTCTACTGGTTCTGCATCGAACAATCCGCATAGGCAGAATCGTTCGATTCGACGAAGACTCCGCAATCTCTTTGCCGGACCTTCTCCTTAGCGGACCGTAACAAAAGAAACTTCCTTCCCTGCGAACCACCATCGCACTTCCCAAGCTCCTCCAGCGAAATCAAAGCTGAACTGGTACCATCTATGTATCCGTTTTTACATAGATTGGTGCCTCCAAATATCGGAATTCATACTCGACGAAAAAATTGTACACTGCAGCAGTAGAGAATGTGTGTTGGGTGCTGTGATGTGGAATCGCAGGCTACCTATAGCTCGCATAAAATACTGTAGAATCGTCGTCAACATACTTATCTGGCCGTGCTAGCTAGCTAGGATATTCAGGCAAAGCTTGCAACGATGTATAAGCAAACCTTCTTTACTCCAAAGATATCATGGTACCAGGTGGGCAGCTTCAGGAGTGAGAATTTTTGAAGCATTTCCCCGTCTTTACCTTAACCCAACCCCCTTGCAAATTAGCTATGCACTCCTCTCGGAAGCGGCTGGCTAGCAAGCAGGTTGTCTTCATCAGCTGGCACTCTCTGAAGCTCACCTGCGGCTCCTCTCTTCTCTCCCGTAGCTTGTCTTCTCGGTCCCTACCGTAACCCAAGCCACTTGCAATTCTAGCTACATGTACCCCTCGGGAGCAGCTAGCTAGCTAGTAGCAGGTTGTCTTCATCAGATGGCAATCTCTGAAGCTCACCTGCGGCTCCTCTCTTCTCTCCCGTACAAGTACCGGTACCAGTAGCTTGTCTCGTCGATGCTACCAGAAGCTGAAGCTGCTGACATGCTTTGCCGGATATGAGCATGGTTTACCACTTTTGTTGAAGTCGAACTTCCAACGTGACCTTCCGGTGATGTTTCATGAAAAGTAAGTCACGCTGAGACACCGACATCCCTGCTTTCCGGGAACTGCCGTGCTCTCAAACCCTAAATCGCCCACCGAACTCCGATCATCACATGAACGTCACACAATGAAACTTCAAGGTTGAGGGTGGGAGGGAGGAAAGATGCTTCCGACGTGCGTAGCCGTGCAAAATAGCGTTCGTCAAATTGCATGCAAGTGCAATTTGGTAGGAACCATTCATATTTTCATCATCGTGCGGTATGCTGCAAAATGGCAACCCAGCAACGCAGATGCGTCGAAATATGAAACTTCAATGGATATTTTCGCAAGGTGTGGAGGATTTGACATGACAGCCCTTGGGAAACGATCTTCACTGCTGGCTGGACGAAGATATTGGCTTCTCATAGCATGATCTTCTTCGTCAGCCCCCAGCATACCGGTACAGGAGGCAGCAATTTGTTTCCTTGCACAATGGAATGGGCTCACTTTTTGCCAAAATCTGACAGTGGTACGGAATGGGTTTTCTTTGTCGGCTGTGGAACCAGCGATGGATGTGATCTGAAACCCTGCCATGCTGGTTTGCTTCTTGGCACGGGATAGTGACCTCTACTGTACCATACCGTACTGGTGTTCCCTGCGCACCTCTTCCTTCTGTTGGCTGCACATAGAATGGAATGGCGTGTTGTTACCAACTCTAGCGTGGTTGGCAGCAAGGGACAATCTTAACGGTCCCTTGCTCCGTTGGTGGCTCTCAGCAGGGTGGAGCAAAGCATGAGAGGCAGTGCTGATAATGCACCAACCGTGACCGTAGCCACCGGACTCCATGCCATCGCCTTGAAGAGAGTTCATGCTGGTCATTCGCTGGTTGGTGGTTGTCAGAACGGAACACTGGAATGGGTTCTGATGCGGTGGTTACCCTAGCCAAACCGTTGCATTCGCTGGGTTGAACTTTCTTGTTTGCTGGTTGGAGGGCAAATCGTTGCCTTCCCAGCTCGTGAGATTGGGGCCTTGCCCTAGGAATGGATAGATCATGCTGGGCCAACAGTAACCACTCGATTGCATTCCCTTGTTCTATGTTTGGTGATGACTTCTACTTCCGAGCTACATGTACAAGGATACTAGCTACAGTAGCTAGATTCTTGTTAGGCAAGAGACGGTGGTTAGTGTGTAGCGCTACTTAGACGTAGGTTATCTCGAGACATACGGAATGTAAATGCAGCGCGGAGATGGATGGGACGGATATCTTTATTTTTCTGATGATTTCTTTTTTTGTTTTTTCTTCTCAATTGGCTTTCAACTTGTTTCTTGCTTTTTCTTGTTTTGTCCTCACAAAAACGTCAAAAGATCGAGGACAAAGGGAATATGTATAGGTAGATAAGATAGAAATGGTGATAGACGCGAGCACAGGCTTGGGTTCGCCTTCTTGCACCATCATTTGGTTCGTCTTTCTGTGTTGGAAATGAGATATTGTCTGATAATGAATGCCAAATGCAAACGGTATCCGTCAAATCATACACACGGCTGAATCTTCTGGAGAGACCCAAACCTTGAAACCGAACAAATAAATCAAACATCAGAATCAATTTAGAAAGTGTCGCCATCCAAGACCGACAAAGCGCTCGAGTTAACCTCGGCAAGCTTGTTGACCGACATTTGTGGCGCAGGCCTGGAAGGCAAGGGCACCACAGTAACGGTGGTAGCAGCAGCAGAGTTCCACTCGTCTTCCCCGTCAGTGGCTGGAAGTTGATGGACACCAACGTCCATCAACCAGTCCAGAGCATCCACATAGTTGCTAGTCTTCTGCTCAAAGTCCTTGATGTCCATGACACACGCCACGCCAGTGGGTGAGAGCTCCCTTCCAGTTCCAATGGTGTTATGGATGGAAAAGTCTTCCGGATTGGGACTTGACACGATATCATGGCGGTTCACCATGACATCAGTGGCCTTGGGTTCGTCGAGTACCACGGACGCCCCTGTGGCATCCGACAATGACATGGAAGAGACCGAGGGAGAGACAGGATTTGGTTCCACCATGTTGGGTTCCAAGTCCATGTCATCCGAACCAATCACGTGCTCCACCGCTTCGACCGACGAGTCGTCCAGCAGATCAAGCCTATAATAATAAATTAATCATGATATCAACAATCAAGTTAGAAAAACATGCAAAAAACAAAGTAAAGAAAAGTAGTAGTCACCCAACAGAAACTTACAATGAATCCGCGAGTTCCCCTTCACAGGCATGAAGACTGTGCATAAAGCTGGGATCAATCATGGCGTGATCCGGAGCAGAGTTCGCGGCGGCAGCGACGATAGCTGTCGGAGCCACAGGAAGTGAAGGCGCCGAAGCCATCATCGGTGCTTGATACTGTTGTTGGAAGTGCTGCTTTTTGGGTTTGGGTTCGAGCGAGACTCTTCGCTTCTTGGCCACGGCAACGCCCATGGCAGGCGTCTTGTTGTTCCCCTTGTTGGTGGACGACTTGCGCTTAACGGCGGTGGTGGCGGTGGATGTGGAAGTTGCCGTAGAAGTAGAGAAGGCTTTCCCCGGGTGTCCTTCTGCTTTCTTCTCGTTCTTGTGGAGCTTTTGAAAATACTTTTGAGCATGCGTACGAACTTGAACGACACTTCTTGTTTTGATCATGATGGCAATCTTCTTCCATTGCTTGCCATGTTCGCTTAACCCCTTCAAGAAGACCTCGTGTTCTTCCGCCAACCAACGTCCAGTGTTCTCCTTGACCTTGGGAGCGTCGTCCTCGGAGGAGGACGCTTCGTTGGACAGAGACTCGGGCGAGAACGGTCTTGGTGTTTCTGGTGGTTCCGCCAGCGAGACCACCGACGGCTGTTGGTAGAGACTTGGCGGCGGTAGCGGACGCATGGAAGAGATTGACGGAGCCCGAGCTGGTGATGTGGAAGTCACATCTTGCCCAGCTTCCGAACGCTTTGCGGCAACCCCTTGCCGCGTCGAACTGTGGCGCCGTTGAGGATACGGATGCGCCTTGGAAGGAACAGAAGCAGAACCGGTGGGCTTGACAGTCGACATGGTAAAAGAGAAAGAGAGCAAGAGTTCCAAGAGAAGAAAGAGTTGGTCTTGTGGATAGACAAGACCTGAAGAAGAGAGCTAGAAGAAAAGCGGGTTGTTGTTGGTGTGGTTGGTTTGTGTCTTGTTGCCGCCTTGTCGACGAGAGGTCTGTGGTGGTCCAAAGCGAAGGGCTGTAGGCGCTTGTACCAGGTCTACAGACATTCGAGCAAGCACAGAGACCACACTTCGACAGACACCAAGTCGAAGACTAGGCTGTATCGAAAAATCAGTACCGTGGATGTCAAGGAGCAGCTTGCAGAAAGCCTCACTGAATTAGCTCAGAGTACTGCAAGTGTGAGACAAAAGAACACCTAGAGAAAAATATGGCGAGGTATGCTCGCAAAAGAGAATCAAATTGGCCAATGGGATTGCAGCATGGAACTCACAATAAGTGAATAGCTTGACATTCCCTAGGGTAGTATCCCAAATGAACCATAATTAAAACTATTACATCGTCCCTTGATACTAAGATAGTTGGAGATAAGATGTCAAGCCAGAGATTTGATGGAATACACTGTACCAAGATAAGCAGTTACCAGTAGTCTACTGGAGACTCTCAGATCCGCACCAGAGTTAAGATACTCTCCCTTGGGCACATAAGAGATTGAGAGATGATACAATGACACTTTTCAACAACAACCTGCCTTTTAAAACGGGTGCCAAAAGTCAAAAAATTGCCTCCGGAAGGTGATAAACTGACTCGTCACTCGTCACTCTTTCCTCTCTTCACCTTACTGGTAGCGTGTGCTGAGTTAAGGTGGGAAGCAGAATGTAAATGTCCAATAGCACTCTCTCTTCCTAATCAGACTATTAAGATACTACATTACCCTGGTGATGGATCCTGAGCTTTAGAAGATATAAGTTCATAAGGAATACCTGTGTTCAAGCAAAACTCGGAGATATCTTAATATCAAGGGAGAAATGAAATAATAATTTCACGTGAGATTCTAGGTTGTAGACGGTTACGCGCAGTCGTTACGCCACGAAAGTGCGAGTCGAGTCGAGTCTTATTTGATTCGTGACAGAGTTGTGAAAGCCTCCCAACCACAGAACAGTTCCATGTCATTGGAAAGCTTCTGACAAGCCCGAGGTCACTTATTGTCCGATGTCTTTTCACTCTCGTCGAATGGTTCGGGGATGTGATGCACCTTCTTTTCTAAGTCCCACTGTTAGTCGTGGAAATAACCCTGGCCTTGATGAAGAAATGTAACATGAACCCTCTGTAGATGAAGAGTGTGCGTGTCCTCCATGGTGAGTGAAGTGGTGAGCGTGTCTCCGTTTCTCGGTGTCGGACCGTTGATTGTGCCTTGCCAAGACTTACAGAGGTTACGGTACCAGTAACAGATGTCCAAAGCCTGCCCGCCACTGGGATTTTTTCAGTCCGAGGTGCGAAAGCCATCACGTTTTTCTCTCATTTTTATTCTATTGTATGTGATAGTCTACTTGGACCATGAGATCTGTTCCTATTACGTTTTCTTCGACACCGCCGCCGGCTACTGTTACGAGTAGCACTAGTGGGAGGTATGCTTCTGCCACGACGACGACGACGACGACGAGTCCTCCCATGATGTCGTGTCAAAGCAATACATCGTCTCCATTAGCGCATGATGAGAATGATTTCTCCAAAGGGAATCGCCAGCGCGTGCCTCTTCCATCCGATCCGGCCGCTTCTATTAATAGTATTGGATACCAGAGCATGGTGGTCGGTGAGGGCGGCAAGTCGCAATCCACACGTAACAATTCCAAAGACATCACGCCTCATCTCTTCAACAGCAACGGTAGCAACAACAAGACTCCAGAGCCACAGGGGTATCCAGCAGTGGCCAATAGTATTATTAATACTACCGGTAGTAGCAATACGAGTGGATTGAATGGTTTACTAGTAGGGAGTTCTACTACAGCGGCTGCTTCTCCGCTCCATGGCAAGACTCTGACTGCCTCTTTTGCGACCCCTACTGGTATTATCACTGCTACCCACCACAAGCAGCAGCAACGAGATATTACTAATAACAACAACACGCTCATGACAGTCTCTAGCCGCAACCCAACATCCGATGTGGAATACAATCGCACTACCGCCGTGACGCCGCGGAAACGAGACGATGTTCTCCTCAGCAGTGGTAAAGAAGAGCCGCTGCATCGGTATGAGTCGGAGTCGTCATCAGCAATGCCGCCTGTCCGCAGTAACAAGCCCACGAGTGAGAGAGCGCGCGGTGCGACCCCTCCTAGACCGCAAGGTCAATCCAGATCCTCACGAGATGCCACTACTACTAGTACTAATAGTAACAACGTGACGACGACGACTATGATGAATGCCGTGGTTGGTGTTGGACCCACGGCATCCACTACTACCAACACGACGAATACTTCCACCAATATGCCGCCAATGACTGACACATCGCAACAACCACAACGGCGTTCTTCCAACAGACGATCCACCAGTCCCAATCGGATCCCTCGCGTACCCAACAAACAGGGCCCTGCGGATGGCACGTCCTCGCAAAATTCCTCTCCACGACGCTTTTCCAATAATAACAACGGCAGCAAAGACCATCAAAGCCAAGCGTCCTCGGGAGGAGGTTCCAAACGATCCAACAATAGTCACCACAACTGGCAACAATGGAACAATAATAAACCCGATCCTGCCGATCATGAACAAGCACTCTTTGAGCAACGACTTTGTGAAGATGCCTATGGAGTGGCCGTTCGCAAAATCAATCAAAATGGAAAACCGAATCTACGTTATGTCAAGTGTGTCTATGTCATGGAATCCGATGTCGATACCATTGGAAATGATTCCCATTATCCCAGTTCCACACTCTCCAATGTTTCCAGTTTGGCACGCAGTTTTCGCAATAGCAAGACGTCCAGTTCGCCATTGGCAGCCTCCAATAATGAAAATAGATTGAGAGTTCTCACGTGGGGCAAGAAAAAAGAAGTCAAGCTACCTTTGGATCGATTCGTCTGTGTCCGAAAGGGGAAAACCACGGATCGAGCAAGACGCAATCCCAGTCCTTCCTGCCGGATTCTCTCACTCATTACCACCGATCCCAATCATCAGTCTCTCGATATTGAAGCTCCGACAAGGTTGGATCGAGATAAATTTGCAAGAGCTTTTGCCAGGTTTCTAGAAGTCCCGTTGGTGGGAGAAGATCAAACGGCTCAATCGGTATCATCGCCTGCCACGGATAACAAGAATTCCTACAAGAAGGCCACCACGGCCATGTCCGAGCCAGATTTGGCGACCACACCCAAACAGGCCATTCTAGAAGCCAAACGTATGAAGCAACACAAACTACTCTCTGGCGGAGCACCCTTGCCGGTCGTCATGGCGGCCAACAATTCGTCATCCCGCAATCATCTCAAGACGGTCAAACAAGATCCTCCACGTGCCACTGTGCGGAATTCAGGAACATCCGGGTCGCTCAACAACAACACGAATCACTCGGCCATTGATGCCAGTTCCAACTCTCATACTCCCAATCATCTGCTCATGGCACAGCCACAAAAGGTGCAAATTGCATCCCTGCCGTCTTCCTTGAGAGACTCGGAACGCAGTTCCACACAGGCTGCCACGGCATCCAGGCCCACTCATCCCGATCAAGATGTGGCGGAAGATGCCTCGCAAGTCTCGTCCTTGACGGGAGCTGGATTTGATCAGGAAATTGTGGAAGAATTGCATCAGGCACTCACCGAGCTACGAACCGAATTGGAAGAAAGTCGGGCCGAAGCCGCCCGGGCAGTCAAGGTCGCGGAACAAGCCATTCAGAGTGCCGAGAATTCCAGCAGCAATGATTGGAATTCTACCGTGACGCACAAGGCCGCCGAAGCCGCGGCATTGGCGCAAAAAAGATCGGCCGAGGCCATGGCCAAGCAACGATTGGCCGAAGAACGGTTGGAAGGAGAGCGACGAACGGCAGCGTTTTGGAGACGACAAGCCGAAGCGGCCGAGGAAGAAGCTGGGACATTGCAGACCCGTGCGGCAGCCGCCGAAGTACAACGTGCTGCCATGGTGGAAGAGTTGGAAAGTGAACGGCGCAAGAATGCAGCCACGATGCAAGCATTCCAGGCTCGCTATCCAGCAGAAGCCTTGCTGGATTTGGAACGCAACCGGTCTCACGAGTCGGATGACTTGGTGGCCAAGAGTTCCGAGGAAGTGACCCCCGGGTAAGTTATGTGTTGCGAAAGAATAAACATTCGAGTGTCATGAATCGATTTTTAACAATTCGTTGCTCTTTTGCAATACAGTGGGCATCGTCGAAAGCTTAGCATCAGGGGGCGAAAGAAACACACCAGCGATGACACGGACGCATCGCAAAGGCTTGAAGTGCGCGAGTCAGCCTCTGCCGATAGTGGCAACATGTCAGATCTTTGTCTGAAGCAATCCAGTGATGCCCGTAAGTTGTCTCGGTGTCGGAAGGGAACATTCGTGCGTTTTTAAGAAACATCCTTTTGCTCACGCAAGTCACATCCTTGCAGACCATCATGTGTCAGGTGGCATGTTTGACGCTCAGACTGAACTTGCGCGTTTGAGGGAAAAGCTTGCCTTGGAAAGCGCCGCGCGAAGAAAGTTGCTACACGAAGTTCAAGATCTCCGTGGCGTTGTGCGAGTGTACTGCAGGCCACGTGAAACCCCGCCGGCAGTCAAAGGAATGTTGTCAATACCGTCACAGGAAACGTTGCTTTTACATCCCTATGAGGATGAGCCCCCAGTCAGCTTCAAATTCGATCGTGTCTTTACTCCTGATATTGGACAGAGGGAGGTCTACGACGAAATTGAAGAGCTCTGCTTGAGCGTCATGGATGGATACAACATTTGCCTTTTGGCCCATGGCCAGCGACATACGGGTAAAACCTACTCTTTGCTGGGCAATGTGGCCTACTCGCAGGAGAGCGGCTCTAGTCAACAACGTGTTGAGATCACAGATCACGGAATTCATCTCAGAACGGTGAAACAGTTGTTTACTATATCAGAACACCGCAGTGAACGCTACCAAGATACCTTTTCTCTTGAGATTGTGGAGGTGCACAACGAACGCCTACTTGATTTGCTTTCTGGAACAGAGTTGGGTGAAACTCGTGGTAATGTCATCATGGAGGATCCCAAAACACGCTTGAAGCGTGGTATGTCCGAGGACGGAAGCACTGCCGGACCACCTCAGCTGTCAAATTCTCATTCCGTGTCTTCGAAGCAAGGCAGCACCATGACAAGGCTAGAAATCAGAACAAACCACAACGGGGACACTGTTGTTCAGGGCCTCCGTTCTGTGGAAGTCAAGAGTTACGATGAAGTTTACCAGTTGTGGCAGCAGTGCTTGTCTCAACGCGCATCTCGGCTTGCAGAACAAGGAGCCGACCTGACAGAGTATGAAGCCTCGAGTCACGTCATTGCCACTCTTACCGTTACATCGATCAACGCAGCAACTAGCATGGGCAGCGTCGGGAAACTGAAGTTTGTAGACCTTGCAGGAGCTGATCTTGTTCAAAGACGAGGAAATCACGCTGATCCAAAACTGTGTCTCACCCCCGAATCCAATGCTGAGAAGGGAGGTGGCAGCAGCAGCAACAATGACTGGAAATATTCGAATAGATCGCTGGCGACCTTGAACGACGTTGTTAATTGTCGGAGTCAGTTCATGCGTTCTGTTCCCTACCGAAATTCCACTTTAACGCATCTGTTGAGAGACAACTTGGAAGCAGATACCAAGGTTCTTTTGCTCTTGTGTGTCAGTCCCCATCCCAAGGATCTCCAAGAGACTGCGTGTGCACTTCGATTTGCCTCAGGTATGCGGCGAGTAACGATTGGGAAGGCAACCAAACACTCTTTGTCTCGATGATGAGCCTGTTCACACTAGAATGTAACTGAAACTAAGTTCATCATTATCAGCTATGTGGACATCTGCAGCCTCAAGTCGTTTGACTTCCATGGTGAATGCATGTGCATGTGCTTTGGTCTTCATCACCAACAGCTTCACTAACACATTCTCTTAGGAGGGATGGACGAGTTGAGGTGACAAAAGGGTTGAAGATAATTTTTGTTTACCGCATCTACATGCCTTCCAATGATGAAACTGCGACGAACGGTCTTCCATGGGAGGCAATCACCTCTTATTAGATGGGAACAAAGATGCAACTAGCTACATATCCATGATCTATACTAGCTACAAATTTCTGGCTAGGCATCATATGTATAATACTGCGGAGGATACGTGAATTGCTGAGGCGTCGTTGTTCGGGCACATTGTGGATGATAACAGTTGGCGGGGCTGAGGTTGAGTTCCGCTCCACAGGAGGCATATTTTTCCAGTGCTTTTTGAGTAGTGAGGCTTCGGGGTGGAATGCGCTTTCCAAAATGCAACCCAATGGTCCCACCCGCATCCAATAGCGCCGGCGTCACAACTTCGTCGACCCAGGCATCCAATTTAGCCCCGTCTCCTTGCGGCCCCGTGATTTCCAAAATGACAGCAGTTTCGTTCCAGCACGAGTTGGAGTTTTCAAACGGGTATACTCTCTTGAAGCGTACGTAGTAGTAGAGAGGGACGCGTTTTGAGGTGAAAAGACCTCGTTTGAGTGCTTGTCGAAGAACACGGTATTCCACATCAATTTGGATAGCTGCATTGTACAGTTCAGCCAAGAACCGACCAAGCACCAAACGGGGCACGCATCAACAAAAGGAAGCAAGTTAGTACAACTTGGTCCATTTAAGCACATGTATGTTTGATTGACTGATTTGATATGCTTACCTTCTGTGATATCATCCGGTGCCGACACTGGCACCGGGAACTTGAGTGTCGACAGGGTTCCACTAATGACAGTTCGCGAGAGCGGCGCAAAGACATTGGTTGGTATAAAACTAAAGAGGCCACCTCCTCCACTGGTAATACTGGGCATGGAGACAAAAGCGAACAAGGTGGTCAACCCATTGGAGATTTTGTAGGTCAGCTGTCCAATATCAAAGATACCCCCGTCACTAGCTCTCCATTCATGGAATTCGTAGTTGGTGAGATACCGGCTGATCCACGTGTAGGATGCCCTATCGACAATGTCCAGATCGAGTGGTTCATTGGTGGTGACGGTAGTTTTGTGTGAGATTTCGTAGAATCGTTCTTCGGTTCGAAATTCCGGCGACAAGCAAACGCCATCAATGGCACCTCGACTGGCCGCCACCAGATTGTCATTGATTCTGGAATCATTGGGATATTCGACGCCCTCGACGGTATACGACGTGATGAAATCGTATAGATAACGAACTTCTGGTCCCAGCCACACATACCCACTTCCTCCAATCATGTGTCCATTGATGGATATTTCTCCCGCTGTGAGTTGATAAATGGGTCGTAGTGGTCCCGATACGGCTTGCAGTTGATCGTAGCTGACTTTTCCCGTGGCGCACATGCGTCCATCGTCCATGATTTGGATGGTCCCTTCGCAGAGTCCGACCGGCAAATCGTTGAGGTCATTGGGGAAATCATTCTGCCATGTGGAGACTTGATGCGGTGGCTGTGCGGCGGGCCGACAGTATAGCTGAGCATTGTGGTTTGCCATTAATTGCCGCAGATTGTTGGGGCTATCGGCAGGATCCGACATTTGTCGTGGATCTACAAGATGCCATTGTGAAAGGAACGAGAGAAGGAATAATGAAAGAGGTGCTCGGACAATCATTGTGTTGTTGTTGTTGTTGTAATAACGATTGTACTTTCTATTTGTGCTACCCTGATGCTTTGGTGTTTGTCCGATAGTCTGTTGTATCTTCTTTCCCTTGACGACGCGCGTTCTCAAGCCTTTTATCGGCAACTGCACTATCACACTATTGTTGTACGTTGAATGACGCAACGGAGCTACCCTTGCGAACACGAGCATCATTTTTGGCGAAATTTGCCCTTTCTTGTCTTTGGCATCTTGACTGTGAGCGATGGGGGTTCGACTTGCTTGCAGGACTCGACTCGACTTGCTTCCAAGGAGAGGAAGGTTAGTAAGGTTGAGGATAACAAGTGGTGCCTACCAAGATCCACAAAGCAGAAAGCTTTCGAGCTTCGAGCCGAGACCGAGACCACAAAAGAGGAAGGGTAGCTACCATACCATTTGGTATTGATCAGTAGTATCACCATGTTGGCAGCCATCTCTCGCTTCGACAAGCTGCACGCGACATCCGCCCAATCACCAAGGCAAGAGAGCTTTAGCAATTTGAGCGATGGAAGAAATGGCAGTAGTCATAATAATTCTATCAAGAATGGCAATAATACGAATAAGAGTCTCTCTCTATTGATTTTGGATCTCCATCGACTGTTGCATTGCATGGAAAGTGGAACTTCTCGTCCACCACAACAAGTAGTAGTAGTGGTGACATGGCAAGCTCTGAGACAACGCATGGAATTATTGCAGTCGCTGTGGCAACAAGTCCAACAATCCTTTCATGAAGAACAGATGAATGCCAGCGAGTCGTACAATGCCAGTTTCGAACGACCTCCCCAATGGTATCAAGACTACGAGCGACGAGTTTATCGTGCGACGCAAAAGGCACAAGAAAGAATTCAGGCACTCCAACGAGAAGCGCGTAAGGAAGACGATTCGATGCTGGACGCTAGTTGTAAAAGTATTGCGCATCAACAGGTCCAGCCGGATTTGATTGATCAAATCTTTTTCTCGCAACCAGAGGAGCAAGCAGAACAACGGTCACAAGAGGAAGAAGATCAAGAGACCACTGAAGAGGAAACACCCGTAGAACTGGATTTGATTGGACAACCGATGCCAGCCACCCACAATTCACAACAGGATTTGGACCACAGTTCCAGCCATCATCATCCTCAACGCCACAACAATAAGAGCCACAACAATTCAAACAACAACAACAACAACAATAATAATACTATGGATATCCAAGCCTTTCAACAAGCCCAACGAGACCAAATTGAAGAAGCCATTTCACTCATGGCCAAACAAATGAAGGAAGAAACAGCTCGCATCCATGACAAGTTAAAGTCACAAACACAAGATTTGCTCGACAATGTCGAAGATGTCGTGACGGAAAATGTGGACAAGGTCACCAAAGTGACAGAAGATGTGACCTCGCATGTCGATAGTGGATGGCAACGAACCTGGGGGACCCTGACGTTGCTCATTCTCGTGGCATCCTTGTTCTTGTTCTCGCTCGTAACAATCTACATGATTCCCAAATACAAGAATACGAGTGCAACCTCGACACCCTCCAAGCTGTGTCGCATGGTGAATGGAAAACAGGAATGCATCGATGTCAATGCCTGGTTGACGGGACAAATGAACGAGGAAAAGCAAGAAGAAGAAGAAGAACAAGTACGTGACGACGATTATTTGGACGATTATCAGGAACAACAACAAGAAGAATGTGAACTGAACATGGATGGCACCTGTGTTGTTGAAGAAGATGTAGCTGATGAAACGGAACGATTGCAAGAAATGATGCGACAACAACGAGAGCAAGAACAAGCCGAGCGGGAGCGAGAACGACAGCAGCGCGAAGAACAGAGACGTTTGGATGAAGAATTTCGAAAACAGCGACAACACGAAATGGAAGAAAAACGGCGTCACGAGGAGGAGGAAAGGCGGCAAAGGGAGGAAGAAGAAGAACGACAAAAGGCGGAACGCGAAGAGCAAGCTCGACGACAACAAGAAACCGAGAGGTTGCAACGAGAGGAAGAAGAAAGACAGAAAGCCGAGGCAGAGCGAATTAGATTAGAAGAGGAAGAGGCCAGAGTGGAGGCAGCAAGGCAAGAAGAAGAACGTCAAAATGCTGAAGCTGCAGCAATGGCAGAAGCAGAAGAAGAACGGCTACAACGGGAGCAAGAAGAGGAACGGCTAAGATTAGAGGAGGAGGAAAGGGCGGAAGCATTAAGGTTGCAAGAAGTGGAAGCAGCTGAGCGGCTCAGACTTGAAGAGGCGCAGCGACTGCACGAATCTCAACAACACGACGTCGATCACAATCCAGACGGTGATATGACTGACGAAGAGGATCTCGAGCGAAGGAGGCAACAAGCGCGAGAATGGAGAAACCAAGAAGACAGCGACGATGAAAGCGAGAGTGCGTCGGAAAATGACATGGACGAAGAAGAACGATTGATCGAGGAGGAGCTGAGACGCATGGAAGAGGAGGAGGGTCAAGCACACATGGGAGAAGATCAACAGCAGCAAGAACAAGATACTGATGAGGAGTGGGAGCTGGAAAAACAACGGTTGCTCAAGGAGCGAGAGGACAGACATAAGCTGCATCTTTTACGACAAATGCAGCAACAAGAGGGCGGTGAAGGAGATATGGAACAAATGATGGCAGAACGAGAAAGGCTGAAGCAAGAAAGAGAAGATCAACTAAAGCGTCTTGACGAAGCCCGAGACAGAGAATTGAAGCAACTTGAAGAGCAACGCCGACTGCGCGAAATGCAGGAAGCTGAGAGCACCGATGAAGGAGAACAACAACAAGAACAACCTGAGGAGGAAATCTCCGAAGAAGAGCGTCAAAAGCGAGAATTCTGGGCACGACAGAAGGCGAAGCAAGAGGAAGCACAAAAGCGGCAACAAATGGAGCAAGAACGACGACTCGAGCAACAACGCGCCGCGGAAGAGGCGGAACGGGAAAGAGAACGCGAACGGCAACGCGCCGAAGAAATGGAGCGGGCGGCCGAGCTGGAACGACAACGAGCAGAGGTTGCGAATTCTAAAGGTTTCGGGTCTTTTAATGCAGGTGAATCAGCATTTGTTGAACCGAAAGGGTTCGAAACGTTTGGCGAAGATGCACTGTACAGACCTCGAGGCTTTCGAGATATTGACAAGAGAGGAGGCGCTGGCGGCGGCGGCGGCGGCGGCTTTGGAGGGGCGAATCTACCCATGGGCTTTGGTAGTTTTGGCAAAGAGGATACCATGCCAAAGGGGGTAGTTGGTGGAGGTGGAGGTGCATTTGGGGGCAAAGAAGGAGGAGCTGGTGGCGGTGGTGGTGAGGCCGATCCCGGCAGTAGGCCATTCCGTGGCAAACCCTTTGCACCTCGAGATATCAGGAAAGCAGCAGCCTCAAATGATTACGAGGCTCTTAGAGACTACATCGAGGAAAGACCCGAGTGGATTGACAAAGCAGTAAGTCGTGACCCTGATATATGTTTTGTTTCGTTATCGACCACCCTGTGCCTGGCTCATTCTATGCGTGTGTTCTGTTCTTAGGACAAAAACTTTTGGTCGTCCTTGCACTTGGCAGTACGAGCTGGGAACATGGAGTCGGTGGAAGTTTTGCTCCAGGCAGGGGCCCCAGTTAATGAAAGAACTATTCAGGGGGTAACACCTCTGGGAGTCGCTCTCGACCGATTGGGAGATCAGCATCCGATGATTCAATTGCTCCAGAATCACGGAGCGGAGCAGTAAAGAAAAGAAAAGAACTATCCAAGAATCTATTAGTGATTTTACAGACAGTAGTAATGGGTGTGTAATGCGGGGAAGGAAGAGTGAGTGGGGGCAATGCCTGTCTTCGAGTAGCGAGCTAGAGTTTGCATTCTACTTCGGGCGTGTCTGGGGCATCATCAAACTCAACCGCGACGGTGCGTTGTGTGCTGTGTTCGAACTTTCGTTGAGAGATAACGTCCTTTCCCTGACTGATCTTTCTATGGTGCGCACGAAAGACAACAATGGCCGACAACAGCATTATCAGAGAATGCAGGGCAGCCATTGACACTGCAACAGCTGTGAAGTTGAGGGCGCCTTCTGGCTCCTTGTAGAAAGAAGTGAGTGATGCCACAGCAGCCTTTGATGGAGGTTGTGTAGCGGCAAATATTGGGTCGGGTGTGGATGGTGCCGCAGTGGGGTACTCGTCGACGATCATGGCTTGAACCGTGTGGACGCCGCTGAAGAAAGTATCTCGATTCCAGAGATAGTCACGAACAAGTGTCTCGGATGATGTAGCAAAACTGGACAAGATGTTCCTCTGGTATTCTTCCGATGTTGTAGTGGTGTATCCGTCAGCAAACCAATCAACTTCCGCTGGCCCCCCTTGCAAGAACGTCACGTATACTTGCAATGTCGCTGCAAAGTCTGGATTCACTATGAGAACGTTGCCTTCATGATCAAACCCATGGAACAGCCGCTGCTTTGTGATAACTACTTGAGAGTCCAAGATGTTGCCTGTTGGAGTAGATGCCGACAAGAATCGGAGCACAGAGTCTGAGAAGCTCTCCTGTGCTGATGGATCCATCTCCGCATCAATTGCTCCGGTCAGAAAGACCGCAAGGCCGTGGGTGGAAACCCAAAGGGGCGCCTCATAGGTCAACTGCAAGTTTTCAACAAACACGGGATATTCCTCGTTCTGGATGTATGATTGGATGGCCTCGCCAAGTACAGATTGCAAAAGACTATTCCGATCGGAGGACATTGCAGGGGCATCTAGCAATTCCAACATAGAAATGGTTGCCTCCATGTTGGCGCAGTAGTGCTTGGTGCCTTTTGCGGCACCGGTACTGTTGCCTTGTTGCCGAAACAAGTCATTACAGATTTCTGTAGCACACGAGACACCAATAAGACAAGTAAATGAGAAACTCCCAAAGAATCAAACGCTGTGGACAGGTCGATGATCATCCCAAACACAGATTTACCATTCACTCTTGACTTTGAGCGGACAACAACAGTATCCTTAAGAGCAACTAGTGCCTCGTTGTTCTCCGCAACATCTTTGATTGCCTTGACGGCACGTTTCTGCAAGAGAATGTCTACAAAGGTAATCGTACGTCGAATCAGATTCCAAGTGATCCCAGCCGAATCGGCAAACTCCAGCCTGAAGGCAACTGTAAATGATGCCGTTTCGGATGCCATGACAAAACAAGTAGCCGTAGAAACGGATTCGGCTGGTGCGGTACAACAATCCAGACCCAACGAAACTATGACATTGTCCTGAAGTCGAAGAGAGCTAGCTAGGTTTGAAATCTCTTTTGATGTGTTCCATTCAACGACTTGACGCACAGACAGTTTCTTAGGATGGAGCTCATCACCCTTTCGCACCTCTCTGGGCGTGGCTACCAAATCGAATCTAATTTGAAGTTATCGGCGTGCTCTTCCTGTCCAACAACGTAAACAGTGTTAATGAACGAGATGATGAATGATCCATTACAACTACTAGTACATGTATTATTTGCACGGTGCTACCAGGTTGTAGTCCTTTAGTCACCACCATCACAAGCCAGAACGACTTTCTTATTGGCACTGTCCCACGCATAGCCACCCACAGTCTCTCCATTCAAGAGATTTCGGGAGACGTAACACTTTGTGATGAGCATGTTTCCATCAAGTTGATTGGGGTGGAGAGGTGTCTCCGCATTCCGACGCCACACAATCCAACGAGGACAGCAGAGATCTGGTTCATTCTCCTTCATTGCTTCTTGATACGTACACAGCAAGCAGCATGGAGGCTGAAGAAATCCCAATCGAGCGTAGAAGGACATTTCGACAAACAATTCCCGAACCTCGTCTTCGGAAAGAACGTTGTTGCCATACACATCTTTGGGCTCCATGATCAAAGGGAGACTGTCATTGTCGTTGTCATTGTTCTTGGACGTGTTGTTCTTGGTAGTGTGGGTTTTGTTTTCTTGTTCACCAAGAATTTGCGGCTCTTCAGCTTGCTTCTGCTGTTGTTTTAGCTGTTGCTCTTTCTTTTGTTGCCAGCCTTGAGCCAGCTTGCGAGCATCGACCGACGTTGTCGAGTGCGAGTTCTCGGTGATGGAAGATGTCGGAGAAATAAGGTCACACTCCTCATTAGAAGCGCCACTGCTCACCAGGAGACTTTCGCGGTTCACCATCCATTGATCTGAGCCTATGCTGCTGCGGCGTTTGGGTTGGAACTTGACGGTGGTGTCCTTGAAATTCATGGTTCTGTTGTTCAATCCTCAAATATATAAACAAGGCAGCAACAATAACCTTGACATCTTCTGGCTTCCGTTGGAGCACTCTTGGACTTGCAGCAACGTTGATGAGCATTTGAAGCAAAAAATGAGAGAAATTAACGTATCTCAGAAGGGGGAGAGTCGTTAAATCTTCTCTTGGCCATATCCACACTCAGGTTTTTACAAGGAACTTGTCACCTTGACAGGATATTTCCCTTATTTTGCTTTTTTCAGTCCTCAGAAACAGTCCAAAAAGGCTAAATTTAAATACGGCCCCAATCAAAAATTGGCGATTTGGTGCTTTTAACTACCGGCTTTTTCAGGTTTTCAAAGAAACAAGTTGTCACTCTGACAAGTTAGGGTCCTAATTTGTCATAGAAACGGTAAAATCCTGAGTGTGGATCGGTACCGGCGTACCGGCGGTTACGGTACCCGGAGGTATGTACAGGATTCGAACACGAGGAAACATACATGTAGCATACCAGTGCCGGTATCATTCTGTGTAGCTATTCAAGACTGTTGGTTCCAGCTTTGAGGAGGAAGCTATGCTATGGCAACAGCCAGGGTATTTTGGGAGAGATTCGACCTGGCATGCGGCTTGCCCGTAATGGAACTGTCATCGCTGATGCCTTTGGCAATGTATGGCAAGTACTGAACCAAAGCTCTTCCAGACCAGCAGGTTCCCCCAGCACCCAGTAAGTTCACCATGCCCAACATCGAGAAGGTGGGACGTTGCTGCCTTGGAGAAACCATTGCTAGACATGCTGCAGAGAAGCGTGTAAGCACTGGGGTAGCCCGAAGGATCATTGTGTCAATAATGTACTGGCTACTTGCTGAAGCAGGAGCTTTCTTTAGAAGAAGCATTCTATGAAGGAATAGTAAACATAGAATGCGGCTGAACCTGCTATTTGTTCTCATGATATTTACAGCCGTAGCGGCCAAGCTAGACGTCTGGAGCTAGCACAGGTCTTCTTCACTAACTAACTAAAGCAAGAAAACTTGTTCTCGACAAGACTGTCGGAGAATCTTGCGTTCTACTTGCACCACAATCTTGTTCATGAGGATCGGACACTGCTGCTTGCAGATGGATTCAATCTCTTTGGGTGTTCTGGATTGGAACAACTCCAACGGAATCCCCACTTGGTCCAGATCTCTCTTGACATTCATGTTTTTAATGCCCAATGTCCGCACTGTCAAGACTTCCAAATCGCCCGGGACATTGATATCTTCGACCCGTTCGATATAACTGACGGCTCCGACAATTTGATCCGGACTGAGACTATTGACATAATTGACGGACAAAATTTCCTCGTGAAGAATTTCGTGCAAATCTCGAGCCGATGCCGACATGGCCAATCCCAAGACGAGCCCAGCGGGGATGAGGATCTCCGAGTATCGATCGTACTTTTTGGTATCAAAGTGACGTTCGTGAGTCAACCTGGCCAAAGATGCTAATTGTTGACTTTGGGAAAATGTCAAGGATCGATTCATGCTGTGCAGAATGCACTGTCCTGCATGAAATCGAGTCAGGGTATGGCTGGGTTCTTCAGCTAGCACGGTGTTGGCTTTGGAGAGCAAATGATCTCGAAACAAGTATGCCTTGTCGGGCTCTTTCATGTTGGCGGATGCAGATGCATTGGATTCCGGGACGGCCAAGGGAAAGAGCAATCGTTTGTCGGCTCGCATGCACAATCGTCCACGGTGATTGTACAAATCACAGGTAAAGTGAATGAGCGAATGGGATCCATCCGATGTGTTTCGAATTTTGTTGACTTCAAAGGACTTGCGAAAGGTATCACCGGCAAATGTCGGCCACAAATACCAGACGCGACCAAAGCCCACCTGTACTTTGGCAGCATCTTCGTGTGTCATGCTGGACGTGAGAAAGAGCGCCAGGGAGAACGGAATGACTCGATCTTGGAGGCCCATAGTCCGGCAAAAGGGTCTGCTGGTATGGATGCGGTCTTGGGAATAAAAGGCAGCATGCCAGAATTCCTGAATGGTCTCGGTGACGGTCATCTCGTACGGAATTTCGAGGCGATCGCCAGGTCGCAAGGACATCAAATCGACAGCGTGATCCACCGTCGAACCCTTGAGTAGTTTGGCCGCATCAGAATCGCTTCCAAAACTGCTGCTGCTGGTGCCACCCGAAGAATAACTCCCACCTCCCGATTTAGGACTCGATTCTGCTTCCGCCTTGTTGTTGCTGCTGATGATGCCGGACGACCGTGCCGCCTTGGGAACCGCTCCGTTGATGCCCGACGTGACTCCATTCAGGGAAAAGGAAACTCGAGGACCACAGTCGCAAGGCGAGGAACGCAACGATCGTCGGCGTGTCGCCAAGCGACGAGAGAACGAAGAAAGCGACCTCATTTGTTTGTCTCTATCTATCTAGCTAGCAGTAGCGAGCCCGTAGATGCAATAAGCGACTCTTCTTTGTGTCATCATGTCATGTCATCTGTGCGAAGGCTCTCCAGAAAGAAGAACAGAAAAAGAATGAAGGCGAAAGATCGCATGATAAGGTTCAGGGTTTTTCTGTAGAACGAAAGACACAGACAAAACCACGTCTGAACCAAACGCAACGCCCATACCGGTACCAGGTAGACAACACCAAGCAGCTATCCTTTCTTGGTAGGTTCATCTCTTTCAAGACAGACACCGAGTAAACTGGAGTGGAGTTGGGCCCACCCGGTCAAGATCCCGCAGCTGATTCCAACTACATCGTACCTGGTACCATTTTTGTGATGAAGATGCAAAAGTCCACTCTAATCGTGACAGTTTTGGCTGTCATTTGCAGTTTTGGCTGTTGCTATTGACTTGCAGTACGAGCATTGGACCGTAACATCGAGTTATCCACAGACAAGATGCTTCAGCGCTATGCCTTGGCCACATTCTAATTTGCTCTGCATGACGGCTGGCTAGCTAGTGGAGTTTTCAGGGAGGTTGCGTCCCGATCTCGATTCTGGCTGAGGCGTCAAGCGCTCGTGTGTGTACCAGTACAGGCCAGCTGCGAATACCATTCCAGCCGCATTCATGACAAGAAAAAGTGAAGGATTGCCTACTAATAAGCTGATGTTGTTACTTCAATTTGCTGTCATCACTGTCAGAAGCACTACGTGTGAATGCTGCTTCTGACAAAAAGTCATTCGCAAAAGACCATCATCAAACAAAGAAGGTACCAGGGGCGGGATCTATCCACAGCACGGAAACCAAAAAGATCTCTATGCTGTGGTCCCTTGTCAGCTGGATCCCATTCCGGCGGTGCAGCCAAAGCAATGGTTGTCTGTTCGGATCGCTTGATCTTGCAGGCTTTCAAATGAATCCACATCAAAGACAGACAACCCCCCTTGGTGGATCTCATCCACTCCAACTCCATAACCCAACTGTTGATTAAAGTCACAGTCGAAGATCTTGCCATCGTATCCAATACTCACCGTGTCAAAGCACATGAGAGACTTCATGGTATCCTTGTTAAAGTTGCGCTGGAGCAAGTCCATGTAATCTTTCAACTCTCCTCGACGATACAAAAAGTCGGCAAAGCGTTTGATGGGCATATTGGTCATGGTGAAGAGTGAATTAAAGAGAATGCCAAAGTTTTCATCCAACTCTTCCTTGTATTTGGCTTCCAACTTGACTTGTTCGGGTGGTAGGAATGCCCCAAGTGGATTGTAGACTAGGTCCAAAGGCGGCGACCCCGAATCGGGACGACCATATCCGGCATCATTTAGGGCCAAGAGAGCTGCAATGCTCCTTTCAAAGACTCCATTACCTCGTTGTTTGTTGACATTTTCGGCACTGTAACAGGGAAGACTAGCTACGATGCGAACATTGTTCTCCTTGAGAAAGTCGACAAGGTCGTCTTGCCCCGGTTCCTGCAAGACCGTCAAGTTGCAGCGGTCAATAATCTCCAAGTCGGGTCGTAAATCACGTGCCATGGTCACCAAATATCGAAAGGATTGATTCAATTCGGGAGCACCACTGTTGGGAGTGTACAAGGAAAGGGTAAGGATGGGTACCATACGAGAAGAAGATGATCCGATGATCGTGCCATTTCTTTCCATTCCAGCAACTTACCCAGTGATATCCAAAGTTTGAATGGAAGGAGACGCCTTTAATAGTTCCAAGCACTGTAGCACCACATCATTTGCCATTTGCTCTTCTGTACGCAAGGGGGAACTCTCCACGTGACAATGAGCACACGCTTGATTGCAATACAAGCCAATATTGATTTGCAACACTGTCGGCGCCTTTTTCCGCGTCAAGGTAACCTTGTCGGTTGATTGAAGCTGCGTCTGCAAAAAGTCTTCAAAACTAGGAATGCCCAAATCATCCAAGGCACGTCGTCGCTTGAGCCGTTCTTCTTTGCTCATTTGAGCCGCTCCGACACTCTTTAATCGCTGTTCGGTATCTTGAAACTCCGCGTCATTCTGGAGCTCATCCATGGTTTGATCGATCAGTGTGTTACCAAAGAGATCCTCTCGACGCCACGGCTTGGCACGGGTGAGACGAATCTTGTCAACCTCCACCGATGTCTTGCCATAGTCAGGCAGGTCGGGGGTAGACGAGGCAGCTTCCTTTTCGACCGACGCCGAGCGAGTAATAGTCCGCCCTCTTGACAGTCTTTCATGGAAAATTTGGAATGCCTGTACTTCTGTGGCAGCCATGCAGATTCCCGCCACCGCCAGGGAGAGCCTCATGGTCAACGATCGACGAGTTGGTGTGTTGGTGTCCTCTAATACAAGAACTTGTAAGCTTCGGATGAAGCGAAGAAGCAAAGAATAAATGGCTCTCCACTCTCATCATCGTCACATTCTTCGGCACCTGCCTCCAACAGCCTGAGCAGCTTTGCTTGCTTCTCGTATACCTACTTACTTTTAACCTTATTTCAAAACGTGACACAAAAAGCTGCAAGACTTCAAGGATTCGGAGGCATGTCTGCAAGTCACGAGTGCGGGTTGAAGTGAAGGTTGCGTATCTTGCTGCTGCCAAGGAGCAACAGGAGCAGCTATGCTACGTTGTGGCCGTGTTGAACCCCTTTGGAAAGAAGCCTCTCCCTGTTGTGCCTTCTTATCATCCAGGTAGTGAGTAGTTACCCACACAGTTAGTTGTCAGACTTTGTAAACCAGCCACCATGAAGACCGTTGCTTTCACCCTTTCCATGCTTGCCGCTTCGGCCGCTGCATTCCAGACCGTTCAACCAGCCAAGTCCAGCACTGCTTTGTTGAATTCCAAGTTCGACGGAACTTTCGGAACTGGTCCCGAGACTGGAAACAAGGTCCCTCCATACGGTGCCTGGATCTTCGACAATATCGGAGAAAGGGGAATCAAATGGTTCCAGACTGCTGAAATCAAGAACGGACGTGTAAGTAGTATTCGTAGACCGATCTGTAGGTTGTATCTCATGCCATGCTGAAACAAACGTATAGCTCACGATTGCTCCCTTTGTACTGTATTTTTCCAGGTTGCCATGGTCGCCACCATTGGTTACATGATCCAAAAGTGGGGAATCCACTTCCCTCTCTACCTTGGACCCAGTGGATCCAACGGATTCAGCCCTGAATCCTCCGATTCCTGGTACCTGTCCGCATCCGAAGGAATCACCTTCAGTGATGTTGCCCACGCTGCCACTCCTTTGGATGCCATTGGTATGATCCCCCTTTTCGGTTTCTACCAAATCCTGTTCGTCGCTGGATGGTTCGAACTCCTTGCCGCTGGACGTCAAGAATCCGACATTCCAGGAAACTTTGGATACGATCCTCTTGGATTCACCAAGCGTCCAGGTGGCTTCGATAGCGCCGAAATCACCAGCCTTCGTATGAAGGAGATCAAAAACGGACGTCTGGCAATGTAAGTACACTACTGTGGCTGGGAGAGCCATCTCACTCCTCACTACACTTCTCACCTTGTCATTTGTCTGCCTCTTTTGCTTTGACCACCACTCGATAGGATGACAATGACTGCATGGGTTACTGAGGATCTTGTCCCTGGATCTTTCCCTCTTCCCCACCCCTAAATCTAAAAGCTGTATTATAGAACAATGATGATACAGGGGTGGTTATCTTGAGACATTACCGGTCGATACTTATTGACTTGATTTCTCATTATCACTATAGACATGAGATTGCTTGCTTGCTACGTATGGTTGCTCTCTCATCCTACTACTTTGCTGAGTAGCGGCTGTAAACAGTAATTTTCCATTGCTACTCTCCTATTGCTTGCATTTGGTTGATTGTGGTTTGATTGATTAAAACTTTATTGAGGCTAGCTAGCTAGTGGCATCAACCGAGATCATTGTGTGTGCCCGAGATAGACCTGTTGGGACCCGCTGTAAATGGTGAAGACGAGTTCGTTGTATGCTTGGGTAGGCTCTGGGATGCCTTTGGGATATTGTTCGTTTCGCCCTCAACCGTACCGTAATGATAGAGCCAGTCTGCTGTGGGAAAGCGGCTCTCGTTGACTTTACGCGCTCGTGGAATTGTTCATTGTTCTTCATTCGGGTAGCTTGTGGAGTAGAGACTCGACTCGACTCATTTCCCACTGGAGGCAAGAGTCTGCAACTTGAATTGTACCGTTTCCTTGCCTCGCCGGAACGGGATCATGATGCTGGCTATGGGAAGCAAGCAACTATCAGCCAGGCATCTGTTGATTGGGAGGGCTGTTGCAGCGCCAAGCAAGCAACTACTATCAGGCTTCTGTTGATTGGTTCTAGGCCCGAGGTCCAACATGACTTCTGGTGGATTGTATCCACATAGCAAGTGAATGAGATCTCTTGCCCTCCTTTGATGCAACGATGGGAGTCGAGTCAAACATAAACCTTGAGTCTTACCGGTACAGTGGCAGGAGTGGCAGAGCGAGTGGTGGGTGAAGTGGTTGCATAGTGACTCTCTATGAAACCAACAAAACCTTTGACACAAACTTCATAGACCCCCAGGATCCATAGGAGCTGCACATAGAAGCGGTGGATAGTACCATCCTCTACATTGGACAAGGAAGCAACTCCCCAACCTCAAGGACTACCTGCAAGCAGGCTACCGATGCATCGCGGCCACGGGGGATGTTGCTGCTGCAGGCAATGAACAAACAACTACGCAAAGGATCACAAACAAGTAGAAAGCGCCATTTCAAAGAGTGAGCTGGCTGCTTAAAGTGTCATCTGAGTTGGTTATAGATCTATCATCTGGTGCTTGGGGAGGAAGCAATAGCTAGGATTTGTTGATCCACAGGTTCTTGCTACTGGTGGATGATCTACTAGTTAGAGGCTTTCCAATCCAACGACTGCAACTCAAGGTGTCCTTCATTGGATGCATTATCTTGTAGCTAGCTTGATAGCCTGCTCTAGAAACTAGCTAGCTAGACAAGGAAGTTTTGCTTCTACTTGTAGCTACTGTAGGTACCGGTACCAGTACCGGTAGCTGGAGTAAATGGCTTTGGAAAAAATGAGAGCCGTTGTTTCCCCTTTCTGCGTCGGTATTTTCATCGGCTTTCTTCCAAAAGCTGGCCGGTGCCAATCCGACTCAGCGCGCAGCTCCTTCGGAATTCCACATCATCATTGGCCTCCTTCTTTCACCGCTTGACAAACACTCGACGACAGTGGAAAAAGAGAAGAAAGGAAGGCACCATGGGAGCAGTGTTGACTCGACTATTGGAGATCTTTTATACCAAAAAGCTCGACATTGTGGTGATTGGGCTTGAAAATAGGTGCGTCTCTTCCTCGGTTTGCTTTGTTGTGCTATTCCGCCTCAGGTTGCTTGGTGCACCAGACACCACGACTCGAGGCTCGTCGACCATGGTCAACAACAAAGACAATCGCTTGAAGGGATGGATGATGTACCCGCCTGAATCTCTACTCACCTTTCTTTTATTTCTATGTGTCTGTTTGTTGCTGCAGTGGCAAGACGACACTCTTGTCCGTTTTGGCTCATGGTGAACCGGTGGAGACGGTGCCGACGATTGGCCTCAATGTCAAGGTATTCAAGAAAGGAAAAGTCAACATGAAGTGTTGGGATATAGGTACGTATTTCCACCTTGCGTTGTTTGTTTAGTGGAAAAGAGAGTCGAAAGAAGGAGACAAAAAGAAAAGAGGGACAGCGGAAGGTTGGGAACCAACTGATGGTTTCGAAAACCAAAGATCAAGGCCGTACTGAAGGCTAAGACGCGACAATCAGTGAAAGCGCTAGCTAGACCAGGTTGGCCAGTGCACAATACGATGAGGAGAACACGACAATTTGCATGAGTTGCCCTTTCTTTTCTCTTCTTTTTCATCCATCAAAGTCTTGTTTTTGGCATACAATGTCACTTTTCTTTTTGGTTCTCACCAACTTGGGCTTTTTTGCATGCATATCATCACTCACAGGCGGACAGGAGCAGTACCGATCGGAATGGAGTCGATATACCAAGGGATGCGATGTAGTACTCTACGTGGTCGACGCCGCGGCACCCAACAAATTCGTCACTGCGAAAAAGGAATTGCACAAACTTTTGGATGATGGCAGCATTGGGACAACTCCCCTCCTGGTCTTGGCCAACAAAATTGATATTCCAGAACATGCCGGAGAGCAGGAACTCATTGAAAAACTGCAACTCAACTATGTCCTGGAAACACCCTGGATGGTTCTCCCAATAAGCGCACTCCACACAACGAACATAGATCAAGTCGTCGAGTGGCTGACTAGTCAAGGAAAGTAACGAGGAGGAGGGATGGAAATGAACTGATTGTACAGGATAATAATAGCTGAAATGGAAACGACACATGATATTCAACCCCAACAACCAACGACAATCATTTATGATATTCTTTTAGAAGTTAGGGCTGTCAACCAATCGAAACTGCAGCTTTGTGCCGGCCGAGTCTTTATTGACTGTGGTCCGCGATACACAACACAGAGTGCATAATTTACTAAACCAGCGTAACGACAAGTATTTTCATGGATGCAACCACTACATGTAGTGTACGCATTTACTTATTAGTACCCGATAGCTTTACAGGCAATTACAGGAACCATGGAGCCTGTTCTTGAATGAACTGCTTGTCCATTCGTTTCGTGGTGATTTCGCGAAATGTCCGTGGCCGATTTTCCTCGACAAGGGCCACACGACAGTCAAGGCGAACGTGTCGGATGGGTCTCCCGTCAACGGTAAAACTACAATCCGTGTCTGTATCTGGTTCGTCGCAGTATTCCAAACTAATGTCTACACAGGAGAGCAGGAAGCAAGGAACACAAAGGTGCAAGAGGTGAGATACGGTAGAAGATATTCACAAGACAACTTCTCCTCATCCGTGAATCAAACAGCGACTTTTTCTGCACCGTCATACCTTCTTGGTCCGCGAAGATCTTGACCTTGCTTTCAGCACCGCATGCGGCCTGGACTGCATTCTCGGCCAAAATGAGCTGCCAGAACTTGCCGCCAGTGGAATCCACAGCCAAGTGGGCAGATACCCACTGGAAGGCACCGGCCATGATTGCCCTGACGCCGCGTTCACCCCAGCATCCTGCCCTCCATACCACTGTTTCCAGTCCGTTGCGTTGGCCCAGGTGCTTCATCACATCGATGGGCTCTCCACCGTCAATCGTCTCTACAATGACACCTCGATCAATCAGCTTGGATTTGGGAAGCTGGGCAGCTTCCAGTTGCTTTTGAATGCGCTCAGTTTGTTCTAGGGCAGCTTGTTGGAATTCGATCGCAGCCTTGGCCGCTTGTGCAGAGTCTCCAGTTTCAATCGCCTCCTTGGCCGCAAGAGCTGCTTTGGCAGCGCTTTCTGCAGCCTCGGCAGCAGCTTCGGCGGCTGCTTTGGCTTCTACACTCTTTCCTCGGCGGAGCAAGACTCGGGTAGGTTTGCGGTCCTTCGCTTCCCAAAAGGCTTCTATATCCACCCCAGGAGGATTGTTGGGACTGTCATTGGTAAGAGGGAGGTATTCTAGGTCTGTGGCATCCATGACCAAAATCCGTTCCACCCCAGGTGGCAAACTTGCGCCGTGGGTGGACAGCCATTTTAGACCGTTCAATCTCGCTGCCAGGGAGTTATCATCCGCTGGACCGTTTCCTGGGCGCGGGAAGGTGGCCACGACGGCATCGGCCTGTTCATACCATGGAGTAATGGGATTCCCTTTGATTTCACCCTGGCTTTCCTCATCTTCAAAGTCAAGTGAGAGGATGGATTCATCAAATTCTTCCCCCTCTTCCATGTCATCGGCCCACACTGTTTCAGGAGGAGGTGCCATTTCATACGCGCCAAAGTCGCGAAAGTTGAGCATCTTTCCATTAAAATTCTTTCCAAATGCGTTGCCCGATCGAGCGAAAGCTTCCACATTGTCTGATTCAACAACACTGCAATGAAGAAAACCTAGCGGTCTTCCAAAATTTGCAAAGTGTTTTCTGGCAACTCTGCGAAGCTGTGTAAGCCATTACAGTCAAGCAAGTTGGGGGGTGATGAGTCTTGATCTTTCCTCAGTTCTTCTCGGCGGGAAATCCAAACACGTACCTTGTTGTTGACAAGCTCTGAATAGGCACTGATCAAGTTTGCAGATTCAATGTGCAATGGATGGGTTGGGCTTAATACCCGAACGGATAGTCCAGCTTGATGCAAGGCTGTCGCTCCTTTGTAGGCCAGCTCTGGAATCGGAGATGGACAACCAATGACTACATTTGGAATGCCAGCCTGTTCAATCAATTTGGTGATTGGAGGAGTCACTTCGCCCTGTGCTTTTGGGGAAGGTTCCAATGTCAAGTAGAGAGTCGAGGACGCTAATTCATCTCTGAACTCTTCGCTTGGTACCCAATCAACACACCATTCTTTCAAGGGAGTTACCTTCAATCCAGAGTCTTCGATCACGGCTTGAACGGCATCTTTCATGTAGCTGGATCGCCCGCTGCCAAGGATTTTGCCAGACGCCGTCACCAACACCGCCCCCGCCGTTGGGTTGGGGAAGGCTGCATCTGGTCCTCTCTCTCCACCGCTAAACCCAAAATGAAGTGTATTGTCGGATTATTGCAAGAGTATGATTCGATTCAACCAGAAAACGTTCATGTAAATACGTGAGTGATTTGAAAAGGCAAAAAGCAAGCATTCCATGAAAAGAACAAGCTTTCAAGAGTCTTACGCAGATAGAGCCATGTCAATAGCCTTGAGCATCCAAGTGGCATCAAAGTCATGTTCGTCTGGATCTAGACGGAACGCTTCCAAGCCATTGATATCACTTTCCTCTTCTGCTAAGCTTGCTTCGTTTGTCTCAACTTCATCCAAGCTTTCTTCGTTTGAACTTTCTTCGATTGTCTCAATTTCATCCAAGTCAACTTGTTCCTCTTCTTGCAAATCCTCGCCATTCTTTACTTCATCCAAAGCATCTTGTGCGAATTCCAGGGCATCTTCCAGATCGGATGCGTCAACGTCAGATTCCTTTTGGACCTTTAATGGGTTTATCTTCGGTGTACTCCTCCACAGTGATGCTGGTGTCGTAAAAGGGGATAACGTAGAAGGTCTCCCGATGGAAAATCCCTGACTTTGGCCAACTAGCAGCAGAGTTACCGTCAAGGCAAGATACATTATTGGAGAAGGATTCCTCATCATGGCTTTCAGCACTATCTATCGGTTCAGCTCTCCTGCGATCAATAAATGATTAGATTACCATTCCGCTTTTCTCTGGCCACAACATCATGTCTCCAGGCTGTTGTTTTCGTCGAAGTCGCCGCTTCCAGGTGGTGTCTGCCCCTCGAGTGACGTCAGTTGTGAATTTCTGATAAGGTTAAAGTCAAAAATCAGAATAAGGCTAAGGCTAAGGCAAGGGTTACCTTAGCGCTCTCAAATCCACATGTGCAGCGAACTCTCATCCACCAAGTCCTAGAGTCGGCTCTCATCTTTGGTTCTACACTACCGGTACATGTACTGGTACCGGTACCTGTACCGTTACCGTCTTTGGTATCCCAACAGAAACTTGCTGAGAAAAGCCTGACTGTTTGGAATATCGTCAGAGTTCTCCAGGACCAGTGCTTCCGCGTCCTGGAAGACTTGTGGTTGCGGTCTCAGAAACAGGGGTGCACTGAAGCGAGCCAGAGGACCTCCCTCCACACGATGGATCATGGATGGCACCCTTCCATTGGTCAAGACTTCCAGCCATTTGCCTGGCATGACGACCAGATATCTGGCGTGCTCGGCATCATCATCGTTATCATCATGTTGCAAGTGGCGCGCCATGTCTTCGGGACAAATCCAACCCCGATTATTATGGTAGATTTTCAACCCGGACACACTGGATACAGGCACAATGGTGACAAAGGACCAATCACAATGTGGTCGTAGACTCTCTGTTGTTGACTCTCTGTAGCGAGCAAGCCTCTGAAAACAGGCATCCAAGTCCTTTCCAAGTACCCTTTCAAACATCTCGAGTAGCCGTGGATAATTGTTGTTGTTGTCTGCAACTTGAGAGCTACCATCATTGGACTGTGCGCAAGCCGCTACACAAAAGTGCTTCCCAACGTTGGCAATCAGCTGATATGCGTTCAAGATGTTCCGTAATCCATTCTCACCAATCATTTGTCGTAGTACCTCCTCTTCCTTCTTGTCCATGGAGGGATAATGCACATAATCGGATCCTACATTTGTGTTATTACCAGATTCCAGTGTCAGTTGTTGATGGAGTAATGAGTTTCTTTGTGCTTCCGTTCCCGAGGCAGCAGCTGATGGTACAAAGGGTATGCTCTGTATGGTTTGCCACATTTGTTTCACCACAATCGTTTCCTCGTCACTGAGGCGAACAATGCACCCGGAACAGAATTGGTTGTCATGAGATGGACTCTCCTTCAGCAGATCTTTGGAATGCACAATAGGAAAGTGGATGTCCAAAGTGCCATTCGTGCTGTGAAGATCATCCAACGTGTGAGAAATTCGTTCATCGACCAGATCGTTGAAGTTGGCGTAGAATTGTCGAACAGGAGACAAGGAGAGCCCATTTGCCGGAGTGAGGACCAAGAAAGAGATTATTTGTAGCATCCATTTTGATACCGACATTGCTGCACTCTCCCTGATAGACCTTCCTGCCTCGTACCTATCTCTGTCCCATCTTGACATCCCTTCCATGTCAAGATGGCTTCGACCTTCCGATGGCCCGGAAGATCCAAGATCCAAGTGGCTTTCGTTAGGGTTAGAGCTTTAGGTTTGGCGAGCAGCGACCATGAGCTTCGACCAGAATTCTCCCGTCTTCGAAAAGTAAAGCACTCATCGTAGTGGTCCTTGCGAGAAGTAGCAGTCCTTATTGATCATCTATCAACAAAACATGAGCAAAGCAACCCTAGCAACGGTTCAGGGCATCAAGACGTCCCTTGAGAAGGAGGTAGCGAAAGGCGATGACATTTCGTCGGAGAGTGTCAAAGACATGTTGGATCAGTTGGACAAGTGCAACATGACCATGGCCGTATTGACCAAATCCCTGATTGGGACGGTTGTCTCCAAATTGAAAAAGCACGACGATTTGGGCCCCCCTGCCAAGGCACTCGTCAAAAAGTGGAAAAAGGTCGCGAAAGATGCCGAAGCCAACAAACAAGCCAAGAAGGCGGAACGTCGTTCGTCCAATAATAGTGCTGCTGCTGCTGCTGCGGCTGCAGCTACAGATGATCAGCCTCTAGCCAATGCGGAAGAATGGGACGATCTTCTACCACAGCAAAAGATCATGTGTCAGAAACTACACAAATTCTTGCGCACGCACAAACCGGCGTTGGTCAAAGATGGAATTAACGAAGAAGCCGTCGACCATTTGCTCGTGTCGAGAGCGACCGAAATCGAAGCGGCCATGACGACCAAATTCAAAAACAACAGAGCTGGCTATGCGGAAAAGGCTCGCACCTTGTGTTTCAACTTGAAAAAGAATGCGCAGCTCGCGGAACAAGTAATCCTAGGACAAATCGAAGCTGACAAACTCATCACCATGTCCTCCGAAGAAATGGCGTCTTCCGAAGCCCGCAAGGCACGGGAAGAGGAGGCCAAAAAGCTGGTCGATTCGAAACGTCTCGATTGGGACCAAGCCAATGAAGACAAAATCAATGAAATGTGCGGTATCAAGGGAGATCTTCTCAAGGCGTCTCTGTTCACTTGTGGACGTTGCAAGAGCGTCAAAACGACATCCACTCAAAAGCAAACGAGAAGTGCCGATGAACCCATGACGGTGTTTGTCCTGTGCTTGAATTGTGGTAAGCGCTGGAAGTGCTGAATGGCTACAATCTATTTATTCATTGGAGCTCCTTGAATGCAGAAGGAAAGAAACCGATTAAAGAAGGAACATAATTGGTGGGAAGAAGTATTACCGTTCGATGGGTGTGTGCATGGATTGAGCACAACCAATTGTTTCACTAACTCTTTATTATTATTAAAAAATCTAGTACAGTACAGTGTATGATGATCTATCTTTTAGTCAGGGTGCCTTCTCTAGACCATATAAAGTTCCCGTCGTCCATGTTCTTCCTTTTTGGTAATCTTGCGAGATTGATGCTTGTACGGCGCAGGGAGATTGGCGACGTAGTTGTCAAAGTTCTCCATATCCTGAACACTCAGACGACCCGAAGTGTCCATGCTCAGACGACCCGAATTGTCCATGGCATTGTCCTCCGCTTCCGAGTCGGTATATTCCATGGGAGATGGCTGTCTGCTGCGCCACTTTTGGCGGCTGCTAACTTGTTCTTCCTGTTGGCTATTGTTGTCCTCAAAGACGTCCACATCACGTCCGATACTAATGTCATCGACATTCTCAATTGTATAGCGTCGTTTGGGTGGTAGTGGTGGGTTGTCGTCGGTGCTCGTCGTGTCGAATTCACAGCTGTTCCCATCCGAGCTCATGCTAAAACTCCATCCGAGAAAGCTATTGAAGAGGTAGCCACCGTTCTCCTCCTCGGATGGCGGAACCACTGTGGCGGGCGATCCGTTCTTGGGTGGTGGCGGTGGTGGTGCCGACTCCCGCAAGGTATAGATTGACTGTTCATCGACGGATTCCTCGGGTCGATTGTCATGCTGGTTGTCGCCCTTGGCTTCATCACTTGGTCCCTTGTGCCCATCCATCGAATAAGGGGTGGACGAGCTGTCCCTCCATTTCTGGTAGACTCGAACGGCAACCAAAAGCGCCACAACCGCAAACACCACCGAGATGGAGACCGCCACCGTGACAATGTTGCTGCTGGAATTATTGGCTCCTTCATTTTCTACTGACTCCCGCGACACCAGTAAAGGTTTCGTCTGTCGAAGAAACTCTTGATTTCGTGAATGGATGGCAGTTTCGACAATTCCCGTGAAGTTGAAACTGTCGCTATTGAAGGAATCATTCTCGGCAATGACGACACCTTCAACCCGCAGCATCACCCAAAGAACACTCGGGGAGACGGAAAGATCCAGAGTCTGTCCAATAATGGACACGGACAAGATACCCAGCGCTCCAATGTCTGCCATTACTTCGCCCGGTAGGTTGGTTGGGATGTTTCGGGTGATAAAGGACTGAGCTGTGTCTGTCAACGTGTCTGCATTGATCTGGGTCATGTAGTTCTCCGCTTCCCAGTTTAAGTGAATGTCAGCGGTGTACTCCGTACGAATCGTACTGATAAGATGTCGATGGCGGACGTGTCGTTGCTGCTGCTCGCCGTCAACTGCGCTTCGCTCAGGCTCAACTCGAAGGTTGGGAACCGGCTGGGCGCGGACCATGACGGCATGGATGCCAACCATTGCCGAGAAAATGGTAGTAGAGAGAAACTTCATTAGCGAGAATGACGATATGATGATTGTTTCAATGATCGAATTTAATGAGAGACGGAGACCATTGGTCACTTTGATACCCGCGCTTTGCTGGCTTGATGCTTTTCGAAGGAGAAAACTACGATAGCACATGTCGTCGTTGTTCATTCTTGTGGTTTGAAATCAGTCGAATTTTGTGAGGCGCGTCTCAGCAGTGTCTCAGCCCGCCGAGGTGCAAGCGAAAAGGTAGGTACGATCCCGTACAGTACCGACACGTACCGATGCAAAAAATGGATTGAAGTGATTGCGTGTATGTGGTTCATCTAGCTAGCTACATGTACAATATATGCACATGGCATACACATTTTGCAAACTGGTTTCAACTAGGGACGGCGGCTGAGCGGGAGCGATATTTCCCGCTCAATGAATGGACGACGATATCATGATGCCGGTAAAGCCACCTACCGGTAGCCACAGGTGCAGCTGCTGATATCCTCCGCAAATTAGGCATCATTGTGGTGCGATGCCACGTTCTGTTCTTCGCAAGAGCTATTGTCAGAAACTCTACCGGTACCCTAGAACTGCCGAGCCAATCATTCGAGAGTGAGGCAACAATCAGAATTCATGGCAGGTCGGGTTGTTTCTATCTTAGCATTCCCACTATTTGCTGCATTTGATAGGGTGACGAGTCGAGTTTGTCACTGAGTTGAGACTGTCCAGAGTCCTACTTGCTTGGTTACGACTGTACCTATTAGAAAATATAGGTACGGTAGTGGCATCGTTAGCTGGAAAGTCCCGCAAAAACTGAGTGTTTGCGATACTCTTTAATTAAACAGCTTGATTGTTGAATAAATCCAATAAGTGTTGAAAAAGTGTTCATTAAAGTGTTGAAGAACTGTTGATTTAAAGTTGATTCCGTTTCAACAACTGTTGGATTTACTGTTGCATTTTTGTACATTATTTTCAACACTTTTACGGTAATTATCTACTAATCAATTCAACATCTGTTGAATTCAGTGTTAAACCATATTCAACAGTGTTGAAAAAGTGTTGAAAAAGGGTTTAAATAAGTGCTGAACAACTGTTTAACAAAAGTCAACACTGTTGAACTTAGATTCAACACTTTTACAGATCCTTTCAGCGATTCCGGGACTTTCCTGAACTTTACCGGAATGAACCTGGTGCTTGATGCCGATACCGATTCCGATACGGCACCGATGCCAAGCATGATGTGGATAGCTTGGGATTTTCTATGGTACAGTCGTAGTTTTCCATTGAAAGGTACGGTGCTGGTCGAGGGTATATTTACAGATTCCATGGTGGAGTTTTAATCGCGGATCACCTCCTGACACTTTATGATTGTTATGGGCCGGGGGTTCTGTTCTCCTTCGCGAATGCTTCACGCTTGACACAAAAGCAATCACATTTTCCCTCGAAACGGTGTCTGAATGAAACATCCAATGACAGAGCAAATCGCAGCCTCCAGTCCTTCAAAACGCTCCAATCGTATCGTTGTAGGCCTAGCCTCTTGCCGTTCGGAGTTGAGGTGAGTTCGCCTCTTTGATCGATGCTGGCTTCAACAATAGGATCAAGTATCAAACCCACATCACCAATCCTTGATGTTGCAATCAAGACACGCGTCAACTTTCCTAAACCCGGAACCATGATGGCATCTTGTCGTCTCAAGGTTGTGTCAAGAGGATCTGCTTTCGTTTGAGCTTCCAATAACATGAGTATCCAATCTGAACTGTCATAAAAACAAAAATAGAGCAACACCAGCTGTACGACATCGAAAAAAACCTGAACTCTGCCACAATGCTCATGCAAAACGAAAGGCTCCCGTGGATTCTTGGGTGTCTGCAGGTCCTTCTCTTAGCCCTCATATTTGGTTGCACCACCTACCAAGATGATATTGCCAGTGGATACTCTCTGGGCGAGTACGCGATCTTCCGCGATATTTTGGTGATGCTCTTGATCGGTTTCGGATTTTTGATGTCATTTCTCCATAAATACGGTCTCGGAGCGGTTGGTTTCACTCTCATGCTCACGGCTTTGTCCATGCAGCTCAATATCTTAGTCGAACTCCTTTGCCGATACATGAACGAACCATCCCACGTTGAATTTCCCCATCCCATCCACCTCACCACCCTGGTGGATGCCGAGTTTGCTGCTGCGACCCTTCTCATTTCGTTTGGCGCTATCATCGGCCGCGCCTCTCCCCTTCAGCTCATCGTGATGACACTAATGCAGTCCTTCTTCTATGCTCTCAATAAGGTAGTGATTGTGTTGGGAGCTTGGAAAGCTGAGGACGTCGGGGGCACCATCACCATTCACATGATGGGTGCATACTTCGGCATGGGGGTGTCTCGCGTTCTGGGCGAACCAAAAGGCCGCTCCAAGGTCAACGCCGACTCAAGTGCCGTCTCAGATGTTATGGGCCTAATTGGAACCACGATCCTTTGGGTCTATTGGCCGAGCTTTGTGGGAGCAACCGAGACTGCGAACCCCGCAACAGAACATCTTTGCATCATGCACACTGTTTTGGCTTTGTTGGGATCAACTGTTGCAACGTTCTGCTTCAGTTCTCGTTGGACCCAAGGAAACAAGTTTGATCCTGTCCACGTAGCCAATGCTACCCTTGCTGGCGGAGTGGCCATCGGGGCTTCTGCACGCCTTGAAATGACTCCCGGTGGAGCTCTGTTGTTGGGGATATTGGCAGGCGGCCTTTCCACATTCGGATATGCCTATGGCACCCCCTTTTGCGAAGACTATCTCAAGATGTTTGATACTTGTGGCGTACACAACCTCCATGGGTTACCTAGTGTCTTGGGAGGTCTGGCCAGTGCGATCTTTGTTGCCATTGATGACGACGCTGAATTCCTCCACAATGATGGCATTCCCCAGCCAGTTCGCCAGATCCTCGCAGTTCTCACCACTATAGCCCTCGCAGTTTCGTCTGGATTTCTCACGGGTATTGCTATGAAGTTCGCAACTTTGGGCGAAGCTTCTTTCGTCGAGGAGTACAATGACGCCATGTGGTGGGAAGGTTGCTACATGCAAGCCATGCCACAGGACGAACTCGATCTATCTGCCAAATCCAAGGCGAGCATCTCCCCGATAGTGATTGTGGCGGAAGAAGAAGCTGATGCCTAGTGGGTGAGATGATTGAATCAGAGTACCCAAACGACGCGATACTTGTGGCACACATCATAGAGAAGCTTCTAGGTACAAGAAAGCAAGGGCAGAAATACATCATATCGAAGAACTTATTACATACACATATCATAAAGAAGCATACTATAAAGAACATCAGACAAAGTTTCAACTCAAACGTTACATGTACAGTTCAAACCCTTCGAAATCGACAGCTTGCACGGTACGATAGTACAAGAACTCCTCACTAACACTTCTTGCGATATCGAGTTCATGTTGAGCTCACTGGTATCGTACTCCGGAAAAGAGACAAGACAGCGACTATACCTACCCAGTTACTGGTAGCTACCTCACTTTCCTCTCCCGGTCTTCTGGGCTGACCTAGCTCCACTCTGGCTGAGTAGCATGTTTCCCAGACAGAGCAGTGCAACCAAAGAGCTAGCGTAGCTGGGGTAGCATAGCCAACATTCCTCCCTTTCGTGACTGAGGACTTGTCATCGTGACTGAGCGAAGAAGTATTCCAAAACGTTCGAGGAAACGGCGAAACCTGCTGATGTGCTACATGTAATAACCACGAGAAACTTGCTTGGCTTCATTTTCCCACACCTCCCTCCTGCATTGTTATTCTATACTCGTTGACCATGTGTCCTCACGAAGCTGAGAAAGCTGTAGTAGGAGAGACTACGCGTCTCCTGGACTCCGTACCAGGCGACGAAGAGCTGGCCGAGAGAGACTGGTCATCATCGGCAAAACGCACCTCTGCTTGGAAAGAGGAGTTGTCGGCCTTGATCGAACTCAGTGTCCCCGTGATCGGCACTTATCTGCTGGAAATGTTTCCAGGAATCACATCGATAATCCTTGTTGGTCACATCCACCACGAACAGACAGAAGAGTTCATTGATGCCACAGCTTTGGCAGTCATGTTTAGAAATTGTGTTGCCATCTCAGTCGGAGTTGGACTGACTTCTGCCTTGGATACCCTCTGTTCACAGGCATACGGAGCCAACGAGACCCATCGCATGGGAACATATCTTCAAACAGGAGTCTTGGTACTATCAGCTTTTACGGTCCTTGTTGCAGTACTGTTCTACTTTTGCGAGGAAATTCTAATAGCCCTCGGGCAACCAGAAGAGGTTGCCAAAATGACGGGTACATTTAGTAGGATCTTGCTGCCCGGGATTCCCGCACTCTACCTTTATGAGCTGCTTCGCAAAGTACTACAGGCTCAGAATGTGGCCAATCCAATGCTGATTGTATCCATTGCGGCAAACGTGGTCAATGTTGTCCTGGGATATTTTCTTGTGTTCCACACGGCGTGGGGGTGGCTTGGGGCAGCCGTGGCAAGAACGGCCTCGGACATGACCTTCTTCTTACTGCTTTTGCCTTACACAGTTGGAAGTGGTCTATCAACCACTTTCTGGACAGGAATCCACTGGAAGGAAGCTGTAGAAGGTATCACCCAATTCCTGACGCTCGGGATCCCAGGCATGCTTCAGGTGTGCTTTGAGTGGTGGGCGTTTGAAGTGCTGGCCTTGATCTGTGGCCTGCTACCCAATGCAGTTGTATCAATTGGAGCCAACGCTGTTGTTCTCAATATTGCTTCGATGGCTTTCATGCCCTATTATGGCCTCTCGGTTGGCTGTAATGTTCGCGTGGGAAATGCGCTGGGAGCCAGCGATCCGGAACGAGCAAAGTTGGCAGCATATCTTTCATTAGGACTTGCTGCAGCCACTGCCGTGGTGTGCGCAACCTTGCTTCTTACCTTTCGAAAGAGTATTCCTCGGTGGTTGACGCACGATGAGGAAATCAACCAGTTGTCGGCAGAACTATTGATCGTTGTCGCCGTCTTCCAGCTTCCAGATGCAATCAACGGGACTGTGCAAGGCATCTTTCGAGGAAGTGGACGGCAGGCTCTTGGTGCCCAACTGAACTTTGTGGCATATTACCTGCTGGGACTCCCTTTTGCTTTTCTCCTCGCCTTCTGGCTCCACCAAGGCGTAGCAGGTCTCTGGGAAGGCATGACGGTAGGGTTGTTGCTCGTGGCAGTCGTTGGAACCATTCTCGTTAAAAGAAGCGATTGGGTGTTGCTCGCCAAGCAAGCAACAGAACGCATCGAGGAGGAGGGTCTCCAAAAAGACTAGCTGAGCGTCCTCTAGACTCTAGCTAATGGTAGAAGCTACCCAATAGAATCATAGAAATGCAGCTGTTCTATGCCATCCAAACCAGGATGGTTGGAGATCGCAAAGAGACTGGCAGCACTTTGGCCCTCGGGTTGGTCCCAGTTGGTCCCCCTTGATCCTCACGGTACATATTCCTGAATTGTGCCTTGTGTTTTCCTGAGCCCGGCCATTGCGTGCTTCCCTGGCTAGCTAGATAGCTTCCCTACTCTAGAGACCTCCTTTTACATGCATTACTTGGGTGTCTCGCAGTTGGCTCAACTAGAATCCAACAAGCGCCATAGATCGGGAAGTCCTGTCACTTGTGTAGCGGAAGATTATTATCAATGACGTGGATGGTGTCATCGTAAGATTGATTTTCGATTGATTGATCATTCGATTCTGATTCGATTCGATTCGATTCATCATTCGAGATGCAGCTGGCCGAAAGAGCTGGCTTTGGGGCTTCACCACATTCAAGTCCAAAACTGATGGCATATGCCATCCTTGTTTTGACATGGCAGCTTTGTTCTGGACCGAATCATTTGTCATCCTTATTCTACCCATAATCAATGACGATGAAACTGGGAATAGTGTATACAGGAGGAACGATAGGTTGTTTCTATCGTCCGCTTCGTCCCATGACGAGTGAGGAATTCGCTGCCCTGTTCGATCAACACGCGATGCCCATCATTGCCGCCAAGTACCCCCAACTTCGAATGCAACACATCCCTTTCGGCTCTGCATTAGATTCGACCAACATCCAACCGATGGACTGGTGCAAGATTGTGGAAACAATCTTGTCAGCGTATATGACCTGTGATTGTTTCCTGGTGCTGCATGGCACGGATACCATGGCTTATACTGCATCGGCTTTGAGTTTTCTTTTCACGGGCGTGGATACGAATGGCCATCGAGATTGCATCATCAACAAACCGATCATCGTCACTGGAAGTCAGCTGCCGTTGTTTGACGGCGAGAATCCAAAGGCGGGAGCTCAGATTCGATTCAACTCGGACGCCTTTCAAAATATCTGTGGGGCCGTGACTTGTGCTCATTATGGCATCCCCAAGGTCTGCTTATTCTTCAACAACAAGCTGTTCTTGGGAACCAGGGCCCAAAAAACCAGCTCCAACCAATTCGATGCCTTTTCATCTCCCAATTATCCACCCCTGGCCCAAGTGGGCATTGAAGCTACCCTCAATCATGGCAGTGTCAAGCTTCACTTTCCATCCAAGGAAAAGCTCTTGACAAATCCGTTGGCCAGAGAACGATTGCAGGCACAACTGGATTACATCAGCTCACTAGGGAATGAAAAGATCCGAGTGTCAACCTTTGAAGCATATCCTGCCAATTCCAAGCATTTGGCCGGACAATTGCGCAACATCCTTCATCTGGACAACCCAGAGAAACAATTGCACGGGCTCATTCTGGAAGCTTACGGAGCCGGAAACTTTCCTTCGGGTAACCCTGCAGAACCAACCAAAGGAGAGGTCTATCAGGTGCTAGCTGAAGCGACGGCAAAAGGCGTTATTATCGTCAACAATACTCGTTGTCTATCGGGCATTGTGGACTCAAGTGCCTACGAAGCTGGGTCCTGGATGGCATCGGTAAGGGCAGTGAGTGCCTACGATTTGACCCCAGTGGCTCTCTATACCAAACTACTGTTCATGCTAAGCTTGGCACATCGATACAACTGGAGTGGTGACACAATACGGACCCTGTTGGCGGGCAACTATGCAGGCAAGTCCAGAAAATTGCATGTCAGGGCCGTCACAACGCCATCGTTATGGCAGCATGCCGCTCACACATCGCTTTTTCCTGCATCTCCCAGGAGAAATGCTGGACGTGCACTGCTTGGATACGTTTGGGCAAAGGGAGCTATGGCCAGGAGAGTCCATCACCTCTCTTGATGGAACGGCTCGACTGACCAACGACTGGTATCGAGGACCCATTCTGCGTCTTCGTCAGAATGGAAACTGGAGCGAGCCAGTGTGGAGTGCCATGGACAGCAGCAGAGATGTTGGATTGACTTGCATTTTGAGAATGCAGAGGTACGTGTGACTATAAAAAGTGAGAAGTTTGGAGTGCATGCAGCTTGAGGCTCGAGCCCAACAGTCAAGCTACCGCTCCTCGTCGCGCCCAAACTCGTCTAACCAGCTTGCTGGTCTATTGCTCCATCGATTTGGACGGTTGTTTCTGACAAAAGTGATGGAAACCTAGTGTTTCGCAACCATACGCTGGAATGTTTGTGGGAATCAGGGACGGCCAAGGACGCGAGGGAAGAACCATACTCGCGGTTGGAGTTGACCGGTTTGACACACCCTGAAGGTGCATCCCTGCAAATCTACAACTACGTTTCCCATGTTGTAACGAAACGACTATTCCCGGTGGAGGACGACACCGGTACCGGTGCAAAAAGAGTTTCTAGGGATTAGTATGGAAAGAACAAGCAGCCGGAGGCTGATGCCCTCAACTGTCAAAAAGAGATTTGATTGGTCAAATCATTTACCGTGTTCAACTGGACACACTATTGATAGCAAGTCTCCATAGCCAGCCAGTACGGGCACAGTGGTATCGGTACCCATGGGTCCAGAGTACTGTGTCCAACAGAACACACAATATAAATCCCTATCCTTAACAAGGAAAATGTCCCTTATGTCTTTGGCAAAACCTCCACCGTGTTTATCTGGACACACTAGCGAGTCTGCATAGCCAGCCAGTACTGGTACCCATGCGTAGAAACTACTGTGTCCAACAGAACACACAAGATTAATCCCTATCCTTAACGAGCGACGAAAACAGCTGCAACAAACACACAAACACACACACACACACACACATACAGCGATAAAAGTGTGAAAGACCCTCAGTCCGTTGAGGGCAACTATCGTGAAGCACTTCTGAGGAACTAGAGGACGAAACCGGTAGGAAATGGTCCTAAGGCGGTATGGCTAATGGTGGAAGACAGACCTTCAGTTACGCAAGGAGAATAGCAAACTTTGTGCAGTGGGGCAAATGGATAGCTAGCAGATAAAGAGACACAGGGAGCTCTCAGCCCATATGATCTCTTCAAAACGGAGTTGATGGAATGACAGGGCAACTGCTGTCCAACTTGTAGCATTATGAGAACTGTGTCCTTGGGTCAGTGGGGATTGCTGGAGGGTACCTTGGTGCCATGGGGCCACTGTGATGTTCTTTGTTTGGTACGGTAGGGCGATGGCTTGGCTTGCCGGTATGGACAGGAGGGCAATGAATGTCTCTACTTGGGCTGTAGTTTTGCTTGTGCCGTAGAAATCAGATTCGATTCTGCTTCCGAAGCAAGGCAGAATTTCAGGTAGTCTAGCATCCAACATCCAAGGATCTGAAGCAAAGTCAACTTGCTGGAGTGAGTGACTCTGACTCAGTCAGTTGAAAGGGCTTTTGCCTGCTGGCGGGTACCATTCATGATCACATCCTCGACCACACGCTCCTGCTCCGTCCTTGGCTCCGAGGTGTCAACCAAGCTTCGGAGCAGCTGCTCACCAACTCAAAGGGCTGTTAAACTTAGTACGGAGAAGAGCGTGGAGAATGCGTCATGCCAAAGCTTTTGTTCCCTCGGGACTCCCTGAGCTGGTTGTGGCAATGTGGCAAGGTTTGTCAAATGGTATCTTTCGTGTTGGACTATGTCAATAAAAGAACCTTCAATTTTTGATGATACCTTGGTTATAAGCCTTTCCGGTATTTCAGGGTAGAAAGGCTGAAGGCTGCCAGTACGCAAAGAGTGCAGGTATTGATTCAAACTACATCTATCAAAATCAATAGAGACTACGGTACAATGAAAAAGCGAAAAATTTAGCATCCTGTAGCAAGGCAACCAAATCAGCAGCTATCAGCACTGTCAAAATTGAGACAGCGCACTGGAGCCTTAGCAAAAAGGAGTGATTAGTTGGACGCGGCTGTTGGGCGAAATTGTCTACTACTAGTACCGCGAGAGAATGGGCCAGAGTATTATCAATTCCAAATCTTTTGCAACTACCGGCATAACCTCAGGCTCATAAGTAAAAGGATAGCTTTTAAGCACTGATGAGGCTCGTGGGTGATGAAACAGTTGAAGCAAAGAAGCCAAACAACCAAAAGTTACGCTATCACCAAAGAGGACAGGCTATGTTTTGGCAAATTGAGAAGCTGGTTTAGTAAAAAAAGCTTCCATTCGCACACTGTTGTGTCACATTTTCCATTTTGATTATCTTGAAAGAGAGGTGTAAGCGCAAACTGGGAAGCCTTTTTCTCTCCCACCATGGCCACATCACCAGAAACTTGTTGCAGTCAGCTTCACCCAGCAGCTTGGCACTATGGGGATACAGTACAGAGGTTCAACTCGGGGACACCCCTAATTAAATATGTGCTATCGTCATCCAAGTCTTCACCCACTTCTGATGTTTGTTTGTGGCAAGCTCCCTCCAAGGCTCCCTGACTGTAGCTGCTAGCTTGCAACAAGCCAAAGCATTGATACAAGCTGGATGTGGATAGCCGTCGTCCTTATCAACAAAAACTTACTACTAAACCTGAAGAGGTAGCAGGGCAAACCAAGGCTCACTGCAGTATTCTTCAAAGCTATCGTTGTTGACTAGCTAGGGGCAAGAGGTTGCAGGCAAAGGAGCAAAAAGGCGAATCACCTTTCTCATTTCGCGATACTGGCGAGATTGCCTTGTGCATAACAACGAAGCTCAAAATGAGCGCTGGTGGAGGAGACAGGCCCCTTACATTTCGGCCATCAGTCGATGATAGGGCTCAGCTTGACGCTTTTCTGAAGGACGTATTCAAGAAATACTTGGAGCAGAGATCTCACTTATTAGGTTCCTCGTCGGATCAACCAAGTCTCAATCCCTCTCAAGGCCAGACAAAGGAAGAAGACGACCGAAGTTTGGCCCTGAGACGGGCTTCAATGCCCGCAGCAACAGCTGCAGCATCCACAAACCCAATCCCTGCAGGAAAACAAGTTGGAACATTGAAACAGCCCCCGCCCGCAGTGCTGCCCACGAAAGTAGCACAGATGGCACCGGCTCCAAGAAATCCTCGTCCTTCCAAGAAAAGGAAAATCTCAACTTTGACCTCTTCTCCCCCAACGAGTCCTGAAGCCCCTGATAGGCCCCCAAGTGAACCAAAGAGCAGCACTCCGGCTGCAGCAGGTAGCATTTGGAAGTCAGAGAAAGGTGCTGGTCCCAAAGTAGCCGCTGAACCGCAAGACGGGAAGTCAGAAATTTGTTCTCCTGAAGCCAAAAGTGTTCCAACGGTCAATCATGAGTTCATTCAAAGGCAGCTGGATTCCATTGCTCGAGCAAGTCTTTTGCGCGCCAAGACGATTGACATTCATGCCCCTGATCCAGAACAGGATGCCCCGCCGAATGAGACACCGGTCCAAAAACGCCGTCGTTTAGAACGGATTAACGGGAGAAGAAAGAGGGCCAAAAAGCTCATCGAAATTGATTCTCTCAACGAACGGCTTGTTACCCTGGTTCAGGAGAACAATCGGCTCAAGTCCGAGAATGCTGATTATCGACAGAAAATCGAAGTGATCAAGAAAAACCTGGCGAGTGGAAGGAGTATTGCCAGCCCAGGGCGCCAAAGCACAAGTCAACCTGGTCGAGCTGGAACGCCTCTTGTTCGACTGCCGAATCAGGTTCAAACCCAGCCTTCGCAGTCAGCGTCACTCCCATCGTCTCGTCCGTCCACACTACCCTCCATACTTCCTCAATCGCAGCCTCCTCGACTGCTCCAATTGCAGCAACAAGTCCCACCACAAGCTCAGTTGCAACCAGCACTTGCATCCGCTGCAACACTTCCTCAGCATGTTTTGTTCTCATCGCTTCTGTCAACCTTGGTTCCTTCTCCTTCGCCCAACCAGTCGTCTCTGTTGGCAAGTTTGTCAACAAACAATCCTCGTTTGCAGCTGCAGAATTCATCCATCCTCTTCCGGCCGCAATTACAATTGCAAACTCAGCTGCAGTTGCCTCTTCAACTGGCAGTGGCTCGACAACAACAGCAACAGCAGCAACAACAACAACATCCACCACAACCACAGCAGGTCCTGCCGTCTTCGTCTGGGTTCGCGCAGCTTTATGCGGGGAATCCTGCTCACTTGCCACCTTCGACAGTATCCATGATTTCACGAATTGCACAAGCTTCGCGTCAGCCAGATCAGTTGTACCCTTTTGCAGTGAGAACCGCTCCTTTACATACGGGAACGTCGGCAACAACACCTGTTGCTGCCGTGGCTTCCCCCGAAGCCGCTCGGTCCGGCTCCCCTCCACCCAGAAACGCCAAGGAACTCAAGGCTTGGATGGAAAAGCAAAAGAAGGAATCCAAAAAGTAAATTGTTACATGTTTGTCAGCACATTTTGCATCATCCATCGTAGCTTCTTTTCATGGGCCCGAACCACCCTGCAGCCACGGCTAGCTTGTTCAAGGGATACTGTAGATTGGCGTCAACCCTGTTACCGCATATGCATGTGGTTGGAAGTGTGGAAGGGTAGCCAACCACCGATTCGAATCTACTATTCTAGCTTCCATTGCGTTTCCTCGATGCAGTCTGCGTCTCCCCGCGAAAATGATGTTTGTGTTGCATTGATGGGTGGTAGAATAGCTAGCTAGCCAGAGCTACTAGTAGAGCTTGCAATTGCTTTGTGTTGTGATGAAGTCTGCTCATTTCATGTGGTACCTGGTACGTACCACCTCCTGCGGCCGTGTCTTTCTTCCAGCTTTTGAACCAGCTCCGTCTGACGTCAACGCGATGGGGTACACCATTTACAATCTTTTCAAGATTTCTATTAACATTCAGGATTCAATGCTAAGACTCTATGATGTGACGTGTCTCAAGTCTTAAATGGCTGCTTCAACTTCAAGCGAAAGTCAGTTTAAGTCTTCAACCTTTTCCTTAAACAAGGCCTCAGGCCCAATGATGGCCTCGATGGGCTTGCACCGTCATTCAAATCACATCCACGTCGGAGCCACAGATTTAAAGTATTTGACCGAGTTGGCAACAATCTTGTTGACGACAACGACATCTTGGGCTTGGTCATCCAGAAAAAAGAAGCGATTACCTTGAAGATGAATAATCTGTCAGACCTCTACCGATACAGTACTATTATAGTGCACTGTATTGTAGCTACAGCATCACGTTCCTAGAGTGCAACGCACTACAGGCAGGGCCAGGTTGGTGGCCTGTCTCTGTTGGTCGTTTCATCTACCGGTACTGAGGCTCTCTGAGCTAGCATCGCTCGGTGCTGACAGAGGACGGCAGCCACTCATGCACACTTGAGCTTCTATTGGGTACTTGCCTGTGTAGCTGGGTCTTGCCTCTCAGCCACCGCAGTGTGCTGCGTGGCTGGATACCAAACCCTGCGCTGGATGCTTTTTTTTGATTTCTTGCTTCGTAGTACCAATGGCTGCCCCCCGTCCCGGGCTGCCGTACCGGTACTTGTCCTGACTAGCTGAGCTCTGTCTAACACGGTCAGGCATACCGGTATAGAGTACCGGTAGGCTAACAGCTGCAGAGCCCTGGAAATTCGTGGTACCTGGTAGATCTACCGATAGCGGAGATGTCACCTTTCTCGTACCGGTGCAAGTTGTCCCGGTACACGAGTCAGTCCACCTGTGCTACACAGTGCTACCCGTACCCTGACCCCTGACGATCTGGCCAGCAACAAGGTGTATTTGTAGCTTTGCAAGTTGTAATAAGAAGCTCTTCGAATTAATGACTGCGGTATCCAAGACTGACGCAATCAGAATTCGCGAATTCGCCTCCGAATTCTTTTGTCTCTCTCTTGGACAACCAAGCTAGCAAGGAAGCCAAACCATCGCCACCGAAAAGCGCATCAGTTGAATTAATTGAAGTCCATCGGCGGATGATTGATTGACTATGAGTGAATCATCCACCAACATCCTCTGATACATACCGTACATCGACCAGTGAAGAAGGTTTCCCATCAGTATTATCTTTTTGCCGCCAGCTGCTTGCCTGGGATATAATCTGTTGCCATCTCCTGCTCGTAAAATTGAGGAAAGTTTCGTTATCTTAGCCTCCACTACTCAGTACGGTCTGTAGCGAATCCACCATGAGATCCTTCCGATGGCTACCAAACGAGGGCCTCGTCCTTCTCTTACTGGCACTCGCATCGTCGACTTCGGCGAATCCGTGGCACCAACGATACAACGATCCAACGAAGAAATCTCTGCCGCCATCGTTGCACCACCAGACACGTGGAGGGTACGCCAACATCCGTACCAAGAAACCACACCGCAACTGGCTTGGCTATACGTCCGGCACTGCCAATGAAGCCCCCACCATTCCTTGGACCCCTTGGAGTCTGGAAGAAAGCACCGAAGGCGGGGTCCCCTTTCTGTTCCCCCATCATCTTGATCCATTTGGAGAAGCACGCCAACAAGAAAGACACCATCCACAGGAAAATCCAGAACGGCTCTCCTATGTGGACGAACTTAAGCGACAAGTGGCAAAAACTTCGGAGGAAGCTGCACTGCGAGACGCCACGGAAAACTCCCAAAATCAAGACATTTCGCGGCTAGATCTCACCCTTTTTGCTTCCTACATGAGCCATGCCATCGCCATGACGTTACCCATTGTCTTGCTTCCGTTGGTGGCTGCGGAGCATGTCGCCGTCAACAGCCACTTCAGGTTGTCAGCTGCAGCTGTCGTTGCCTCGATGGCTTCCATCATGACATTGGGTGGAGGCGTGGGGAAGATTCTCAATGGCTTTGTCTGCCAATCCCTGGGTGGATCTCGATCCTCCTCTTTGTATCTGACGGCATGGGCAGGAGCTGCCTTCTTGTTATCCACTAGTGCTGCCTCCCAAGCGGGATGGATATTGGCTTTGATGGAGTTTCTAGCGTCCATTCAGTGGACAGCCATGTCTTTGGTTTTGGCCAACCATTATGGCAAACGATCACCCGCAAAGTTTGCTAGGGGTATCACCATCCTGAGTTTGGCTTCGACTTCTGGCACTCTCTTGGCCAAGACAGGGGGCACAGCCTTGCTCCATTATTTCGACAATTCATGGCGTGCCGTGGCTCGCGTTGCTAGTGTTGCCGCCCTGCTAGGAGCTGCCACGATGAGACTCGTTTCGGAGCATCCCAACAACGCACGGGTGCCAAGACAAAGCAATAATACGCCTCAAGCCACTGCCATTGGCGATTCTCTAAAGGCTGTCCTGGGCAATCCTCTCTTTTGGCAAGTAGGCATTGCTCATGCGACAGCCATGGTGGCAAGGACCAGTGACCGGATCCTCGGTTCCTTTTTTCATCAAACAACAGATCTGCCGCGTAAGTATGAGAATACAATCATTCATGCAAGTGCAAGCATTGCCCCTGCTACAATTCACTAAAACAATGCTTCTGTATTCCTTGTTCCGCAGGTTCTGTTTGTGGTGGTCTCACAGCGTTTGTCACGATTGGTTTTGTCCGTGGATTGATCCGAGGGAGAAAATTTCACACTCTGAAAGACATTCCTTCCAAAACACAAATGCTGTCAAAGGCTTACAGTGCTTGTGCTCTGTCCGCTGTGGGTATGGCACTGTGTGCCAACAGGTGGATCCAGGAGCTCTTGTTTCCCTCGAAATACATCCTAGCTGCAACAATAGCAGCTCTATCGGGCATCTTGGCCTCCAACATTTCATTCCAATTCTATCAAATCCCAGCCATGACAGCAACTGCGTTCTTTGGACCCAACAAGGCGCTGTGCCTTTCGCTACTGGATGGCTTGGGTTTCTTTCTCGCCGCACCCGTGTGGGCCGCTACGGGTAAGATTGTGGAAGGTGCCGGTCCCCATGGTTGGACGTTGGCATGGTTCCTCTTGGCGGGAATGTTTTCTGCTGGAGGCAAAACTATGATAGGAGCTCTACCAATGATTTTGAAACGACAACAGCAGCAACAACGAGCGGCGGCCGCTGCCTAAGTATGATTTGCCAGGTGCATATTGATCAATCCAGGTAACGAAATGGTGCTTGTAGCCATCAAAGGGTGGAATCAGACGAGGCCGCACTGACAGATGAGCAACGTTGTCGCAAGTTTTGCCCGAAACTGTATAGCCGACAACTTGATGCTGCCGTGAACAAAAACCAGGCTGGCAGGCCACGGATCATTATGGTAGAACAGAACACGACAAGAAGATACCAAAAGGACACACGTTAAAGCTCATAATGATCCTCTAGTTTTGTACTGTATCCCTCCACCGATGGCTCTAGATAGAAAGAAACGGAATTGCTATCGTAGTGGTTAGAGTTGACTATGTGTAAGAATGGACTCCTGGTCGCGGGCAGCAGTGCATTGCAGGGGGTGATGTCTGACAGCGAAGATTGAGCAGACCTACTCAAGAAAGGAAGGATCGCAAGGAAGGAGGCCAGGAAAGGGGTACCGGTAGGGGTGAGTGCAGGTAGCTAGCTAGTAGAGAGGCCGGGTGTATTGGTGAAGAGTGGAGCTGGAGCCTTGCATTCTCAGACGGTCATACGGTACTCTGTTTTTATATCTTTGGGTCCCTTAAAGCATTAACAAACTCAACTCAAAACACGAAACAAACACTTTTCTTGATGACATCAAACAAACCTGAACCAAAGCCTCTGCCTCATCTACAACAAGCAAACCGTCAACAGTCTATCTAGCTCTAGTAAAGTAGCTAGCAATCAGGCACCCGCAGTGATGAATCGTTCGAGTGGACGCCGTCTTGTCGACGGTCAAATTGTGCACAGTGATGCCTTTCCTTCCAGTTCCTTTTCCTATCGACGATTTCTTTTCGTGGCAATTCTGGCTACCGTCATGATTGTGACGAATCCTGCCAACGAGCTGTTCTCCAAGACCATGGATATTGTAGAGCAAGTGACAGGCAGAAAGTCACGGCAGCACGATTTGTCCGATTGGGACTTGAACAAGATTATGGATCCCCCCATCAGCGTGACCAACTATGGATTGTTTACATTGGAAGAGAGGCATGCCAAGGTGGTGGTGTCACTTCTGACAAAAAGCGTATCATGTCCCTACTTTGATCAACGCAAGGGCTCCTTCTGTAGTGCCGTGGGTAAGTGCCAAAGTCTTTATGATCGATTGAGAGAATCCTGTATGCATCTAGGGGAGCTTGATGAACGATTATCATGCATGGTTGCTTCTTCCCGTTTGCTCACTGACGTCAATGATCCACACTTTCCCTTCTTTTTGTAACTATCTCTAGCCAAGAACCTATGCCATGGAAACCCCCTGGTCTATCATCCCAAGAGCTATGCCTACACTGCCCATAGAACCATTTGCTTCATTCTCGTCGGTACTGCCTTGTTGGCATTCTGTTTCAATGGATCTATACCCCCATTCTTGACCCAAGAACCATTTATGCGAGCATTGTTGACGTGTTTCAGTCGAAAACACTTCTCATTGCTCTCCTTGGCAATGGATTTGGTAAGTCCGCCTTGTTGGTTACGTGGATGGTTGCTTGGCTCTTTGCTGGAGAGGTCGTGGCAGGTGACACCAGGTTGCTCAATGGTTCACCTTGTTTTGTATTGTGTTGTTTCGCCCAGGTCAATTGCAGTTTGTTTGTCTATCCAGCTTTAGGTATGAATAAGCCTGATTTCGACTGCATTTGTCTTTTCTTCTTCTTGTCAATTAACTGCTTCTTCTTGTCGACCCACACAACAGAACGAATGGAGCGAATTGTACCAACGCTACAAGATGGGAAACCAAGTCTTGCCCTTGGAGTACCAGAGTGGACAGACTTTGCGTTTTATGCGATAGTGATGGTACTGTTTCTGGGGGGAGGCAGCAATTCACTGGCTAATTTCTTTTTCACCAAAGATCCATGCTTTGGGTTTGACACGACGGTGGCAGCAGCAGTTGCGTACTGCAGTGCGATTCCTTCCAAAATCCTTCCTTTTGCCAACCAACCAGCAATGCTCACACCACAGACAGTCTTTTGGGGATACCTGCCCATCACAGCTTTGCTGGGTGGGACTCCATCGTATTTGGTGGCCTGGCTGATTGCAGGAAGTTTGGGTGTCATATTGGCGCAATACCACACCGACAATCAGAGTGTACTGCTGGCTTTCAAAGGCTTGCTGCGCTCAGCTTTCTCCAACTAGACGACTTTGCTTTTGTGGTTTGATTGCTGGCTGCCTCAGACACCATCCGCGAAGGGCCATAATGAGAAAGAGCAGCAAATCAACATGTGGCACAGCTCTGATTTTGAAACCAACCAGCTGCACGATTGCAGCTTGCTCATGTTGCGCTCAAGCCATTTCCCGGTTCCGGTGCACTTAGCTCCACTATCTCTGGCCTGAGCTCTACTATCATGGCACAACTAGTAATGTTGTGTATAGGCCCAACGAAAAGTGAATGAATCGGGATTTTGAGCGTATTTAATTAACTATAGATAAGTGTCCTATTTACTCTCCCAGACAGAGCACGTAAACTCGTCCGAGGCGTTCCAACGACTCCAGCGCCGCAAGCCCGTCGGGTCCATCGCCTTGAAAACCGCTACCGCGTCCTGCCTTGTTGCACAGCATCTGGCGGGTATTGTCCAGAACATTCATACTTCCTTCGCTCAAGAACTTGCGGAGGGTATTCAGAAGGAATTGAAGCTCGTTTGCAAGACGATCAGCCTGTCGGACCTTCAGACGGTTCCTCCTCATTTCGACTGCATGACAGATACCTTCCACAACACCATCCGCAACTGTTGCCATCGACAAATGCTGATACGTGATGTCATCTGAGCGACGAATCTTGTCGCCCAAGGCCTGTTCCACCTGGGCTCGACAGCGCACAATTGAGAGGAGTGACGAGGAGAGGTAGGATGGGAAGGAGCCGCCGCCCCGGTCAGCACTTGCAGCATACAGCCCCTCGTTGTCCATGTCCAACCATCCAACCCGAACACTGTTGGCCACGTGCTCACGGATACTTTCCAGGTACTCATCAAACATGGCGCCCTCGAGACCCATGATATCCTCCATAATCACCTCCTCGACGGCCGCCGCGTTGCTGGTGAGGTTTTCAACCTCCTTGACAATCTCTGTCACGCGATTTTCCATCACATCTGCACACTCAGCGACAGCACTGAGCCTGGCGGAGTCACCACTACGGTCACGCACATAGCTAGCCAATCCTTCGCAGCAGCGTTGTACCACTAGCTCGCAACCGTTCTCAACTTCCACGGAGCACTCTTCGGGACGAGTCAGCTGCTCCGAGAGGGTTCTCAAAGTCTGCAGCAGAGCCTCGGCGTCAAACTTGCCACTGCCGGAAGCTCTGTTCGAGCATGTTCTCGCGCATACCTCGAAAGCAATGATACATCGGCGCTTTTCGAGGGTAATCACTGCAGACTCGCCCAAGGTCTTACATTCATCCAGAGGAGACAACCCTTCCACAGTTCCATCAGCAGAGGCACGCAAGCTGTTGGCGCCGTCTGCGCTCTCCGCGAGCAGCTCAACCATTTCCGCCAGCTCCGTACCAACTCGGGTTCCATGGGACGGCGGAAGGGCACCACGGAGAAGGGTTCGGAGCTTTTCCGGCGATTCATCTCCAAAACTCATGTTGAGCTCTGATCCTCCACTTCGAGCTGGGCAACCCAAACTGCAGAATGTCGCGTGCTCCACCAAGCGTGTAACTGATGGTGTGATATAACTGCGAAAGACGTCGAACGAGGAGGAATGCTGACTGTCGAATTTCATGTTGCCCTGAGATCCCCTGTGCAAGGCAATTGACTGACGTCGAGAGCTAAGTTGACGCGCCAAACGACGCTTCTCGTCCTCCCGGGCGGTCTTGCTGATCCTCAAGAGACGGGGCAACCAGTTTCGGGCAATCTCAACACTCTTGACAGCTCCGAGCACACGCGCATCCATCACGTCGTACTTCCACTGATTGCCTGAGTTTCCTCCAGTCTTGGCCGGAGACGAGTCTTCGCCGCCCGTGTTTCCTCCGCCTTCGCCGGCTCCTTCACCACCTGCCTGCACTTGCTGCAACGTTTCTCCTCCGTAGATACGTCGAATGGTGTGGTCGGCATCATTAATGGCCTTGTTTACAATGCGAGTAAAGTGCGCTGCCTGAAGGAGAAGACACGCCAAAGCAGGTGGATGATCACGCATCTTGATCAACCTCCCCGCAATGTCGTACACACCGTCCGCGACACGGTATTCGTCAACCTTGTCGGGTTGTTCATCTTCCATGTCGTCTCGGTTGCTCATATGGACATCAAGCTCCAGTAGTTCTGACAAATCTCTGATACCATTCAAAAGCTCATCAACGAGAACCTTGTCCTGGGCCAGGCAACGCTCTAAATCGTATCGTGTCTCATGTAGATACTTTTGTGCCTGCTGCTTGACGTGATTCAAGAGTTCAATGGTACAATTCTTGTCAATGACCAAGACGCGACGATAGGCCTTCAAGGCTTGTGAGTATCGGCGGTTTTCCACATGCTGCCTCATCAAGAATGGGGCCTGCAAAATGGGAGCCACGCGGTTGAGCACGGCCAAACTGGACTGGACTTTGCGGACTTCACTCGCATTATCCAAAAGAGGTTTGAATGACTTTTTCGCTTGATGGGCGCACTTGTCAGCCAACGTCTCTAGCTTGTCAATGCGTTCGTTGACTCCGGGTCCTTCCTGGGAACCAGTCTTTTCGTTGAATGCGTCAATACCTTCTGCACAGCGGACAAAGAGGGCAAAATTCTCCCTGACAAGATTCTGCAGCTGTTTGTGTTGATTTGTTGTCTTGTCTGTTAAAGGGTAGGGAAATAACACGAAAACAGCAGGATTGATGAGAACGAGACAGCTTACACAAAGAAGGGAGTGAAAGTGTATTACTCACTGGTCAACCGATCCACTGAACCGATCAGTTCGCGGTAACCGACTTCTCGATGGACCAATGTCAAGAAAAGCATGGGATCAAAGGTAGGATCCGTGGGCAACACAGACCGAGTAGGATTATCCAACTGATCCAATCCTCCCAAACGATCCACAATAGCCATTAGACTCTCCTTTTGCGCCTGTTGACGTTTAAAGTCGTCTTCTGCACTATTGCCCTTGGAATCCTCAATGGAATTTTCTCTTTCTGCCTTGTGCATTCCTTCTTCCAATCCCTGCAATGTCTGTTCCATGTACTCGGCTTGTGCATCCTGAATTTTCCGCAAATCAAAGTCGTCTCCCTTGACACCGAGAGGATCACGACCGAGAACCTTGGCCTTTTCTTCCTCTCTGACCTTGAGCTCTTGAATAGCTTCTTGCGATTCTCGAACCGTCTCGTGGTGCTGTCCTGTTTCGGCAGCCTTTTTGCTGGAAGCGACCCGCGCTTGTTGTTCTCGATACAACTGTGAGTCTTCCCATCGCATGGCGGGTCCTTCCATGGCGGCCAATTCTCCCTCCTTTCGTGCCTTTCGGAGTTCCTTTTTCATTTCCTTTTGTCGTCTCCTAATGACCGCCATGTTATCGTTTTCATCAAAATCCGAGTCACTGCCATCACTGTCTTCATGATCGTCGTCATCATCGGGATCATCGTCGTCGGCCAATTCGAATTCTTCACTGATGCGTCCCAGCGTTTTGTTTTCCAATCGTTCCTTTCGTTCTCGTGCGGCAATTTCGTCTTGTCGCAATAGCGCATTGGCTTTCATTTGTTCTTGTTGTTCTCGCGTGGTACTAGTGTGAGCCCACAATTCGAACGCCTGCTGTGCGGTGGGTTGTGGCACCAAATCATCCAGCATTAATGGTGCTAGTTTTTGTCCATCTTCCGAGTAGTGTTGTGTGAGTAAGAGCACCATGATTTGACAGGCTTCTTCCTTGGCAGCACCGCGATTGTTTCCTTCTCGAATGTGCAATTCCAAACGCAGCATTTGATAATGTCGAATGGCCAAGGAGGAAAACGCATGCGAAAAGACATTGCGGGGTGTGGGGACTTCTCCGCCTTCTTCGATCGATGTATTGTTGATCTTTTGACCGTCTTCCATTTCCACATAATCACACACCAGATATTTTAGTAGCATCATGGAGTGACGGGCACTTCGTTTCAGACAATTGTCGTGCTCCGTGGAGGGACTGCCACACGCTTGCATGAGGCCGTGGATTTCACTCAGCACTTCGTCGTCTTCTTCCAACAACGCCGATGGAGTGACACTGCCCAGCAGCAACAAGGGAACGTCATCGTCGTAGAATTCGGGGGTATTCTTGCCATCGCCATTAATGTAGTTGCGGAATTTGCTAATACGACGAATGCGATCTTTGTGATTGCCCGCTTTGGGGTGCAATCGCCGGAGCAGTGCCTTGACTTCAATCGCCGAGCGATCCGGATCCACCACGCCCATCGTTAACTACTTGATTGATTGATTACTGTAGAGGTGGAAGGTAGATTGGATTGATGGATGGATAAGAGAGAGTCTACGATGCTTGGGTATCCAAACGTTTGAAGGCACCGCCATTGTGATGGTGGAAGCGTTGCGAAAAGACAATTCAATCCGAGTGGTGCCAAAGCAGGAGTGAGCATGTTAGGGTTAGGGATGCAAAATCCTACCGTTGGTGGTACTACCGGTACATGTATGCGTACGGGGTAACAATGGAGGAAGATGATGACAATGGCAATCAGGCCTCTCTAAATGTAGCTAGCTAGCTGCAAACTAGTCTGGCATTGAGCTTTAAAAGGCAGGCCACAGGCATACAGGTCGTGCTACTGTGGTCCAGTTGTGGGACTTCCGATTCAGGTTGAGCTAGGCAGAAACTCTGAAACGAGACTACGACGCAATTATGTAGGTATCCTCTTGCTTGCACTCATCAGGACAATCAAAGAAGCGCATTGCTAGCTAGTCGCTTCAGAAATCAAAACTGAGAGATATGCCAAGCTACGGTACGGTGGCTCGAGCTGCCACCAACACCACCATTCTAAATAATACACGTACATGCAGTAGCAGTAGATTCGTATCGCCATCGATGATGATAAGCAAGGGTGAATTAAATTGTGTGCTATAGACATTGATATCTGTACACAACCAGGTCGAGTATTGTTGTTTTTCATTTCCAACCAGTCCAACTTGAGTACAACGAACTGCTTCAATGGGGGGTACCGGTATACCGCACTCCAAACGATAATGGATCCAATTCATTAAAAATAAACCGATGCTCGTCTTCTCATCCAACGTCCACTTTTTCACATGACGACTATCCAAACATTATCATGATGAATATATCTCGCAGTGACTCGTTATATTGCCGGCGCCGATGCCACCAGTGGATCTTGTAGGACGGCCAAGATGTAATCGTTATGCGGTGCCAGCATGATTTCGTGTTGCTTCGATCGGATCTGGACAAAACTAACGGCATCATTGGGATCCAACGCATGGATAAACTTTTGAGATGTTTCCACCAATTGCTTGATTAACTTGGCTTGCTTGGGAGGGGCAAAGTTTTCGTTGGTGCTGCCCGAAGAGACCAAAATGTTTCCGTCTCGATTCAGCATCAGAACGGCTTCGACTCCCTTGTGGCCGCTCAGTCGACTCACAGTCTCCTCCAGCTCTTGGAGATTCGTTGCTTTGCTGGGAGCTGCCATGGTGGTTGTTAGTGCTGTTGTTGTGGAAGATGACCTGTGTGCCACTTCGACCTTGAATGATGCCGCATGCCGTTGCCATCTTGCTGTCTTTGTCATTAGCCAGCAGTACTGTTATACATCGCAACAGAAGACCTGAGCACAGAAACTCCTTCCAGGGGTGCGTCTCCCCTTTCGCGGCTGGCTCTAGCTAGAACACCTATAACACCTGCAACAACAAGCCTCCTAAAAAGACCGCACTCTTCGCAGCTTTCACACTGCACTCTACCTCCATGATAACTGTAGAGCAGATTCTCACCCACAAAAGAAAGCCAAAAGAGAGGCCGTGCCTGAAGCCTTATCTGGGGATGCCTTTCTTGGTGGAACCGATGTTTGGGTCAAGAACATACTGCCATTCCTCGGTATCGGACATTATGTTTTCGTGGCATCTGTCTGCCACAAAATGAAAGACCTCTACAAAGCATATTGTGACACTGTGGAAAATCCTCCCATGGTCAATGATGATATTTATAGTTATGATCGAAAAGCAAGTTTTTTCAGATACATTCTACAGTTCAACCTTCTATACTGTATCTTGCTCAGAGTATTGGTGTGCCCACCGTCATACTGGTATGGGTAGACAGATCAAGGGTGATTATGTTTGTATGGTAGCTGCCAGAGTGGGTAGTATTCAAGTCCTTGAGTGGGCCCGAAACAAGGGTTTTGAGTGGGATTCCTCTACCTGCCAGCATGCTGCAATTAAAGGTCACCTACATGTCCTGCAATATGCTCATGACAGCAACACATGTATCCATGCTGTCATGAATGGCCACTTGGATGTTCTAAAGTATGCTCATGAAAACGGATGTCCGTGTGATTTCAACATGTGCAGCCGAGCCGCTTGGTGTGGCCATTTGAACTTCCTCAAATACGCACATGAAAGAGGTTTCCCATGGGATGAAAGCACATGCAATTATGCTGGCGAGGATGGTCATTTGGAGGTACTTAGGTATGCTCATGAAAATCGTTGTCCTTGGGATGAGGAAAACATCTGCACCGATGCTGCTCGCAATGGCCATTTGGAAATCCTGAAGTATGCTCATGAAAATGGATGCTCATGGGATGCTAACACTTCGAATGCTGCTGCGGAAAATGGCCATTTGGAGTGCCCCAAAATATATTCATGAAAATGGCTGTCCATGGGACAAAGACACATGCGCACTTGCTGCCGGAAATGGCCGTTTGGAAATCCTGAAGTATACCCATGAAAATGGCTGTGACTGGGACAAAGACACATGTCATGATGCTGCTTCCAAAGGCCATGTCGAGTGCCTCAAATATGCCCATGAAAATGGCTGTCCCTGGGACAAAGACACATGCCAAGTTGCTGCTGAATATGGCCATCTGGCATGCCTCAAGTATGCCCATGAAAATGGTTGTCCTTGGCATGAGGAAAACACCTGCCCCGATGCTGCTGAAATTGGCCGTTTGGAAATCCTAAAATATGCCCATGAAAATGGCTGTTCATGGGATGCCACCACATGCAAAGTTGCTGCTGAATGGGGCCATTTGGAATGCCTCAAATATGCCCATGAACATGGCTGTTCCTGGGAAGAAGACACATGCCAGTTTGCTGCTGAAACGGACCGTTTGGAATGCCTCAAATATGCCCATGAAAACGCATGTCCGTGGGATGAAAACACCTGCACGAGCGCTGCTTTGAATGGCCGTTTGGAGTGCCTCAAATATGCGCATGAAAATGGCTGTCCCTGGGACAAAGAAACATGCACTAGGGCTGCAGAATTTGACCAGTTGGAGTGCCTCAAATATGCCCATGAAAATGACTGCCCATGGGATGAAGAGACATGCTTCCATGCTGCAGCAAATTGCCATTTCGAAGTGCTCCAATATGCTGTACAGAATGGTTGCCCATGGGACAGAGATCAAGTCTTGATGGAATGTACTTCAGAGGTAAGAGCTCGGATTCAAAATATGCTATCCCAGAGGAATGCATAAAGTTTCTTTGGTTGTTGTCAGCCAGTAGGGTTAAATCATTCAAGCATATTACTTCATGGGCAATGTTGTATCCTGTGTGATGTCCCCTCTTCTTCGTTAGTGCTTTTGTTCAAATCGAGCCCGGTTCTGAGTGCTGCCTCTTGTTGGTGCCCTTTTGGATTTCTCTCGGCAACAACCTTATCCAGTGCTGGCGGACTGGTAGTAGTTTTAGGGCATGAATTCAGTTACTAGCTAGCCTGCTGATACATATGCATACTAGTAGGTGTTAACATGTTGGCTTCGTCCACCAGACCGTGACCAGACCCGAATACCCAATACCCCTTCGGAAAAGATCCAAAGAAGATACAGACACATGACACCTTCGAATCTTTGAAAATAGCATTATTATTGCTATGTTGCCTTCACGATCCATCATCCTTCCTAATCAAGCAAGAAGAAGGAACAAGAGAAAGAAACAAGGAGAACAAGCACTACTGGTACACCATGACGGTCAACGAAGCAACTCTTCTCAATGGAGATGGGCAAAGTAGCACAGCGCAGGCGTCCATATTCATGATGGAATCGGCCGAGTTTGTTGCCGCCAATTGGAAGTCCATCCTCTGCGTGGGATTCAGCAACCTGCTAGCGGGCGTTGGGTGCCTGATGTTTCCCGTGGTTGCCACTCAGTTGGCAGAAATCTTTTTGACCTCGTTGGTCTTTGCGGCTGGTGTCTTGAACACATTGACAATCTGCAGCAATGATTCCGCCAACACAACACAGCAGAGTCCTCACTTTTGGGTGGGAGTGGCTCAGATATTCTTGGCGGCGCTGATGTATACCAATCCTTTCTTTACGCTGACAGTTTTGACCTTTCTGGTGGCGTTGACATTTATGATGTTGGGAAGCATCCAAATCTCGATTGCGAGGAGGCACAGAGATCGTGTGGCCGCCCGGGCATTGATGATCATTTCTGGTGCTAGTGCCATTATCATGAGTTTCATCATTTGCCTATCCATGCCAACGGCAAGGTGGTTTACCATTGGGGTCTTGATGGGGGTCAATCTCATCAATGTTGGAACCAGTAGGATTGTGTTAGGTCTGTATGGCAGGAAGTTGGCCTCAGCAGGAGATGATGACACGGTCGAGAGCTGGAGATCCTTGCTGGATTCGGACATTGTGTGACCTAAAGAAGAATTGGATGGCTCAGCCTGATTTGGAATGCATTTATCCTACGGTATGTATTGATTACATCTTGCGGTACCGGTAGAACATATAGAAGTAAATTTAGTATTTGATAGGCAATTGATTTAATACAACGCAAATGCAAATGCATTTGATTGAACAAAGGTTCTGGCTCTTGTGGCGATTGACTCAAACAGCAGAGCGCCATGTCACACGCTTTCCTCCTTCGATGATGATGGTACATCGGGGCCATGGATGGATTGTACGGTAGGGGATGTAGAATAAGTTGCCACATTGGATCGACGATTTGGTTGACTATGAGGACAGTAGCAAGGGTGTGTTCCCTTCGGAACTGGCTTGCGAATGTTTCAGAACGTGTTCGTGGCTAGCCAGCGGGTGCCGCCTAGTCGGCTTTGGGGAAGCAGAACGGGAACAAACAAGCGAACAAGTTCTTTTCGTTTCCAGAACTGATAGAGGAGCGACACTCCTCTTTTTCGTAGGGGTTGATGTCGCCCGCGACACTTCGACCTAGACTCGGAAGAGACAGGCAAGCAAGGACGTTGTGTTAGCTTCACAATACGAGACGCGTGGTTCTCAATCGGTTTTGGGACAACTGTACGTTGGAGCCTACCTTCGGTATCATTGAGGCTCTTGTCGAGCTTGGCGTTCTCGTGACGAAGCAGCATGTTTTCGATCGTCAGGATGGCTTTCTCGTCTTTTAATGAATCGATTTCGTTTACAAGATCGACGCAACCTTCTACGACGTTCATAGTTTCTTCAGTCGCGTCCTCGAGCTGAAGTTGAAGGCGCCATTTATCATGAACCAATGTTTTGATGCGATCATCCTTTTTGTCAATTTCGTTGAAATCGGACGCGCTCTCGTCTTTGCGAGTTTCCTTGGCGGCGTTGGCTTCCTCCAAGAGAGAAGAGACTAGGCCTGTCTTGTTGTTCTTGGAGGGGGTACCAGTGTAGTCCATGAAAGTGTCATCCTGGTCTGTCTTGTGGCTCTTGGAAGGGGTGTAGTCGATGACGATGTCGTCTTGAGCGGCGACGACAACGGTCGTGCCAGAAGTTTTGAACGTCGTGCTACTCGGGGCTCCGTCGTTGCTCTTGTACACAAGACGTGCATACTTCTCCTTCTTGAGAGGAGAGAATGCAGTCCAAGAATCGTCTCGAATGATTGACGCATAGTAGGCATCAACTACGGTGGAGTCGTCGCGAGAAACAATCAACGGCCGGGTGCTCTCGGTCTCGAAAACAGCTTTTCCTTTGGACGTAGATCCTTTGTTTCCAGAACGGATCAGCTTCTTGATAGACTGGTTGAAAGATTTGAGTGGGCCGCTACGATCTGCTTGGGCAGATCCACTGTCGACGGAAAACTTTGGAGAGGGCGTCATTGTCGAGAACGTCGAGGGAAGCTTCGGACCTTCGAAAAGTGAAGAAATGATCAAACCGTGGTTTGCAATGCAGTTTAAGCCAGCAAACCTGTTGGCTAGAACGGCAAGCTTTGTCAACTTCTACCAAAGCCCTCCGGACCTCTTTTTTAAGATATACCAAGGAAAGAGTTGATCAATTGGAAATAAAGCTCCCAATTGGGCCAACTCCAACTGTGGCAAGACATCAAAAACACACAGATCCTTGTGCTCATCATCCCAGTGTGCACAGGCCGTCTCTGTCGCATTCTCCACAATGGATTCACCAAGGGGCGACACCCAGTGTGTGTGTGTGTGTGGCTTTGAGAGTGGGCATCTTTGCGTGAATTGTGAAAACCTGGCTGCCCCAACAGGTTTGCTCCTGTTTCCAAGGCCTGCCATTCTTCTCCAAATGCAATGGAATCTGTCATCGCAGTCACACCGTCCCAGGCCAACCAGACATCACCATTGTAGGATCCCATCAAGCCCACTGAACCCCCAAAGGTTGACTGGGTGGCCGGCATTTTCCACTTTGACATTGACCAGCTCCTTTTTGGTGCTAATCTGTATGTGTTCACCATCATCCAAATGAACCATATAAGACATGTTTTTGCAGTGCTCAACCACTTTTCCAATTTGCAACTTAAAAAAGCAGAGCTGCCTAGGACGGGATTGAGCGACAGCTGTGCTTCTGCGAGTGCCCGTAGAAGCTACCAGTGGGAGTGCCGACAATGTATATCCTTTACTTTTATGATCTTCTTGCTTGCTATAGATATCTGATTCCTGCATAGATAAAGCTGGCCAAGACGGAACAGGTAGTCAGAGTAACCAGGATATAGATGTATCCTCGATCATGTTTTTGTTGATCAAAGAATTTGTGCACCTCCGATACAAAGGTGGATACTGTGGTCAAGCACCCCGCGAATCCAACTCGGACGGCTCGCAACGTCCCCACCACCCAAAAGTCCTGAAATTCCGTGTTTCGAAATTCCAGGCCTGTCATGGTAACGCTAACCAAGCTTCCCAGGATATTGGCAGCCAAGGTTCCCGCTGGAATCCAAGCCATGTCGCTGGAAATGGCAAAGGACCCGTTCAGGCTGGAAAGTTGCCATCGAAGAAATGCCCCAAAGGGAGCAAAGAGGAGGGAATATACCATGGTCCGGTAGGTGATGAGATAGTCCTCCTTCTCATTGACTTGAATCAGTCCAAGGATGAGCATGAGGACAATGCCTCCCACAAAAAAGCCCGCAACGGCCACCGAGTACCATTGATTGTGTTCGTAGGGGAGCAGATATCCCGCCGACGACGTTCTGGGCAGCCGTGCCAGTCTTCCCCGATGTGTCCATTCATGAAGTGCCTCTAGATCCCATCCTTCCTGTTTGGCCACGAGCTCGGCATCCGGAGGGACAGCGACATGATCGCAAAAGACGCACTTTTCAATTTGATAGAGTGCATCGACCAAGGGATGATTGACCCGACGCGCACTGGAGGTGGATTCTCTCCATCGCAACAAGGCTGCCATGGAATCATTGCCCGCCACGACGGAATCGTATTGAAAGTCCAGTCGGTGCAAGAAGCGTCGTTCGGTTTCGGGTAATTCTCGATTGATAAAGACCCCTTCACGTTGTCGTTCTCTCATGGCATCGGCTTCGGCCGCCAGCGCTGGGTTGACGAGTCGATGCAACCATTTGGCCACGGTCGTTCCAAAGACATAGGATCCTAATGCAGTTTCCATTCCAATGAGATATCCAAACATGGCCTTCATAAACTGGGAACTTCGATTGTATCCCGATCCAAACATGAGTACAATCATTTCGGAATTCCAGGAACTAAACGTGGTGAGACTCCCACAGAATCCCGTTTTGATGGCAAAATGGATCAAGGTCATGGATTGAAAGTCGGAGAGGGGGGATAACCATGCCACGGGTACCGGAATGGCGAGTCCCAGTGTGGTGCCATCTTGCATGAACCCCATGAAAAAGCATCCCAGCAAATTGGCGGGCAAATCGGCAAAGACAATGCCTCCTTCGACCAATTCGGCGTGACCATCGGCCGTGACACAGAGCGGACTGGATGCTTTCAACCATCCGACCGTTCCTGGATTTTTGCATTCTTCTCCAAACAGTTGCGCCAGCATAATGCGCAAGAGTGCTCCCGTAATGGCGGCGGCGGAGAGATAACAGAATTGTACAAGTTCTTTCTTTTGCAGTTTGGTCAATACGGAGTAACATGGGAATAGTGGGGTGGTGGAAGAAGTGGAAGAATTGGAAGATCCCGAACTGGCCGAATTTAACACTATTTGAGGAGCTAACCAAAAAGACGAGACAGAACAAAAGAAGCATACAATGAATAAGAGATAATAGTCATGAGATGATGGCTTGCTGGTACCCATCTACTGACGTACATAGGTATCACTCAAGACCATCAACATTTCATTCATTTTGAATGGCTCACCTTTTCCTCCCTCCTGCTCAAAGGACATGACCCTCGGCACCTTCGGTTCGGAGTCTTCGAACGGTCGGTATTCCTTGGACGCCTCGACATCCTTACTGCTGTCTCCTTTGGATTCCATGGTGGTATGGTATGGTTGGTGGCAGCAGACTTTCAGTACCACACCGTGCAACCACAAAATGAACTTCTTCTTTCTCCCTCATCAAGTGCCAGTTTTGTGGTTGGTTCAGCGGTGGCAAATACGAAACGCCTGAACCCGACCAGTAAAAGTATTTTAGCTAAATGAACCATAAGCTAATTTACGTTGACAAGGTTACTTAATCAGAAAGCCAGGGGAGCCATCTATTCCATCAAAATGAGATGAGACTTCCTTCCTCCTTTTGTATGTTTGCAATTTGCAATGTTTGGCTACCCAACCAACTGGAAAGTAGACTACAATGTACATCTATGTCATAGGTATGCATAGGTGCACCTGAAGGCGGTTGGGGGCACGTGATTGCTTCGCTAACTAATGGGGGTATCAATTTACAGGGTTATCTTCAACCATCAGGATGCTTATAGTTGATGGATGTATTGGATTCTTTCAGAACTCCAACCAACAGGAACCATGACATGCCAGGGTAGCAACGTTCGACTGTGCGCTTTCAGCAGGGCGCCACTACTAGCAGTCCTTTTATCGGCAAGTGCCTTGCTAGTAGTATGGTTATCAGCTACCTCCAATATCTTATTCTCAGACACTTCCATTCCTACAAACACACGACAACTCTTCTCTCACGGTTGGGGATATGTTGGCGACCTGGACACTACTAGCACTAGCACTAGCATTTTTCTGTCATCTTCCAATGCCACTATTATCGATGACGACCGTCTCTTTGAAGGTGAAAATGCTACTCTCGAATCGGTTGGTATCACTGGCGAAAGTGACGAAGGCAAGTGGTACTTGGGACTCGACGACTGGTGGAATCGAGTCGATTATCAGGGATCCAAAGTCTCGGCAGTCGACATGCATCTCCACACGGGTCTCTTTCAAGACGTTCCACCCAGTTTTCAAGACCAAATATTGGGTAATATTCCCTTTCCACTACCCACTGTCATTGCCACACCCCTCTTTAATGTCATTTTGAGTGGATATGGAATTTGTGCACAACTCGTCTGTGCAAAGATTCGACGGGGTGTCATTTTCGCTGTCTACGCCCCCACCACCACAGGATTGACCACCAACCAATTCGTCCATGGAGAAATCCAAAAATTACCCAAGAAACTATGGGGATTGGCGTCGCTGCCCGTCAATGATTGGGACAAGAATGAAGAACGAGCGCTAAACTTGCTGCGCAAATATTTGGCCCTCCCCGAATTTATCGGCATCAAACTAGCACATCCTCACATGCTCATCAATCTCAATGATGCACGGTTCTATTCCATCTACGATGTGGCACGAGAATTCAACAAACCAGTCTATTGCCATACAGGAAAGACATTATCCACAGGATCCTTGACCAACAAGGAAGCGACGCATCCAGCTTTCTTGGAAGAAGCCATTCAGCTGTATCCCGACGTTCTCTTTATCCTGGGCCATGTGGGAAATGGTGCCGACTTTGATGGATTGGAGGATCCCATTGAGGCATGCTTCCGATTGACGTTGACCTATAGTAATGTCTATATGGAAGTTTCCGCTGTTGGCAGTGCATCCAACGATCCAAACGGTGACAAGTTGTTTGGAATCTTTCGAGATGCCAAGCAATTGGAACTGATTAGGAGGCTCATCTACGGCTCGGATGGACCCCAATCTCCTGGATTTGTCCTGGGTTACCTCGAACGCACTATTCACGCCATGGAACGGGCCAATTACACCGATCAAGAAGCAGAACGGGTACTCAACGATAACTTTCAATCCGTATTTTGGGTGTAATCAGAAACAAAAACAGCACGCGCATGATAACAATTAACCCAAAGGGCATCGTCTAGCCTCGAACTACAGCCAAGGTGCTCCACGGAGGATATTGCTTTCTGTCGTTGGCAGCCTCGGTGAAACCCTCTACGGATGCCAAAATGGCCACGAAGCAAACATTTACCGGAGCAGGGGGAGGAGTGCTGCGAGCTCGATTTGAAACTACTATATGGGAAACCTACGCCTGAAATGTTCCTTCAACCTCAGACCTACTTGTTTGAATGTGGATATCCAATCCAGTTCCTTCCACAAGCAGGGGTTGGGAAGAAGACCAAGTCACATTCACCCAAAAACTGTGACTCGACTCATAGCTTGTAATACGCCAAGGCAGCACTACAGGATACCAGATGTTACGACTGGTTGAGGCACCTCCGCTCTCTGAAATCTGTTGTGGTAACTGAGCAAGTACCTACCAGGCCGCATTGATTAAAAGTGAACAAGTATGGAGACAGCTTAGCCATCACCGAGAACCAACATATTCTCACAATCTCGACTCAATCTCTTTAGCATTGAGAATCTAACCCAAAAAGAAAAGAAAAACAAAATTCATCGTGTTCACCTAGTTTTCCATCACTGGGCTTTGTCTCCATGTTGGTCAATCTCCAAGTGAGGCTCAGACTGTCACCTACTCTTCCGCCCCTGACCCCTGACATGTGAATTCCTGGATCAGGCACTCCAGGAACAACTAGCTAGTGACAGCATTTTGGTTGATGCCACCTTTCAAGTCTGTGAAGTTGAAATTGAAGTGGACATCAGCCATCCTTGGACCACTGACCTATTGACCAACTGGAACTATTGATCAGCTTATGCATGGTGATTGTGGATCCAACCGCCGTGATATCCTTGTATTTGATGATGATAGTGACCGTCGCACCCTCTCAGGAGGCTAGTGTGGCCGGTGAGCAGACTTGACTGTGGGAAATACCCAGGCCTCGCTCGTGGGCGGCCCTCAAGCACATCTTGTCTGTATCCGTTTTTAAAAAATAGACGTGTTCAGTTTTTGTTGTTGATGGTGCTATATGATGATGTTGAAACTATAGTGGTACTGGTGATGCCATTTGCAGCTGTCTAGCCAGAACAGCTTCTCTCTGCATTCAATGGGTACTCCACCCATGGCAAGTGCACACTAAAAGTTAAGGATAGTCCTGGCTATGATACTGGAATGTGTCATTTCTGGGCTGTGAACCTCAGAGGTTGCGCCCCAGCAGGATCCCCTACTGAAAGCCCCCCAGCAACCCCCAGCAGAGACTAATCACTCCTTAGTATCTCCTACTGGTAGTACAGTGTTGAACCTTGTGGAAATTCGCCGGTGCTCTTGCAATTTTCGATCGCACTGCAAGTGCCGAAGCCTGGTCTGGGAATCTCTACGACAGCAGAGTGTACCCTAATCTCACCGATGGAAGCCACATTGGAGGTTTGGAGTAAGCTCGATTCGATTCTCGACGCGGCTGGAAGGAAGCATGTTTATCTGCGAGGCTCTTTCAACGCCAAGCCCAGAAATTGGTCCTGGGTGGCGCTACTTTCGGTTCTGGTGTACAAACCAAAGGAGGCCAGCACCTATTGCATCCAGGAATTCTTGTCCATAAATTTTGTCCATGCGTGCAAGTTGGAGTGCTCATGGATCAACAAGATGAATCCATTACTTGGTCTTCAATGAAATCCTCGTCCATCTCGCCATCTCCATCGTCTGTGTCGATCCACTCTTCTTCTCCGTCGTCTGTTTCGACGAACTCATCTTCCAGGTCGTCTGTTTCGACGAACTCATCTTCCAGGTCGTCATCAATCACTTCTTCGAGATCGTCATCTGATTCAATCACTTCTTCTTCTTCGGATTGCACGGCAAATGATGCTGGTGCCACCTCGGCAATGGCGTCCTCTTCAATTACTTCCTCCTCGATCTCATCGTCTTCGATAACTTCCTCATCTTGATCATCGAAGACTTCCTCATCCTGATCATCGACGACTTCCTCGACAAGCTCCTCTTCGTCCTGATCTTCAACAACAACTTCGTCAACGGCATCGTCCTCAACAACCTCCACATCATCATGCTCTTCGACAACCACGTCCTCGACAAGTTCATTGTTGCCTTCTGCCATCTCAAAGACCTCTTCGAGAACTTCTTCCTCCTCCTCTAGGTCTTCGACGGCAGCTTCCTCGACAACTTCCTCGACAACATCGTTGTTTTGCTGTCCTTCCACGTCGTTGTGTTTCTCTTTTTCAAGGGACACTTCCGTGTCGTTGCTGGCAACCGCAGCTTCTTGACCACCAATCACATCTACCACCTTTTCAGATTCGGATTCATCTGAATCAGGTGTGGCGAGGGTGGCTTCACCTTGGGTATTGGTTCCTTCTGCCAAATTGTTGGGTTCTGTGGCTGCGGCAACTAAAGGACCTGATTCCCCAGAAGTTTCGTCTGGTTGAACTTGTACATGATATTCAGTTTGTTTTGCCTGTGCCCCCTCGTCACAGCCGTCATTGGAACTTTCCTTCACGGGGTCTTCAGAATCTGGTGTCGGGGAACTACTTCCCTGTCCATCGGGCTTTGACTTTGGCACGTACCGCTGTGCCCTGTTGTTGACTGCTTTTTCATAGTACTTTGCCACATGATGACCTCCCCCAGCATCCCTTGTTTCCGACGACAGCTTGTGGATGATATTGACATCTATATATGCTGATGGCGCAGGAGCGAACAGATCCTCTTCTTCGTCTTCTTCATTGTTGGAGCCAAGCATATTGTTGCCGTTGCCTGTCACCTTCCTTTCATTTGCGACCAAGTTTCGAGAACTAATCTGAACCGTGTCAATTAAGTTTTGCATACGGCTCTCTCGTCGCACGCTTTCGTCGGCATTCTTGTCGTCCGGGATGACTGATGACCGCCTCTCAGATTGGTCCATCTGCTGAACATTCGCAATGAGGCTTTCCATTCGGCCTTTCAGCATATCATCAACACTGACTAACTGTGTCGGTTTCTCATATTTAATCTTAGCAGCCAGCCTAGCCTCCTCTTCTTCGTTGGTGTGAATCTTGTACCAATATTGGCTCTTCAGATACTTGTAAAGCTCAGGGAGTCGCGTCCTCCTGAGCATACTTTCAACGTCTACATCTTCGTCCTTGTAAACGACTGCGATGAGGGCTGAAACAGCCGCCTCTAAGTCTTCCGGTTGTTCCTCGATGACCTCGTTCCAGCTCTCCACCACTTGATCGGCATATTCCGACTCGGAAGACTCTTCCGCCTCAACTTCCTCCTCCACGAGTTCCTCTTCATCTTGATCTTCTATGACAACTTCCTCAACTGCATCATCCTCAATTATCTCCTCGTCATCTTCAACAACCAATTCCTCAACAACCTCGTTGTTGCCATCTTCCACTTCGATTACTTCTTCGCAAACAACGCGCCCACTTTGGTCCTCCAATATAACAACTTCCTCGAAAACTTCGCTACGGTTGGCGGTTTCTTGTACAATTTCGACAATTTCCTCGACAATGTCGGTTTCGGTTTCAGCGAGCGGTGGTGGAGGTGGAGGGGGAGGTGACTCTTCCGAAGATTCAGAGCCCGATCCGACGCTGCTGGTGTCTTTACTAATATTCGAGTCTCGAGGATCTGGGGCGCCATCGTCGCCCTTGGCTTCATTCATTTGGACTTCTTCAATCTCTTCAGCTATCGCAGACGAAACAAGAGAATAGATACATGTATGAGCAAATATCCAGCACTTCAAAAGATCACTGCGAACTGTTTTACTCACCTGAGTCCATCGCCTCTGGAGCTTGTGGCTCGGGCTCCTCGTTCATTTCTTCGTCAGCGCGTTCCTGCGGTTTTGATGATTGTTCCAGTAATTCTTCGTCGTCTTCCACTGAAGTAGTTTCCATGTGTTCACGTTCATCCATGACGGCGTCATCGTCTTCCTCCGACATTGCGACCATTTCTTCCCTTTCGGCCTCGGCGTCCATCTCATCCTTATCATCTGTAGACTCCGTCATCACGACGGGGCTTGACGGCTCTACTGTGGCATCTTGGCCGCTTTGGGGTTCTGCTTCCTCCTTATTTTGGTCGTCGACTTCGACTGAGCCCTCGCCTTTTGCATCTAGGTCTGGGCTTGCCGACGCCTCTGGGACGGATTCATCTGTCTCTGTTTCATCGACTTGTTTGTGTGGCGAATCTTCGGTGTCCGCTTTGATATTTGTTTCTTCCGTCGAATCTAGATCTACGGGCTCGTCGCCCTGTGTTTCTTGGGCCGTGGAATCATAACCACTATCATCTTTGTTATCCGCTGTGTTTGTTGTCGAGATCCCTTCCTCTTGGCTATCCCCCGCGTTGTCCAGAGGCGCTTCGTTGCCTTGATTCGTAGAACCCAAGGTTTCATCTTGTCGCTGTTTCTCTGTCTCTTCGAGATTGATCGTCGCATTGCTGGCTTCATTTTCTTCCCGATCAGAATTTTCTCCCTTACCGCTCTCATCATCTTGTTCTACTGCGGCTGACGTATCGACTTTTTCAGCTGGTCCATCGCCCCCTTCTCGTGCGAGGTCAACAACGTCGACTGTGCCCCCTTCTTCCGAGTGATCCTCCACGTCGACTGTACCAGATTTTTCTGCTTCTGATGATACATCGTGATCCTTTCCACTTTCGTCGGGTTGTTCTTGTGACTCGGAAGCATCCTCTTCTTCTTCGTCTTCTTCCTCCTCGGTTGCCAAACGGTTGCTATCTTCCAGCCAAGCTGATGATTGGTAGCCACTAATGCCTAGTCCACTAACGCCCAACTCACTGGCAACGGAAATCCTTCGAAAGCCGCCCTGGTGGTCGCTGCTGCCAATGATCAACTCAGATTCTTGCACCGCCGATGTATCAATGGTGACCATGGTAGACGTGACATTTTCATCAGGCTGAGTGGGAGGGTTGATATCACTACTACTAGCCTCTGTTGTAATTCCAGCATTGTCGTCATCTTCTTCATCTGGTTGACTCCCCGCAATTTGTTCCGGTGTAGTGACGGAATCAAAATTGGACGAGGATTCTTCCCCCTCCGTGTTGAGTAATTCTTTGAGCAAATCATCCTCTGATTCTTGCTGTTCAAAGCTTGGCTGCTCCAGTATATTCCCTGTTTTGTGATCGGTCTCATTTTGCTCCAACTCACTTTGCTCCATCTCACTCATACATACAGAATCTAATCCCTCAGTCTCAGTGACATCTTCCAGGGAAATATCCATGACGTGTCTCATGTGATGGCTACTAGCCGAAAGAGTGTTGGGTTCCACATTTGTTCTCCCATTGTCTTCATCTTCATCGTCTTCGTTCCCGTTGTCAAAGCGAAGTGTAAACTTTGTGCTGTGCTGTAGATTGTCTGGCAGTGCAGTGCTACTCCCTCCCAAGTGTTCCTTGGCACTGTGGAACGAGAGTTTATCGATACCGATTTGTTTGGAGACGTCTTCTTCTTCTTTCTCGGCCGTCTTTTCTTTGGCGTCCTCTTTTGGCTCTGCTGCTTCTTCTTCGGCAGACTGCTCGTCTTCGTTTTCTTCTTCCAAAAGAGCCAAAAGCTTTCGTTCATTGTCGATATTCTCAATGCATTTGTCCACTTCCTCTTTTTTGTACAATTGTTCCAGGACTTCTCGTTGCGTTCCAGCTTCGTAGAGTCGTCTTATATCGGCCTCTCGGGTCAAGCGAGCGGCTTCTTCTTTGGCAGCATCGGCCTTGCTCTTGCCTCCCAGGCCAAAGCTGAACCAACTGGTCCTCATGGTATTTTTACTACTACCAATTTCTCGGTAAGCCAGTAGCGTGATCCCCGATACCAACACCACTACCACCAAGCTGTTGACCAGACCAAAGCCAACTTCCCCCGACTCGTGGACTTCAATGGAAGTAGAAATGTTGTCTCTTCCAAAGTCTGTCCGCTTCGAAGAATGCGGTTTCTACCAAAAAACTTGAATCAATCCTTCAGCAACTCCAGGTCTCTCTCTCTCTCTCTCTCTCTCTCTCTCACTCTCTCTCCCCTTTCGAACCCTTTGAGGATGGTGATGCCAGCTCCAGTCTGGTGTCGAATCTTCCGAGTGTTGCTCAATACGTATATCTCTGGGAAGAACAGATCACGGTATCGTATCCATCTGGCAGGCACGGATAAGGTCACTGTTGTGTGCGGTTTGGGTGGAAAAGCACTTTGAGAAAATCCAGTCGCGCAAGATCCAGTCACCATGAGAAAAAGATCGAAAAATCCGTGGGAAACGGCCAAAGAGAAGAAGAAAGCCACTGGAAGCTGGAAGAATGTTGGTTATCCCATCATGAAGTTCGGTAACTCAACCAATCTCTCAAGATCCTATTTTAATAGCTGTAGACTAGCTAGCTATAATCGCCATGTCTTCAGAGCCAAAGTCGAAACAGCCAAAGTTGTCACCTGCTATTGCCCTGTTGTCGGATCAAAAGGATGTTTGGGTCAACAATATCCTTCCGTTTGTGGGTATGGGACACTTTGCTTTTATTGGAGCCGTCAACAAGCAGATGAACCAGCTCTACGAAGAATACTGTACGACCGTGAAGGATCCTCCTCTTGTTGCAACGGAAACCAAAGTGAAAAGACGTGCTGCCACCAGCAAGGATACATTCTACCGTGTGGCATTGCAAAAAAATTCTTGTGCCGAATACTGGCACACGGACATCAGTCGAAGGCCCCTTCGTGGGTTTGTTACCGCCGCCATTGCCAAGATGGGAAATCTTCCCGTCCTTATATGGGCCCACCAAAAAGGATATCCCATGTCAACCAATACATGCCACCAAGCGGCCATCCACAATCACTTTGATGTGCTGAAATGGGCACATGAAAATGGCTGTCGCTGGGATACCAACACATGTTTGGGTGCTTCCAAGGCCGGCAATTTGGAAATGCTCCAATGGGCTAGAAGCCAGGGATGCCCATGGGATGCAACTACTTGCTCAGCGGCAGCATCCTCCAATCATTTTGAAATATTGAAATGGGCCAGAGAAAAAGGCTGCCCCATGAGTGGTGACACATGTGCCGGTGCGGCCTCAGCGGGAAACCTGGACATGCTCAAGTGGGCTCGTAATAAGAGATGCCCATGGGATGCCAGTACATGTTCTGCAGCTGCAAGAGGTGGTCATTTGGCTGTCTTGCAGTGGGCAAGGGAAAATGGCTGCCAATGGAATCCAAGCACGTGTTTGGCAGCGGCCGCCCAAGGTGGGCATCTCCATGTTTTGAAATGGGCACACGAAAATGGGTGCCCATGGAGTGCGCAAACTTGTACGGCAGCTGCAGAAACTGGACATTTAGAATTGCTGCAATGGGCAAGAGAAAAGGGATGCCCATGGAACATAGGTGTCACTATTGGTGCTGCTCAAGGTGGTCATTTGGAGATGCTGAAATGGGCCAGGGAAAATGGCTGTCCTTGGGATAGTCGCATTTGTTCTATTGCAGCTGAACATGGCCATTTGGAAGTTCTAAAGTGGGCAGTAGCAAATGAATGCCCATGGAACCGTGGTGCTGTTCTGGGTGCTGCCAAAGGTGGACATTTAGAGTTGTTACTATGGGCTCGAGAAAATGGCTGTCCGTGGGATCCACAAACATCAGTTTGGGCAGCTAGTTATGGGCATTTGGAACTTCTGAAATGGGCTCATGGACATGGCTGCCATTGCGACGAAGATACCTGCCTTGCCGCCGCCGAGGGTGGGCATTTATCCGTTTTGAAATGGTTAAGGGCAAACGGCTGTCCGTGGGATTCCCAAACATGTCATGCAGCCGAAAGTGAAGGACACTTGGATGTGCTGCAGTGGGCACGTGACAATGGCTGCCCAGATAGTGATGAAGAGAGTGACTAATATCTAAAGTTTGGTTATCGTCATCAATAAATGCCTCATCCCGACTCTAGCTCTCTATCTAGCTACGCGCTTTTGCTTGCCTCGAGTTACAACAGACGAGAAGAGGGATATCCTTTCTGAATAGCGGCCTCGTTCCTTTCCGATGCAACGTTTGGATCATGGATAATAAGCTAACAAAATAACGAGCAGTTTAGGGTTGCATGGTTCCCGGGGACGGAATTTCAGAAGAAAACCGCCCAAAGACCAAGGAACCGGAAGGAAAAGCTATGTACATGTACCATCAACGAAGATCGAGCAACAGTGTATAAAGAGCACGAAAAGTCCATGCCAGTGGCTGGTCAAGAGCAAAACGAATACAGCCATTAAAATATTTACCGGTATTATTTCCTCGACAGAGCAATCCAAAATTCGAAACATTACCCGACAGAAACTGAGAAGAACGGGGAAACGCACAGAGCTCCTTTGTTGAGACCAATCACCTCATTGTACAATCACCGCCAGTTCCAAATGTCTTCGTTGCTTAAAACTTCCGATTGTTCGTCCTTCCATCGTCGCATGAATTGAGTCAATTTCAGATTGCTCGCTATTACTAGCATCATCTGATCATTCTTCTTCTTTCTTTTTATCCTTTTTCTTCTTCTTTTTCTTCTCTTTCTTTGGTTTGACTTCTGCCTCCTCTTCTTCTCCTACTTCTGCAGTGGCATCTTCGGCCTTTTTCTTTGCCAGTTCTTCCTGCTTGGCGCGAATCCTGGCCATCATGTCACCGGAATTAGCCGCCTGTTCTTTCATTCTCTCTTCAGGGGTCATATTTTCCAGCCGCTTCTTCTCCTGTAATTTCGCTTCTTGCTCAGCCATGAACGCCACATCCTTGTCCATTCCCAAGGCTTCTCGTAGCTTCAGAATCTCCCTCATCTTCGCGGCTGTCTCGTTGTCTTCATCACTGGTGCCCTTGAACGCGTCGAAATCACCAAGGGACGCCCGCTTGGCGTTCATGTACTTAGTCACATCAGCCTTCGGTTTGCCTGTTGCTCCGGCTTTTACCTCCTCCTCGTCACTGGAGGTGTCGTCATCACTGTCAGAGTCGTCTAGGATACCCATGGTCGTGCACTACTAAAATTTTGGATCCTTGCAAGAAGAGGCTGAGAAAATGAGCGTGAAAGAAGATTGTTGAAGAATTTTGGAGGTGGGGCGAATTCGATGCTTCCGCCAGCGCGGCTAAGTGCAAGGGACTTGGAGTGGATTTATTAATTTTCACTTTTGTGGTGAGAATTCGCCTATTTTGTGCTTCCGCTGGACTAAACTTGCTTCGACTCTCTCATTTTCCTTTTTGCATTGATATTTGATCATTTTCTGGAAAAAGACATCTATTTCACCAGAGCTGGATGACCACGTACGACGTCTCCGTACTGGCTCCAACATGAAAGTCACAAATAATGCATCCGTGACGAAAGAAGAAGAAAAGACCCAAAGCCAGAACTCCCTCGAGCATGCAAGACAACTCCCGTGGGGTATCCCTCGCATGCAGCTGACAGTTACTCAGGTCGCTCCTTCCTTCCACCCCCGACAGCGGTTACATGTTTACCGCACGGAACCGTCCTCGAGAGGATCCGGGAGAGAAGTGGTGCGGTCCAGTCCTCTACGACTGTACGTCCTCAGCCACCGAGGTGCGACCAGCTGGTACCAGTACCGGTATCCTTACTAACTAAGCAATGCAATCTTTTTTAGTTCCTAACAGATTTAGTTGGTGCTCTGTCTGTTTGATTGTCTCCGCTGGAACTGTTGTACCCACGTCGAGCTGAAATTCGATTGCGCGTTAAAATGTCTCCAGTTTTCTGCTTGCTCTTACGGAATTTCACGTCTTAGGCATCCTTATCCTTTGGTTTTACGTCTTCTTCTTTATCCTTGATCGTTGGTTCTGGCTTTGCCACGGTGCGCACCTTGTACTCAATTCCGACATCGATGAGACGATCCAACAACACGTCTCCAAGGCAAGCTGCCGGAGGGAAGAATCCTCCGTCGTTACCGCTGGGAAGCTCCTTCTTGCCCTTCCCCTCGCCATTATTTGTTTCATGAAGTGCCATGGCCAGACCCGCCTCGACCATCATCTTGGCAGTTTCAAGGCAGCCCGGGTCTTTCGGCAGATAAAAGGTGCTCTCGACCCGATTGCCGTTGGTACCTACCCCTTCGGCTGTGACCAACAAATAGTTGGTCTTTTCCAGATTTTCAGAGCTCGGCCCATTTCCAGGAAGTGGCAAAATGAACTGATACGCCAACCATTTTGTAAGGGGATTCAGCAATGAGGAGCCCAAAATCATGGTCCCAACGTAAACAGTAAAAGCTGTTGCAGCGTGTTGTTGGCGTGGGATATTTCTGTTGTGAGCATTGGCAAGCCCCGTGAATCGATTTGGCATCTTTGTAGGAACGTACCTGTCATAAAATCTCGGTGGACCTGGGTTTCTCGGTACGAGATCTTCTTCTCTCCTTGTTGTCGGAGCGCATACGTCCATCGTACAATCTTGGCATTGATGAGCGCCATGACGAATGGAGCGGTCCACCTGCCATCAAAGAAGCAGTCCAATAGCAGAGGCAAGTCCTCAGTTGTTGAGTGTGTGCTTTTTGTTCCATCAGGTAGCTGCAAGAATGGATCAATCTTGCAACGCGGGCTAGAGCAATGAGTTGTACGGTAGTGTAGCGGCAACAGAGAAAACAGGATAAGTGCACCATGGTGAGAACGCACAAAGCGGCGACCAGGGCGGGAACCACCAATGAGTAACCTACGGATACAGGCCATTTCCACTCAAAGACAGCATGGCGGTCTGGTAGGTTCCTCCAGGAGCTTGCATAAGTGCTTCATCCCAGACTTTTACGGTCTTCAAATCGTCGTTAAACTCGTCTTTCAAAAGCTGTTGCAGCTTCATTACAGACAAATCCCACTGAAACAAACGAACGAAAAAGAGACGGTGAGTGTGGCGTCGACGGGGCCCTTGACAAAACGACCACGTAATGGATCCAACATACCGGAATGCAATCGTGTCCACAGAATGGCACGATCTTGGCTCCAGTTGATTTGGCAGTCTCCCCATGCTGGACCATCATTTGTTTGACCCAACCCACTGAAGCACCATCAACAACTCATGGAGTGAGCATTGGAATCGACCAACTTTAAAACACGTCAATCTCCATTCAATACAACCACCTTACCTTCGCCTGTTATGTCAGTGTAGTGGGTACTTTGGAGACAGAAGATCAGTGTCAATAAAACACTAATCCAACATCAATCAAACACTCATATTTTGGCAGCCGTGAGATAGCACCTACTCACCCATATTTAGCACAGAACTCTACCACAGTATTCCCGTATTCTTGGTAAGGTCCAGCTGTAGTGGCCACCGCACGAGTGTCTTCCACCAAAGCCGGCATTGTGTTAGGATCCGATGTATCGGCCACAATGATATCAATTTCGGTAACAATCTTGGGCATTTTCAACTCTTCTGCCAGCGACTTCCTTACGGCTTCCACCTTGGCTTTATTTCTTCCTGCAATGGCCCATTTGATGATTTTTCCTTCTGCTCCATACTTTTGGGCCAAATGACGGGCTGCCAAACGACCGGTAAAACCAGTGACTCCAAGAACCACAATATCGTACTTTCTATCTTTTCGTGGTTGGATGGTTTCGGGTGCCTTGATGTGGCCAGAATCCAGAGGAGGTCGAGGGTGAGGTTCGAGAATGCCTAGTTTCCGGAGAACCCTCGTGGTGACTTGGTAAAAGATGGTAAGGGGCATGATGGCGCCGAGCCAAAAGGGAATAAAGGCAAAAAACGCTGCAAACCTGAGAGGAGAAACTTGAAACATGAACCGTTGGTCGCGTCTCAAGGGAGAAGGCAGACCTACAATGTCAATGTAAGGATCGACTTTTGGCTTTGTGACGGACATGGTTGCTGGTGAAACTGTGAAAAAATGACGAGAGAAAGAGCACCTCAAAACCTCCTCAAAGAATTGATGGATAGTACCTCTCGGACAACTGAAGACAGAACAATATCAAAGGACGCCTTCAGCTAGCTGATAGAAAGCTAATAGATCCAGTATGCTAACAAAGAAAAAGGAGGCACAGTGGCGAGTTGTCTTCTTTCCAAAGACGAAGATCTGATTCTCTCCCATGGTTGACTTCTTTCTTTGATAACCTCCCTCCAATAGGGTTAGGCCATCTTTTAAATCGTTGGGGGTCTGGCAACGGAAGCTCCCCCCCAAAACAGAACCCCCCTTGCCTCCAAATCAAGTCAAGTCTGGCCAAGGCTCCGATGCCTAATAAGGCAAGCGGCCCTCCCCAAGATGGAACTGTCATGACAGTGCTGACACCTTTGGAAATGAATGCCAAGGCCTTGATAGGGAACCCAAACTCTTTCAGACCAACAGATTTCCCTAGCACCCAGTGCATGCATTATGCCTGACGATAGCAGCAAGGAAGCTCAACGTCATCTTGGTGAATCTCTATTTCTTTAGGGATGCTGTGGAGAAGTTCTGTCAACACCGGGGAGACTTGAAAGACCAGTGTGTCATGATGTCATGGTTATTCAAGGCTTGGTTTCCTGATTTCTTGTCTAGTAGAGTGATGTTATGGCTACCTGGTGTTGTGGACTCGCAGCTCGCCGAAGCTGGAGCCCTCTAGGTTTTTGGCGGCATATTTGCATCCTGGCTTCGTTTGCCCGACGTTGCTCTAGTTTTTTAATAAGGCAGTCAACGGGATGGGGCAAGGATGGTTCGACTAGTGGCTGCCAACCTGCTTTCTCTAGCTGATCTAGGCCTCCATGGAGGAGGTCAGGTTGGTTTGCTTAGCTACAAGAGGATGGATTCATTCCTGTTGTTGACCATCATAATCATCATCATCATCATCATCACAAAGATAACCATTGATCGGGCGTCCTGATGGGTTGCCATCGATTCGATTCTGTTACTGCCGGTGTGATTCGCCGTCCAAGCGTCAATAAACTTTGCCGTCCGTAGTTCCGTTACAAACTCGGAATCATTTGAGTCAGCTTCGCCTTGATTTCGTCTTCCACCTTTGAATCTGCCGCCACAGCCTCCGTAAATATTCGCTTGACTTCGGCCTTGCGGCTCAAAATCTCTGGGTGGTTCATTTCCAACAAACCGCCAAGACATTTGTACACCGTTTCGTTCTCTGTCATGTCTGTCTTCAAAGGAAGAATGGCTAGCATCGCTGGCAATACCTGAGCCATGGGAACGTTGTTCGGGGAAGCCATGATCATGCGAGCCACGGCAGCAGCGGCGTTGTCGACGCAAGCAGCAGTACCTTCGGGAAGGGGTCCGCCGGAAACATTAATGCTAAAGAGGGGAGATAAACCTTGCAGAATTTGTGGGTAGTCACCAGCCACTTGGTCTTTCAAGTGTTCACAGCAAACTCCTGCGCAAAACGCAGCATTTCGCTTCACATTCTCATCGGCATCCGCCAAACCAGCAATGACAGCGGGCAAGAACACTCCTTTCCAGTGCTCAGCGATGGCACCTTCCAATTCTTGTGCCAGCTCACTCAAACACCCAACTGCCATCGATCGATCACTGGGAGGCCGCGAGGACTTGGCGTAGTTGCAGATTGCGGGGAGAAATTGTGGCAAGTACTGCGCAAACTGTGCTCCCATCACTCGTCCATAGCCACCAACTAAATCACAAGCTGCCTGCATGACTACATCATGATCGTCATCGTCCTCAGGGAACTCGCCGTACATCTCTTCTGCTGCAAGGCAAGGCGCTGTTTTGGAGAGTAGCTCATAGGTATTGGTCAGACAATCATTGGCGACTGGGAGCAGTGCATGGGGTCCACAAACTTCGATGACACTCTGGATTCCTTCGCATGACTTTCCAACCGTAGATTTGTCATCGTCTTTCATCAGCATGATCAACTCAGTAAGCACAGCCGCCACGATGGCTTGTGTGGGCTGACTCATCGGATTGGGTCCAGCAACGTCTCCCTTGGTCCATTTAAGATCGCCTTCATGATAGGCAGCAATACATGGCATGACAAGCGATGGAAGAGCATCCGCTACTTCACACTTGATGAGTGGGTGCCAGTTGCTTGCAGCCTTTTGCAAAACTTGCATCACCTCTTCCAAGAAGGGAACAAATGCGGCTCCAGTGTGTGCTGTCATTTCTCCAATGGCCGTAATGGCGCCCTTCTTGACTTCCAAAAGAGCCGTCCTGACGTGCAGCACGTAGTTGCCTCCCTCCTCGTCTTCTTCGTCGGAATCGTCCAAGCCGGCCAAAGCACCTACCTGCTTGGGAGGAGCAAGATAGGCAAGGGATTGCAGTTCGCGCTGTGTTAGTCAATCGCTTTGTGTTAGTACCAAATGGATTCAGTGCGTAATCATTCCATGAAGACAAGATATCGATGCATCTCATCTTTTCTCAACGACGAAAACACCCAACCAATAAACGACATTGTAAAAACCACAACAAAACACAAACCCACCTTTTCGGCTTCTTCTGCAGGCTCCAATTGTCCTTCATCCGTTCCAATCACTTCAATCAAATGAGGGACAAGATCTCCCAAAGCGGGAGCAAATTCTTCCTTCATGACCTTGGCCAGATTGGCAAAAACGGCATAGGCAAACTCCTGCAAATCGGTCGAGTTGGTTGTCAATCCTTCACAGGCACACTGCATTGTGGCGGTAAAGTAAGGCCGGAAGGTATCTCGTCCCACGGCAATGGCCATGTGTCCCATGCATTCCAGTGCCCTTCCACGCAAGGAGAAGAGTCGTTCCTCTTGCAGGACCATTAATTTTTGCATCAAACTGGCGACACCCGCCACATAGGGCGTAAATTCTTCTTCGGCCGCCACTGCCGTGGCCGCCATGGCCGCAACGGCCATTTCCTGAACGGATCGTTTGGTAGTTCCTTCCAACATGGCCGCAAGCTTGCGTACCAGACTATCGAGCATGGGTCGAACCGCTTGTGGTTCCAAACGTTCACAAAACATTTCCAACACATAACACGACGTGGCCTGCACCGCGACGGTAGTATCATCCAACAAGGAGAAAATGGTGGGCAAAATCTGTTCGGAATATCCAAGAATTTCCGGTTGACAATGTTCCGAGATTTGTCCCAGACAGAAACAGGCGCACTCTCGTACTTGGGCATTTTCGTCTCGTGCGGCTCCCAATACTTGTGGCATGATATCGGCCAAATGATCTCTCAGTGGTTCGGCACATCCTTCGGCGACGACGCCCAAACAGGCGATTCCTGCCTTGCGTTTGTTGGGATCGGGTACGGCGATGCGGGACATGCATCTGCTGAGGAGCGGTTCGAGAATGTACTTTTTGGGTATTTCACAGGCGAGCATATCGAGCGTTCCCTGTGCCATGCTGGTTTCCGTGGGATTATCGTAGGGATCATCGGGATCGTCCATGGTGCCTCCTTGTTCGGCCAACAAATCTTCTCTCCACATTGGATTGGAATCAAAGAGTGCTCCAGCCGCCGACTCTGGTGAATTTTCAATGAGTGTGAAGAGTACCTCCAATACTTGTGCCAACAATGCTTGTTCTTTTCCAAACGTTTTGGGTTTGGCTTCGGCCAGAGTGGCGACAACGAGAGCAGCCGAATCACGGACTCTCATTTCGAGCTCACTGGATTTCATGGCTTCCAGACAAAAGGTCACCATGGGTGTCAAGTGTTGTGTAATGGCAGGTACCGGTGAATATGCCAAATCGTAGAGTACATCCAATACGACCGCCACCAGATCTTCATCATCGTGAGCATGACGACTGGCCACTTGCAGAATGGCCGGAATAAGGTAGGCAAAGACTTGTACTTCGGCATCATCCGCCAAAAAGGAGAGCAATTGTCCCAATGCTTGCACAGCCGCTTTTTGCACAGCCGGTGACTCGTTGGGGTTGGCAAATGCCGCCTGGAAGAGTCCCGCAATGGATTGGAATTGTTCCTTGAGATGTGTGTAGACCGTTTCCGTCATTTCGCTGAGGAGCGAAAATGCCAATTCTCGTGCCATGGGGTTTTCATTGGCCGCCGCGGCCGCCAAGAAATTGAATAATTCAGGCCACGAAGTTCCACCGGCCGTGCATTCCAATTTGGCAATGGCGGCCGCCACGCCCACCATTCCATTGCGGACGGATCGTTCCGATTCATGCGCTAGAATCTGCAGAATTTCCGCTTTCAAGTGGGTTTTGTAGTTGGGGTCCAAATTGGCATAGTGGCCCGTCAATCGTTTTCGCAAGACGACAGCGGCAATGTGACGAACGGGAGGAGTCGCCACGGCCACCACGGCAGCATTGTTGGGATCCCTGTGCAAAATCAACATGAGGGCTGGAATGCAGCGAGGATCTTTCAACAAGGGTTTCATCGCCTGTTCAGCTTGACGAATGGTGTTCGTGTCCGGTTGCGTCAGGGCTGCCAATAAGGCACCCATGTTTTGGGGTTCGTACTCGGGAGCAGCCGACATACTGTATTATTTGTACTACGGTACAGTACTAGCTAGGACAAGAAGTTTATTGTTGTTGGTTTCTTTGTGTACTTTCCAAAAGAACCTTGGATGATGATGCAATGAAAAATTATGGCTGGGGCGAAGCTACCCACTTGCAACTACACTTTTTGTTCTTCTTACCAAGTTACTACCTGATACTGGACCAATGTCAATGGAACCACAGCCAGCCATCCAAAGAAGTAGAAGAAACGAAATGCAATGCCGTGGCAAAATTTGGATCATCCAAAAAAGCAATGCGGTTTGTTGGCGCCATGGTTGGCTGGCAACAGGTTTTTCTCATTCCGGTCCCGAGTGGGCATTCGACAGAAGCTCATAGCCTATTACGTCATTCCACGATGGAGACCGTGGGAACACCATTCTGCGTTTGCATTGCTCTTGCACTTGGAAATCTATCGGTACCGTACGGTACCTCTTCTAAAGGAGCTCTCTCCCTCTCTCTCAAGATAGATAGAAGCTGCAAGTTGATGAAGAAAAATGTTGGGTAGTTGACAGGTTGTCTCGTAGTGTAGTAAGTCCAGTCTAGTCTAATGTTCTTGTCTCATGTGAGAGCTTTGCTCAGGAGAGTCTTGGAACTATTTTTGGATTGTGCAGCACTCGGATGCTTGAACTCTTCCCTCTTTACTAGACTTACCGTTACGCACCAATATCATCTTGAAGTGCGGTTTCAGTTCAATTTGAAAAAGCGAGAGCGATTGCAGTATTCTATCTTTCCAGCAACATCTTGGCAGCGACGCGGCTCTTTTTTGTGTCTGTGGAAAGAGGAGGTGCTTGTGAGGCTCGGGACAAGCCCATCCCCAGCACGCTGTGGGGCATTTGGTTTCAGAATTGTCCTGAGCAAAGGAGATCGTGTACTGTACCAGATGATTTCAATCAGCTTCAGCCAACTGGCAGCTCTACCGGGCGGCCGGTAGCTAGCCAGCCACTACCGTAGTCTATCGCCAGCTTGCTGCCGGTAGCTAGCTCCTGGATGCATTTTCCTTCTTAACCTATTTGGAATACAAGCTGCCTCCTACCGGCAGACTCTATTAATAATAGTTTGATGGCACCGGTACAATACTGTAGAGGTGTTGGCATCTTGGGCGAAGTTAGTTGTTCTCTGTTGGGTGAGTGTGCGGCATGATTGTTTGCTTCGTAGGTTTACTACGCAAGGCCTCGCTCGGGCCTTCTCCTCCTCAAACGCTTTCCCCCGGCCATTGAGCCAAGCCAAACCAACTGCTGGCTTGTTTTTCGTCGGTGACACTGACACCCACCAACTAACTAACCCGAGCTCCACCGTCAAGCAGGCAACCAACCTCTAGCTAGCTAGCTATCGTAGCTGATAGAGACAAGAGACAGTGTCGTAGTAGTACTAGTACTGTAGCCATTGCTAGCTAGCTAGCTACCGTAGCTAAAGAGAGAATGGCCAAGTCCAAGAAGGGCAAGAAGGGTGGGAAAAGCCAACAAAAGAAGAATGACGATCATGGCAACAGCAACACGTCGACCAACACCAACACCAACGCTACTAACACTTCTGGTAACAGCAACAACAATGGTTCCTCCAACAACGCTTCTACTTGGTCGATTCCTCCCTCGGCGGCTGTTACGACTGGTACTGGCAGTACCAACAACAACACCAAGGGCGTCAATGGCAATGCCGTCGTCTCGGATAGCAACGGTACCAACAAGACCACCAACAACTTGAACACCACCAACACTGGTACGACGGGTAGTACTCCCAATCCGATGGACGCCAACGCGACAATCAATGGCGCTGCGGAAGATCGCGACGATTTGACGTGGTTACGGGAATGCGACACTCGCGTCGACACCAAAGGCCAGCCGTACTTGCAGTTGGAATACCGTGACGACGACACCATCATGCTCTACTTGAAGAACTTTTTGGAGAAATCATCCGCGCAGAAACAAGTGGTCGACGAATTCTACCAGATTTGGCAACAAACCGTACTGAGTACTCTCCTCGAAATGAGTGCCGTCTGGCAAAAGGAAAATGTCACTCCCGATGATCAACGACACATGAAAGAACGCCTCAAAAAGGCTCGATACAAGATCTCATTTCTACTCCATAGAGTCATGGGAGGCATGCTCACATCGGCACTCACCAAGTGGCAGAATCGTAGAGAGGATCTACTCCATGTCTGCTTTCAAACGCTACAGCTCTTGCCCCGATTGGCGGAAAGCTGCCCTCATCACAAAAGCGACATTCGTCAAGTCATTATTCACTTTGAAGGAAAGGAGTTCTTGGCTTCCTGTGCCTGCGAAACATGGGATACTCTATACGATCACTCAATCCCTCTCGATCCAAAAACATTCGTACCCATCTTGAGAAGGTGTGCCATGCTCGACATTCTAGACAAGGATTGGAACATGCTAGGTGGATGGGAAGACATACTCAAAGCGCTAGAAGCCAAATGCTTTATGGATACCGGACCCGTACCCCGACTTGCCAGTGACTCGGTCCTGCAGGAGACCACCACCATTCTAAGAAATGCTCGCAATTCCATGCAATGCAAATTCTTCTCGGTACGATTCCTACGATACACCGATGATCAGGCGCCCCAGCGATGGAGGTACTTTCCCAAATGCTCCGCTCCGGCTTGTGCCAACCTCGAAACGCCACAGAAACCACATACCCTTCGTTGCACCAATTGTTGGTACTTTCACTACTGTTCTTCCTCGTGTCAAGAATACTGTGACAGCATCATGGGATTGCACCCAAAGTTCTGTAAAGATACACCCAAAGACAAGGCCGCTCAGTGCCAGAAAGAAATGGAACAGTATCTAGGGCTCAACCAGGAACCCGACATGACCTGTCATGCCTGTGGATTGGAAGAACATCACGTCACCGAAGGCATGAAACGATGCAGTCAATGCCAGAAAGTATACTACTGTTCCCGACAATGCCAAGAATGGGATTGGAGAGTCGGTGGACACAAACAAGTTTGCAAGGAAACCAACACCAGTGCCAGTGATGCACTCTTGAATAGTATGGATCAGACGCTTCCCGTCCCTGCTTCCAGCAACAATGGCACGGCCAATGTGGTGGAATGAATAAGTACGCTGTACCAGTACTGTAGTAAGAAGCAAAGATCAACAATGGTGACGAGACGAGGAAGAGCCGCGTGAGCTCTTGAGAGTAGTGCAATGCAATTTTCATTTGAACTAAGGAGAGACGAAGATTACATCACGTGCCTCTGGATCGTTCATTATTGGAATGATGATGGCGGTATCCCTGTACGTAAATCATCGCCACTAGTAGCTAGCTAGTTGCCGCACTAGCAGCCTGTACGGATGGTTCTTGGTGAAAAACATGCATTACGTTATGCGGTCATTACTGTCTTTTGCTTACAACCAGCATACCGGCCTCTAGTAGCTAGCTCCAATGCTGTCGATGACTTCAATATCCCACAGAGCGCGCCAATGGATCGCTCGAGATGAAGTATGTGGTCCCATAAACATTCACATTAGGTGCACTGCCACAGATAGATTTTCCCAACCACGTAGGTACGGTAGATCGTTACTTCGTCCCAGCCACGGGACTCTCAATCGCCGTCCTTCGAACTTTGGCTTGGGGCGAGCTCAGAGGCTTGGGCCGTTCGTGGTCTGCTGCCGTGTTCACATCAAAAGTAGGACTCTTGGCTTTACTGGCTCCGAGGTGGAGATAGTTGTTCAGTCGATTCACTTTGCTACTGCTTTTAACTTCGGGAACGGGGCAATTCGGCCATTCGCTGGTTATAACGATGTTGCCATTTCCAGACTTTGGTACTTCGGATGGTTCCCGTTTGGATCTGTTGGGGCTCGCCATGATCACTCTGTCAATGTTCCTGGTGGCCAGTTCCGCTCGCTGCACAATCTTGTCTCCGTTCGTCTTATCTGACTGGTAGTCATCAATCTTTTGAATCAAATCGGACAGCGTCTCGCCACGAGATTCATTGGCGGCACTACGAGGCGAAGAAGTGGACCCCTTGGGTGATCGTCCAGCAATCATCTTCTTCTTGAGTGTCGACAACTCCAAATGTGTCACTTCGAGATAGGGCGAGTTGTCTCCTGTGCCAGTTTTGGCTGGGTCCGTGGTGATGGTGCTAAAGTCGTGGGCATCTTCTCGAGTTTCTCTTGTTGTGGGCCTGGGTGAATTTGGCTCACTTCCGAAAAACTTGCGAGGCGACTTTCGCGGTGATTTGGACGGCGGCAGTCCGGGTGATTTCCTGGGAGTCCGTGGTGTGAGTGGTGCGGAAAACTCGGCCTCGGCTTCCGCAAACATGTCGTCCAGCAATGTCTTCACTTGGTCTTCGCCATAACTGAACGGAGCAGACTTCAGCTGTGATGGTTGCGTTGCTTCTGTCCTTTGTGAATACACTGTTGGGTCGTCTTCTTGTCTTTGCGTTGGCTGTGGGGGGAGATGTTGTGAATCTGGCACTGGCTCTTGGGGCTCCTGTGGAGGTTTGTCTGCAGCATCCTCGTACCGGGTGGTTTCCGACTCTGACTCATCGTCCTTCCTGTCTTCGTTCTGCTCCTGGTCGCGGGGGGCTTGTTGGACGTCAGGTTTCTTCTTGGCAATGCATTCAAACGACTGCGATTGTTGTAGAGATATGGTGAGACTTACACTCAAGCTAGATCATTCAATCGACATTCAACGATTCATTGGCAGTACGTACCAAGTTTTCCAGGAGCGATTCCGAAAATGACTCAGCCTCTTCTACTACGGCCCTTGTTATGAAGTCATGGCTTGTGGTTGCTTCTACCGTTTGTGGTTGGGGGGCTTTCAGAGGCTGGGACTTTGTTGCTGCGGTTGGTGGCTGCGTTGCCAAGTTCTGTGTCGTGGCTGGTTCTTCCGACATAACGTCAAAGAACTCTTGTTGAAGCTCCGACTCAAGCGTCGGAAACGAATGTTCAGGGTGTTCTTCGGCGTCTGGAACCATCCTGGTTGCTACACCGTATTCGTTGACAGCAACGTTTCCCGCTGTGGGTGTTGGCGGATCAGTTTCTTCTGCGACTCCTTCGCCGTTTTGCTTCTTAGCGGCGTCGCTGAAATCTACTGGAGCTGACAAAACTGGACTGGTGTTCTCCACCTCAGCAAGCAGGTGCTTTGACTCTTCTTGGGTCTGCGCAGAGGACGCAATAACATCGACGTTTGCCTCCATGCACTTGACGCCGTGTTCGTAGAGGGCAGCTGCAAATTTTGACGCTGACGAAATGGGCTTGCCCACAGCCGAAAGTTTTGCAGTTGGGCTGCTGCCAGTTGCGGCGTCAGGGGTGCTGATGGCTGCTTCTTCGGGCACAACGAGCTGCAGCTCGCTGCGGAACTTGAGCTTTTCCAGTTCGGCCTCCAGCTCCTTGATGCGCGCCTCTTGTGCTGCCATTTTCTGATCCATTTCGTTCTTATTCTCAATCGCTTCTTTGAAGCCATAGCTTCTTGTGGCCTCCTGAATTTCTCTCACTCCTTCCGCTCCAGTCCACACCGACGCTTCACCACACGAGACTCGTTGCAAATTAGCGTACACTCTTCGTGTATCTATCTCTCCAAGGAACTTGTGCATGAAGTCGAAGTCATCTTCGATGGATGACGAACTGAAAGAGGGGCAACAAATAGCTTCACACAGCATGTTCATGTCGTCCATGATACTCTTCTCATCAAATGAACAGTCCAAACCTTTGCAGGTCGGTCGCCAAGAATGAGGAACATGAGGTGCTGCAGCTTCGAAGATGAGTTTCACAAAACCAGGCACACCTCCGGAAACAGATCGAAAGTATCGGGCACAAAGATACATGAATGGTAGCCCTCGTCTCGCAACTTCTCGTCTCAAAGAGGATTGAACCGAGAAAGGAAACGGTGCGGCGGAGGGGCTCACCACTGGCACACCCTTGTATTCGTCGACCAAATACAGTATCACCTTGGATGCATCGTCGTAACAAGCCAAAAACTCCCTGGCTTGCTCTTGAATCAACTTCAGGCCAATTTGCAGTGGGTTTGATCGAAACTGTTCCACATGCTCGGAGGCCAGCTGGGCAAGCCTTGTCCGAGGAGTTGCGAACTCCTCCTTTGGAAGATCCATTGCTTCTAATATTGAAGACAAGGGCCAGCTTGATACTTCGCCCATGTTTTCAATTGCTGTCTTCATGGCACTAATAAACTGGCACGCTTTGCTCAAAGAAAGCATTCGGAGCCCCAGTCGTTCTGCGCGTTCCACATCGCGCTTAGAAGGTGGAGTCAACACTCCTTTCTTGTTCATGACGAGCTTGTAAGGAAGGATAACGAAACTGCATGGGATGCCAATGTGTTCGGCATTTCGGGAAAGAAAGTCTGGCAGCAGCGCCGTTGGCGTCAAGTGGATTCTTCTTTGTAAATCAAAGTCCCACGAGGCGACGGCAACAGTGCGCTCCTTCAGCCACCCTTCATCAGTTTTTTCGTTCACATTATTCTCCAGCCACCTTCTGAATGCTAGGCTAGCCTTGTTTCGTTTCTCTGCCACGGCCTGAGCTACAGCAGAAGTCCTCTCACCATCATTGAAGTATGGATGGCACAACAGCTTGTCCATGGACAGCGAAGACCTTTTCTCGTATGGAGAAAGCAGTCTCAAAAGAATGTCTTGCGCAAGCGGATCCTCAACGTGCTCGTAAATCATCGCCTCGGCTTTGTCCATTTTCCACTCACAGATATCTTTGTAGTTCAATAGATTTCCCGTTCGAGCGTTGATGGGAAAAAGCGGGCGGCCTGAGCTACAAAGCATGAACAACAACTGTCCAAAAGCCCAAATATCAGCGGATTCCCGTGCTGGCAGCAGCTTGTATGGAAGTGGCGGCAACAAGTCCACTTCGTCAGAACGCGCCTCGCTCGGTACAAAGTGGCATCGCATGACATACGATGCCCCACTTTGGAAATCGACGACAGGGTCCACAACTGCTCTATCGACCTTGACCCCAAATTCACGTTCAACCGCGTCCCAGTAGTTTTTGTAAGCCTTGATCTCCTCCGGTTCCAGCTTGACAAACATTTCTGGGGGCTGCGAAGCGGAATAGAAGTCAGCCATCCCTTGGAACGATACTTTCCCGATGTAGGAATTCTGATCCGAAAGGCGACAGGCTCCAGAGAGATTTGTCAGTGCCCAGTGCCTCCGTCCTTCCTCGAACTCAGCATCTTCTACTGGTGGAAAAAGAACAATGTTTCGCATGGCAACGTTTCCATGGATAATACCTTTTGACATGGAAGCAGATCGTTAGCCCAGCACAAGAAAGAACAAGACACATAACCCCAGGAAGCATTTCAAGGAAGACACTCACCTTGTCCGTGCATAAACGACAACGACTTTCCGATTTGAATAGAAATTTCGCGTGTCTCCTCCATGCCTTCAACACCGTGGCGAAAGAAGTAGTCAAAGAGATCACCATAGTTGCTGTAGGGGAACACCAATGCATAGGGGTAGTCAGTCAAGCAGATCGATTCGCTTGCTGCAGCGTTGCCGCTCTTGCCGAAAATGTCCAATGTGATGAAACTTTCGTTGTTGGTGTCATTTCTGTACATTCGGTCCTCTCTCCGATCGAGCGATGCAGCATTGTAGTGAGCAATCAAAGGCACGATATGGCTCGATGAGAAAGCTCCGCCCTCGACAGCAACACCCAACTCCGAACGACGGCGGACTTCGTTGTAGTATGTTTGAGCATTTTTGGTGAACATGAAGCAAATACTTCGTCGCATAGCCTTGAACGTAGCACCCAGGTACCCAACTTCTTCGTGCGGAATGACGCCCGTTTCCCACACTTGCGCTTCGGCAACGCCTGGTGCAACCTCAGGGGCTTCATTGTATTCCTCGGTAGAGAAGGTCCATTCAGTGGATCGAACTTGCACTGTTGCGGAATCCGTCGTGCGGTTGAGAAGAATGCCACCTGTCTCGGATCGGAAGTCAAAACGACCGAGGAAGTAAAAGAGGTTGTGAATCAACTTTCGGCACTTTGGGCTGGCAACGTCACGGAGCGTGAGTCCTTCCAAGCGGACATTTCCTTCCAAGTACTGAGCCGAGTATGGAGGCAAAGGCATGGAGACAACTTGGTCAACAACAGAGCGTGAGATCTCATCAAAAATTCCCTCGACCAAGTTTGCATAGTTGTCAGAAGGATTCTTCTCGTCGCAGAAGAGAACGAAAAAGGTCAAGAGTCTCATGCCAACGTCACTGAACTTCTTCGGTCCAGCAGACGCAGACCGCGTCGTAGCCCCAGATGCATGAGCCTCTTCACTCTCGTCCTTCTTCTCTTCTCTGGCACTGTTGCTGTTCCGACGCCCAGCCGAATCTTTGTTGCTCGTACCAGGAGCCCCGCTTGCATCCCATGATCCTGCAGTAGTCACGGTCGGGTCGCGGCATTCGTCTTCGTCAAATGAATCGAATCGCTCATCGGACTCATCCGACAGGTACTCTTCCGCGCTTTCTGGACCCGAGAAGTAGTCGTCTTCAAAATCATCATTGTCTTCCCTGTCGCTGTCGGAAACAACGTAGCCAGCATCAAGTACATCATCGTCGTAAATCGATTTCTTGGCGACAGAACCGGAATAACTCAGACCCATCTTTCTGCCGCTCCTGACGCTGGAGTCCTTGCTGGCGCCGGTTTTCTTACTCTTGGTCTTGTGCTTCTTGCTTTTTGGTGTCGTTGCCTGCCTCGAGCGTTCAATCGCCTTCTTCGACAAGGGTCGTCCACCATGGTCAATATCGGGGACTTCGATGGATGCAAAGGTGTCCGACAATTCTATCGCTGGCATCTGCGGGAGGTTCTTCATCTCCTGCTCAATTCTCCAATGAAAACTCTCTTCCACATCACTGCAGGATCCGATGGAGTTCGCCACCTCAGCTCGGACGACACGTACTGATTGCATCAGAATGTCATTGAGATGTCGATGACGCCCCACCAAGGGTGAATAGCTAAAGAGCAACTCTCGGATTTGCCGCCACTCTCGATCCATTTTGGAAGACATTTCGGCGCGTACCACGTTATCTTTGTAGTTCTCGTGCAAATCCAACGGCGAAACCTCATACTTCTCTACCGTAGTGAGCTGCTCCGCAGAGGACGGACACTTGTCAAGCATTCGTTTGACGGTGATGTAGGGAGCAGCTCCCCAGGCACAGACGATATGGAGGGGCAACATTCCATGATCATAGCTGGCGATTTGAAGCATATCTGTGACTTGTGTCGACGCCAGGATGGGATCCACCAGCAGGCGTATCTTTTGCTGCACGACTGCAAGTCTGTCTTGATGCAGTGCTTCCTCCTCGGGCGAAGACCAAGTTGTCGACACGGCCAAACTGGCTCCCTGAGGAGGCAGACCATCGGGATTCCCCTGAAAGGCGTACTTGTCCACCAATGTGTGCAAGGGTAGATCCCCCTCGGCAGTTTGAAACAAGGCACACTTGGGATATTCCTCCACGAAGAGTTGCACAACTTCCAGACAAGCATTGTTCCTACAGGCGTAGTGAATGGGATAATTTCCATCAGCATCTTCCATTTTCAGTGCCAGCCTTCCATCGACATAGGTCCCATGCCTGGATGCCACGTAGGCTCGTAGAATGAGTTTCATGGTTTCGGGTGTTTGCATGGGAGCCACATACGGCGACATGACGGCCGCATGCAGTGGAGCCACCAACGTGTCTTCCGTGGTATGGACCAAACTGGTTGGATGTGCCTTGATGAGGACTTTGATAACTTCGGAACAAGCTGCCACTTCGACCGCTGCATGAATGGGCAATCGTCCATCCACATCTTCCATAAACACGGCCGATCGTTCTTCCAAGACGGCCGCGGCGGGTGGTTCCCCGACGAGCGATCCACCACTGATACCGGACGAAATCAAGATTTCCACCAACTCCATAGACGGTGCAAAGTTTCCCGTGGCCGTGGGAATGGAATGAGTGGTATCTCGTTTCATTCTGGCCACAGCGGCAGCCACACTGGTCGCCTTGATTCCTCCTTGTGTAAGATCCACATCGTTTCGTTCCACCTTGTTTCGTTGGATTCGTCTCCATTCTTGTTCCTGTACTTCCTTGACCGCATCAAAGAGCAGGTGCAGCGGAGTCTTGTTTTCCATGTCACCCTGGACCAATCCTTCCATGTAATGATCCAACAAGAGCTGGATGGTTTTCATGGATACATTGGGTCCTTGTTGTTGCAATTGTGGATGTTGCAGAAAGTAGTGATTGCGTGCCAATGTCATAATGGCCCAATGGAGGGGTGATCGTCCCGTGGAATCTGCCATGCGAGCGGATCGACTGTTGAGCAATAATTGGACCGTCGCCGACTCCACCTTGTTCTTATCCCACCAGCTGATGGAATGTGGATCCGTGGGTTCTCCCGTTACCAGCAGTCGATGGTGGTTATCATTGTTGCCGTTGCTACCATTATTATTGTTGTGATGATCCGGATCGCCAACGACATGTCCCGCTCCCAGGTACCATGCCAAGGCCGTTCGTCCCATGCGATCGACCAATCGTTTGGATTCTGGGTAGACTTGCAATAGGTAGCGCAAGACATCTCGGGACGCCCCTTCCATGACAGCATAATGCAACGGAAGAGCTCCATGACGAGCATCTGGAATAATGGCCGCATTCGAAGGTACTTTTTCTTTGATGGATGGATTGGGTACTTCTGGCAACGGGTACTCGTCTAGATCCGTATGATTGAGACTATCGTTTGGGTTGTTGTTGCTGCTGTTGTTGTTTCCAGTGGATTGCGGCTGTTTCAGGGTTTCAATCAACTTGGGTGGCAAATCTTGACAGAAGACCTTGACCAGATTGACGGTTCGATGGGGTGCATGATGGTACATGAAGAGACAATGCAGAGGTGTCCGTCCGGCAGTGTCTCGATGGGCCAGTGCTTCGTAGTAGACGGCCAATAGGATTTCGAAGATCTGCAGGGTATCGGGATCATTGGGATGTCTTCGACAGGCCACGTGCAGTGGCAATTTGCCGCGATGATCTGGAATTCTTGCCGCATGAGGCTGCAAATGACAGAGTGCGGCCACAACGGGAGCAGGAGCCGATGTGACGGCCAGTTTCAAAATGGTATTGTCTTGTCGAGGTCCAAATTTGCGTTCCAGCAATTGTTCGTCCAGGATTTCCGAAGGCACCGAGTAAGGTGGCAGAGGGGAATCGAATTCCGGTCGTTCAATGGCCCCATCGGTGGTCGAGTGATTCTCCAAATACTGCAAGACTTTGTTCCAGAGATTTTGGGCCGTCACAGCTCGACTGTGATTCTTGTGGTTGTTGCCGCGGGAAGTCTTGCCAGCACTGATTGCTTCTTCCACCAAGTTGGCCAATGTCCCCGAATAACGACCCATCTTGGACTAATAGCTAATGGCAGCTATGCTAGCACACTGTAGTATGCTGATTGAATGATAACGATTTCAGGTTTTCTTGAGAGGCGTTGCCTCCTTCTTCTTATTTTGTTGGGCAAAAAGGCTGGACTTGCAGTCAACTAGTCTCATGCCAATGGTCGGTCCAAGGAGCCAACAATAGAGTGGTATGGGTGTGGTACCGCTAATAACTAACTAATGCTAATGGCTTTGGTGGCTCCTTTCTTGTCGACAAACAACATGGGCCGCATAGGTGCTCGCTGAGCCCTAAATACCGTGCCAACAATTAGCATACTATTTAAGGTCTCGTAACGGCAAGTCTCGAAGAAGCTCGCCCAGCTACTCGCCCCACAAGATTTGTCATCAAAGGAGTGAGTGAACGTCCAAGGAGGAGGAGACGTGCTGTGATCGCTCATTAGAGATGAGGTTGATCTAATGGCAAGGTGTGGCTCCATGGTGTAGATAGTCCAGGGCCTACCTATGAGCATGGCACTCTACGGTATCATTCTGACTACTTCCTAATAGTAGGTAGATAACAGTTACAGGTACCGCTGATGCCACCGCTACTTGGTTCTCTAAACTCTTGAACAGCAACATCATTGGATCTATACATCAGGTTCAGCCATTTATTTGTGCTGGCGCACCCGATTGATTCCAATAGCACTGCTTCACACAACATCACGCATCATAGACACACTGGTCCTTCATGTCTGCCCAGCGCTCACATGCTTTCTCAGCAGCTGCCTTGTTAGCAATGGGGGATTCAACAAGATGGCGAGCATCCTCTGCACTGCTAGCTAGTAGGGAAGAAGCTCGGGGAATCTGTTTGTCTGAAAGAGCTAGTAGGGTTCAATCTCAAACACTTGCCATTCATTTCTAAATGCACCAGCATCTGACATGACAGTTCCATTGTGGGCAAGCCATTTGCCAGTCTCAAACTCTCCCAACATAGACTACATTTGCTACGACAGTAGCATACGAGCAGCAAGTTGAGGCCTGTTACAGGGCAAGGCTTTAGCCAGCCTTAGCTGGCTTAAATATTGACATTGACAGCTGGCAGTTTTTCCTTTGTGGGACAAAGCGTGACACTGTGAAGCCCATAGTCCATCAATCCAGAGATCCTTGGTTCTTGTGTTGTGTTGTGTTTTGTTTTGTTGTTATTGTTGTTTCTTGCCTGAGACGTGGAGATATCTTGATTGTGGTTGCTGCAATAGCTAATATTTGTGGTCACAAGTCGAAAAGAGTTGAAAGTTGAAAAAGAAAGCATCAAGGGTACGCGGAAGCAACATCCAACATCATGGATTCATCCAAAGAAACGAAAGAAATGGAACAGAAAAATGAGGCAAGTGGAAAGGAATCCACTACCGATGATGACAACGTCAAGACAAAAACGGAAGAGGAAGATGATGACGACAGCTACGAAATTGTGGAGAAGGAATCATCCACTAGTTTGGTCGACCAAAAGCAGCCAGAAGAAGCAGACTCCCACAATAATGACAATGATCCTCAGCATCACGAAGGACTCTGGATTGGCATTGACCTGGGAACTTCCAATTGCGCATCGGCAGTTTGGGATTCTACTCGAGGACGCCCCAAATGGATGCGATTGCCCGACTTGGCCGTACCACAGTCATCCAAACCAGGACGCATTGTGCCATCGGCGGTTCAACTATTGTCATCCGACAACACGGATGGTTGGACCCCGGCATTGTTGCAGGATATCCAAAAGTGGAATGACAAGGAAATCACGGCGACAATCAAGGCGACTGTGGGACACCAAGTCTTGTCACAGTTGGACTGCTCGACGACAACATCCTCAGTCGTCATTACCAGCATGAAACGAGTACTGGGAGTCTGCGACACGACCAACTTGGACGACTTGGATCCAGAGTTTCGAGCATCGTTGCCGTTTACCATTGAAGAGAATGAACAAGGACAGTGGGTCATTCCCTACAATCTAGTACCAGCAGACGACGATACCAATAGTAGTACTATTATTTATCTGCGTCCGACACACGTGGCGGCCATGATCCTACAAGCCATTCGACAATCAGCTGGGGCATATCTACCACGGGCCATTCAGAAAAAGAACATGCAACTCCCTGGAATGAACAACAACAAAGACAACAACAACAATACGGATATCAATAATGTCGTGATTGGAGTTCCGGCGTATTTCGGACACACCCAACGACAGGCGGTGGAAGAAGCTGCCCGTTTGGCTGGGTTTACGGGCCATGTGTCGACCTTGACCGAATCCACGGCTGCTGCCATGGCCTATGGACTCTTTGTGGGACAACCTGCTCAAGACGAAAACGAAAACGAACAATCCAAGAATGCCATTCTTGTATTGGACATGGGAGGGGGGACAACCGATATTACTATTGCACAATTGCGCAACAACAACAACAATGATACGGCATCCTCGGATAGACCCGATCAAAAGTTTCAGGTCATTCTCACCGATGGAGACAGTCGATTGGGAGGAGAGGATATGGACCAAGCGTTGCTGGATCTGGTACTCCAAAAGGCATCCTCCTCTAATCTAGTAGTAGAAGCAAAAACACCAGATCTCTCGTCATCACAGAGACAATTGCTGATTCGATCTTGTCAGCAAGCCAAAGAGGAACTTTGTGGCGATGTCGATCACGGAGATCCACCAGCCGAGACGGCAATGGTCCATCTACCAAACGATGCCTTTCCCACGACGATGAAGAACGTCCAAGTGACCACGGAGGATCTCGAAACGGCCATTCAGCCACTGCTGGAACGAACGGCTCAATTGGTCGAACGGGCTTTGAAGCGATATGCCGACAAGAATAGCAAGAGCAGTAGTCAACAATTGATTCGAGAAGTCATTTTGATTGGTGGTGCAACTCGCGTCCCAGCATTGCGAAAGCTGCTCCACGATCGATTCTTTTCCAACTTGGAGTTGTGCACATCGGTCAATGCCATGAGTGCCGTCGCACAGGGAACCGCCATTCAAGCCGCCATTCTTTCCAATCGTGTTCCGCTCCATGAATTGAGATCGGCCATGATGTTGGACACCATGCCGCATGCCATTGGAGTCTTGCTGCCCGACGAGAGGTTTGTCGAGATTCTACCGCGGGACTCGCAACTTCCGGCCAACGGATACACCACCTTTTGCGTGGCCGACCTGGATCAAAAGGGAGTGACGGTCAAAGCCGTGGAAGTGATTGATGATGATCAAGCATCATCGGATGATGATGGGCAAACACCAAAATACCAGCCGCTGGGAGACTTTACGTTTCTGCTTCATCGATTATCCGATGCGCAACGATTGGCAATACAAAACGACCCGGACCGTCCAGGGCTGCGGCCCGTGGATATTGGCATGACTTTGGGGACTGATGGCGCGCTTCAAGTCAGCGTTTTTGACTCGAATGATCCCGATCATCTTCGCAAGAAGGAGTTTTATGAAAAAGCAAAGCGCGAAGGAGCCCCGGAAGTAGGATTTCTGGACTACGTGCAGGCGGCTGCAGATCTTCAGAGTGATGGCATCACAACCGAGGAGAGGAAGCTGCTTGTGGCGGTATCGATGCTCTTTGTCTTTTATGTGATTGTCAAGGTGTTGCTTCCCGCAGATGTCATGTCAACATCAGACGAAGGTCTAGTGCGAATAGTCTAAGGAACCAAGAAGAAGAAGCTAGCAAGCTTATTTATAATCTATATCATTACAAGGGTCATTCTTTAGTGAGTCTCGTCACCGGCGTTGTCGCCGTCAACAGGGTCTTCAGCCACGCCAACAGCTTCTTCTTTGGTTGTCTCGCCAGCATTCTCTCCTGTTGCTGCTGCAGCAGAACTTTCCTTTGATTTTCCTTTCAATGCCTGCACTTTTTCCTTGATTTTGCCAACCAACTGTCGTAGTTTACCGGGTGGTGGCACCTTGGAGGGATCATACGTGCGTTGCACCCGTTCACTTCCCTTGCGAATGAGTAGATTGAGAATGGATCCGACCACAAAGGCGTAGAGACTGCAGGACATGCTCAGTACATTGAACGGCATGCTCATATCGGGTACTGGCGGCAACAAGAGAAGAGAATTGGAGTATAAATGGATGGGTGGTTGTTGTTGGCATGTAAAGGTTGCTTTGGCAGGTGGGATCTCCACACCTCGATTGGCATCTCCCGGAAAGTGCTCAAACGACAAAAAGGCCGGTCGATAATCAAGTGAAATGGACAGACTATGTGGTCGTGATTTCGTTGTGGTCGTAACATTCCAATGAGGGATTCGGAAAAACAGAGTTCCATCGTCAAATACGTTTTGATGGTGGAGATCGTTGGTACCATGACGGTCAATCATAGTGATGGATGCCTGCAAATCTTGTCGCCAATCCAACAAGCGTTCCACTCGTTGTTCTGCATCTTCCCAAACCACTCGTAGTGATTGCCACTGTGGCACGACAATGGGAGGCAAGAACCAGGAAATGTCGACGGATACTTGACGACAATTGTCAGGAGGTGCCGTCACCACAACTTCGGTAACGATTTGTCCCGAATAGGAGACACCTCGAGGTCGTCGAAGGGCCTGATGGACTTGATAGCGTGTGGATTGTGGTGGTTCTTCTGGTGTGGGTAGAATGGTCATCCAGGGTTCTTTCCACTGCTTGGGACTTAATGCACGTGAATGAATAATAGTTGCAGAGGACAACGAAGCAGCACTACCTTCTTCTTCTTCTTGTTGTAATAGTGACAGCTGTGGTGATTGAATCGTCTCCAGAGTCGCTTGTTGGACAAAAGGACAGGATCGATGTCGCGTTGATTGGGGAAACAAATCAGCAAGGGCGACGGATTTGCTCGCTGTGTCCTTGGGAGAATCAGTACATGTAAGTGGAAGTTTGGAAGATTCTTCTTCTTTTGCCAGAGATTGTTGAAATTGGAGTCCCTTGACGAATCTTGTGGTAGATGATGATTGGTGCTGCTGTTGTTCCAATTGAATCCAAATCGAGTGTCTGGAGGAGCTCTGTCGCTTGACGAACAACTCGGACATGATTTTGGGTTCATTCCAATGAAAGATTCCCGATTGATTGTGACACGGCGAGAAAGCCAAAGCAAATTCCCGCATTCCTTCCGAAGACAAGGCGGCCCCTTCGGTGGGTAAAATCACTTCGAAATGGCGCAATCGTTGATTGTTGTTATCATCGTCAGCATGATGGTTGTTGTCCCACCAGGAAATCCAATGCCGATGCAATCTGGGTACCGAAATGGAAAAGAAGGGCGCCAGGATGATGCGACGAGCCACCAAGTCGTGCAAGACCGCTTCGAATTGGTTATACAGGCTAGAGGGAGTAACAGTAGCAGCGTCCTGCACTCGTAGGGTCACTTGGACGCGGACTCCCGATGGCCCCAGATCCAATCGATGCATATTATTGCCATCTTCCGAGGAGTGCCACGGCTCGACGGTATCCAGTGGATGACTGCCAAATTCACGAGAGGCACTGGTTCCGACTTGCACTAAAATTCGAGTGGCATTGTGCTGTTGCAGCATGTCCATGACGTCCTTGGGAAAGGGTGTCATTCGAATGCTACCCGTGGTAGTGGTCAACGACATGGCGGATTCCATTCGAACATCGACCGCTCGCCCCGACGCTGCTGCTGCCACCAACACACGTTCTCGTGACGAAAAAGAAGGAGCCGTCTCGGTCGTCATGTTGATGGAATACTCAGAGTATGGAGGGAACTAATTACCGATACCGGTACGGTTGGTAGGTCCAGTGTGCTAGCCAAACTCGTGGATTGTGGTGGTCTGTGGACAGCCTCACAGCCTTGGCGTCAGAAAAAACTAAAGGGGGGGTAAGTTGTGTGAAGGGGCCTTTGGGCTAGGAAATAAGGGGAAAGGGGGGAGTGAATGGAGTGGAACGCGGTCAGAAGTGAGGGGGGCAGAAGGAGCAACACTTGGGGCTCATTGCAACCTTCTAATCTAATAGCAACCTATCATGATTGCTTCAATCAGTACAATGGAATGCCAACTAGCTACAAGCCGCTAAATCCGAGCTGGGATAGCCTTTGCAATAATATATACCTATCAATGTAGTTTTCTAAAAGGTTGAGATTGAAGGGAACTCTCACTCTTTTTTTTGGGAGGGGCTATAGAATTGTTCATCGATCATCCTTCCTTCTTTCACAAACCATGCAGAGCGTCCGTCATCATGCAGAGCGTTCGTCATCATGGAGAAGTCGAAAGCAGTGTGGAACTCATTCATACTTGAACGTAGGCTCAGTTCCGGTAATGTTCTGTGCGGCCACAATGTTGCACCTATTTGATGCAAGATGAACCAATGACAGGTGAGAGCTGAGACACCAAAAGAGGCATTCCGCCACTCCACTCTGGTCAGAAAACACACAACGACGATACGACACAATACGTACAATTCCGCCATTCGCTTGGAATATCCCGCCTCATTGTCATACCAAGCATAGATTTTGATCAAGGTTCCATCAATGACTTGGGTGGAGAGTGCATCCACAATGCACGATCGTGTATCATTGGTGTAATCCGTACTGACCAATGGCTTGACTTCGAATCCCAAAATGCCCTTCAAGGGACCTGCTTCCGACGCCTTTTTCAAGGCTTCATTGACTTCTTCCGTGGTCACCGCACGCTTGACTTCAAAGACGCAATCGGTAATGCTGGCATTCAAGAGTGGGACACGTACCGCCAATCCATTGAGTTTGCCCTTGAGCTCGGGATAAATTTCGACAATGGCCGTGGCCGATCCCGTGGATGTGGGACACAAATTGACCATGCCCGATCGAGCACGGCGAAGATCGCTCTTTTTGGTATTGGGCATGTCCACAAGGGTTTGTGTTCCCGTCACATCATGGATTGTTGTGATGCAGCCTATACAGAATTAACAGGATGGAAAAGAAACCAAGCAAGAGAATTCCCAGATAATAATCAGATAATCGCGCAAAAAGCAACTTCAGACTGAGGGTATCGCGTCTTGAAGATAAGTTAAAACGACAATATTTCTGCGCTAACTTACCATGCACAATACCAAAATTCTCTTGAATCACCTTGACCACTGGCGCCAAACAATTGGTGGTACAAGACGCATTTGTGACCAAGGTAGTTTCTTTGCTGAGTTTCTGATGGTTGCATCCCAGCACCACATTGAGAGCACCTTCTTCCTTGACGGGAGCCGAGACTACCACTTGCTTGACGCCACACTTGTCAAAATAGGGAGACAGCGTGGCAACCTTTAGGAATTTTCCGGTGCATTCCATGACCATTTCGACACCCATTGCGGCAAAATCAACTTCCGTAAAATCTTGTTTTTGGGAAAAGGTGACCAGCTTGCCATCGACGGTAAAGCCCTTGCCATCTTCGGTTTCTTCGACGGTCTTTGCCCATGTCCCGTGCACGGAATCGTACTGGACCAAGTAGGCAGCACTCTCGCACGAACACACATCATTTACATGGACGATTTCCAAGGTAGGATCATCCCATGCGTATCGAAAGACCAAGCGACCGATGCGGCCGAATCCATTCACTGCGCACTTGACCATGGTGGAAGAAGACAAAACAAATAGAAGAAGAAGATTGTGGAAAGTAGTAGTTCGAAAACGAAATTAATGGATAAGAGAAATGCTCGTGCGTTTGAACCAAATCTTCGTAATCTATCTAATGCATGCAGTTGCAACGTTGACTTGGAAAGGTCTCCTCTTCTTCGTTTACGTGTTCGAGAGGTGTCATGGTGGTACTTTTGGTTGTCAAGCAGTTGGGGCGACAAAGTGACGGAAATTGGAAAGAAGTGAGGAAGAGGGCGTCGCCCTGGAGGCAAATAATGAATCTTCGTACTTCCGTGTGAATCTTCGAGATACCCTCATTTGTTTAGTCCCAAAACCAATCACGGATGTCATTTCCGCCGTTGCGCCCCCAAGTTGCATCCAACCCCAAACGAATCGCGATGGATCTCAACACCAAGCAAGCCACAGGAACGCAACGTTTTAGGACCTGAATGGTTTCGTTGGGCTTTACTGAGTCGAGAGGAGGAGATCGATCTGAGCTTGGCCTTCAAGGAAACACAATAGATAGATTTGCTGTCTAGCTAGATCTAATTCCTCATTTCGAATACTCTTGCAGTGATTCGATTCCCACACCCCACGCTTCTTTTTCATCATGTCCAAGCTCTGCAAATGCGGTCGACCCAGAGAGAAGAGAGCGGCAGGACCCAGCTCCAACTTTCCCGGACGAGAGTACTATCGCTGCGACACATGTGGCAAATTCGACTGGGCAGCAGACACGGCCAGTTTTGGATCATCCACCAAACGATCCGACGACGAATTGGCTGGTCCCGTCTGCAACTGTGGGACGGCAACGGTACAGCGTGCCGTCAAAAAGGCCGGACCCAACAAGGGGCGCAAATTTTGGAGCTGTGCCTCGTGGCCACGAGGTTGCAAGTTTTTTGAATGGAAAACAGAGAGTACCGGTAGTTGCCCGAGCAGTACTAGTGTTCCCACAATCGTAACACCGGAACAACCAACCAAGAAGCGACCGGCTCTCCCTGGGTATGCCTCGTATGAGACTGACTGGAAACGCAAAGAGCTCTTGCAAAAGCTTCTGGACTCGGGCGTGGATCATGCCAAGCTACGCTCGCAATCGGGGGGTTCCTATGACGGGTTTGAGTTGGTGGCAGCCTGGAATATTCACAATCCCACCCGGAAAGAATCTTACGATCAAGCGGTTCAGAGAGAAAAACACAAAATAGCGAAAGATCCCATTGCGAAAACGGCAGGTGATAACGATGGACCCTACAATCTGGAAACAACCTACAAAGACGTGATTGAGGAGCTGGGAAATGATTTGCTCGCGCAAGGAGAAGTGTTTCTGCTCCATGGTACCGACCCACGTAATTTGCACAGTATTCTCTTCGAAGGTCTAGACCCGGAGGTGTCTCGGAATGGTACATTTGGTAGGGGGGTGTACTTTGCCGAGAATGTAAGTTTATCGAGTGATCTTGTCTTCTGGAGGATTACTTGTGTATGTTGTTCTAATGGGAATTGAACCCGCCGCCTCTTAGGCTGCCAAAATTGACCAATACGCCATTGCAGACGAAAGGTTTGATAAAGACGGCAACTTGAATGAGCTTCACCAAAAGCTCTACGAGCATCAGATGCATCCGCGACGTGTCAGGTATTGCCTTGTGGCGCGGGTCGTACTTGGACGCACGCAGCGGACTCAAGATGGCCGGACTGTCATGGGAACCAAGAAGTTGCCTCTTTACCAGGACGACAATCACTCGGAACGAACCAGGTTGAAGCCCTTCGAGGATGGCGTGCAACCCAGTAGTCTCATTGGTGAAGTTGGCGGCGTCAAAAGTGCATTCCGAGAATTTGTTGTGTTTCAACCGGATCAAATATTTGTCCAGTATGTCATTGCCTACAGACGAGCACGAAAGTTCTGCGATTGCAATCGACCCCTTGTCGAAAGGACCGTCACGAAGCAGACAGAGAATCGGGGGCGGAAGATTTTCATTTGCGGTGCCGGCAAGGAATCGGGCTGTGGCTTTATTCGCATGCTGCCTTTCTGTCATTGCTTCGACAGTGCTGTCGTCAAGACTAGCGGCAGCGTCAAGAATCCCAACCGCAAGTACTATACTTGTCGTAAGAAACGCTGCGAATTCTTTGAGTGGTGTGAAGCTGTGGTTGGCAGTCCATCACCTTACAAAAGACAGAGAACCACCTAGCTAGTCCTGATCCTCACACTTGTTTCTGGCCTCAACCCTCGCCTGTGTCATTCGTCTAACCTATTTCATTGTGCCACACGAGGACGCATGGATCAGTTGGATTGCCCTTTTATATCAGAGACAACCCACGACTTTTTATCTAAGCATATACATCATCCCCACTTTTGTATACAACAGAAACTGATCAAATCATTAGTTGCTTCATCAGTCGTAGCTAGCCATGCCGAGAACTTGATTGTGTGTTTTCAAATTGCCTTCTGCAGCAGAGAGACTGAACGACTTGCGCTAGAGAGCAAACCAAGGTCGGCACATACCTCGTGGTTCCAGTTTCTAATAGCCAGAGTTGAGAGGACGCAAACAGATAAACTTGCCACCGAATCGTGTCTTGCATGCATCATCCTTCAGTTCTTTGGCAATCTTCTTCTTTTGGTTGGCAACATCTCTCAAGCCTCGTGCCACCCTTTCTGCTTCCTGTGAATAGAAAAGGGGGAAATGGATTAGTCTAGTTGGCACACTTCACAAACTCATCCTATGCAGGATCTTTCGCACCTTGGCTTCATTGTCAGCATCTGCAAATACACTCTTTGCTTCCTTAGCTCTTCCATCCCGAATTTCTTGTGGTTCAACATCTTCCGCTGGCGAGGACACACTGGCAGGAGCGCCGAAATCGTAACCACCACCACCACTAGGCTTTGGTGCCTCGAAGCTTGGAAGCGAGACCTTGGGAGCATCGAATTTCGGAGCATCAAACTTGGGAACATCGAATTTCGGAGCTTCAAACTTGGGAACATCGAATTTTGGAGCATCAAACTTGGGAGCGCTAAATTCTGGAGCCTTGGGAGCTTCGAATTTCGGAGCATCAAACTTGGGGGCATCTGGTACATCTGGCAGCTCCAACTTGGGCATATCGATCTTTGGCATTGAGAATGACATCTTTGGCATATCCATCTTTGGCATTTCAGGAACCTTCATTTCAGGTAGTTTCATCTCTGGCATTTCTGGAGCTGAAAAGGACGGCATGGAGAAATCGGGAGCAGAAACGTCTCCTGCAGACTATAATTTCAGAGAGTATTGGTGTGCATTAGGCAAACCGTGGCAAACGTGACAACTCCAAACGAAACGAGTTGCTGGACTCACCGCTGCTTCATCATCAGCCTTCTTTGCTGCATTAGCTCTCTCAACTGCTTCCTTTTGCTTTTCTAGTTCTGCCTTTCGTCTAGCTTCCTTCTCTGCCTTTTTGGCCTCGGCATCAGCCTTTTCTTGAGCTTTCTTGGCTTCAGCATCCGCCTTTTCTTGAGCTTTCGCAGCCTTTTCGTCAGCTTTCTTAGCCTCGGCAGCAGCCTTCTCATCGGCCTTTTTTGTCTCGGCAGCAGCCTTTTCGTCTACTTCGGGCGCAGCAGCTTCCTCTGCTGGTTCACTTGATCCAAAAGGGTTGAAAGAAGGAATACTGAACTCTGGCATAGACTTGGCCCCAGTAGTGGTGTCTCCTTGGGTAGCCGAGCCATATGAAGGCATGGAAAAATCCAAGGTTTCTACCTTCTCCGAGACCAAGATACTTGGACTGTCCATTGTTGGCTGTGGAACATCTAAAGAAGAAAAAAGAAGCCAATCCAATGAGATTCGATTCATTCAGCAGGACATAATCGACCACAATCGAGAACCATTGACTTAGTAACCCTGGACCTACCTACTGGTCTTGACAGTGCTGCTGGATCGGCAAAAGCAAGCTGAGCCGCAAAGGTCCAACCAGCCACAGCTGCAGCAGCCGGGGCAAACCAGCCATCCTGTTGCTTGCGTTCATTGAGAGCGATTGTGCGTGTGACCCTGGGTGATTGCGTGGGCATAAAGGCTTGGGAGCCCAGGGGAAGGGCCAGCAGGGCCAGAGCAGAGATCTTCATGGTTGGAGTGAATTGACGAGAGCAAAGGAAGGAATAGTGTGGGTGGATGAGTTATTGATTGGAAGCCCAAAGATTCCGAGGGCGAAGCCGATAGATGAAGACTTGCTTCAAGAAAGGAGCTATCGGTAGTTACCGTCGGTTGATGTCGGCTGATTGCAAATCCAAGGTCCGGCATGCAGACCAAAGATACTTTTGCTAAAATGGTGTCAGCTCCCTCCACAGTGACGTGTTGTGGACTCGACTCAATTAGTCACTAACTTGACAGCTCTGTCCTGCCTGAATGAAAAATGAGCCTTCCGCTTCAAAATTAGCACGGTTAACTGTTTAGAGAGTTCGTTAGGCCGGCCAGCTAACAAGGAGGTCCCACAAATCTCCCACATTGCAACATTGCAACCGACACCACTTCCAGAAGCCAAAGTAAGTGGCAGTTGCTGTCTCTCCATCCAAGGTCAAAGAAAGAAGGAAGCAATTCAGTGGAAGTCAGTATCTATCTGAAGAAGAGCAGCCAATGTCGAACTATCCTCCTGCTCCAGGTTTTTCTCCAGCAAGGGCTCCAATGGCGTCGGCTGGAGATCAGAACACTCATTGGCGAAACAGCATGACGCCTCAACCCGCTGCAAATCCCTACGGAGGCTATGTTCCGCATCAAAATCAACATCATCACAACTATTCCCAGCAACCGTATGGTCATACCGAGTACGGAAAGCCTGCAGCAGAAGATCCAGGGCAGAACCCACCAGTCAAGCAGCAGCCGGCTTTTGGCATGACGTCAACGGCCGACCAAGAAAACATGGAGCCGATGCCTCCTCTTCGAGGAAAGCCATCCGCCACGACATCTCACGCAGCCTCCTTTGCCAATGTTCTCAAGAGTCCCACCACTCTTTGCTTTGAGCGAATGTTGGGAGCAGCTGCTTCGATCGCCACACCCAAGCCAGATGTGCAGAAATCGACGAGGAACAACAAGCGAGACAATCTGCATTATCAGCCACAGCTGAACTTTCTCGATGAAGACCTCGACGATCCTCTTGCTATCGAAGAAGAGGCAGAGCAGTTCGAGGAGGGCGAAATCGAGGAAGACGAGAATCCCTTTGATACGATCAAGAGGGACAACGTTTTGTTCAAGAAGCTAGTCCTCACCATGGCCTTGCAACGTCAGCCAAAGGAAACCAAGGAAGGAGATCCAATCGAAGTCCCAAGTCCCATCATCACAGAAGGATTCTACTGGAAGGACTATCCTCCTTGTGAGCAGGTCTTGTATGACTCTATGGAGAACTACTATGAGCTCTCCAAACAAAGCCGTCAAAGCAAGGAGCAGCAGGTAAGAACAGCAGTAGCGCCGATCGGTTGGAGAAGTAGAGCTACACCCGTGATCTCACCTTAAACCATTTGTCGCTTCTTCCCCCCACCAGGCCTTCAACAATGAGCTCGTAAGGAACATTCGCCAGACGGCCCAAAGCAACGGATACACTTTTGACGGTGCTTACTTCACCGACAAGCGCCTACGTGATCGCATTCGTTGCTTCTTCAAAACCCACCTCCAAAACGCAAAGAAGAGGTTGAACACCATGCAGAAACATCCCGAGTCAGTGGAGAATCAAAACGCCCTACAAGTACTCATTGCCATTGCTCGCACCAAGATGCGTCCTGGGGAGTATGAAGCCGCCGCCCCAGCTCCTGTGGCTCGCCCTGGCCACGAGCGAAAGAGGCGACGCCGAACGCATTAGGAACGTTTGTGCAAGCAAGGCCTCTTCGAGAGGATTGCACAACGTACTAGAATGCAAAAGGAAACAAAAAGACATCATAACAAACTACGGGAGCGTGTTTGTTGCACAGTGCAGAGGACAGCTGCAAGTGATGGATTGGATCCATCACTTTCCCCTTCTCTCATACGCAAGACACTACTCTTCTTTACTCGACTAAGCAGAAGACTGAGACTCGAGCAATACAAGGTATCATATCTGGGGATCAGCTGGCAACCATCAGTGCTTGCCAGCCACGGCTCATATGACAATAGTAATGGGTATTATTATCAAGGACAAAATAGTAAATGGAACAGTTATCAACAAAGTACACACTTGTTGTGAATGTATGTATGGTCCTTCTCCTTTTAACTTAGCTTCTATAAAGAATTCTATGCGAGACCAGGTGTCGGAGTGAAACCACCATCGTGATCTTCCTCCTCCTCTTCTGGTGCCTTTGTTGACTCCTTGGCATCTTCTTCCTTCGTTTCCATCTCCTCTCTCATCTGTTTCCTCATGCTGACGTACTCTTGGTATTGTTTGTCGCCTTCAAACGGCCGAGGACCAATGGCATCCATAATGTCATCGTGCGTGATGGTCTCCTTCTCTAACAACAAGTTGGCAACCTTCTGCACTTCGGTTTGTCGTTCCCGAATCAATGCCACTGTTTGTTGATATGCATCATCGATCATGGCACGTGCCTCTTCGTCCATGACTTCCGAAGTGGCCTCAGAGTACGGCTTGTCCCCAGGCATGCCACCTTCATCTCTGGCAAACGCCAGCTGTCCTACTCGTGCGTTCATTCCATATGTTTGTATCATGCCGTATGCAATGTCAGTCACCCTCCTCAAATCATCCGAAGCTCCCGTTGTAACCCGACCAAAGAAGACCTCCTCGGCTGCTCGACCGGCCAGGGCCATGGATACCATATCAAGGATCTGAGCCTTGTTTCTCAAGTATATCTCCTTTGGCAGATACTGAGCAAAGCCCAAAGCACCACTGGATCGGGGGATGATTGTCACTTTCAGCAAAGGGTCTGCATTCTCCAAGAACCATCCCGCGACGGCATGACCCGCCTCGTGGTGTGCCACGATGCTCTTTTCTTCAGCACTCATAATCTTGTGCGACTCCAAGCCACCGATCACTCGATCCGTAGCCTTTTCAAAGTCCTCCAACTCCACTGAAGTTGCACTCCGCCTGGCAGCGACAATGGCTGCTTCATTACAAATATTGGCAATGTCTGCTCCCGTGAATCCCGGAGTCAAACCAGCCAACCGACCAGCAAAGTCCTCCAGGCTGTGGCTTTCGTCAATGGTGATGCCCTGTAGATGCACCAGGAAGATTTCCTTGCGTCCAGCCAAATCGGGACGATCGACAGTGATTTGTCGATCGAATCGTCCCGGTCTCGTCAACGCTTGATCAAGGATATCGACACGATTGGTTCCTGCCAAGAAAGACCCAAAAAACACATACTGTGAGACCCAATGCTACCGGGCACCAGCTAGAGTAAACGCACTGAACACACAAGCAAGTTGCCTACCTGCGAGAACTACTACTCCGGTTGTTGGGGAGAAACCATCCATTTCGACAAGCATTTGATTGAGAGTATTGTCGCGTTCATCGACACCACCGGAGAATCCACCTCTTCCACGCTGCCGTCCTACAGCATCAATTTCATCTACAGGGCAGGCAAAGGATCGAATCAAGACATGAGGACGGCGTCACGTCAAACCATCTGGCAGTGCACACATGGACCAAAGCTATCTTTCCCACTCTTACCAATAAAGACGATCGAAGGAGCGCTCTTTCGGGCTTCCTTGAACAAGTCACGAACACGGGAAGGTCCCACACCCACAAACATTTCTGTAACGAGGCAAAAGTTAGGAACTTGCATTGTCAGGGCATAAACTCTGTATAACATGAAAGAACCAAAGATGCATGGCTTACCCAAAAAGTCGGATCCAGCTACACTATAGAAAGGAACCCCGGCTTCGCCAGCAACAGCCTTGGCCAATAGGGTCTTTCCTGCAACCATCCCAATTAAAGAGAGAAGTGAGAGACGTATGTTATGCATTGCGAGGTTTATTTTGTCCAACAACGCACCTGTACCCGGCGGTCCACACAGCAGTGCTCCCTTGGGAATGCGCGCCCCCAACTTGGTGAATCGTTCGGGATGTTTCAAGAAATCGACAAACTCTACAATCTCAGCCTGATCCAACCAAATAAATAAGGCAACAGTGTAAGTGCAATATCACTCACAACAAAACACTGTCACGATTGATTGATTGATTGATTCATTTGCTACATTGCCACACCACGCGTACCTTGGCTTGCTGACATCCCGCGACATCGCTGAATCGGACCGCGACATCTTGTTGTTCAAACTTTTTGGCCGTGGACTTGCCCACATTAAAGAATCGTCCCATGCCACCACCGGCACCACCGCCGGCTCCTCCCTGTGCCGACGGCATGCCTCTCATCATGAAAAAGATGGTGCCCACCATGAGTAACATGGGTGCCAGCTTGATGAGTTCGCGGGCCCAGTCCGTCTTGGTGACATAGACCACTTCGATCCACTGGGAGGGATGCCATGCCTGTTGTGCGGCCGTCAACTTTTGTTCCAGCGATTCGACGGAACCAATGTAAAAGTAATGCGCATTCTTGTTGTGGTTGTTGCGTGTGGTATCCATATTATTGGCAGAACTGTCCCATTCGGAGGTGGTACTGCTGGTAGGATCATCCTTCCATTCCGTAGTACTGGTGGCAGAATCAACGGCATGATCTTTCAAAATGACACGAGCGACTTTTTCATTGACCACTTCGATGCGTTCGACTTGTCCTTGGAGCAAGAATCGATTTCGGAATTCGACAAAGGTAATTTCTTGTCCTTCGACGGTTTCGGAATCCAAGAGATTACGGGCTGCCAATACCAAAATCAACAAGGCCAGCAGCCCGGGGATATTCTGTGGGTCATCTCCACCTCCTGAATCAGAACGTTTGTTGTTGTTGTGACTACTCTTTTTCTTGCTATTCTTGCTGTTGTTGTCGTTCTCATCTTGACTGAGAAAACTCGACGGTTTGTTCGAATTGGTGGTATTCGTCGTAGTCGAGTCTGTGCTGGTCGAAGTCTTGCTGTCTGTCTTTTCATTCTTCTTATTACTGTTGCTGTTGTTATCTCCGTTCGGACTGACCCCAAAATTCTCAAATCCCTTGGGTATCTTGGCCCACCACCCAGAGGACCACAGACTACTGCTAGCACTGTCGTGAGAAGTAGCTGGCAATGACCACCATGACGTTGTGAATGGAAGGGGCCGATTCAGGTTGTCATCTGGATTATTGCTGGATGATGACGCAAAGGATCTCCAATCCACCGAAGCACCCGGCGTTGTGGTATTCCACCATTGCGTTGTACCCAAAAAGGGTCGTTTGGTCACTATCCCTCGACGGTTGACACGTAATGCCGATGATCGCAGCAATTGGGAAGTCATCGTCCAACGGTATCTAACTTTTCCTTGTAGCGATGATAACCTCTGTAGAAAGAAAGGAAGGATGGATCCAATCTGCTACAGAACAGAACAGCAACAAACACACTTTCTACCAAAGAACTTCTTGGGTCAATAGATGGTACTGAATGACGAGTTGTTGATGGTTGTGATCTCACGAATCGAATCAAGTTGCTTTACTGCATCAGCAGCTTCCTCCATCTTCGCCATTGTTCTTCTTTTCATCAACACGTCAGCCACCGTTGCTGGTCACAGCGTGACTGCCACTCGTGACCGAAACCAAAGATCCCGTCGTGGCAAGTGTTAACTCTTCTAGTCGTGGCTATCGCATCACAGATTGCGAGCTGCATGATCCGCACCCTCCGCAGCCAAGACGCGAAACCCTCCGCAGCACCGCCGCAACAAACACACACCATGGCAGAGCAAGCATGCAATCAGACAACATTAACCAAGCTCCGTGAGGCCCAGGAGGTCTCTTGTTGGGTGTTATAGGATGATATGGGGCCGGAGTTGGTACTCATCAGTGGCTCAGTCTCATCTCGTCACCTGCCATTTTCCATCTGGCAGAATCTGTCATCTGATTTTGGAGGTGGAAAAATTGGGATGACACCATGATGAGCTCACTTTTTTGTTCAACCGGATTGCTAGAGTTGCATACCCAACCGAACAAGGAAGACTTTTGTGATTGTTGATAAGCCTAGGCCAGATCAACCCCCCTACTTTCAAGTACCTTTCTATCAATCTTCTATTCAATACCTATCAATTGCAAAATGAAGTTCTTTTCTTCTATCATCAAGCTGATCTCGTGGTCATGGACCACCGACAACAACAACAGCAGCATCAAGAAGACCCCCGTTCTCCAGGTCGCCAAGGAGATGACGGGCAACAACAACAACAACAACAACAACAAGGATGTTCCTGCGGCAGAGGAAGTCCCAACGTTCCAACTGGACGAGTTGGACAAGACATGCGTTGAGACCGCAGCACTGTTGCACGGAGAGCATTCTGATGTGGAATTCCAGCAGCATGGTCGCTACCTAGGTGCCTACGACCTTTCCCTGGTTCCTGCGGATCAGCATGGTCACTACGGATACGACAAATACAACCAGCACCGGCCCAAGGGCTGTCGCATCAAACCCAGTCAATCAGCCAACGCTCGCTGGAAGACCCATTACGGTCAAGACACCGAACGGAGCAAGGGAAACCGTTTATCCTTTGCTCCCGTCAACACTATAGTGGGGTACTCTTCTGATGAAAGCGAACAAAAAGAAAAATCCGATGCCTATGAAGATGTGAAGAAACTAGAGCCACAGGCCCGATATGAATTCTGGCATGAAGCCCAACAACAATTCATTTCCGTCGGCACACCCACACCCCACGAACGCGTCTTGGATCTTGTGCAGTTGATTCAAGAGTACGGATACCAACAAGTGGCCAAATGGATCACCAACAACCAATGGTTCCAAAGTGACAAAGCGTACCTACAAAAAGCCAAACTGTACATTCAAATTGATGCCCTGCATCAAGACCTTGAGGCACTTGTTCGTTTCATCAAGGCGAAGAAAGGAAATGACAAGCAAGTCGCCCACTGGTTCATGGTCAACGAAAAGAGCACTTACATGTTCGAACTCGCCATGTGCCACTTGCATCACGGTGGAATTCAGCGCAATGCTGACGACGAAATTTGCACCTTGAATATGCGAGAACAGATTGCCAATCGGCGATTTGTCTATCGCAAGGTCAAGGATGTCTGCATGGAAGATGCAGCACCCGTAGTAGTAGAACAACAACCAACAACAACTAAAGACATCGAAGCAATAGAAAAAGTCTTGATCGTCGATGACAACAACAAGATGGCATCCGATGCCACAATCACATGCGAAGCAGCTGTGGTTACAGCAGTGGTCCCATACTTTCAAAAGTGGCATGTGAAACACTTCAAGATCAGTGTGCATGGACAACAACCATTTGTATTGGAGATGCAAATGATGAATGGTGTGCTACTTGGAGTGGTACCCAACGACATTCTCGCAGCATTGATGAAGGATGGTGGAGACCTTGTCAAGGAATTCATGCGGCGGCACAAGACACTACGATTGGAGGCAGGCCTTGCCTCAGGCGACATGGATTACGAATTCGTGACTGGCCAAGTGGTAGCTGAAGATCCACTGGTCGAGGAAGAGGAAGAACATCAAGATGATGCTGATGAGCCACTGGTCGATGACCGAGTCGATGAGGAGGACAATGTGGACACAGCACAATCAACATTGCGGCGGTCAAAGAGACGCATGGCGGTGATTGCATCTCAGAGAATCGCAGAGCAAATCAAGACAAAGCCACGGCGGGTGGCAGAACAACCTAGAATTAAACGTAGCAAGAAGAAAAAGTCGACAAAGCCAAAGGGGAAGGGCAAAAAGAAGACGACACCTGTGACGGACGCACAGCAGCAAACAACAGTTCAGACAAGAACAAGTCGTTTCGGACGGCGAGTTCGAAAGCCTGACTGGTATATTCCAGTCTAGGACAACAGGTAAGTGGGGCGGCAACGACGGTGGATTGCAGGGACTACTAACACATTAATACAATACACAAAGAGCAAAAATCTGGTGGCGTGCAGGGCTATACAACAATTTTGCGGACATGAATACAGTTGGTTCAATTGAAGGGTCACATACACGGTAGCCAGGTTTGTGGTTCCTGTGCTAGGCAGCCTCTATTGCAGAGTGCTTGTCCGAACGTCCTCCATGCGACGAAAGTCCAAAGTTAATACCTGTGACACCCGACAACCAACCTCTCTCATTGTCGATGCTATATTAAAAATACAACCAAACATAGACATAGAACAATAACACATAGCACATAGTAGAGAAACTTTACAAACAAAAATCATGGCTTCATTCTTTATAGTAGCTGTAGTCGTACTAGCCAGTGGTAGCTAGTTCATAATCATAGTGGCATCGATTGTACCCGTAGGGCAAGCTCTGGCATGTTACCATGTGCACCTGCTGTGGGAGTGAGTCGAGAATCTGAGTCGAATCATTCAACTCCGCACTCCACACCCTGCTGGGAATTGGGCATGCAAGCAAAAACTTCCTCTCAACTAGACTACCTAGCTCGGTACAGTAGCTGCATATCCTATCCTCTCTTTTTTAGAAAGTAAGAAATGAACCTATTAATAATGTATGAGTGCACACTAAAGAAAGCACCGCTACGATGCGGCGCGGGGAGCCAAAATTTGCCTTGTTGGAACTCCCTCTTGATCTGGCTTGTTTTCTATTGCGCCGGCAAACAGATTCCAGTGTCTTGATTACAGCATTCGGTGCAACAGCCGGCGGGACAAAAGACTGGAATGTCACCCGTCGAAACCGTCGCACAATCGACCCTCACATGCTGCAAGGTTAGGTCACCACGCAATCGACACAACTCCATCGGAACCGTGCCCGTCAAACGGTTGTTATCGGCATAGAATCGATGCGTACCCGTCAACAAACCGGTTTCGGTCGGGATGGTACCCGTCAGTTGATTATCCCCCACCACATACCAGTCCGCCGAATACAGGTAACCAATATTGGTGCTGATGGTGCCCGTCAACATGGCCGACGTGGCATCGAAACTGTTCAGCCATTCGTTGCAACCCTTGTAGAACTCTTCGGGGATCGTGCCAGAGATTAACGTATCATGGAAATTGACTTCACGCAGCTCGGAAAGGAATCCAATTTCCGAGGGAATGGACCCAGTGATAGCATTGCCTTCCAAATAAAGGTACTCGAGGTTGGTCAGCTGGCCAAGTTCGGTGGGGATCGAACCTTTGAACCTGTTGGCACCCCAAAAGACCCATTCTGAAAGACAAGACAAGACAAGCCAAAACGGCAAGATCATTTGAGTAAAGTGTCGCAAGCAAGCAAGCAACATGCAGTAGTACCAAAGCAGCGAGCCGCACTTACTGAGACTTGTCATTCGAAACATTTCCGAAGGCATTTCACCCGAAATGCGGTTGTTTTGTATATAAAGCCTCTGAAGATCAGTCAGCAACCCAAGTTCGGTTGGCAACAACCCCGTGATTTTGTTGTGTCCAATGTTGACGTGAATGAGATTCTTGGCTCCGAACCATTCAAAGGGGATTGTTCCAGTATACTCATTCCATTGAAATTCTACATCCGTCAAGTGCTTCATTGCGGCTAGTTCTTTTGGCATTGTTCCCTTAAACGCATTGTGTGTAATGGAAAGGTCGCGCAGGTAATCAAGCTTCACCAGCTCTAACGGGAATGTACCACCCATTTCAAAGGAATCTGTGGAGAAGTAAGTTGCAGGAAACCATGAAACATTGTTAGCAGTGCGGACGTTGCACGGTTCAGTGCGATCACAAAATTACCCACCGAGACTAATGTCTGTCACTTTGTCCGAGTGGCACGTTAATCCCGCCCAATCACATTCGTGCGACCCCGTCAACCACCTCGTCCAGTAGATCTCCGAGTAAAGCATGGGTGTAGTTGAGGCATCAACCAGGTAACGGTAGTAGCAATAGTCTGGCTGCCCATTGACGGGGGGATTACACGAAACCCAAGGCCCCTCCTGCGAAGTTTCAAAGTAGAAATAGACCATGATAAACCGCTGGATCAAGTTTTCCGCATCCGGCTCAATTTGGTAGGAGTCAACATTGATGAGCCAGTTCAAGGCTTTGTTCCGAATGGAGGAAGGATCCTCAAAGTAGTCGCTTCCAAAAACTTCAGCAATCTGCTCTTCAATGCCAAGAGATTCTCGGAAAGTCGTCGGGGCCATCGTAGGTCCGCTAGGGCCAGAACCGGAAATCTGTGTCAAAACAACACAAATCGCTACAACTGCCACAATAAAACAGATTCCCACAAATCCATACAGTCGGAAGCGTCGATTCTTGTATATTGGTGGTTTGGCATCAGGGTCATATTCGACAGCCGCGGGAATGAACATGTCCTCTTCGTCTTCTTCGATAGCTGTGGCAATGGCCAACTCTCCCTGCATCTCCCCGTACTCCATGTCGCCGGGTGACCCGTAGGGAAGTCCCTCGTCGCTTGGTACAGGTGGCCTGTCGTCGATGGGCTGTTGATCTTTATCATCGCGGAACCGTTCTACACCCCAGTCGTTCTTGTTGCTTGCGTCCATTTTGGGGTAGTCATCTTCATACATCACGTCACCTCGATCGTAGTATTCGTTGTTTTGCATATACCCTCCATCATTGACCATCACTTGTCTGGGTTGTTGATAGTGAGTGTCGGATTGAGCACCGTACCCGCTTTTTTGCGCAATCCGTTCATCCAACCTCGAGATTTCGTACATGGCCTGTTCACCGTTGGTCTGACCCATGGCCGAGTATAATGGCGTTTGTTCCATCGTTGGAGGTGGTTGGGGCATGTAGGAGGACTTGTGGGCAATAGAATCTTCTAGGGCGTGAAGTTCGTTTTGGTGATGCGAGAAACCTGGTTGCCCTCCGGCCATCAGTGTTGACGGGGTGGCCCGATTCTTAGCAGCAATATCATTCTCCAAAGTAGTCAATTCGACTTCTCCAGCCATCATTGGTGCTCCTGCACCAGCAGCCACGAAAGGAGCTTGCATCGGCGTGCCGAAATTATTTTTGGCCATGACATCCTGTTCGAATGAAGTGAGTGCGGCTTGTCTATTACCGCCACCCGCCATATTCTTGGCCATGACATCGCGTTCGAGGTCACTCAACTCTCCAGTATGAAAAGGCCCTGGAGTGGATATCTTGACGGAACCAGCAATATCCATGTTTCGACCGGCAGCACGATTCTTGGCCATGACATCTTCTTCCAAAGTGTTCAACTGCGCATGTCCGACGACGCCTGCGGTTGCAACTCCATGCCCTGAAAAAGCCTGATTTTTCGCCATAACGTCGTGTTCGAGCGAGCTCAACGGGTGAGCACCTACACCGACGGCACCGCCAGCTGGTCGGGCTCTATTTTTGGCAGCGATATCGTTTTCAAGTCCACTCAGCTGCGAGTGGCCTGCTTGTACAGAAGGAGCAGCTGCGTGACTTTCATGGGATACGACCGCAACAGGTCTCGCCCGGTTCTTCGCGGCAACATCGTTTTCCAGTTGGCTTAGCTCGGTGTTTCGGGGTGTAGAAGCTGCTTGGTGGTGGTGCATATATGCTCCGGGGACAGCAGTACCAGGACCTGCAGCCATTTTTTGTTTAGACTGCACATCTCTTTCCAACTGAGAAAGTTCAGCCTGTCCTTGCTCTGCTATGCGGTCACCGGCTGCCCTCTGTTTGGCAGCAAGATCCTGTTCAAGTTGCGAGAGCTCTCGTTGACCTACAGGTTGCGGAGTGGGTCCACTTGCCGCCCTCTGCTTGGCAGCAATATCTTGTTCCAGTTGAGAGAGTTCTCGCTGTCCAACAGCTTGAGCTCCAGGTCGCGATGCATTAGGAAGACCTCCGCCAGCCCTTTGCTTGGCAGCAATGTCGCTTTCCATTTGCGACAACATTCCATGGCCAGAAGAAGGATGCGCTCCGGGACTTGCTGCTGGAGCGCCACCACTAGCTCTCTGTTTTGAAGCAATATCCTGTTCAAGTTGGGAAAGTTCTCGTTGTCCAACTGCCTGGGCACCAGGAACAGCATGGCCAGGACCAGCGGCCATTTGCTTCGACTGTACATCCCGTTCAAGCTGGGATAATTCATTACGACCCACTGCCTGGGCACCAGGAACAGCATGGCCAGGACCAGCGGCCCTTTGCTTCGACTGTACATCCCGTTCAAGCTGGGATAATTCATTACGACCCACCGCCTGGGCACCAGGAACAGCATGGCCGGGACCAGCAGCCCTCTGCTTGGACTGTACATCACGTTCAAGCTGAGATAGTTCATTTCGTCCAACTGCCTGGGCACCAGGAAGACCATGGCCAGGACCGGCAGCCCTCTGTTTTGACTGAACATCCCGTTCGAGCTGAGATAATTCATTACGACCCACTGCATGGGCACCAGGAACAAACTGGCCAGCACCGGCAGCCCTCTGTTTCGACTGCACATCCCGTTCAAGCTGCGATAATTCGTTTCGACCCACTGCCTGAGCACCAGGCACAGCATGGCCAGGACCGGCAGCCCTCTGTTTTGACTGAACATCCCGTTCGAGCTGCGATAATTCACTGCGTCCGACTGCCTGGGCACCCGGAACTGCTTGGCCAGGACCAGCCACCCTCTGTTTGGCCTGAACATCCCTTTCGAGCTGGGATAATTCACTGCGTCCCACAGGATGAGCTCCAGGAACGGGACTTCTGCTCCTGTTGCTGCCGGCAGATCTCTGTTTTGCCTGGATATCTCGTTCCATCTGCGATAATCCAGCCGCGCCTTCGTGGTGGGCTCCAGGAGTCGAGTTTGCGGGGTCATTATTGTCGTAAGCGGGGTTTCTTCCTCTCTGTTTCGCCATGACATCGCGTTCCAAAGTGGACAGATTGATGTTGTTGTTACCCTTTGCGTCCATCGCGGGATTGTGACTCACATATTGAACTCCTGGCCGGACGGCAGCAGGACCCAACCGTCCCTGTTGTTTGGAAGCAATATCTCGTTCCATTTGCGATAAATCGTTGCGGCCGCTACTACTATGACTGCTCTCATGGTAGGCACCCGGAGCAACAGGCCGCGACATGCCACGGGCATTATTCTTGGCGTCTCGATCTTGCTGGGCAGCTTGGGCGCGCTTCTGTTCGGCAATTCGCTGATCCATGAGTCGAGCATGTTCTTCCGCGGCGCTCAAGGCACCTCCACTGTTGGTAGTCCCATGGCTTCTCACACTCTGCAAGTCGCTGTTGGGGTCATGGGTTGAATCGTCGCCCGGCATCCTTCCTTTTGCACTCGTAACTTAGATAATATATATTGGAGGGAGCAAAATATCTCGAAGGCCTAGCAGATCTCTAAACTCAAATTTAGCTCAACAAAGCTCAACACTGAAAACACTGGATACACAAATCACTGAAGAGAAGCAGACAGGTTGATTGCAATCGGTACGGCGAAGCGATTTTGATTGTGAGAGTTTTCTCGCCTGTGGACTTTTGGGCTTCCGCGTTTGCAGCGAGCTTATGAGCTTGCTTGAGAAGACTTCTATCGAGTGTGGAGACTGGTACAGCCGTACTTGTACTATTTTAAAATAGCAGTCTTGGCGCCTGGGTGGCTCTTGCCCAGCAAAGGGGTCACAGCGATTGACGCCAATTGCTGGAACGGTCCATCTCCTTCTTTTTTAGAGTGCGGGCTTGCTCGGGTAATGGTCACCATTAAACCTACTAAATGGAGGTGTCGACAGGCCTTCTTCCTCCAAGACAGCTGAAGAAAGCCATAAATGAGAGGGTCATTAGGTGATTAACACGGTATTCTGAATTCGGAGTCAATATTTAAAAAGGCTCCAGAACGGAAGGTTAATTAGTTGGCTGAAAAGACGGCACAACATGACCGATGACTGGATCAAATGAGCTGCAAAGCGTCACTCAGCTTTGAGCAACTGGATCTTTAGACTGTCTGTACCACCGGAACTTCACCCTAGCTAGCTAGACTTCCTTGCTCCCTGGATTTGAAATGCAACAAAGTTCGAAAACCCGCACCAACGACAACTTCGGCAATGGACAGCGGGTCAACAGCACCACAATGTAGCAGGCCCACCCACTTCTGCCTAAAAATTTAGTCATCACCAATGAGGTGGCGGATACGGTATACGGTATACAATGTGCAGATGTGGCCAGCCCAAACGGTATACCGTTTACCACAGTTTTTCTCTTTGATATTTTTGTAAAGAGAATTCAACACGGTTTACCGTGTACCGTTTCAATTATTTTGTGTACTGTTTACCGTTTACCGTTTATCTGCTGTGGCTTTGGGTTGTGCCTTGCTTCTTTGGAGACATTGCAGGAGGGAGGATACCGTTTATCGTTTATCGTAAATCAACTTTAATTTGTAAAACTGTAAACCGTATATCGTACACAGATATTGTCCTCTTTTGAACAAGTCAATGTATGAACGGTAAACGGTAAACGGTAAACAGTAAATTGTTCCCACGATGAACCGTAAACGGTATGGGCAGCAGGAAACTACATTGATCAAACAGTACCGTATGCAATACAGTACAGGTCAGAATTTGACTTTTACATAAGAAGCACTTTGAATCAAGCAGCTTCTTCTTGTGGAGTAGTGGTAGATGGTATGACCACTACTAGCTAGTAGTAATCACAAGGAGATGGCAACAACAACAACACTGTTTGCTGATGCAGAGGACTTGTGTTTTTTTCTTCTTCTTCCTTGATTGAGTCACTAGCAAACCAAGACTAAACTGGCCTGCTACATTGTGGTGCTGTTGACCCCCTGTCTCATACGGTACAGTCACAGCAATACAGTATTCCCCAAAGAGTATACATATTCCCGCTGATTGATTGTGTTGAAGCCTTATTATGTTTGTCCAAATGGAGCTGGAGCAGAGTCGTCCTCGTCGAGCAATCCCCTGATTTCCTGACGAAGTAGTCGAACCTTCTCAGAGGCTCCCCATTCAGAATAGAGCTTAATAGCATTGGTCATGTGTAGGCATGCATTGTCTTTATCGAAATCCCCTTTTGGATTCAAGAGATGCGTGGCATATCTCTCCTCCGCTAGAGCGGAGTCATGCAGAAACCCTGAACGCCCTGCCATTGCAATCGCTCGTTCGTAGCATTTGGATGCCTCGGTCCAGTTCTTCTTCATCCTGTTGAATTCAGCATCAAGAATACTTGCGTGGTGCATGGAGTTTGGATTTCCCTTCTTCACCCAAGAGCTAATGACTTTGCGGATGACATTGGCGCCCTGTATATACTTTCGCTTGCCAGTGTTGATTGCGGCAGCGTACAAGCATACTCCCCTCAGAAACTTGTCCCATATTCCAATGGGCATGGCTGGATATGTAGCGTCATACGCACCACCTCGTTGGAGGGAGAGATCTGCACCCTTCTGGTAGTTGCCAAGATACGCACAGCCGACATTCTCAACAAGTTCCGCATGGTCTTCCAGAAGCTCGGAGGTTTTGCCCTCCAGATAGTGGCCAACTTTCTGTCCAGAACCGGTCAAATTGGCCACCAACACGGCTACTGGGGCTAGAAAGAATATTCCATTTGCCCGGTGGAGCTCCTTCATTTGTTCTAGATATCTGTGGCAGTTTGCCTCAAGCTCAGGGAGTGGTCTTCCACCGGCAAGAAAACGCAGCCAACAATCATGTGCAAGGCAGAACATTGCGCTAGAGTAGTATGAAAGGATAAAGGCATGATCCCATGAGAATACCAGACGTATGCAAATAAATAGCAGTTCATATAGAACAGATTTCCCACGCCTGATTATGTGCTTACCTTTCCGTATCTCCCGCCTGCATCGAAGACTTGTAGCCATGCATCAGAGGCCTCATGACATCATGCATTGGCTTGACATACGAGTTAGCTGCCACCATTGTGAACAGTGTCCGGCCTTCTGTTGACTTATTCTCTTCCATATCAACAAGCAGCTTGCCAACAAATGAAAACAGCTCTCCTTTTTGAAACTCGGCGAATATCCCCGTCATGGCCATTCCCAACGCAGGAAAGGCAGTTGATGACACTTCATGCCGACCGTGTTTCAATGTCATCTTTGCAATCTTGATGGCGGCCCAAGTAGAAAGCATAATGTTCTTGGCAAAGTAGGCGTATCCCTGCAGTCTATACAATAGATACATGCACTCGACTCTCTTCCAGTCGGTCATTTTGGGCAAAGCCTTGAGCTTCTCCAGTGTCGGCGGCCTTCTTTTGAAGCCCAACAAAGATGAAATAGCGGACATTGCCACGACTGCTTGACTCCGAGGAACAGAACATCCGAGCTGATTGAGCAGGGAGATGCAAAGTGTGGTAGCCTCCTCCAATTGCTCGCCATCATTTGCCATTTTGTCCATGAGCACCTTGTAGATTCTCAGTTTGTCGACAAGCCGGCATTCGGAGCATCGCAGAACACTCTTGCTGATCTTCTCCAAAAGCTCGGACTGTCCCGTAAACCCCGCCGCCTCTGCGGCAAGACAATGGAGCTTGAGTGTTGTGTCATAATTGTCTACCCAAGCAGTGAGCGACAGCAACAAAATCCCCTTGCGGGCATACGTCAAGGAGCTTTGAAAGGCTGATACGGATTTGGCTCGTTCCGATGCCAGCAAATTCACGCTGGTCACGGTGGCCCTTTCCTTTGGGTCCCAATTATTAATATCGGAATGAATGGCAGAATGTGCCTCCAACAAGTCTCGAATCAAGAAAATCTCCGCCTGCTTTTCTTCCTCGGTAAAGTTGTCGAGTAGATGCATGCCAATTTCAAACTGTTCTCGTTTCCGTTCTTGCTCGGACAATTGCAGGGACGCGGCTTCCTGGATCTTGTCGTGCACGAATTTGTAGCGTTCGTAGCCGCATGGTTCCAGGAAGGATCCTTGCACGGCGGTTTGGATCAAGTCCACCACGACCGCGTCTTGTTCGTCATCCCGCCGCGTCCGTTCCCAGGCAATTTCCAATATTTGCAACGTCGTGGTGGATCCAATCAATGCTGCGACCGCCAAAAAATGTAACAATTCTTTGGACAATTTCTGCAATCGTTCTACCACGACACTAATGACATTGTCGGCCGCTTTGGTTTCTTCTTCAATGGCGGCGACATTCCACGTCCATCGAAAGGATCCAATATTGAATTTTAATAGTTCGCGTTCCTGCAGCATGACGGCGAATTGAATGAGAAAATGGACATTGCCAAGGGTGCGTTTGTGACAAATGGCGGCGAGGGAAAACGTAGTGGAAGGATCCTCCAATGTCAACAAATCCATCAAGACATGATTGGAATCTTCCACGGTCAAATTGCCCAGTTGCAATTGTGTCACGGTACATTTGGATTGCAGTTCACTACTAGTACTAGTAGTGTCTTTTTGTTGTTGTTCCAGTGACTGCAGCAGTTGTGAGAGTCGGCTATTCTCCTGAACTTCATCCGACCGGTAACAGCCCAAAATCATGAACTGATGTAAATCGGCATCGGTCAATAGCAGTTCCATGAGATTCAAAGTAGCGGCATCGCTCCACTGCAAATCATCGAGACAAATGACCAAGGGTGCAAAGCAAGAACTCAAGACTCGGATGAATACCCGAAAGGCATAATTCATTTGCTGGTGCTTGGCTTCACTGGACTGGCCTGAAGAAGAAGAAGAAGAAGAATGCTGATGCTGATTGTTGGGCTGCTCTGGTTGTGGAGTAGCATTTGTTTTATCCTCTGGTTCCTTACCATCAGTATCAGTATCAGGATTAGCCCAGATCATCAACGAGTCGAGAGAAGGAATGAGGTCCGACAAGTAACTGAGCAGTTCCCATCCCAACTGATCCAACAGCAGCTCTTGTGCTTTCCGCGCCAACACCGAATCTTGACAGAGGTCCTGGCACAGAATTTGGCACGCAGCCACCATGCTGCTGTAGGGTTCTTCTCGTGCACTTTGATCGGCCTTGCCCATGACAAAGGCTCCTTGAGTAGTATTGCAATTATTGTCAAGCTGCTTTTTGTTGTTGCCGCGTTTTTGCTGCGTCTTCCAGAGATGCTGTGCCAAGCGGCTCTTGCCCGTACCAGAGGGCCCGGATATCAAGACAAGTTCTCTAGTACCAGTAGTACCACAACCACCACTACCGGTAGTAGACACACGGTCATAACAATCCTGCAACACTGCCACTTGCTCGTCTCGCCCGTAGAATCCCACATTTTCCTGTCGCAAGGTCGCAATCTTGACGCTTTTGCTCAGCGTCCATCGTTTGTTTTTTGTCTCGTTCGTTTCCACGAGGGAAGACTGGAATTCGAGGGTAAAGCTGGCGGATCGATGATCCGACGTTCGTAGGCTCGTATGGGAACCTCTCCGGCTATTGCCACTGCCACTGCCACCTCCACTCGACGACCTCAATTCGCGGTCACTCAACAAGCTTCCCGCGGTGCTACCGGTACTGAGCGTCGACGTGATGGTCCCGCTGCTCCTCATGGCGGCCACCAAACTACTGGTACCGGTACTTCCTGCTGCTCTATTATTACTATTCAAGTCCATCCTGGTGGGGTGCTCTTGTTGTGGCTTTGTGCGCATGTCGCCTCAAACTTTTCAAATATCTTATTATTTGCTCAGGTACTTGTACATGGTTTTTGTTCTGCTTGTACCAGTACCAGTACCAGTACCAGTACCAGTACCAGTACGGCTGGAACTTGTACAATAATACAATAATTCCCTCTTGTGTTTCACACCGCTTGAGGGTGTTACGTTAATTCCTTGGGCTTCTACATGTACGGGTACATTACACCGGTACTTTTTTAAAATAGCAAGACAATAATCCCCTCTTAAATATCACACCGCTTGGCGTGTTACGGTCATCTCATTTTATTGTTTGTTTGGCTGTCATTTGCAGAGGCGTGGGAGCCAGGGATGAAATGGAGAGTCCCAGAGGCAGTGCTCGAGAACGGAAGGTTAATTAGGTGCTTTGGAAATTTCCGAAACAAGGAGAGAATAACTCTTGACTCAAGTGAGTCGTGTCAAGACTGACATGGAGTTTTTCAATTCTAAAATTAGTTCAGTTTTATTTCAAATTGAGTCCCACAAAGTCTCGCGCGATCTCGCGCAATCTCGCGCGATCTCGCGCGATCTCGCGCGAGACCAGGTTGGACTCAATTTGAAATAAAACTGAACTAATTTTAGAATTGAAAAAGCTACTAGTACATGTAGTACATTATAACATTATAACCCTATTAAAATAGCAGCTACCCTAGCTACCAGTAGCTATTAGTACCGGTAATAGCTGGCTGAAAAGACGGCACAACATGACCAATGACTGGATCAAATGAGCTACCGGAGCTACGCTAATCCGGACTGAGGACTCGACTCGACTCGACTCGACTCATCGCATCACGTTCCGAAGAGCTTGTGGAGCAAGTGTACGTACCATTACCGGTACCGCACTTTGTAGAACGCAGAGCATATGCATCGTATCAGCCGCCAACTTCCCTGTCCTGCAGACTTGAGGTTGAGAGGCGTCGAAGCGCTTTCTCATTTTAGCTACATACTCAGTATGATACAGTCACCACGGCGCATCAAGAGATACACAGCCGCACCGTAGAACCTCAAACGCCAACCACAAATGGGCATCTCTTGCGGGCAAAGAGGATTCCATACAGCGCTGGCTGCGTCAGCAATCAAGGCTAATATAGAATCCACAGCGCCACATACATGTAGATTTCCCCACAAGCAATAAACCACAGGAAATGACTACAAAGCACCAGACTCTGCAAGTTCTAAGCCTGTATGGTAGTAGCCATGACCTCAAAGACACACTGTTATCCCCAGTGTCTGTTCAGGAGCTTCCCTAGCAATGGATTCACCTCCCCAAACTACATCGTCCTACTCTCTCTGTGCTGTCCTTGACTTGGCAGAGAGCACTGATCAGGGTGCTGGGGGGAGCAGTTCGTCTGGAAGAACTTACGTAGCTGTTGCCATTCGTTTCCCAAAGGCATCAGCATCAGTGATGACAGTTTCATTATTACCGGCAAGCCAGTAGCTAGCTACGGTGGTACCAGTACAGCGTAGCACGGTGGGGGCTCGAAGTTCCTACCGTTGTGTAGGAGGTTGTCAAAGGACCTCCGCTCAGCTGGCGCCTGCCTCCACTCTTAACCGTAAACACACGAAAAAGAAATGGCGCGTAATTTGTTTATGCTTTCCGAGGCTCCGAAATCGTCGCATTGGACAGCTCTCTGTCTTTGTATTGCAGCTAGCTAGCTAGTTGATCTCACTTGTCTCACCTCTTCTTGACTTAGTAGTCGACGTTCGAGTTGCCACCATGACGGCGAAAGGTCGAAACCGTAGCAGATCCAAGGATAATAATAATAGCATTCTCGGTGGTTCTCTGTTACCAGATGGTCCCAATAATCCAGCAGACCTTTCCTTGTCTTTTTGTGATGGGGACTATGATTACGACTATGATTATGGAGACTTTGAGGCCCCAGGAACAGACCTGAACCTAACCCAAGACAGCAGTGGCCTTTACAGTCGACGAAGTTTTCCCTCCAACCCTCTCCTCGGTGGGTACGACGAAGACTTTGAAAGACAATTTAATGATGCGCCATCTTGCTTTTCGAGTGACAGTGACAATGACAGCGATGGTGGTTCCAGCTTTGACTGTAGCCAGAGCAGTCTAGAAGAAGATGAAGATGATGACGATCCTTTACCGATGGGAATATCCAGCAGCTACCAAAGAATCTTTGGTACCACCAGTGCTTCCGCGGGAACCAGCAAGGAGAAAGAAGCTACCCATGGCAAGCAAAACTCCAGATCAGGCTCCAAAGATCCACCAGAAGTCAAGGTAAAGCAGAATACAATGCAGTTTGCAGTCTCGATGACTCCCGTTCCTCATCATCTCTCCTTGTCCATCTCTATCTACGCTGAAGAAACAAAGCAAGGCATCTAGCTGTCATCTTCCACTATCATCAGTTCTCAATACTACGACAACCTCGACCTCCCGCAATACCAGTGGAAGCAGGTTTGAAACCGGCTCCAACACCAGCACTCCCTTTGATGAGAAGCAGGAAGACAAGGGCGCCTCACTTTTTGAATTAAGTCGAAGACGTGACCTTCATGAACGCCCTCAACAAAGCAAAAAACAACCCAGGAACGCAACAACCGCCAACAAGCAACCAGAAAGAGAGCCCTTGGCCACCAAAACAAACGCCCCACTCGATGAGCTGGACACTGATGCCAAGAAATGTTCTAGCCCCACGCAGCAACAACTAAAGAACGTGGACCAACAGCAGCTATTGTGTGTATACATTTGTGTGGACCCAAACTGCCAAAATAACCAATGCCACCCACCAGACATTCTACGGGAATCCAGAGACGTGAAGAAAACTGTCAAGGATCCCTCTTTCTTTTATGTGCCCGTCAGCTTGATTGTCCGAAGAGAAGCAGAGATGAAACAGGCCTCCAAGCACTCCAAGGTACCCAGACGGCGATGGAATGGGTCCCTGCTATTTTCCAAATGGCAAGAGATACGAGACAAGAAAGAAAAGAAGCCACGACGACGCGACAATAATCACGCGGCGACCAGTGTGTCGCCGGAATCGGCCAATATCATTACCTGCACTTTGCATCCAGTCCATGAAATGGCCAAGGCGCAGGTGATTTCTCCCAAGTTTGATTGGTGGCAATCCTGGTTGACAGTCTGTATTCGGGCCTACTACAATACTGGAACCATTCGTGTTCCCAGTCATTGCCATGGCTTGGAGATTCTCTTGGCGCTCGAGTTCTTTGGAATTTTGTACGGAAGCCCCGATCAACTGGTCTTTGATGAAGCAGCTGTCTACCAAAAAGTCAAACAGTGGAGTCGATACTTTACTCACAGAGCGACTCTGGCGCAGTGGGTGGTCGATAAGCTCAAAGAGCAGCAATCAGAGGAACAAAAGAAGCAAGGTGACAACGACAAGGGCAACTTTCGAGCTCCTTTTGTGTTTTGTACCAATCCCAAGCCAGTCAAACCAGGGAGTAGTTTCTCGATCGAACCGCTACAGAAACCCATCATCATCTTTGAGGGTAGGCTCGAGGTTCTGGACAACGACAAATCGTCCAAGAGAAAGCGTCGCAATAAGGCAAATCAGCGTCTCAACAGTGCACAGCTGGTTCACAGCTTCTTTGTCGCGTACGAAAAGTCTCACATTACAGAAAAGGTCGACGATCCCGTCTTTGCCTCGCCGGAGATGATGCCGGGCATGATGAGAGAGGATTTCAAATCCTACTTGCAACATGTTCTTCCAGAACATGCCTTTCTGACGTTTGCCCTCAAGGATATTCAACTCATGGCATCGAGTCAGGCCGTCATGGGGCGCAACACTAAGAAACGATATGGGGAGTCCATGAGGCGGGCTGTGTTGGTGGTCTCGTTCAATCCCCCGCCAACTGCTCCATCGCCAACCCCCAAACAACAATTGGAAGAGCTTGCAAGAAAGAACAAAGCATGGCCCTCCTCCAACAAAGGTGGTGGTATATTGTCACCCATTGCACGCTCTGATGTTACCTCAATCGCCTCGAGTGTCACGAGCATCACAAACGCTCCCACCGACGAGATGGCGTTTCAAAACACCGTAAAGGCGGTGGTGAATCTGCTGCAGGGGACAACCCAACAAAAGCTCATTGGTGACTGTATTGGCGGGAACGAAAGCTTCTACTTTCAAAACACCGGCAAGAAGGAATCCACCGGCAAGGATAAACGAAAGCGAAAGTCTGTCATGTCACCAGATACTACTGGATCTTCCGCGGAATCCCTGCTTTTAGATCCCCCGGCAACAGTCAGATCAACGAACGACGAATCATCAACTCTTTTCCCCGCACCTGGTGAAAAGAATGACAAGAGAGGGAAGGAAAGGGATGCCAAGCCACAAGCCAGCGAAAAGAGAACTATGAAAAAAACTCCTCCACCACGGGAAGACACCCACAGGACAACCGACAAGAGCAAAACGCAGCAGGCAAACCCACAAAAAACTGCCGCTACGAATCATGTTCTGCGGCCAAAGCCGACCAACACGCCCGCCCAGCCTATTGGATACGATCTCTCATCTCTGGACACTTCTCACATATACGGAGGTGACCTGTTTCTCGAAAGCATCTTTCCCAAAACTGCAGCACCTGATGCACCCGAAGAGTCTTTCATTCGTTCGGGTAGCAACCAAAGCCCTCTCTGGACCCCCAGCTTAATTGCGGCTGATCCTGATGAAAAACCTGGAGCTACAACAGGGCCCGCACAAATCCATCAGCCAGCGGCACTAGCTCCCATCTCTTTTGTCACTGGTGCATCCCCGGATCATGTTTCAGTTACAAGTTCCATTACCGGCACACGTCACCCAGAATCCGTGCTTACCGGGAAAGTGAACTCCGCACAGCCGCAAAAGTCGGACAAGGGGAAAGGAAACATTTCTGATACTACTGTCCAAGAGTCTCGCAGCAGTGGGGGCTCAGACAGGCAATCGCATACCATTGCATGTTCTACTGTCGGAGCTCTGTTCGGGCAAAGCACCCAAGAAGATGACGAACAATCCGGTGTGAAGAAGCTCCACGATGAGTCATTTGAGGCTCGTTTCGATGCCCTCATGAGAGAAGACGGTGAGCCCTACAAGCGGTATCGTCGCAAGAGAAGCGAGGAGCTTCGAATGCAGAAGAACCTTCAGGCTGCCTTTAATGACCTCAAGTTTGGTGTAAGCTCCATCAATATCAATGAGATGCATAAAGCAGCGGGCGATGAAGTGAGGAATGAGGATTCTTGTCACTTCCTGAGCGACATGTTCGATCTATTCGTCCCGTCGTCAGGGACCAAGCCCTTTGTTATGGGCTGCGATGTGACTGCCTTGAATACGAACAAAGACTCCAAGGAGCCAACCATCATGAGCTCAACTATTGATTCGTCCACTGTCAGCTCGAGTGTTTCCACTGTTGTCACCAGCTTGTCCAAACGAAAAAACCCGGTTGTTATTGAGCCCATGGTGATGGGACTCTCCGAAGAAAACGTCAATCCTGCCTCACTTGTTCTGAAACTATTCTCTGGACCAGAGTCACCAGCGGTTCCCACCAATATCTCGGCGCCCGCAAATATCCCTGCTCCCTTGGAAGAGTCACATGTGGCCAAAAAGCAGGTGGTCCCCAGGCCTTCGCCGCAGGTCGAAGACGAAAAGCACGGAGAAACCGGTTTTGAGGTGTTCCACATCTCATCACCAATGTCGCATCCTTCTCACGCAAATGGGCGGAAGAAACCGAAACAGTCCACTGCACAAAGAGCGATGCGAGCGCCCATGCCACCAAGATCCCCCGCTTCCCCCCGGGGGCGGCCGCAACCGACGCCAAGAAAACCCACTAGTAGGTTGCCTCCAAGCGCAAGAAATGGGAGCATAGCGTCTTCTCCAGCTGGTGCCAAGGCCAGCAAACAACCCACCACAAAACAGCATGAACCGCCTCAAAAGGTTGACAAGAAACAAAACAAGGGGATTCTCCGATTCTTGCGAAAGAAATAGTTCAAGTAGTGCATCGGTCCGCTATGTCTATGTTATGCAGTGTAATAATGAATCAGCAGCAACTACTATAATACAGGGAAACAGTTTGTTGAAGCCTCACGTTTGCAGATATGTGCATAGCTATGGTTTGTAAGTCCTACTTTTCGTATACTCTTGCATTTGACGGGCAAGCTAGCTACTAGAAGAGGGTAGACCGGTGAAGACTAGCCCTCCAACAGACCTTCGATCTTGACCATCCCTTTCTCCTGCCACTCCAATGTGCGCCACATTCGTTCCATTTCTTCATCCGAGCCTTGAACGGTGATTTCATTTTCAGTTTCATCATCGTTGGCCTCCAGTTTGACTTCGCAATCATCCACTCGGTCTCCCTGTTTCCAGTAGTAGAGGCCCGCATATGGTGAAAGCAATGACAGCAGATACCAGTTGGGTTCTCCAATAACAGGCAACTCCAAGCCCTGGAATTGAATCTGCAGCACCAATCCTAACGAAAGGAAGGCAAGCGCCGTGCAAAAGACCAGAAAGAATGCTTGGGAGGTACTCCTCTGCACAATACCTCGAAACTTGATCGTCTCGCCAGCCTCCACGACCTCGTAATTGTTGGCTTTCATGTCTGCGGGTACAGCAACATTTGTTCATTTTAGTTTGGAGAATGTTGCAGAGGGCGATCGAATCGTTTCCGTGATTTGTCGTGTGGTGTAAATAATGAGGAGTCGAGTGGGGAGCGTGCCACCAAAAGAATTGCCGAGGCTGTTGAGTTTGTTGTTCTGAACATTTGTCCAATATCCCAGGCAACTCGAGATTCAATTCCATCACCAGTACTACTTACATGCCATAATTTCACCAGCTTGCTGCCTCAAGCCTTTGCCTCCTTCGACGTTTTCTCCCGGTCTGCCCGAAGCACGATGATGAAAGCCAAGGATCAGAACAAGATGAAGTATTTGACTTTTGGACCAATCGGGGTACAGTACGGCACTTTAGATAATATCACTCACGCCACATAAGTTGTTCGTTTGATCTTGGCCTTTGTGCTTCTTTTAATAGTGGACCAAAGGCCAGGAAAGGACAAGAGGTAGAGACCCAGAATGGTATAGTAACTTGCCCTGGAATAAGAAACGCCGCCAGCTTCAGGAACATCTAGCACATCGGCCGTCATCAGGGTGGAAACAGAGTCCAAGAAACCCGTAGAGAACTCGGGCATTGCATTGACTGGAACAATGCTGGGCCTTGAAACTATCTTGTTCACGGGCATGACAAAGGCCGAAGAATGCCTAGCCATGGACACCAGCAAAGCGGCTAGGAGGCAGAATGATGGAGAAATCATTTCTTTTTGTTTCTGGCTTCGAAGGGGTTTTGGCCGATAGATTAGATGTTTTATCCCTCTGATATTTCTACTGTACTGTGTGGAATCTTGTCGGTAAGGAAAAGAGAGGAGAGATCAAGGTGCTCACACAGGCTCAGGGACAAAGAAAGAAGGTCAAAAAGATGTCAAGATGACAGATCTTTGTTGGCTGTTGTTTTCTCCCGTCCATCAAAAGCTTCGCGATGACGTACTTCCTTGTTTTAATAAGCTGTTTGAGCTGCTGCAACAACCCTGCGCCTTGCTCAAGTTCAAATGTGTTTGCGGTGCGGCGCCAGTAGCGGTAGCGTTGGCACCGTATTGTGTTGCCTTCACTTTCTCTTGTCTAGCTAGTAGACTACGATGTACATCGGCATGGCATGGCATGACTGTCACAACCTACCACCACCACCTACCACCACTACCAACCATTGTCTTGAGCTGTGGCGGCACCGAGTTGCGATGATTGTCACTGGATTTTCCCACCCCTCGGCGATCGAGACGTGGATACTTTTTAGACGGAACACTGGGTTCTCGATACTCGGTATATCGGCGGCGCGAGCGTCCCCGGCCGGCCAGAAGCCATTCGAGCTGGGATATGGGGCCCAGTGAGAGTACAAAAGCAAAACAATGTAAATAACAAATTCGACTCACCAGGAGCTAAAAAAGTAAACTAACAAATAACGAAAGGCAATGAGGTGAGAGGCTCATATGGAATTTGCATACAACCAGTGAATGGATGGATCAAGCTTGTAGCCCTCCTCAACATCTATATGAGCGGGAAGTCAGTAGCTGCCTTGGTTGTAGAGTAGTGCGCGTAAAACAATAAGGTGCTTTCTGGTACTGTAGAAAATTGTATGGGGCATCTAACTGCTGTTTGGAAGGCCTCAAAAAGAGTGGAATAAAGTGCTGCTAGAACGTCGCAGCTGCAAGGCTTGGTGCCAAACCGATTGAGAGTTAAGCAGATGTATACCTACTCCAGCTATCTGTAGCTGCTCAAGCTGGGGGTGAACTGTGTATTGCAAATGTCCAATTGCAAAACGTTGTTTTTGTTGACTGTTGCAGTCGTTATTTTACTGTTTACTGGGACTTTAAATAAATTTTTTCTAAAATAAAAATGCAAAAACGAATTCATTTTAATGTAAAATATGATGTTTTTGACGTTTTTACCAAACATATTTATATAGCTACATTGCACGACAACATTACGCGACTCTATTACAAAATTTATAGATAATTCTAACACATAAGAACATAGCTCTAACACATCAGATCACAGCTCTGACCCACAAAATATAGTTCTAATCGCGAAATGTAGCTCTATTGCGCGAAAAATGTAACTCTAACACAATGATGTATACTTCTATCACCCAAAAATATAGTTTGGCAGCTAAATTGCATGGCATAATACAGACAAAGTTCCATGTATGACACGACAATAAATGCATTTCATATGACAACAAAAAGCTAACATACATTGGATAGTTCTGTGACGCGTCTCACCAGCACAGAAATCTACACAGTTCTAATATGCTACAACAACAAATCTAAAACACGTGATAGTGTAGTCCTAACATACAAACGCCAAAATGTAGTAGACTCTCTTAACGTACCAGACTGATTCAGAACTCTGACAGCATGCGAAAATGTAGTTCTATTACACTCCTTACACCAAAGCCAAATTGCACGATGATGAGTACTTCCAAGCTAAAACGCGCGAAAGTCTAGCCTCTCACTCTGTAAAACCATAACAAAGATAATGTATTTCACATGATAATAAAGCTACTAAAACACACGAGAATAGTTCTCTCACGTGTGTACTAGAAAGAGACTCACTAGAATACAACAACAAAGCTAAAATACTCATCAGAATGTACTAGTCAAAAAATGACATGCGAGAGCGGCACTCTAATACTACACAAGGAAGCTACTCTAAAAACCAAAATGTAGCTCTGTCATGATATAGACACAACTAAAACGCGAGAAAAAGTATTTTTTCATGCATCTAATACACAACATATGAGAAAGTAGCTCTGCAACGCGTGTGTGACATTTAGAAAGAGAACATGAAATTTAAACAATCTAAAATGCGCAAGAATATAATTCTAACATGCAAGAAGAATGTAGCTGTAAACAAGAAAATGTAAGACATAGCTCTAATGCGCGAAAACAAGCAAAAATTCAGCTCTAACACACAAAAGTCTTGCTCTAACACGAAAAATGTAATTCTATCACGCGACATTGAAGTCAGTTTGCATTACATAATACGAGCAATCTAAAATATGCAAGAATATAGCTCTTGCTCTTGCACAAGTGTGATATGACAACCAATGTATTTCACAAGACAATAAAGCAAAAATACGCGACGAGAATATATTTCTCTTACGTGTGTGCCAAAAAGAAATCTCGCTGACATAGAAGTTTTGCTTAATAACAAAGTTGAAATATGCGAGTATATATTTCAAAAACATAAGAGTCGAGCTGTAACAAGCAAGAATCTAACTCAAACACGCGAAAATCTAACTCAAACGCGCAGAATCTAGCTCAAACACCGAGAATCTAGCTCAAACACGCGAGAATCTAGCTCTCATACATAAGAATGTAGCTACCTGTATTATGCGATAATGAGCTGCATGACATACGAATACAACTATATTACGCGAAATTTAAGATAACTTTGCAATTCCAATGACATCAAAATTACATTCGTGATAAAGTTACGCTGTGTGGCTAATTAGCAACATTACGCGAAATTTTGCACGAAATTTTGCACGAAATTTTGCACGACAATTTGCACGAAATTTTGCACGACATTTTGCACGACATTTTGCACGACATTTTGCACGACATTTTGCACGACATTTTTGCACGCATTTTTGCATGCATTTTGACGCGACATTTTGACGCGACATTTTGACGCGACATTTTGACATTTTGACACGACATTTTGACGCGACATTTTGACGCGACATTTTGACGCGACATTTTGACGCGACATTTTGACACGACATTCTTTTTTACACGACATTCATTTTTGCACGACATTTTTGCACGACATTTTTGCATGCATTTTTACGCGACATTTTACGCGACATTTTTACACGACATTTTTACACGACATTTTTGCACGACGTTTTTGCATAACGTTTAAAAGAATACTCACAATGATGTATTTCATTAATTTAATTAGACAACTTAGCCAGTGGGTATTGGGGTCCCCTTTGGGGTATACCCACTGGCGACATGAATGATTTTAATAGATCATTAAATTGTTTTTGGGTTTCTCAATTAAGAATGTTTAAAAATTGAGCAAAATTCAAGCATTTATCCTTTTTATTTTAGATTTATTTTAATATTTCTGAATAATATTAGTTTGTAGAAAAACTTGTGTATATAACAGAAAAATATTTTAATATTACATAAATTAGTTGTATTGTTATAATCTATTTATTTTATATATTTATATATTTTGTTACTTTTACTAGTTTAATTAGTTTTATTGCCAATAATTACTGAATCATTGTTAAAAACAGATAACTTGCAGCTGTTTTCTGAAGCCATACTTTAGATTATAGGAATTGCATTTGAGTCTGACATTGTTTTGGATTCGGGCACTGTTAAAATAGACAATGGTTGTAGCAGAGCTAGTAGCAGTGCTGATGATGGCAGCAACGAGGATGGGTCAATCACGAGGCGACCCATGTCCCTTAACTTCATATGTTGAATTTTATTAATATTTCCCTGGCTGGTGGGGTCAAATCTCTCTGCCCCATGTTATCAGTTTAGGGCACCCGGTAGCAGCACAGTAGACAAGTGGTCAGCCAAATTGATTCTATTCAAAAATTGTTTATATGCATACGGTACGTGTTCCCTGTTTTCTTGTGTTTATATGCATACGGTACGTGTTCCCTGTTTTCTTGTGTTCCCGCGCGTCCTTGATCGATTGATCATTCGGTTCTGGATCCTCTTTTTCACATCAGGTCTTCTTTTGTTGTTGCCGCTGTCGCGGCAGTTGTCGAGAACTTCATTAAATTTTTGCAGTGCACCATGCATCGATCCCTCTTCTTGCTCCTTTCTTGGTTGCTCTGTCCAGCGTTAGCTTTCGTCGCACCCCTTCGCTCCACATTCTACTCGAAAAAGCAAGGATCCGAAATTACTACCATGGCCTCCAAAGACGCGGCGAGTTTGTCGCCTTTTATCAAGTGCTGCATCGTGGAAGTCCATCCTGATCGAGCGGAGGAGTTCACCAATGTCTGTCGAATCGCTCAGGAACGATCGATGAAGGAGGAACCAGGATGTCTTCGACTGGACATTCTTCAGATGGTGGATGACAAGAATGCTGCGATCCCCCACAAGTTCATTGTCTACGAGATCTTCGAGGATGAAGAAGCCTACCATCATCACGGTCGACAGCCCTATTCTCAGGACGTTGGAGCATTCGTGAAAAGTGGAGGAATCGCTCATGAGGATGCTTATGTAGCTCAGAAGCTGTTCCTAACGGAGTGAATGAATTAATCTATGGACGCAATAGCAAGATTTCCCTTGAAAGCAGTGAAATCAAAGCTCCCGAACCGCACTACGGTAGCATTGGCGACATCAAGGAGGGACATTGGCACCATTGCATGCAAATTGTTCAAGCGTAGTTGCTGTAGAGATAAGGACTAACGAAACGAAACGAAACGAAACTAATGTGTTGTTTTGGCTCAGGATACCCGAGGTACCGGTACCGGTGGTCACGTAATGCGCGCGGAAGACTTTCCTCTATTAGGGTTTAGGGTTTTCGTCAACACGTGGAGCATTCGTCGAACCTTCGTCATCTTGATCCATCTTCAAATTTTGCAGAACAAATTCTTGACGCCTGTTGGAAAGCTCCATCATTGGATATTATCGTCAGTCTCGAGGAATGGCATTTGGACCAAAGAAAGCAACTTGAAGGTGTCAATTTTACGCTCTCTGCAAATGCCGATGACGAGAGAGCCCTTTTTGAGGAAGCTAGCTAGTAGATAAACAAACCAGAGGAAGATTTGTTCGGTGCACTCCAAGGTTCCTGTTGTCATTTTTCTTATTCAATTCAACGATCCAAGCCCACCATGCCCAAGATTCCACTTAACGCCAAGGCTGCTTTTCTAGGATTGCTTGTCTTTTCTGCTTCCGTCGAGTCCTTTGTGCATAACTCAAGGACTACTACACTGACTCCGAAAATAAGACGGCAACCTTGGGATACCCCTACCATCCACCGAACACCGACAAAGATATGGGACAATTTGAACGGTGAAAATGGGCTTAATGGAAGCAATGGCGAAATTGACTTGACCAAAGTGTCGCCACGGGTATATCCCCAGAGATGGGTGCAACTTGCCTACCTGTCACTGTTAGCCCTGCTGAGTGATTGGGTGTGCTTTTCCCTGGCGGCAACACCCTCTGTCTTTGAAGACAGCTTTCACCATTCGGCAGCCTCTTTGATTGATTTGTTTTTATTTACGAATGTGGCTAGCTGCTTTTTGGTAACTGATGTGGTGGCCAAGGTTGGACTACAAAAGGCAATTCAGGGGGCTGCTGTTTTGATGGCAGCTGGGTGTTGGTTACGGTCGGGACTAGGCTTTGTGCTCCCCGTGTTGGCGGCACATGCCGCTGACCTACCGGATGCCATGGCTGACACTGTCGAAACCCTGGCTTCATCGGTGACACCCGACGGGTTGGTGCCATACCCGGTGTTGGTGGCAGGCACTCTCATGGTGGGTGCGGCCCAACCGTTTTTCCAATGCACTCCGCCTCTCCTCAGTGCTTTGTGGTTTGCCAGTGATGAAAGAGCCACCAGTACTGCCGTGGCTCTCAACTTTAATCAAATTGGCATTGCCACGGCATTTTTGGTCGGTGGTGCCATGGCCACCTCGGCATCGGGAATGGAAAATTACTTTGGTTTGATTGCTGTCTTGGCGTCCGTGGCAGCTGCCGGAAGTCTGTTGCAATTTGAAGATGAACCGCCCATTCCACCCAGTGCCTCGGAACTGGAAAAGAAAATCAAAGGAGAGATAGAACCACCCTTTATCGAATCTGCCAAAAAATTCTTTGCTACCAAGGGTTTCACACGAGCCTTGGCAGCCTTTGTGTGCAGTATTTCTATTACGAATATTGTGGGTGCGTTCATCGATGAGGTCATGGTACGGGGTGGTGTAACGGAACAGTTCCAGATTGATTTGGCGGGTGCTGGCTTTGAATTGGCCATTCTGGTTGGAGGCATTGCCATTGGTGGTTACGTAGATCGTTCCAAGAAGTACAAGTCTGTCACCATGGCCTGTTTGGCCGCGACAGCCTTTTTGTCGATTCCATTGGGACTGACGGATCATTGGCTGGGCAACGAACCTATCTTGCTTGTCATGAGTTTGCTGGGATTGGGGTTGGCGGCAGGACCGGTCCAGCCCATTAATGCCGAGCTGGCCGTGGATGTGACATACCCTGGAGATGAAACTGCCGTGGAGAGTGTCCAGCAAATTGGTGGCAACCTCATTTCTGCACTTCTCGTACCTTTGGCGGAGCTGGCCACAAGACAGGACTATGAGATGTTTCGGCGCAACAAATTTTTCGAAAGTGATATTCGAGGAGATGTGATCTTGCTCGTATTGATTGCATCTGCCACTCTGGCGTACTACAGCGGCTTTGATGCACCATTGCTGCGGAGTGCCGCGGATGCCGAGGGAGAAGAGCAGACGCCAGAAGTTTCAGCCTCTCAGGTTGCGGCGGTCAACGATGCCGTGCTGAAATGATTCACGTCCAAGACGCTCAGTTTTGCCCACCGTTGCTCTCGATGACATCTGCCAATGTCGCTGGCAACAACAAAACTTGCACAGGCACAGCAACATTGATCGCAAAAGACACCGCACGGCTACCACATAAAACACCGGCATCTGGCCCGGACAGAACCAAAACAACAAAACCAGCGCAACACATCCATCATTTGCCAAGCACAGCTACACTACTTAAATTCTTAGATTGCCTACTTTTTTGCAATGCACTTTGGTTGGCTAATACCAGGCACCGATAGATATCTGCGCCTGTTGATAGGAGAGCAGTCGACTTGAGTCTCCGTGGATCCTGCAAAGCCAAGCCCTTTGGCCCCTTACTGGTCCTCAATTTATCTCCCCTGGTCCCACGGAACCTAGTGGTCCTGAATTTTGGCTCTTCTTTGCTTTTGAGCCTGGCCCTTGCTGGCTCGGATAGATAACCTCCCTATCGGTGCTTTGTCCATCCTCATCCTCATCCTCATCCTCGGCTCGGTCTTCACGCATTCTCGATCCCAGAAGATACAAAGCGGCAGAGTTGAGATACTGTAGATGAAGTTTTTATGTAAATTTGTTCGGATTGAAAGACTTAAAGGAAGACTGTCACTTAATAAAGGACAGCCAACGTTCATCTGAGGACTCACAATATCGATTTATTTGAACCCAACATTTTTGTTGGAAGCGTTCATCACAACAGAGAAAGCAGAGCCAAGCAACAAGCAGTAGTATCATTGATAGAACGAGAAAGAAACCTTTGAGTTGGAACCCAACTCAACCATGATGCCGACTCCGCGAAAGTCGACGCCTAGTAGGAAGCAACCAATGTCGCCGCGGCGGCGGTCGCTTCGAACTCCTCCTAGAAAAACTCCAGTAAAGTCCCCAATGAAGAACAACAGTAGTAGTAGCGATGGGAAGGAAGAAGGCATTACAGGTGAGAATGACAGGTGATTCGTCCATCATAGCAAGACGAAAGGAGCTTTTCCGTCGATCATTTTCTCTTCTTCTCTCACAATCTCTCTCTGCCGGTACAAACAGTGGCCGTCCGTATGCGTCCATTGAATCAGAATGAAGGGAACCACCAGCGAGTTTGGAAGGTTCTTCCCAAATACAGCTCTGTAGCACAGACAACAAAGAATGGTCAACCACTTCCGGATCGTGTTACTGGGCGAACATTCTTCACATTCGACAAAACCTTCAACGAGACCGTTTCGACGGCGGAGGTCTACGACAATGTGGCAAAGGACATTGTGACATCTGTCGTTTCCGGCTTGAACGGAACTATTTTTGCATACGGTCAAACATCCAGTGGAAAGACGTACACTATGCAGGGATCTGGAAGCATCAAAGAAGGCTCCTGTGGTGCTGGCGGGGTCGTTCACATGGCCGCCAATGACATTTTCAAGAACATTAGCCAAGCGCAAGACAGAATCTTTTTGGTTCGAGCCAGCTTCCTTGAGATTTACAATGAGGAAGTTCGTGACTTGCTTTCCCCCAACAGCCCAACATTGCAAGTCCGAGAAGACCCTCGTCGAGGAGTTTTCGTGCAGTCCAAAGAGGAAATTGTAACCAACTTTGACGCTCTTCTCGGTATCCTCTTCCAAGGCGAAAGCAACCGTGCCTTTGCTTCCACCGCCATGAACGAGAGATCATCCCGTAGTCACACAATCTTCCGCATCACCATTGAGAGCCGCAAAAAGGGAGTTCCTGTAGCCCAAGATGACAGCGACGAGGAAAGCACCAAAGAAAATGTGGTGCCGGACGACGATGGGGCCGTCCTCATATCCACGCTCAACCTTGTCGACTTGGCCGGATCAGAGAGTGTACGCCACACGGGTGCTACTGGAGAGCGCCAAAAGGAAGGTGGAATGATCAATACAAGGTGAGAATGATTCGTCAGCAATTGCTGTCCTGCTAGCTTGTGCTTGCCGATAGCACGCTAACCAACCACACCTTTTTCTCCTTTCCATTCTTCAGTTTGTTGACACTTTCACGAGTCATCGTGGCGCTCGGAGCAACAAACCAAACTCATATCAACTTTCGAGACTCAAAACTTACTCGAATCCTGCAGCCGTCGTTGTCGGGAAATGCTCGAATGGCTGTGATTTGCTGTGCGACTCCATCGGAACTCTATTTGGAAGAGACTCGATCTACGTTGCTTTTCGCACAACGAGCCAAGTTGGTGAAAACAAGGGCACAAGTAAACGAAGTGCTGGACGACCGATCAATCATCCGACGTCTGCAACGCGAACTCGCAGAGGCCCGTCGGCAAGTTCCTGGGTCGGCGGCACAAGACAAACAGCTGAAAGCTCTCGAACTCCGAGCAGACCAGGCAGGAAATGCAGCCAAAGTAGCCGAAGACAAACTCATCCGCCTGAAAACGTCTATCTTGAATAGTGGTGTCCTCTTTGGCACTGTGCCTCAAGCTCGTGCAACAGTAGCTGGCTCAAAGCTGTCACGAGCATCTCACGTCAAGAATCCCGATGCTGCGGCCAAGAAGGGGAAACGCCGCTACTCCGAAGGAACTCTAGAGTTGGAACGGTCAGTATTGACGCCAAAGCGAGGCACGGCAAACGCCAATCCTCAAACATCCACAAAGAAGAAAACAGATCAAACTCCAGAGTCGGAACTGGAGCTTCTACGCGAAGCATTGGCAGCCAAAAACAAGCTTTTAAAGGAAGCAAGCAACGAGTTGGCGCAGTCGAGAGACGAGTTGACGCAGTCGAGAGACGAATTGGCGCAGTCGAGAGACGAATTGGCGCAGTCGAAGGAATCCATCAGTGCTAGAGACACCGTGATTTTTACCTTGACGAAAGCGCAAGACGAGTTAACGCGGTCGGAAGAAACCATCCGTGCAAAAGATACGGAGATCGCTGCTCTGAAAGAAATCCAAAGCGCTCACAACGGCGCATGCACTCAAATCCAGCTCTTGACAACTGCCCACGAGGACGCATTGGCCAAGCTGCAGGCACTGGAACAGGAAGCTGCCAACAAGCACACTGAATTGGCATGTATCAACGCCGAACTAGAACGTTCCAAGGCTACTTGCAATGCTCTCTCTGAGTCATATGAAGAATTGGTGTCCGAAAAAGAATCTACGAAGCAAAAGCTCTTGGCTGAGAAGTCAGAAGTTGATACTGCTCTTCAGACGCTTCAAGCAACGCATGAAGGCTTGGAATCAGCGCACAAAGCAACCCTGGACAAGCTGCAGGAACAGACCAAGCAAACTGCAGACAAGGAGACGGAATTGTCCAACATTCAAATGGAACTTGAGCGATCCGAGGCCACATCCAAGTCACTATCTGAGTCATATGAAGGATTGGTGTCAGAGCATGAGTCCATGAAACAGAAGCTCCTGTCCGAAAAAGCAGAACTGAATACTGCACTCCAAACTCTTCAAGGAGACCACGCAACTCAGGTGTCCCAGCATTCACAGATGCTTGGTGGACTGCAAGCAGAACGCAACAATCTCCTTGCTACGGTGACTGAAAAGGGGAACGAGAATACGACTCTCTTGGCTGAATTGGAACGCTCGCGTTTCGAAACCAAGGCGGGCATCGAGAGAATTGCCTTGCTTGAGTCCCAGCTCTGTGAGCGCGATGCAGAAAATGGCGTTTTGTCCTACCAGCTCGAGGAGCAGAAGCACGAATACCAGATTCAAAACCAAGAGAAACAACAACTCGAAGCATCGTTGCGCTGTGAGCTTCGAACTTTGGAGGAATCTAAACAATCGTTTCAGAGCGAGAACTCGAAGCTCAAAATGCAATTGGCAGCTTCGCAAAGTGAAATTCAAGGTCTGTCCGCACGAGTCGAAGATATGGCAACTGAAGTTGCAGTTTCCTCGGAACGAGCCGCCCATTTTGAAACTCTTTTGGCTAAACAATCATCCGACCACAAAGTCTCGACCGAAGCTTCAGATGTAGTCAAAATGGAGCTTCGATGTGCCGAACAATCCGTCTCACTCCTACAGTCATCCCTGGAGGCAAGAGACGCCGAGATCGCATCTCTTTCCAAGTACTTGGAGGACGTATTGGTCCATGCAACTCACCGACAGGAGAATCTTGTTGCGGCCAAAGCCAGCAACGACGAGGCCATTCAGCAATCAGACCGTTTGAGCTTGGCAGTAGCGGATATGAAATCCCAACAGGCAGAAATCAACAACGACTATGTCAAATTGCTTTTGCACATTCAAAATTTGGAAAAGGAGAGAGATGGCATTTTACAACTTGTCGAAGAAAGCTCGCAAAACTTCAAAAGTGCCCACGAGTCCTTTGAAGCGGAGAAGAAGTCTTTGGAGGAACTGCTCAGAGAATCTGCTGACGACAAGACTCTTCTGGTGTCCTATCTGGAACAATGTGAGACGTCTCTCCAGTCACTGCGCGCTGAAGCGAGCCTGAAAGAGGAACAAACAAAGCGCCAATTAGCCACGCTCAATGAGCAACTCGATCAGACGACAACAGACAGGCATAAACTGACCAGCGAACTCTCGACTTTGAAGGAGGAGCTGGAGACAACGATATCAGCTCGAAAAGAATCCGACGACAAGGTTTTGCATCTGACCAGCGAGTGTCAAGCTGCCAAGGATATGAGTAAGTCCTTGTCCACCACGGTCGAGCAAGCTCGGGATAGAATTGCAACTTTGGAACTCGATGTTGAAAACGCGACTTTGGGTCGAGAGGCGCAGTTCGCAGCCGTGACCACCCAATTTGACGCTGCATGCCAATCTCTTCAGAAAATGGAGGAAGCCACAACCGCCTGCCGCGACAAACAGGAACAGCTTTCTCGTGAGATATCATCTCTCGCTTCAGAGAAGACTGCTCTCGAGAGTGAACACAGCTCGGCTCTGGAGGAGATCCACAATCTTTGTGCAAGGATCACGGAGCTTGAACTCTCAGTCGAGAAAAGCAGAAAGTGTTTGCGGGAAGCCGAGGATGAAACCACTGTTCTCAAGTCCGACAAAGAAGAGCTGGAGGAGAACCTCCGGGAGGCGCTCTCGGAAAAGACTAGTCTGGAAATTGAATTGGAAGCTGCCGTGACGGAGCTGGAGGCCATGGGAGCAAGAATCTCGGAGCTCGAAGCAGTAAATGAGGAGAGTGCTACTAGTTTGTCGCGGGATTTGGAAGATTTGCAAAGCACCAAAAAGGCACTTGAAAAGTCACTGGAAGAGAAGTCTTTGCAGTTGGTGGCATTGGAGAGCGACCTTGTCACCGCCGAGAAGATCAATGCCGAGCTAGATTCGAAGGTCAAGGTTGCCCAGCAAGAGCTGTCCATTGTTAGCCAGTCTCGCGAAGAGGCCATGTCAGCTGTAGCTAGTCTCCAGGAAAAGCTCGAATGTCAAGACAAAGCGATTGAAAGCCTCTCGAGCTCCAAGGCCCGGCTCGAATCGCAAGTGGAAGCAGACGTCAGTGCGTTGCAGAATCATGGTTCGAAGATCGCAGAGCTGCAGGAAGCCCTCAACAAGAATGCCGTCATGCTCGAGGGGCAATCGAAAAGCCTCGAAGCGATTAGAAGCGAGAAGGATGCACTCACGACAATGCGCGATACCCTCGTTAGCGATCTCGAAACAGCAAAAGGCCGTGCTGAAGTTCTCGAAGGCAAGCTAGACGATGAGAAGCGAACCTCCTCTCAGATTGCATCAATGCGAGATGCGCTTGCTGCTGAACTGGAGACAGCCAAGGCTCGTGGTGATCTCCTGGAGAACGAGTTGTCACAGGCAAAACAATCGATTGAAAATGAAACATCCCAAGTCAAGGAGGACTTGGCGAATGCCGCGGCTCGGGCTGATCTTCTGGAGAATGAGCTGTCACAGGCAATAAAAGCGATTGAAAATGAAACCTCTCTGAAGAACCAGTTCGAGGAGGACTTGGCGAATGCTACGGCTCGGGCTGGTGCCCTGGAGAACGAGCTGTCACAGGCAAAAACCTCGATTGAAAAGCAAGTCCTTCAGCAAAATAAACAAATGGAAGACTTGGCAAAGGCGCAAGAAGCTAAGGAGAGCGAAACGAAGGCCCTAGAGGATCTCCGTGTGGCACACTCCAAAGCAATGGAATCTCTGGAGCAGGCGGAGACGGAGAGGGCCTCTCTTGCCGCTCAAGTCGAAGATATTACCACGAGGATGGAAAGCATGACGACTATCGTTCAGGAGCTTGAAGCTACAGGTGCGGAAAGTACCAGCACACTGTCGGCTACGGTGGAGCAACTCCAGGCTGAAAAGAATCAGCTTACGGAGCTAGTCGATAGCCTAAGCGCTGACAAGTCTCGCCTCGAGAATGAGCTCAAGGAAAGTGCCGCAAGAATCGAAAACATGTCAGCAACCACTCTGGAACTCACGAGAGCAGTCGAAGAAGGCGAACTTCAAATCGAAACAGCCACAAACAGACTGCAACTAGTGCAAACGGAGAGGGAGAACGCCATGCAAACCTTGGAGCAACTCACCGGTGAGAAGAACTCGCTCGTGACCGCATTGGAGCATGGAGCGTCGAAGATGGAGGAGCTGACCTCGACAGCCGCAAAACTTTCCTCTGAAGTCAACGCTAGCGAAACGAAGATCAAGGATCTTGAGACGCAGGTTTCAACGGTACAATCAGAAGTGACCACGCTGCAACGTAGCCTACGAGAATCAGAGGATCGAAACGCTGAGCTCGAGAAGAAAACGGCAAAGTCAGTAGAAGAATCCACACAGGACCTGCAGAATCTTCAAGAGGAATTGGCCAAGAGTCGTGAAACCAATGCCGAGGCCCTGTCTCAGCTTGACAATACTATGAGAGAACTTGAAAAGGCATGCCACGGAAGAGACGAGGCGGTCGCTGCCATTGACGAAATCCAGAAGAAGCACAACGGGCTTCAGGTCACTATGAATGAGGTGAAATGCAGCAAGGTCGCACTGGAGGCGGCGAACGGAAGTGCCACCGCGGAGATAGAGCTCCTCGCTTCCAAAATCCGCGAACTGGAACATTCCTTGTCAGAAAATGAAAAGTCCTTGTCAGAAAAGGTGGCATCTTTTGATGCGATCAAGGTCGAAAAGGAAGACCTGCGAGCAAGTCTTGCGTTTTCCCAGTTTGAGCTGACCAAAGCAGTCTCCTCCAGAGAAAGCCTCGAAGAAAAATGTCAAGCAGTTGACATGCGGTTGAGTGACGCAGTGTCTTCCTATGAGTCCCTTGAACAGCAACATCAAAACACAAAGGAGGAACTCCACGCTGTCCACTTGGAACTCTTTCAAGAAAAAACCGCCACAACATTGACAATCACGAAGCTCGAGCACGAAATCAAGGTCGCGAATGACAAACTCGCTTCTCTTTCCGGCGGGATTGAAACGCTCGAGGGAGAAAAGAGTGATATTGGATCTCGGTTGGATCAGACCTTAGAAGACCTGAGGAAAGCTGTCGAAGCAAGAGACTCTTACGATACTAAACTGAAGGACGCAGAGGAGGAAGCATCGAGGCAGGAAAATCTGATCCGGGAGGCTCGTCATGCCGCTCTAGCCCTTGAAGACGAATTGGCGGAAAAGGAGAAGGAATTGGCAAATGCCAACCACAAACTCAGTCAATGCGAAGAAGAAATCCAGCTTCTCATTGAGGAATCGCACTCATCCAGCACCAGCAATACCGAAATCCCACAAGAGTTTCTCGAAAAGCATGACAAACTCGAAAAGGACTATTCACAGACCCTTGAGCAACTCGAAAAGGAGCGACAAACCCATGGCGAGGAGCAACGATTACTACTCCGCGAAGGAGAGAAACAAATTAAGAGTCTCCAAGACGAAACCAAGGAGCTCACGAAGGCAAAGACAGAAGCTGAACGCATGGCATACGCAGCACGTGAGGCGAACGAACAGTATCGCGAACAGGAAAGACTTGCCGCGAAAAATATCAACAAGCTCAGCACTGAAGTATCCTCTCTCAAAGCCGTGATCCAGAAAGGAAAGGAGAAACTCCAAGAAACTGAACAGAAGCTTCACGATACTCGAAAGAAACTCACTGAATCCGAGGCAGCTTCTTCCGCTGCGCTGCAAGCGAACAGTCAATATCGCAACCATGCCGCGCGCTTCCAGAATGAAGCATCCCAGCAGCAAGAGACAATCGCACAGCTGGAGTCCGAGCTGCAAGACGTCAAGAACACGTTCAAGGAGCAACATGATATCGCCAGCAAGGAAAGTTCCCGACTGGCTTCCCGTGTCAATGCTTTGTCAGCCGAGCTGACGGCTGCCAAACAGACTGTCTTGGATTTGAAAGAAACAGAAAGCAACCTCTCCGCCGCAGTGGAAGCCAAGACGATCGAGTCGGAAAAGCTCCGGAAACAAGTGAAGAAAATGGAACCCCATTGCTTAACCAAGCCGCAGATAAGAAGTCTGGGCAAGTTGAAGGTACGAGCGAGAGCGACACAGAGAGGAAAACCGTCTTAATCAATGGGTCTCCTAAACACACAACGTTTCTTTTCTGTCTTGTTTTGTTTCTTGAATGCAGGAACGGGCGAATGAGCTTGAGATACAAAACGAGAAGCTCGAACAGGAAATCAAGTCTCTGAAGGCTGCCTTGGCTGCCATGGAAGGAGAGTCCTCCGATAGCGCAGCTGTGTTGCTCAAGGAGTATGAGCACAAGATTGCCAAACTGAAGGCAAGCCTGGAAAAAGCTCGATCCAGTTCCAGTTTGTCTGATGAGAAAGAACGCCAATACCAAGCGGCATTACAAAAAGCATCCAAAGACATGAAAGCATATCGATCTGAAATCAACACCTTGCAGTCACAGCTTGCGGATGCAAGCCAATCAGCCGACAGTTCCACTTCAGCTGTTGAGCACCAGAAGACCAACTTTGACAATGAAGCTCTCAAGACCAAGCTTGGAAAGTATGTAAAGACTTGCCAAATGTACTTGGACGAAAAAGAAGAGATGGCAAGAATGATCTCATCAACGTTTGAGAACATCACGTGTAAAGGTGATGACGTCCTGGATGCTGTTGGTGCACTTTGCGATGAAAACATTTCGCTGAAGGCACAATTCCAAAGCCAACAAGCTCAGCATTACGACAAAGAAAAGCTTCGTGCCACTCTTTCAAGATCACTTTCACGAAACGTGACTGATGATGAGATTGCCCCATGCATCGAATCGGTTTTGAAGAAGCACACAAAACTGCTCCAACAGGTGAGAACCTATATATGTAATGTGTCCGGCCCATCACACACCATCATGATGTCAGCATGCCCCTCTCACTTATCAGTTTTCCTGCATCCTCCAGGAGGAGAGTCTAAAGTTGAGAGTCAAAGAGTTGACGGATTCATTGGCCTCCAATGAGAAAGAGCTGGAAGAGGCCAAGCAAAAGTCGATTGAATCTCGTGACGCTAAGGTAGCCAAGCTACAACAGGAGAACCTGCAGGTAAGCCAACATGTTACTTGCATCTATTGTGGGTCGACCTGGCTTCCGGCTCACAGCCACCATTTTGTTAACTCAATGTGATCTTCTGCTGCAGCTCATGAGGATGCGCAAAGAAACTGGTGTACAACTGAAAGCACTGCGTGAGGAGAATAGCAAGTTGCGCAATCTAGCTCTCAAGGAGTCCCCCACAAATGCCGCAGTATCAGCTTCCTTTCTGCCCTCCCAGATGAACTTCCAAGATAATGCACCTCCAAATCCTCCTGTTCTGAAGCCATCCACCTCGACCACCTTTGAGGCATCGGTGGCAGTTGATTCCTTGTCCTCTGAAAGAAAGCATAATGTCTCAGCATCGTCCTCTTTTGACGATTCATACAAGTCTTCGGATTCATTCAAGTCGGCAGGCTTGACCGAGGCGACTTCCTTTGACACTGAGTCATCAAACAGCAGCAGAAAGAGATCCTCCACCCAGATTGACAATGGCAGCACTCCAAAAGAGAAGAAGTCGAAATTGCCTTCCCTTCTTCCATCGACCAAAAAGAAAAAGGTGCCTCCTACAGCTCCTGGTCTTGGTGAACCCGGCCTTTCAGGAGAGGATTCCAAGCCCGAATGTAATCAGAGTTGATTGAGCAGTTTCTCGATTTATACCTGAGCCTAGCTATAGTAGTTTATTGTACTGTATTTTAGTGCAACCAATGCTTGCCCCCTTCCTTTCTTCGATTCACAGTGACTTGATGACTTTGGCTGTCACTCCTAACTTTGGGGCGCAACTACATGTAGTCAGAACATTTGATGTACGATGTAGGGCTTGCTGGCTGCTGTGGAACGGTAGCTGAAAACGGAGCGACGACGCCTGGCACACGATCAACCGAGCGATGCGCCTGCGAATCCCGGCCTGATGAGGCTTCGATGAACGCCACAAATACACACCTGCCTCGTTATCTCTTTAGTAGATGATAACGTCGTGCACGATCAGATCATTGGCATCGTCTTCTGCAAGGCGTCCTCGACATAGACACAATCAGAATACATCCTTATTAGATTTATTGTTTATGTATGCAGCAGCAACGTCGCGTCTGCCTGATGAAAGTAGGGCACATTCCAATCCCTCGAAGTCTGGCCCCCGCCTAAACGTCAATTGATGATGATGAGTGATCCTTCAATGTGGATGTAACTGAGGTGTGATCCTTGAAAGTGACTTTGCTAGCCCTCAGCGGTTGTTCCGGACGCTCACTCAACTCTGTTCCATCCCGCGGCTCAACCCAGAAGGTACGCATCTCCCCTTTGCCCTTGACTGCAATCACACCACGTTCCAAAACCCGAAAGTCAGAGTGATCCTTGGAAAGAAGCCGATGTGTGCTTTCAGAACAAAGGATTCTGCCTGGCTTTGAGTTACTTTCCATGCGAGAACTGGTATTGACGGTGTCTCCAATCAAACTATAGCGGCGGTTCTGCAAAAACAAAGGAAGGGACAGGTCAGAAAGAGCGTGCTCAAGATTCCCCTTTTAAAAGCTGCTTCCCATCCCAACCTTACCCTTGTGCCAACAACATGTGTCACCACGGGCCCACTGTGGAAGCCCATTCTGAGCTGAACGAATCCAGCAGATGGGTTATCAACATCGATTGGGACAGTTGATGCCACGCGCATAGCCTCAATAGCAAACTTTGCGGCGAGGCTTGCATGGTCGGGCTGCGGCTTGACTAGATTTGTGACTGTCATGTATGCATCTCCAATTGTTTCGACTGCAGGAAAACAGGGCAAAGTGAGACAGTTGGTTTTGAGTTTGAACTCCATGTTTTGTAGATTTTCACTTCCAGTCCATACCTTTGAAAATGTCAAGACGTTCACACAAGCTGTCGAATGCATTGTACAAACGATCGAGGAGATCCGATACCTTGGTAGCAGGCATACTGCTGGACATGTCCGTGTATCCTACAATGTCGGAGAAGACGATTGTGACCTCCTCATGCGTTTCAGGCTCAACCTTGCGGCCTTCTTTGAGCGCTTGTGCAATGTGTGGAGGGAAGATGTCCTCCAACAGTATATCTGTACGAGCTGAATCGGTTTTCCTCTTCTGAGCTGATGCTTCATCAAATGTCTTCATGTTTGCAGCATCAAGCGTGCGGAAGCTGATATCCAATTCCGTAGCAGTTGGACGGTGGGATGGGTCTTCTCTCAGGCATGCCTTCATCAGGTTGGTAACCTCTGAAGGACAATTCTTGGGCACATGAGGACGCTTGCTTGTCTTCTTGTCAGCAACCTGGCGCAGGACTTGGTCGTATTCCTCACCAGCATAAGGATCTTGTCTACTAAAGACTTCAAAGATTACAATACCCATTGCATAGATGTCCTGAAATGAAGATGAATCAAAGTGTGAGTACAGAGGATGTTGGAATCACTGGATTGCAGTTCATTCCTTCGTTTGCTTACGGTTTCCTTGTTGTTGGTCGTTTCACGGCGAAGAAGTTCTGGGGCCATCCAGTATGGTGTGCCGCGGACTTTATCTTTGCTCAAGGCGCTCTTTCTAGTTGACAAGCCAAAGTCGGCGACCTTGGCTTTGAACTTAGAGTCAACGAGGATATTGTGCGACTTGAGATCCCCATGGAGGATCAATGGGTCGGAAGAGTGCAGGAAACGGATGCCGCTGACCACATCCTGCAGCATTCCCAAGAGCACTTCTCCTTCCAGCTCAATGCATTCATTGTGCAACAGGTCATACAAGGAACCAAAGTGCATGTATTCCATGATCATCATAGGCTCAGTCCCAGAAGACAGAACCGCTCCCATCACTGTGGTGATAGATGGATGACGGAGCTTTGAAAGCAAACGCATCTCCTTGACAAATTCGTCTTTCATTTTGGCAGCCTTTACCGTCCTCCCAAAGACACCGTTGCTCTTGAGAGTGGCAGAAGAGGTGCTTTCAAACCCAGAGCCCTTGCTCATCTTGCCAGGGCCAGCCAAAGACACGTTGCTATCCCGGAACTGACCAGACCCATTGCTCTTGGAAACAAACTGACCTGACTCGAGATCTACTGGGCTGCCCAATACACTGCTCGACCTGAATCGATGTTCTGACCCGACATCTACTGTGCTCCCCAATAAACTGCTTGACCTGCCTCGGGGTTCTTTTGTGGGCGGCAATGCTCTCTTGCATGCAACACGAGTTCCCCTGAATTCAGCCAACACAACCAATCCAAACGTCCCACGCCCAAGGATCTGGGGGGGATCATCAAAGTGAATCTCCGATGGGTCCACTTTCCAAACACTGTCCGCTTTGGCTCTGTGATGGCGGACATACAACCAAACTGCCAACAAGAATATCACCAACACTGGAACCACAATGCAGGGGACCAAGATTGCGAGGGGTGTACACTTGTTGAACAAATCCACTGTGCCACTCTTGCACACACACTCCCCGTAGTCATCTGGTACCTGATTGGCATCTCCTGTATCAGCCACGCAATCTCGTTTGAGTACAACGATGCGGAATGGGCTCTCGGGGATCTCCTCATCGTCAATACGAATCTTGATGGTCTTCTGCCCTGCCGTCATCCGAGAAGCAACGAGATCAACATTGAAGTCATACGTCCCATCAAAGTGCTCCACCTTGACAAAGGAGAATGGCTCCTCCGTTTCATCTTCTAGCAAAAAGACCCCGCTCATGGTGGCGTTGCTTCGTTTCTTGTTATCAATGGCTCGAAAGGAGAGTCTATGTTCTTGGTGGATTCGACCACAAAGAGCAAACTTGGAACATCCGTTGCCACTCCCACTGGCGGTGGTACGGTTGTCCTCTTTGTCATCTTCGTAGACAGGGAAGAAATCCACTTCAAAGGCCTTGACACAGGGGTTGCAGATACAGTCTCGGTCAAAGCACTCCAATCCAGAAGCATTGCACTCTTGTTGGATCTCCAGACTGGATCTTGCAAAATGCCCTGGAGGGCAAGTGACAGCATCCACAATGTTGCTCATTCGGACACATTCTGGCTTTGCTGGATTCTCCTTGTTCAGGAACCCTGTCATTTCTTGAATATCCCGTACTCGAAAGTTGTTACGGGGCTTGTCAAAGGTGACCATCCTACCATTCATGGCTTCATACGCATCCAGCGCCAACTGCGGCGTGGTGTCACAGTTCTTGATTGAACCAGGAGGAAGTTCTCGGAAGCAGTCTTCCAGACAGGCAGTGTTGTTCTCGAAACACCCCCTAGCTTCACGGCACTCAATCAAAGAGGGTGCCACCGCAGCATAGTCACCAAGGTCCATAAACTCTTGTTGGATCTTTACTTGGACAGGAGTGGGGACATGGGGAAATGCCGCAAACTGATAGGCCGGTACAAGTTCAGAGGTGTGTGCAAAGGGGAAATCTTTTTCCTCTCCATCACTGGTGACAATGGTGGTTTGACGTGGGCTGAGAATCTTGACTTTGGAGCGGGCACTGGTTCCATCATCGGTCATGAAGTAATCCAAGGTAGCAGTGGCACCACAAGCCACATCTACCTTGCCCTCCAAGAGAGCTTCAAGGGCACTGTTGGAGTTCTTGAAGTAGACGACCTGCTGTGGATCTTGAAGATGATGGATTCCATGCTTAAGCAGAACTCCGTAGCACAGATGAGTGGCAAGGTTTGTGATCTGGTTGGTTCCGACTTTGCGGCCCTTGATGTCATCGAGCGTTTGAATGTCTGTTCTGTTTTTGAGGGTGTACAAGACGGCTCCGATTTGAGTTGCTTTGATGAGCTCCCCATCAAACTCTTGCTTTGCACTGACCATGGAGACGAGCGGCACAGCTTGGACTTCAGACTCCACGCACGAGACAACATACGCGTTTTGGAAGATAAAGTCAAAACCCAGGGCTGGAGCCTCATCCGCAGGTGTCTTCAAGTATTTGTTGGCACTTGTATGGGCAAAGGAAACGGGAGGATCAAACTGGTGGCCAATCCTTGCGGTCAGGTAGTCCGCCAAGCCAGAGGTCCAACCGACCCCTCCCATAAGATACTCGATAGTAGTCTCGTTGCCAACAACTTGGAGATTGGGCTTGGGGACCTGGCATGTGGATTCATTCTGGGCCAGGGTCGGGGCAGCAATGAAGAGAGAAGTCAGAGGGAGGAAGAGGAGGTGTTTCATCATCATGGTCAGTACGGGTATTGCACTACAATGATACTCAGCAGATTGTGAAGGAAGGAGAAAAGAATGACGATCGAAAACAAAATAAAAAATAAATGAGCTTTGGAGGTTTGAGGTTGGAGAGTCGAGTCGACGCCAAATTCTCCTCTTGAGGTTACACGAAAGCGGTTAAGTGATCAAAATGTCCGAGTTACTTTTGTTCTCAACCCACTTAAGTCAATTTGGGGACGTTTCGGGTTTTAGGTCCCTGAGCAGTCATTAAAAGGGGCAGAATTTAAGAATTAGAGGCAATCGGGCATAGTAGAGCAGTCAAAAGGAGCAAAAAGAGACAATATGGCTATTAATATAAGGACAAAAAGGTTGAGAATTACCAGTGACAGAAGGAATTATGGCTGTCGGATACATGAACCTCAAGATCACCGACTCATGACCGATGCGTGCCAATAGTAAAGCCTAGCCTTAAATAATACTAGAGTACGAAAAGGTTGTTGTGGATAGTGTTCGTTTAAAAATTAAAGTGTCTCGATCGAAAATAGGTGCGACTCGACTCTACAAATTTTAATAATAAGCATTTATTTCACCTATGACCCACGGAATTAGAGAATAGAAGTTGTACTGGTGTGGTACAGTCACTCTAGCTAGCAGCTCTCTAGCTAGCTAGCCCACAGCACCAATACTGGTATGCCCCTGTAGCGGCCCCACCAGCCCAGCTACCGGAACTACCAGAATCAATTTGTAGGTAAGGTTGAAAAGGAGCGAAACCTCCGTCGTTGAATGTTCAAGCAACCAAAGCAAGCGGCCATAATACTAGTAGTACCTTTGGGTTGATGCAGTTATTGTAGCTGAGCTTTTTGCTTCCCCTGTAGTTGCGGCCATGCTGTTTGGTATAATATTGACGCTGGCTGGATCTGGCTGGATCCGGATAGGCGGTTGAAGAGTCCAAAAAGGGATCTTGTTTCATCAATATGCTTACCGGTATCTCAACTTGTCTTGGTGAAGACTTCATCTGAGACTTGAGACCGGATTAGTTGTCGCGTCTTTGGGTCTTTTTGATGTTAGAAGCCGGTTGCTGGGTGAGGAACACAGAGTAGTTTTGATGGACAAGAACTCCATCTTCCAAGCTCTGTGACTAAGTCTTGAAGCATGATCAATCAGAAGCAGAGAAGCCAACTCTCGATTAGGCGAAGTGAGGGCATCCAGTTTGCACAGTTGGGTTGTGCGCGTCTGCTGTCTTATGAAGTTGCTGCGGGATACTCAAGCAGCTCGAAGCAGCTGTCTAAACTCCCTTCGCTTCTTTTCCAAGACCGCGGGAGACAGCTTGCTTGCTAATTAAGATTTTTCTAGATGCAGGCCCACTTCCGGTAGCTAGCTTGGTGGGTGATTGAGAAGAGCCTCTTCGGAATGTGACGCCGCCAGGAATAGACCTTTAGCAGCTGAAGAGTCGTTAGCTATCAGGGCAGCTAGCCCATTGTTTTGGCTAATAGCTAGCTAGCTGAAAGAACAACAAGAGGCAACAAAGAAAGCAACTTTACAAGGTTCATTAGCTACTGTAGCTAGATCCCATACAATTGAGCTACCTGGTTGTCACTCATGTTGTCATGGTACTCCCGCATGTCAAAGAGCTCTTCTCCCTGCTCCATTGTTAGCTGCACCAAAACACATATGGCACGGACGCAGGAACCATGCTTGGAAGCCCCATGGCGGAAGGGCACATCCAGGGTATGGAAATTCTTGAGCAGTCGGTTGAGCTTCTCCTGTCGCATGCGAAGCCGTCCACGCATGCGACGCTGGTCCTCTCGAGTGCGCATAGAATGGGGGCACTTGCACTTCTCCCGTTCGGCAATGTAGCCATCGTCAGCTTCCACTTTCTCACCCACATCCAATTTGTCGCGTAGTCCCATTCGGAAGATCTGAAGGTCATTGTACACACCAGGAAGGTAGGGTCCCGCAATCCAGCAGATATAGGAGGAACGAATGTTTGTAGCAATCTCATAGCGGTAGGCAGGTTTGTTGAATTTCTGGGAGAAATAGTCCTTATCAGGCTGGCCACTGTCAAGCTTCCGTCCACGAGTCAAAAAGTCCACACCATCAGCTGACAACAAACAGTCATTGCCGACGTCGCCAATGAATCTGTTCACCCAAAGAATCTACAAGAGAGCAAGTGAGAGCATTGCCGGGAACAGAAGACGACAACAACAAGGACCTGCTCACCACATCATTTTCCAAATAAGAGACCTCATCAATAAAGTACCACACCCAGGTTGACCAAGTCCCCTCATCCACTCCTCCACATCGAGATGCTCCGTTTTCCTCGGTGGGATACTGCTGTAGCATGTTGAGAGCCCACAAGAATCGTTCCATCGTGGCCCCTTCCTTGAGACCGCCGAAGGACTCCAAAAGATACCATGTGATGGACAAGACAGTCAAAGACACTCCACACCAGGCCCGCACACGGCGATCCTTGACAGCTTCGCTTCCAGACAACCGACCATTTCGAAAGAGACCAAAAGCAATTACTTCAAACTCCTCTTGTAGTCGATCAACGGCATCCAAATCGTACTCAACCACCATCGTGCCTTTTCAAGTGGAAAGGAGGAAGGAGGAACGAAAAAGTGTTTTTGGGTGTATTGCCCATGTGCTGAGGGGGAGTATTTCAATCGTTCCAAATTTCGAAAGTTGGGGCACACTCAAGCACTTCTCAGCAGGTACGATTGCAAGATATACATTTTTTAAAAGCTTCATAAATGATCCGTTTGCTAGAGATAAGAATTTGCACGCCTGGTCACCCCTATAGAACTAAAAGAATTTCATGACGAGGATGACGCCTCACGACTGAATCACTCAAAATTGAGCCAAAAGGTCTCAAAAGGTCTCAAAATTGAGTGATAATCACTCATTGCTCGAAATTGAGCAATAATGGCTCAAAATTGAGCAAAAATGGCTCAATTTTGAGTGAAAAGGTCTGAAAAACGACTGAAAAATCGCTCATTTTTTAGACCTTTTTGCTCAATTTTCAGTGCAGGACTCACAGAATGAGTGAAAAGGGCTCAAACTGCCGGAAGACACGATTCAACTTTTTACTTTGAAACAATAGATATATACATTAACGAAGATAATATAAACAGAAAGGGCGCCAACTCTGCATCCATTCGGAACTTTCAACACTCGGAGTGCCAAGCTTCAGGTCACTTTCCGACCAGAGTGTCAGTTGCCAAAAGCAAACAAGCAAGAAGTAAGTAAGAAAGTGTCACCATGGCCAATCGAGCCGCTGGTGTCCTCCGTTGGGGCAACGAGGAGCGGCTGAAGGTCTCTCAATACCTTGAAGCTGGCAACATTGACCCCACTCGCATGAACTCTGCCACGTACCTTGCTCATCTCAAGACTCTAGAGGCTGTTTGGGACCGACACTCAAACAAGAATTTCTATCAAAATGTTCGTCGTGCAGTGCAGGCTTGGCAGGCCGAAGGCACTGGAGGGCAGCGCCGAAATGACCAGAATGCTCCACCACCACCGGCGCAGGCTCCAGCTCGTGAACCGGAAGTTGATTGGGGTGAGTCTTGAAGCCAATGACGAATCAAAGTCTCTCACACGCTCTCACGTGCCTTTCATTTCTCCTAGGTGACCTCCACGGTCCTTCCTGGTTGGATCAGCAACAGCAACGAACCGCAGCGGAGCAAGGAGCTACCTCACCACCGCACAACCGCGACATCGAAGAGCTTTTGGGAAGTTTGTCTTTGGGAGCTTCCTCCATCATGTTGCGTCATGTTTACACCTGGCGTGAAGGTATCGGCCGCGATGTGGACCCTCGTGGTGTGATTGAAGCATCTCCCAACCTCAAACGCTGCAGTGTTGATATTCTACTTCCCGGACCGACCAACCGTGATCAGATTGAGTGCTCCGTCATGCAGCCCCCCAGCCAGAAGAAGGTCAAAATCAAGTACACACCTCCAAACACTTTCTTCTCCGCTCGTCGCACTGCCGTACGCACGGCCATGCGCACTGGAGTCCCAGCTGCTGGTATTGATATTGCCGCGAATCGTATGTCCGCTATGACTCGTGTGACTGCTCATGAGGAATCCTTGCAGGCGCTCACTATGAAGGAACGTGTTCATGAGTTCACCATTGATTTACCCTTTGAAGTGGAGCCTGACTTCACAACCCGTGATGACTGGGGTGCTCTTGGACGCGCCCGTGGTGTGCAGATTGGAATGTATCGCCATGATGACCCTCGCTTCGTCCATCACAATCAGGTGGTCTGGATTCTCCATCTTGAGATGGTATCTCGCGAACGAACCGTCCACACACCCAGCCGTCCGGTTGACGATTTTGCTGAGTGCTTTGGATTCGCCTAGAGCAACAACTGACCATGGCCCTGGGAAGCGCAACAGCAGCGGGAACACACAAACAACAATAGTACTTGAAATTCGATAGCATCACTAACCACTAGTGTCACTTTAGCTGCTAAAGATCTATTCCTGGCGGCGTCAAAGTGGCAGAGAGGAAGCCTTGGTTGACTTTTGCCACCAGCATGGCTGGAAGCGCAACACCAAGAGACCAAGAGTTCCCTTGCCTAGCTACACAGCGTTTGCTTACCGGTATGCACAAAATCAGAAAGATGCTGGAGCGCGGCCAATCTTTCGCCAAACCAACGCCATATCCGTCCCTGTGCACATGTACTTGCTGAGGTTTGTGCTCCACCATGGCTGATGGCTGCAAAGACCATTTTGGTGGAGAGGACTTTTACCGAAGAAAAGGAGTAGTGCTGCAATCTGCAGCAGGCAGCTATGGTGTAGTGCTGTAGATTGCAGCAGCTATTCTAGGCTGCAGCACACAGTACAGGGGAGTCTTGGTGGACTCTGCCGACACCCTTCACCCTTCCCTGCCCTTCTTGGTACATGTGCGTGGTGCGTTTGCTTCTACAATACCAGGGTCTACGGTACATGCAGCTCCATTCTGTTCGTACGTCCACGTCCGGCACAGGCATGTTTACTGGTACCGGTGGGTAGCACTAACGCTAAAATAGAGATCCATTTCCAATCCAACCAAACGCGATTCGGCTTTTTTTCAGTTTTCGTCTCCTGTTTCCTCAGTTTGCTCGCTACTTGGATCCATATGACGAATACATGCAATCCAGCCATTGTAGCCAGCTACCGTACCGTCGGCAGAGAGTTACATCGATCCGTGACAGTGGCAACAGTACCGAACACACTCAGGTTCCGCTTTACTGGATATACTCCGTTACCGGTACCTTGCATTGGATCCTTATGACGAATACATGCACAACCGAACATTGTCAATCCAGCCATCGTAGCTAGCTACCGTAGAGTTCGTCGATCGGTGACAGTGGCAACAGTACCGAACACACTCAGGTTCGGCTTTGCTCGCTGCACTCGGTTACCTCGCATTGGATCCTTATGACGAATACATGCACAAAACCGAATATTGTTAATCCAGCCATTGTAGCCGGCTACGGTACAGTGACATCGGCGACAGTGTCAACAGTACCGAACACACTCAGGTTCCGATTTGTTGGCTACACTCCGTTGCCGGTACCTCGCATTGGATCCTTATGACGAATACATGCACAATCGAATATTGTCAATCCAGCCATTGTAGCCAGTTACCGTCAAGTTACATCGATCCGTGGGGACAGTGGCAACAGTACCAAACACACTCAGGTTCCGCTTTACTGGCTACACTCCGTTACCAGTACCTTGCATTGGATCCTTATGACGAATACATGCACAACCAAACATTGTCAATCCAGCCATCGTAGTCAGCTATCGTAGAGTTCATCGATCGGCGACAGTGGCAACAGTACCGAACACACTCAGGTTCGACTTTGCTCGCTGCACTCGGTTACCTCGCATTGGATCCTTATGACGAATACACGCACAACCGAATATTGTCAATCCAGCCATTGTAGCCAGCTGCCGTATAGCCTGTGGCAACAGTACTTGACTTGCGCATGCAGGAAAATGGGTACCGACACAGGAATCACCACCAAAACAGTAGGAAATAACAAGAAGGGATGAATCCGGTAGGAGGATCCACTCTCTTGTGTGTTGTCGTGTGTCGTATAGCCTCCTCCTCCGGTTGACGACTGTTGCCATTCAATGACTCGACGATGTTCAGGCCGGTGATAGGGCTGGAGTTTACTGAACATCCTCTTGTTCGTAGCGATCGATCGAAGCCAGCGACCGTTCAAAAAGGACTCGACAATGGTAGTTCGTCGGCCGTCAGCAGTAAGAGATTAGAAAGTAAGAACGAGCGCAGACAAGCTACGCTCGCCCAGAGCAGCTAGGCACGACTAGTAGAAGATTAGGTGAGTGGAGAGACTCGGCCATTTACTGAGCCGACCGTCTCCAGTCCCCGGGGTACCATTCGGGACTGGGGAGTCCCGGATGGATCCCACACAGCAAAAGGGAGTCCCGGGAATGTGATGTTCCACGGGACAGCCTTGAGTCGTGCAACCCAAAAGCCAAAGGCAGAACAGGGAGGGAGCGTAGCGGGGTGGGAGAAGTTACCCTCTGTCCAGGTGGAGGCGAGGACAGGGGGGCCGAGGACTAGGGGTAGGTTAGTCCTTGTAGAGTTCTTCGTGGAGAAGAATCTCGTTGAAGTGTTGGGGTGCCTGTGCCGGGAGGAGGTGGCGATCGTAGGTGCCTCCCGGGAAGTTGTACGCCCCATGGTCCAACATCTGTTGGGAGTAGTGGTGGGTGGCGGCAGCGGCTTGGATGCGCAGGTAGCGGAGCATGGCGTCAACTGAGGCTTCACATGATACCACCGGTTGCGGGCCGCATTGAAGTGGTTGAAGAGGGGAGTATCGGCGTCGGCGCCGTTGGTACGGAGGTGGTAGACCACACGCGCGAGGGACTTCACCGGGCAAAGCCACGGATCAGAGGTCGGGCGGTGGCCCACGGACTCGCCGCGGACAGCATTCTTTTGGTCAGTGAACGTAAACGTGGCATCGGTGAGGCACGCACGGTTTTTCACGTCATTCAAAGAGATGGTGTCTCCGCGGACTTGGAGGCCGCCGCAGACAGTGAAGGAGACATCACAGAGGCGAAAGGCTTGGCTTCGGGATTCAAGGTTCCCGGTATCCAGGTACTCCACAGGGCGTAGGAGCCAGAAGAAGGCCAGGATGCAGAGGTCGCGGACGTGGCGGTTGAGGGTTCCCCAAGTGGCGTCGTCGTAGTCCAGGGCATCGAGCATAGCTCGGAGGATGGAGAGGTTGACGGGGTAGGCGCGGTCAGGGGGTCCATCTTCATCCCGGAGTCCTTTGAGGAAAGCAGCGAGTATTGGATGGTTGTGGTCGGATCCAGCTTTGAGTTTTCGGGGATCCGGGTGACCCAGGTCAGTGATCTCCTTCCCGACGGCAAGAAGGGCCTTGTCCACTGAGTCAGCTCGGACATTGTTAGACTCGCGGTAACGGTTTCCGAAGACAAGGATGTAGCAGGCTTGGACCTCTTGGTCAGGGATATCACAGAGGGATGGGTTGACGCCGAGGCATGCGCAGAAGTCACGCCATCGTCCGAAGGTCCGGTCCCGGGCGGCGGCCGTCTTGGAGACAATGTTTTTGGAAGCGGTCTGCAGCGCAAGGCGGAGATCAACAGTGAACTGACCTCGGGTGTCAGAGTCAACACCTGCCAGGGTTTGTTCTGCGGATAGCGCTGTTCAAAGTGGGCGAGAAGTTCAGGCAGGGTGAGGTGTTGCAGGCGCGACGCATCATCAGCCATCACGTTGGCAGGACCCGGGATGTAGGACGAGAGGGCGCAGTAGCGGTGCTCTCGCTGGTGGCGGCAGGCGTAGTTGCACAGGAACGCCGCAGGACCATCGGAGGTGACCGCCCCTTTGGAGACTCGGGAGACGGCCGGGGTGTTGTCCGAGAGAGTGTAGAGGGTGGCGTAGGTGACGCAGTGCCGCGCTGCTTGCAAGGAGTGTTGCGCAAGGATGGCTGCTTGCTCGAGGTCACTGTTGGTGACGGTTCCCGTCGGGTTGTCCGTAGACACGAGCTGAGCCTGCACATCGGGAGGGAACGGGAGCCTCCAGAGGTAAGGAGTTTCCTCAGAGTCAAAGTAGACACCGCCCATACAGCCTTGGCGGCGTCAGTGGCTCCGAAGAGGATGGGTCCTGGGGGATGATCTCAGCCAGGTGAGTTGGGCGGTGGCAGAGGCTGGCAGCCAGATCAGCAAAGGCATCAATGTGGGATCTCAGCGCAGTATTGATCCGGATTCTTCCTCCTTTGGACTTCGTTAGGGCGAGCTGGAGCGCGCTGAAGAGTCCAGCGGAGCCCCGGATGGCAACAGAGACGAAGCGCAGCTTGCCGAGGATTTGCACCAACGCTTGTGGTTGACTCTGCGACACCCGGTAGTTCCTTGAAGATGTCAGCGAGCGCTTGCTTCCGGTGGGGAGGAGTTCCAGAGTCTGTCGTAGGTGTCAATGATCCATCCCAGGATGAGTTTTCGAGTAGCCCAGCTTCCATCACCTTGCAGGAGTTTCTTGAGCGAGACTGCCTCATTTCGGTGTTTCTCGCTGAGGTTGGGCGTGCGAGGATCTCGTTGATGGCATGGAGCAAGTGCCTACGCAGTGCTTTCATACGGTCTTTCCTCCTTGGCCTAGTTGGATGAAGTCGTCACGAACACATCATTCCGCCCGATGGGCTGGAGCAGAGGTCTGTTAGAGGGTCCCGCGAAATGGTCCGGCTCGGCCTCCAAGGGGAGGTGGCTATCCCAAGGAGTTCTTGCGTTGCCGCAGGTCTCCTTTTCTCGTGGTCTTGGAGTGGTGGACGGTTCCAGGTCATCCATTCCCTCGCGTGATGCTCAAGCCTGTGCAGAGGACAGGCTCTGGGGGACTTCGGAAGCGTTCATTTGCTCGGTCGCAGGTAGTCTCCGACATGCCACTGAAAGTGGGCGGCGACTCGACCCATCCCATGGTGCATGACATTGGGACGCCACCAGTTGGGGCTCACTTCATAGCGAGGCAGCACCAGCGCGAGTCGGATGCAGTCGGAAGGGTTCAGGAACATGCGGTAGAAGCCGTCCTTGATGTCATGCTTGCAGAGGCGGACGGGTCCAAAACTTGGGGTTCGCGTGACGCACATCGTACAGGATGCGCGGCAAGGCATTTCCAATTTGCATGGCCTTGGGCGGTGCGTGATGTGATGTGGTTTCGTTTACGGAGGGCCATCCCAGTTCCAGGTGTGGTCGCTGAATGAGTCGGGGTTTTCGGTCTCGTTCCACCTTTACCGCAGCGGCAGATAGAAGGAGGGAGGGTTCATCCTTGACGAGGTCGAATGGAAGGACAGCCCAGAACTTGTTCTCGATGAACTCGGAAAATTCCTCACGGAGGAAGT